GCGATGAATTGCAATGCGATCTTCGAGATTTCGCGACAAGGTAGAGAAGAGAATGTACTTTTCATATAAAAAAAATTCGGACGATACATATGGCAAAAGCTGCGGTATGAATAAAAACTTAAAAAACTGGCATAGGTTTAGACAATTTTTTCAGCCACTGTATGGAAAGCTCACTGGCACTTCATCTTCGACAACACTCCTTTCTCTACTGACACCATCCAACAATTTGTTCTTAAGCACCTCCATCGCCATATCAACGTCAATAATATACAAAACTCTGACTAGTTAAATAATCTCCCCATAACCTATGCCCCTACCATCAGTTTTCCCCATGCATCCTCATCCTTTTACTTCTCATGTACTCTATGCATTAATTTCATGCCTTGTTCGTACTGCTCACTGTGACGTACGGACAAATAAAACACTGGACCAATAGCTCCTTTCAAAAAAAAAGGTCCTGTACATGGTTTTTGTATTAATCCGTGTCGTTTTTTTTTTCTTTTTTTATATTTTTATCAATATTAATCAGATGACCATTTATCAGCACAGTCCTGTATGCAAATAGGGGCGAGCAGCCAAACAAAAAGAAAAATTAATAGAGAAAATAATTCCAAGAGACAAAGCCATCAAAAAAGGGACACCTAATCGTGTCAGCCTTGTCCCCATAACAAGAGAATATCGGACCAATCGCTTTCTTCTATTTCACCTTGAGATTTCCACCAAAGAAAGTGACGAATCAGCACAGGTAACTCATGGAAGATCTGGATAAACGGCTGGTGGACCTCTGTCGCTTTGTTTCTTCGCTTTCCATCGTGACAATTATGCTGGTGCTGTAGACTTGTTGTAAAAAATCCCGAGGTTATGACCTTCCGGACAAATATTATTATAGGACACATATACCATATATAGTAATTCATTTTTAAACTCAAATTAAATTTTAGATATTTAATTAATTTTTAATCTTTTAATAATGGGTGTTATTTCATCAATTACTATTTCATTTTCAAAAGTTTTATCTATTGTTTTTCTTTTTTTTTCTTTCTTTTTATCTTTATTATATGTTTTAAATTCATAAACTTTTTTTAATTGTTTTTTTGAACCATTTTTTTTCATATAAATTTTATAACACCCCTCTTTTTGTTTTATTTTATATTCACATAAATCATATTTTTTCATATCTTTAATAAATATACTTCTTTTAATATTATATTTATATTTGTCATCTATAATCATATCATATATATTATCCATCTTTTTTTTAATTATTAGATTTTTCAATTTTTTTTTATTTTTTTAATTTTATAATAATTATATTTAATCACATTCATAATATAATATCCAACTTTCTTAGGTATATTATATAATCATTATGTATTAAATAAGTTAGTTTATTGACATAACTAGGTCTTATTATTTAAGATAATGAATATTAAAAATACATTTCATATTTATAGTATTATTTAATATATATTGTGTCATCTTTTTAATAATATCAAAATTCAATTTTTATCTTTTTATATAAATTAATCTTTTAAAAATTTTTTCCAAATATTATATCCTTTATTTTTTTTTCTCCATTGAAATTCACGTAAATGTAATAATATATATTTTTTATTTCTATTTCTTAATGAAATACTTTGTTTTAAATGATTCCATAAACTTTCAATTGAATTAGTATGTATTTCAGTTATTGGATCTTTAAAATTTTTTTTATGATTTACAGTTAAATGTTTATATCCTATATTATTTAAATTATTATATCCTTTCCAACAATCAGTATAAATAGTAGTACCTTTTTTAACATATTTCTTTATAATTTTATCAATATTATTTATATTTCTTTTTTGAATTGGTAATAAAAATGTTTTTTGATTTTGATGTTTAATTTTATTTTTTAATATACTTCTTTCAATACCACCAATAACCCATGCACCTTCAACTTTATGACCTCTATTATATTTATTTTTTCCAATTTTAGTTTCATCAATTTCAATTATTTTATTTCTTCCTCCAATTTTTATATTTTTATTAAAATTAATTTATTTTTTAAATATATTCTAAAAATTTTATGATATAAACTTACAGTATTTGGATTTATTTGTAAAGTAGCAGCAATACTAGTTGCTGGCATTTTTAAAAGATAATAATTTAATATATGTAATTGAATATTTAATGGTAATTTCATTTTAGAAAATATTGTACCTGTTAAAGGTGAAAATGATTTTCTACATTTATAATTTTTACAAATATATAATTTTTTATTTATATATAATTTTGTATCTTTATCACAAACTTTACATTTTTCTATTTTATTAATATAGTTATTATTAATTAAATAACATAAAGCTTTGTCTTCATTATTAAAAATATCTTTTAAATTTATATAAGGTTCTGTAAACATATTTGCAGTAATTTTTATTATTAGCAAAAATTCAATTTTTAGTTTTTTATAATTTTTTCAATAATTGAGTTTAAAATTATATCGGAGTTTGAATCATAGAATCTGTGTGTTATCTTAATAATTGTCCTGACCTTCCTCATCCTGTCATCGTTTCATGCTCGTTTCTTTTGGAGTTCCGAAGGTCGGCATGGTATCCAGTATGACAAGAATGAGCAAGGCAAGTCGGGTATTTATTTCATGCCACACGTCAATTTTGCCAGGAGATAATCACACGTGTTTGCGTCCGTGAAATGCTGGACAAGATGGTCGGCACATTTCGTCTCGTGAAGCCACAAATCGGAGAGAGAAGAATCGAAATTATTGGAGCAGATATCTTTATTGACTGCCATTGTCACCAAGAATCTTTGGGGCGAGGAACCAGTCGCATAGACCAAACCAAGAGAACCTGGAGTCCAGTCGTTTTTGTGGCGCCAATGGATATCATTAAGAATCGTAGATGCATCATATTCTTGTATGCCCAATATCGCCAAGTCTGTCTGGGAAATGTTTATACTGCTGCCATCAATGATGTCGTGAGGATAAAAGACATGAGTGTGAACTAAACTGTCTTTTTATGTCATGAGCATTCTACCATTCACTACATACTCATGCTTCGTGTTATAGTGCTTAATAAATTCCACATCACACTTCTGACATGTGGCTTTCTTAAAGTGGCCTGGCGCTCGATGTCACTCATTGACCCGCCCCATACATTGTTGCTCATCGGATAGTAACCGAGGGACGTTATGCAGTCGATCCAAAGCGTTCTTGTCCTTGTTGGCCCACACTCCGTACCTCCCAAGTTGACGGACCCGGCAATACTCATCCAGTTCCTCAGGTGACAGACCTTTGGTCGGATCGTTGCCGGTTGCCACTGCCACATGCTGCATGTCTTTTCCTGTGCTGACCCTGAGAAACCATGCATCAAATTCGTCCATGAAGGGTGTCATAGACCGTGGACAAGCTACACAGGAGAATACCAAACTCTGGTCAATACAATGCTGATGCTGTGACTTTAGATCCTCAAGTTGTTGTTGACATTGCTCCATGTTTGGTTCACCAAGGAATTCGTTCTGAGGTCGGGATGATTGACTGTCAATCTGTAAGGTTTCCTCCTCCTCATCGCTACTGACATCCCCCTCATCATCGTTAGTGAGATTCACCAGTTGGAGAGCCTTTTTTCCTGCCATTAATCTGGTCGACAGCACGGATTTGTTGTATAACGTCAAGTCTTGTTTTGTTGAATCCAAATGTTCATACAAGCCGTCTTTCATTAATTTGTCGTGATATTCCCTTCGTATACCGTTATACTACATGATCATTTCTTCAGATGTCGAAGGTCGAAAGTCACCTCGAGACAATCGTTTGCACACAATAGCATTCAGCACCTCGTAACAGCAAAGAGACAGATAAATTTCTCGCGACACTAGTGTGGCCTTTCCAGAATCATAACTGATTGAGCCAGCATGTCAGGTAGGCAGATATAACGAATTGTTTGCGGGGTCGGGTCCATACTGGATTATTGCAAGTTCGCCAATGTGTTGCATATATGATGTCTCGAGTAGTGTCGTTGATATTTTTCCATTGTAAATTAGGCTCAATAAACTGATAAGTGTATCTTCTGATTCGGGTTCCTGTTGTGGTGATTCCATCTTGTCGAAAAAGTTGATATATGTTGATAAAGTAGGATGCCATGAAGACGCTAACATGTCGGTATGAAACATCATAAACACAAGGTTTGACATGCCGCAAATAACGACAGGACAAACGATACGAAGATACTGTGATAGGTACAGTAAGGCAATGGTCGTAATATTCTTGGGAGATACGCCGAACATATCAATAAAGGTAGGCAGTTGTAATGAGTGAATTTGGTTGTGGCGAAGACGATGCATGAGTTCAGATTTCGGAGAAAGACGACTGATTGACTGCTGGCTCTGTCCCAAAATGAAGTCGCATTTCTGTAATTGCCTACTGTCACATCCTTACCCATGAAGACTGACACCACATGGCCCTTATAAATTGGTGGGGTTGCTTGCCATATAACTGAGTTGAGAAAAGCTTCAGTGGGTGATGTGATATCAAATGTACTTGAAATGTTAGCGATAAAGTTCCCGAAATCCTTGAAATGTGCTTGGATATCATTGGCCATCGAAGATATATCCGTGTCAGGTACTGGGTTGACATAGTGATATTTTTCGCTAACCTGTAAATATGATAAACAATAAAACAGTCAATATACAGTGACTAGCAAAACCGTTCGAATGTTTGTGTTTTTTATATAAATCATCTTATAATTTTATGAAAAATCAACCTATAAGACTGCTCTTTACAGTTTTGGAAAGAGATGACTGTCTATTTTCAGAATTATATTTTAGAATTCCGAAATACTGATTGTAGCATGAGTAATCTGATGATCAAAATTAAAGGTACACTTGAACGATTTTGCATGCATTCTTTATTTTAAGATTTGGACAATTATTAAGATAACACACAGATTTTGTAATTTAAACTCCGATATAATTTTAAACTCAATTACTTAAAAATTAAAAAAAACTAAAAATTGAATTTTTATTAATAATGAGGAACTATCGTTATCATTATAATATAATATAATATATTAAAAAAATATATATAATATCTAAAGATACAAAAATTCAATATTTTTTATTCTAATTTAAAAAATTATAAAAAATAAATTATTGTGTCATTATAAAATTAGCTGTATCACTAAATAATTAAAATGGTCAGAGGAGGCACTGACGTGAGTAGCATAAACGAAGTGTTGCTACTTGTCTATGGGTATGGTATCATGATGTTGTGTGGTCGTCAACATTCATGATACGTTCTGAGGGTAGTGGCTGTTCTTCAATAAAAATTACTGCAAATATGTTTACAGAACCTTGAGGAACAGCCACTACCTCTAAAACGTATCATGCATATTGATGATCTCACAACATCATGATACCACACCCATAGACAAGTAGCAACACTTCGTTTATGCTACCCATGTCAGCGCCCCCTCTGACCTTTTTGATTATTTAAAAACACAATTAAAAATCTATTGATACATTTTTATATATTTTTAAAAATAAATTATCATTTATTTAAATATTTTAAAAATTGTATCTTTAAATACATATTTATTATCTAAAGATATATGTATTTATTATCTCGATATAGATAGTTCCTCTAAACAAAAAGATAGGTACTATGAAATTTATATAAAAAAAAAATAGCTCTAATAAACGATTGAAAAAAGTATATGAATTTAAAATATATGATAAAAATGAAAATAAACAAAAAAAAAAGAAAAAAAGAAAAAGATAATAATATTGATAATAATATAATAATTGATGAAATACTGTAGTATCCATCATAAAAAAACTTAAAATTTCATAAATAGATTTATTTGAATATATTTTAAATATAAATTAAAAATATGAGACCTCTTTTAATAATTATCCCCCTATGGTCCAGTCAACTTAGGTATCCAAGCATGTTTCTCCGACTGCTGTACTCAAACGCTATCTGGAGGATTACTAAAAGGAATTGGAGGAGTTACTTATTTAGTTGAGTACTCAGCAACATCTTGCAGACAAAGCAGGCGCTGTTAGAGACGAGGCCCACAAACTCTTGGCAGAGAAAGACTCTCTCCGTCAACTCCTGGCCGGTTATGAGGTTCCAGATATAAGAAATCCACTCCAGTCCTCTGCTTGGGAGAGTAAGATTGGGGATTTTTATCTTATAAAGGGTATCAAGGGCCCTAAAATTACTGCTAAGGACATTCCTTTGTTCCAATGGCGTGGTTGTCCCTGAACCTTGAATAAGAACAGAGATGTTTTCACTTCGGTGGAGCATTTTTGCACCAATTTCCGTCACCTGTTGGTTCAAGCCAATTATGAGCTTGACCAGCATTGGGAAGAATGGTTTATGTTTGCGCTTCCGGACCAAGCAGATGATTGGTTCAACGCGAATGTGGCGAACCGTGGTTTGGGATGGGAACAGGCATACGTTCTCTTTAAAGAACGTTATGAAAATCCCGACCATTATAACAAAGCGGTGAAGAAAATTGCCATTATGAAAATGAATGGGAGCGAATCCCTTACTCGTTTTGGTGAGCGCTTTTTGCGTGCTTTGAAAGAGTGCAAACTCATTGACAGTCCTCTGGCTGCTGGTGTTTTCCAGATAAACATGACCGCATATATGAAGAATCAAGTGCTCAACACTTGGACCCAACATAATGGCTCCAAGCCTATCTCTTCTGTGGAGGCCTTGCTCCAAATTGCTCCGTTCATTGTCGACAAGAGAGTAACAGAGGGTGATAGTCACCATGGTGACTACAAACACAAGGTGGGTAAGTGTTACCACTGATCTGTGTCTCCCATTTTACACAAGCGGCCCTTTAAAGGTGAGAACATGAAGAAGGAGGAGGTCGAAAACAGCCGACCGAATTTGCCACAGACTTGCCTGTATTGCAAGAAAGCCTGGTTCCAAGGCCATCATTGCGAGGCTTACCAGGAGGCGCACAAGATCAAGCGCCAAGAAAAACGTCTCCATTGTTTGCGTCTGGATGAAAAATCCAGCAAAGCCAAAGTTGGTGCTAAGCAAGCACTATGTAAGCAGATGCAGGACGACCACTCTGCCAAGAAGGTTATTGATACCATCCTGACCGAGCTTGAAGAAGAAGAGCTCAGCTGAACTGCACAATGTAAGTCTCTTAAGCTATACAGTATCCGCAACGAACAAAATTCAAGTATACTAAAGACACCTATCATGATTCAGAATGAACGAATCTTGGGTCTCGTGGACACCAGTGCAGAAATGTCCATCGTCAGCAAAAACTTGTGTTCGTTAAATAAATGGCCAATTTTTAATGCCAAAGGATCTATCTTGTATGCTAGTAGAGGAGACACAGTGAAGCGCATTGGAACTACTGCTCCACTGGATATTATTTACAATGGTTATAACATCCGTCATAGCTTTGAAGTTATGGAGTTAGCAGATGAATGTGAATTAATTCTGGGTATTGATTTATTGCTGCAACTTGGAATTGCTCTCACTGGTGTCGCGACTGATTGGGATACATCAGAAACTCATCAGGCCAAAGAGGAGATGGCAATCGTGCCAAAAGCCGAAACATATCAACCCAATGAATCACCAGCAGGTACAGAAACAGAACATGTTCACTTCATGCGATCTGTTCAGCCGTTTATTAAGGCCAATGCTGCTATACCTAAGGGAAGTTTTTGTACTTTACCTGAATCTATTATTCATCTATCAATGCCCGAAGGAGTTACTGCATACCAAAGACAGTACCCTTTGCTGTTCACCATGAGACCAGTCATTGATAAGGCTGTTCAAGGTTGGTTGGATGAGGGAATTATTGTCCGTGCTGCTGTGAATTCATCCTGGAACAGTCCATTGACTTTGGCTGACAAGAAGGATGCATACGGCAATAAGACTGGCAAACGACCTTGTCTGGATCCCTGTCATATCAACAAACATTTACCTGATGATCATTACCCTTTACCATTGATCAAGGAAATTTTTCAATCCTTAGGAGGAAACACTGTGTTCACTACATTGGATCTAAAAAGCGCATTTCATCGTTTCAAGATCCACGAAGCAGACCAGCATAAAACCATGTTCACTCATGATGGTATTCAATATATGTTCCAAGGATGTCCCTTTGGTTTGAAGCCGATTTCATCCAAGTTTCAGAGAGTGATGTCTTTGATTTATCAACATCTGCCATTCGTACGGACATTTGTGGATGATATCGTTATCTTCTCTCCATTGATTTCTGAGCATATCACACATGTTCAAACAGCCATTCAGGCTCTGACTGACGTGAATTTACTGCTCAATCCTGCAAAATGCCATTTTGCGCAATCTTGCATCTTCCTACTTGGTTTTTGCATTTCAGCTGAAGGCGTCGTACCTGATAGCCGCAAACTTACCAATGTGATGTCATGGCCAATTCCACGTACTGGTAAGGAGGTCCAGAAATTTATGGGTGTTATCAATTATTTCTGCGATCATATTCTTACTGTTGCTACCATCAGTGCTTCTATCAATGCACTTCGTTCGGCTGGTAGTTTAACGAACCTATGGACCGATGTATACACTAAGCATTTCCAGATGCTTAAAGATATACTGGCTCAACAGCTTTTACTGGAATATCCTGATCTCAACAAGCCATTCCTTGTCGCAACTGACGCATCCAACTATGGTATTGGTGCTGTATTATTTCAGATGCAAGGTAAAAGGAAACAATACATTTCCTTCATGGCTCGAGCTCTCAGTAAATCTGAATGCAACTACTCAACTACGAAGAGAGAGTTATTGGCCATTGTTTATGCTCTCCAGAAGTTTCACCAGTATCTTTGGGATAATCCGTTCACACTTTATACGGACCATAAGGCGCTTGTTTATCTTCACACTCAGAAGATTGCAAACCCCATGATGCTTACCTGGTTGGACACTATCCTCGATTACACCTTTACGGTTGTCCATTTACCTGGTGTTCAGAATGTTCTCCCTGACTCTCTTTCTCGCTTGTTTATCCCTGATGACAAGCTGGAAGGGGGTATTGTCGTCAAAGGACCGAAGCCAGTTGTATCAAAGAAGTCTATTGATGGACACAAAATATTCAGGATTAAATCCGTTGCTTCAACTGATGATATGATGTGTCCACCAGAGAATGAAAGACACGGTATCTTGGAAAAAGCACTTTACTTGGAGGTCATGAAGGAGCTGAACATATCGTATGACATATCCATGCAGATGGTATCCACTGGAATAACATATTCCAAGATGCTGTGACATTGGTCAAGTCATGTATTGAATGTCAACGCTACAACATAGGGCAGAAAGGTTATAATCCCTTGAGACCAATCTATGCATACCTTCCTGGAGATCACTAGGCTGCTGATCTTATCAATTTTCACAAGACATCTAATGCCGGTAACAACTACATTCTGGTACTTGTAGATATTTGCACTCGTTTCTGCATTTTACGTGCTTTACCGAACAAACAATCAGATACACTCGTCAAAGCATTTGTGGAAGTATTCTGTGATTTTGGCATACCCAAGGTTATACAATCTGACAATGGTTCTGAATTCAAGAATCAGTTCATGAAGAAGTTTGTTGAACACCTGGGAATTGACCATCGGCTGACCACACCCTACCATCCAAGAGCGAATGGTGTGGCTGAATGACATGTACAGGAAACGATACATATCTTGCGGAAAAAGATAGAAGGTGCTGACAAAGACTGGGACTACTACGTTCCCAGCACACAATTACACATCAATAGTCGCATATCAAAATGACTCCAATCCTCGCCTTTCTCTCTTATGTTTGCAAGACGATTAAATGACTTTGTGGACTACTGCTCAAGAAATGCTATACCGAAAGATCCAATGACACATGAAGACTTGATGAAGCGTGTGGAACACATGATGGATATTGTGTTTCCGGCACTCCAAGAGAAAGTGAAGCATCATGGTTCCAACATGAAGGACAAATTTGATACCAAGCACAGACTCATGGATTTCCCAGAGCGAAGTCACATTATGGTCAAGGTACAAAATAGAGCTGGTAAATTAGCTCCTATTTATGAAGGCCCATACACCGTTCTGCGCAAGACGCAAGGTGGATCATATGTTCTTCAAGACGAAACTGGTGCACTTATGCCCAGAGACTTTTCGCCCTCTGAAATGAAACTGATCAATGTAGATGATGTGGTTCCTGAAGATGAACTGTATGAAATTCAAGCCATTATTGATCATAAAGAGGAACGACCTCTACCCCCAAAACGTATCATGAATGTTGACGACCTCACAACATCATGATACCCCACCCATAGACAAGTAGCAACACTTCGTTTATGCTACCCACGTCAGCGCCCCCTCTGACCTTTTTGATTATTTAGCGATACAAATACATCTTTAATGATACAATGCTTTATCGCCTTTTCTGGTTGCAATAGCACGCTTGGTGTACAAAATCAATTGCCTTTTTATAGAACGGTAATATCGGTAATATCGGTAATATCGGTAATATCGGTAACAGCAGTAACAGCGGTAATAGCGGTAACATCGGTAACAGCAGTAACAGCGGTAATAGCGGTAACATCGGTAATAGTGGTAATAGCGGTAACATCGGTAATAGTGGTAATAGCGGTAACAGCGGTAATATCAATCTCCGCATATGGATTTATGAAAACTGTTTGTGGGATTATGTGAATTATACGGATCGTACTAACTGAGCGTATATTTCGAGGAAATAGGCAACAAGCGATAAACAATAAAGATTTTGAACCCGATTTTATGAGAGTTTTGAATTACACATCATTGCTTTAACTGCGACCTGGCATAGGCATGTTCGTTCAATCATTTGAAGAATGACGGATCTCAGCCTATCGTCAAAGCAAGAAGAAGGGCCGCTTTGAATGACATGCTGCGTTGGCAGAGGATACAAACTCATCGATCTTCTGTGGTAATACTTTTGGGTTGGTGTGAAATGAACGACGCGGAGGTCATGTCACCACCGCACAGTTGTAGTCAATTGGTAACAAGAGGTTGGCATGACCGGCCATGTCACCACCGCACCATCATGATCAATTGATATATATATATAGAGTATCATGACCGGTCATGTACATCCATCCATGTATTGGGCAATCATTATTTAACTAGACAAAAATTTCAAGTTCTTTTTTCTTCGTCTGCGGGTTTCCGTCGATAAAGTGACCGTCAGTACCATCATGATCTGCATTTGTTTACTGTTAAAGTTGGATAGGGGACATTAAAGGCGCATTTCTTTGTTTTCTCTTTCTTCTTTTGGGTTTGCCAGATATTGCATGACGAGGTCATGATATTCGGTCAGGATTACATGTGTCACCGCCAAAGTTCGACAGTAAACAGAAGCGGACTTTTTTTTTATTTGCCTAGAGATCGGACGATGTCGTCGTTATGGTAATACGTCATGATCCCCGGTCGTGATACGCCGACATGATAACCGGTTGTGGTACGCCGACATGGTACCCGGTTGTGGTACTCCGTCATGATTGCATGTGTCACCGCTATAACTGATTGAGAAACACATGGTGTTTTCTTGGTATAATATCATGATGAAGCTTACCTGGAGCATTATCAGTTTACGGCAAAAGCCGATTGTTGCCACTCAGTGTCATAATACAGTAAATGGTCATTAATGAGAAGGTAAACAAAAAAAAAAAAAAAAAGTTGATTGTATCACGATCGGTGATTGTCCGCAAAAAAAAAAAAAGGTTTATAAAAGAACAGCATCGGATCGTTTTTCTTGATGGTGTCGAGATCAAGCATTCGTTTCTGGTTTTTTTTGTTTTTTGTTTTTTGTTTTTTGTTTTTTTTCTATTTGATCAGAAAAAATGGAGTATGAGTGTCCGTGTGGAGACTGCAGGCAAACTTTCAGAAAATGGATAAGCCTTCGAGGACATGCACTGAGAAAGCATGGACATCCCTTGCCGAAGTCACCGCCTGCAACGCCCCAAGAGGCGTCTGTGACACCATCATCTTCGTAAGTTCCTGGTCCACGTCCCTTTTTTTGGGGGGGTTTTCAAAGTTCTTGGTCTACGTCTTTCTTTTCTTTGTTGGTTTTTGGATAGCGGAAAAAAAATTATGTATGGCACCTTTGGGGCTCGTCGTTTTATTTAATCTATCGCCTAGTGGTTCGGTTACAGCTACGGTTCTTTCGTCTTTGGCTCCTCAAGAATCCGAAGCCCATCAGGCTGGTCCTTTGACTTCCCCGTCGGCGTCGTCGCCGCCTTCATCACCATTGCCATCGCCTTCGTCACCGCGGGCATCGTCTACGACATCGCGGTCGTCTTCGCCTACTCCAGCATTGTCATTGCCTCCACTTCCACCTCCGCCTTATTACACTCGTGTTCCTCCCACCTGTCTTGTTTGTAATCGCCGTTTCCAGCGTCCATCTGGTGTATACCAGCATTTACGTTTAGTACATTCCATTGATGTTGAAATTCCCAATGCCCCTGAATCTGAACGTGGACGTGCTGCTGCTCAGCGTCGATATGTCGCGGCTCGGCGAGAACGATTGGCGGCTGTTCGCCAACAACAACAGCAACAACATTACCGAGGGCGTGAAGAGCGCCGAGATTGCCAAGCTCAACGATCTCGTGATGACGGGCATGAAAATGTCGACAGTCAATGAATCTTTCTTTTCCGTGTTTGTCTTTTTTTTTTTTTTTTTCTTTTTTAAACAAAAAGGAATACGATGTCAAGTAGCACGTCTGGTGCATATGCCTTTTCTTTTGTTGGTTGTTTGCTTTCGTTCTTTTTTTTTTTTTTAAGAAGGAAAAATACGTCGTCAACTTATAGCCTTTTCTGCACATGAGTTTTTTTGAGGGGAGGGGGTTGCTTTGTTCATTGGCTTTTTTTTAACTAGTTAAGAAAAACAATGTAAAGTCGATATTAAACGGCCTTGCTTTTAGCTTGAGTTAATTGAATTATTCCGCTTCGTGGATGAGGATTGGTACATCGATCAGAACATGTACCTAAACTAACCATTGCGACGGCCACCTTTTCTTTTACGTTCACTTTATGGCATTTTCGTTATCGTTTCTGTAAAATTCATAGTCTTTGCTCGTTTGTCACCTTTATTTTCACCAAATTTCTGTTGGGGAAACAATGATTCCATCCGAATAAATGGGAAGTGGTATGTATCGCTGTTTGTTACAATGGTTCCCAACATCCAACAACTATTAAAGCAATGGAGTAGCACTATTTTAAGCGTTCTCTTTATTTACAATTTTTTTTTTCTATGATGGCTGCCATCGATTACACAATTCCTGATCTTATCCGTCATCATACTGAGATTTTATTCATAGGGATCAATCCTAGTAGTAAAGCACCAAAGAAACACATTGGCCATTTCTTTGGCGGACGCGGTAATTGTTTCTGGAAATGTTTCTCTGAATGTGGTAGGACATATGTGAATCAACAGGTGTTTTTATTTTCAGTATTCAAACCAGTTTGGGGTAGGTCTTCTGGATGGCATATATGGACCGCTGGATGATGTCTACATTCACAACAAGTACAATGTTGGTTTTTTGAATTTGGTTCCTCGTGCCACCGCCTCTTGCAAATCGCTTGCAAGAGATGAGATACTTCTGCGTGTCCAGCAGACATTGGCCAAAATAGAACGTTTTAAGCCAAAGCTTGTATGCTGCGTGGGCAAATTCGTGTATCAACACTTGATTTATTCACCTCGTGGCAAAGTTGCTTTCGGTATCCAATCTACTGTCTTTCCATGGGAAAACGGACAGGGTGCTTCTCCTGTCTTTTTAATGCCTAGTACCAGCAAAATCGGGATCGCTTACAGTGAAGACGACAAGAAACGGTAATCCAGATAAAATCCTTTGGAAAAATACACATATATCTTAATCCAGAACAGGTTTTTTAGAGACCTCGGTAAATACCACCGTCAACTTTATTGTCGATAACGGTCGGTAAGCTCTTGCATCATCCAGACGCTTGCCAGTGTTCGGTTTCTTTTGCGGTGTCTGGACGATTCACCTAGGCTGTTGAGCGAATTGCGTTGGCTGTTGTCTCCACTTCCCTGGCTCTCTCTACTTCTTTCCTCTGTCGGCTCTTTTCCTTTTCTTTTTCGCGCTTGGCGCATCCCGTTTACCTGAATAAACTATTTTTACAAACGCAGACTAAGTATGATATGGGAAAAAAAATCAGCATTTCGGTGATGTCCTACCTGCGGAACGGCTGGAGGCCTATTCGGACGCGTAATTTCCAACTGAAATACAAATTCGCCAATACGACTCTCTACAGAAGTTGAAATAGATAAATGAGTTTGACTTGGCTCTCCATTTACTTGTAAATTGTACCCTGTTGTTATAACCACCCCAGAAGGTGCAATCAGAATGAATTCACCTAACTGTCTCAAAACATAACAAAGGCTTTTTACCTTGCGTTTCCTGTTGCACTACTGCTGTTGTTGTACTACCAGCTTCTTGGTTGAACTGCTGCGATACTGTATGGATAATACAGTTGCCGTTGATTAGCCTACTGCCATTTTCATTACTGCATAAAAATATTTCATTATCTTATTCTTACCAATACTTTCGCGGCTGTGGTGGCTTTCTCTTCCACAAAGGCTTCTTAGGCCAGCACTCAAAGTCGGAGAAACACTATGTGCTTCAATCCCGGTATCCGAACTACTCATTAGTATCAGCCACCACTTTATACCCCATCACGACAATGCGAATGACAATAAACAGAATACTTACTCTTCTTCATCACTAGTAAAAATTGGTGTTGCGAACGCCGCTTGATTTGCTTCTTCAGTCGCCTCGTCTTCGTTCACAGAAGCTTTAATTATGTTTTAGCTTCTATAAATGATTTGCATTGTTAGCAGCTTATGCGTACCTTGGGGGATACCTTCTGGGATACCATCTGGGAGACCTTCAGTCATATTATTTCTGAATTCCGATACTCGTCGATTCTCAGGCACCTCCCTCCGAGTTTCAATGACTTCCCCACCATTTGATTCCGGGAAGATTTCGACAAAAGTGTCTACGTTTTCAAATTCAGGGATCGCAACAGTAGCTCCTGATCTTGCCACAGCTCGGTTCCTGATATTTTCTGGGATTTCCGCTGGTTGTGGTAGCAGGTTCACCATAAACGCATTGATAGTGATTCGTGCATCTTGCATATAACCAACATAGTCCGAAAACGTCTGCACCATTTCCGCTTTGCCCCAGACAAGTATAAGAATCCATTCTGTGTCCATATTCTGTGTAATATTAGCGGTCGCCAACAGAGCCCTTTCACATCTTACCCAACATGGGTAACCGCTATGTTAAGTACATGAGTATAGACAGTTCTTCCTTTATTGCTTTTTGGTATTATAACTTCCCCTTCCACAAAAAATAAAAAAAAAAAATGGGAAATAGCGTCTTTTCAGATTGAACTCACATTGATGGATTATACAGCGTGAAGTGTAGGACATTGCTATCCGTGCTGAGTGGCCTGATGGTTGACGTTTTTACATAGCCATAATGTGATACGATAAACTCGTTCATGACGATAGAATGATTTTAAGTTGGTTATTGGAAGAAAAGAGGTCACTGCATGCGATTAGCCAGCTACGTAACTCACGTTGCTTTAAATTGGAGAAGTAAAAATGATCATCCATTATCCCCCGTTAACCCCTTTGTTTAGGGCGTCCACCATTTGATTTGTTTGTTTGTTTCAGTACGTCAGAAGGAAAGAGATACTGATTGTATCTATATTTTTTGTAACGGTAGCAAGACCATTCAATCTTTGTACGAGGCATAGATATAATAAAAGGGACATAAGAAGTGTCATGTCACCACCGCACACTTATGAGTCATTTGGTACCGAGAGGATGTCATGACCGGTCATGTCACCGCGGCACACTTATAGAGTCAATCAGCGCCGAGAGGATGTCATGACAGGTAATGTTATCACGGCACACAAGAGTCAACTGGTACCGGGAGAATACCATGGCCGGTCATGTCACCACCGCGCTCTCATAATCAATTAATACAAAGGATGTGGTTGCTATTGGGGCCGGTCTAAAATGTGGATGAACTGTGTGTGTTTAAAAAAAACTTTCATAATAAAAGTTGAGTAGCAGGCCGGCTTTTATTTTGGGGGCGGGGAAAGGGGTTCTGTCTTCGCTTCCTATATTTATGTATTTCGTTTTTTTGATTTGGAATGCGCAAAGAATGCCGCTTTGAGACTTTTATGGTTGGAATAGTTTTTGAACTGGTTTTTACGTCTGCCGTCGGTAAACAACTTCCTCCACATGACGCGTCCGAAATGGTTTCTTTTGTATTCGTCAATGAACTGGAAATCTTCCACTTCTGTCCAGTCTTCTTTGTCACTTTCGATGCTTACAGGAGCATCCGTACGGCGATATGGTTCGCGTGGGGGTGACAACGGCGGCGCTTCGTGTAATGGCGATGGTGATGATGACGAAGATATAGGACTGTCTTTTCTAATACAGTATTTAACCCGATGCCGCCTGCTGAATTCAATGAGTATTTCTGCATAGCTAGCGACGGATGAAATTAGACAGTATGTTTACTAAAGTTATAAAATGGAATTTACCTAATTGCATCGTCCAGCTCGTCCGGGAAAATGATCTCTTTTTTTAAGATATCAAGGATTTTGCTGACTTGGTTCTCCGTTTGTTTGCAGATGGTCGAAATAATATCTCGTTTATCGGCTTCGGTCTTGATTTCTTTCTGCATTTTTTCTTTGGCGATTCTGTATAGGAGAATGATGTTTGGGTCGTGCCTGTGCTTCCCCATTCCTAAAAGGCATCTTGTAAAAATGTCAGATACTTTATGTAAAACCCGAATTCAGTATCACATGTACCGTTTCTGTGCCGTAAAAAAGAGTGCAATGGCGGCAAGCGGTGGCAAAAGATTTTTCTCTAGCTGTTTTGCTAGCGATTCTGTGGTTGCGATGAGGAATGGTGTCTTCCAAAAACCAACTTTAAGCGGCCACAAATATGGTCTCTCTTCATCCTCAGTTAAGAGGTCCTTGATTGTGTGAGGGACTGGTCTTCCGACCCCAATGACGAACACGAGCGGCTCTTGGCCATATACTTCGTATACGCTTATAGCGTACTTCATAAGCCGAGTCAAGAAGGAATTGTCAATTCCATGCTGCACTTCAATCAGAATGGGTGGCAATGACTTCTGATACTGACGGAGTGGCACGTATACCACGTCTGATTTGCTTGAATCACTCCACTCGGTCTGACCGAGTTGGTAAAGATTCTCACAGTATGGTTTGCCTAATATTTATTTAAAAAAAACGGTTACACCATAGGTAGATGATATGGTTGGGGTGGCTATAAATTTACCAATTAACTCCTTCGTTATTATGTTCATTATACGTTGGTCTTGTAGTATGAGCTTGCTTATTAGGTCGGAACCGGGTCTGTCCGAAAGTGGCAATGAAAACATGAAAATTTCATTTTCTGTTTAAGTCATTAGTGATGTGAAACCATAGATTATGGGCTACTGTGTACCTTTGTCATAATTAATATCGTTGCTTTGAATAACATTGTCCATGTTGGAAGGCATTAAAAGTTGATACGGGACATAGAGACGGAAACCAAGTTTACATAGGAGGTAAGGATCCTTTTCTTTTTTTTAAAAAAAAAAAAGAAAAAACAACCTTGGGATGCTTATATGTATTCAAAATTAGATGGAAACGATTGGGGCAAGGAAGGATACTGATTGTTTAGTTATTATGTCAGATTGTTTATGCTTGTTGATCATGTAGGTAGAAAGGTAGTTGCTGATCGGCATGATGTGCCTTTTCTGGTTGCAATAGCACGCTTGGTGTACAAAATCAATTGCCTTTTTATAGAACGGTAATATCGGTAATATCGGTAATATCGGTAATATCGGTAATATCGGTAACAGCGGTAACAGCGGTAATAGCGGTAACATCGGTAATAGTGGTAATAGCGGTAACAGCGGTAATATCAATCTCCGCATATGGATTTATGAAAACTGTTTGTGGGATTATGTGAATTATACGGATCGTACTAACTGAGCGTATATTTCGAGGAAATAGGCAACAAGCGATAAACAATAAAGATTTTGAACCCGATTTTATGAGAGTTTTGAATTACACATCATTGCTTTAACTGCGACCTGGCATAGGCATGTTCGTTCAATCATTTGAAGAATGACGGATCTCAGCCTATCGTCAAAGCAAGAAGAAGGGCCGCTTTGAATGACATGCTGCGTTGGCAGAGGATACAAACTCATCGATCTTCTGTGGTAATACTTTTGGGTTGGTGTGAAATGAACGACGCGGAGGTCATGTCACCACCGCACAGTTGTAGTCAATTGGTAACAAGAGGTTGGCATGACCGGCCATGTCACCACCGCACCATCATGATCAATTGATATATATATATAGAGTATCATGACCGGTCATGTACATCCATCCATGTATTGGGCAATCATTATTTAACTAGACAAAAATTTCAAGTTCTTTTTTCTTCGTCTGCGGGTTTCCGTCGATAAAGTGACCGTCAGTACCATCATGATCTGCATTTGTTTACTGTTAAAGTTGGATAGGGGACATTAAAGGCGCATTTCTTTGTTTTCTCTTTCTTCTTTTGGGTTTGCCAGATATAGTCTTCTTGAACCACATCACTTCCACTTTTCAATAAAGGCAATTTGCCGACCGGTCACTAAAAAGAGAAAGTGAAACGAAAGAAAAAGAAGAGAAAAGGAAAAAAAGAAAAGAGAAAAAGGAAAAGGGAGGGAAAAAGAGAGAAAAAACAGCGAGAGCTTAACCGAAGTCATTGCCTTTTACTGCCCAACCTGCCCTTCTCAGCCATCCAAACAACTGCAAAATTTCCCCCCAATTGGGCATATCTGTGTTTGTGTAACGTTACACGAAAATACTGTTTATGGTAATCCAAACCCCGCGCAAACAATGACACCCTGTTACACGAACACGCGCTTTAGGAAGCACCCGGCTCTTGCCTTTTCTGTCGCCCAGAACTGAACCGTTTTCCCTCTCCCACAGTCGGCTGTCCTTGATTGCAACTCCGACTACAACTCCAACCTTTTGTTTTTCTCTGTCGCAACCCAACCGTGAGTTGTCTGCCACAGTGGCTCATCACCATCCTCTCCACAATTCACACAACATCTACCAATGAACGCTGCTGACAGTCGAACTGTCTGTGACGCCAAAGAAAAAATATGTGCACCTTAGGTTAAGCTTGCAACGAGCTGATGAAATGCTCTGTATCATATTCTCACGAAGAAGGAGCGTTCAGGTTGTAAATATATTCTTCAGCGTCATCACCTGTCGTCCGTATACAAAGCACCACCCTTGTCAAAACCGGACTACCGCTAATTACTTGCGGTCATTACGTTGATCGTCGTCATGAGGAATTGTTGTGTTGCCATGATAAGGGCCTATTTTAAATCGAGTTTCAGAGAATCGCAGAAACCCAGTTGGTGAATGTGATACGTGTATTTACAGAAGACAAAATCTATAGTGAAAGTTCGGAAATGACGCGTGATATGATACAGCCTTCATTCGAAATCGGAACATATGCCTGCCTACATATGATTTTCCATTGCCTGGATTAATCTTTATGAGGGATACATTCGACGATAGCATCTTCAGGATCAAATATGAAGAGGAATGACAGTGGTCTTAGTCATATTCATATGATTTGTGATACTAGTAGCAGGTGTTGATGGATGTATATTTCAATGGTCATTTGATTTGAAAGGAATATTCATCGACGAAAAAACTTGTAGCGCTATTACCGCGTTGTGGAAATCGATCGCCAAGTTTGTGTATCTGCCTGTCCTCATGCACATATGCCCTTATTTTCAAGTCCTGAACATCGCACCATCACACTTGATTTTTGCTACTTCAACTTCTGATATTCGCTACTTCACATCTTGATGTCGCTCCCTCACGCTCTGATCTTCACTCCGGCACTCTTTGATTTCTTCATTCATCTGGCCATACCTAATTTTAGTATAATATCCTCATTTTGGGATTCAAATAAATACGGTCAATAACATATTAACACATCTCACCTACCATTCAATCCTTAAAAGTATTGCATTTGTTTTTCATCTTTTTTTTTTCTGATTCGGTTTTTAATTCAGGCGCAACGTGTCTTTTTCTTTCTCCTTTCCTTTCCGTTTCCAAGTAACGATACGCACAATGATATGATACATGTTGACCGTAGTATATTTTGGTGCGCCTACTCAACAAATTCGAGCAAGTTCAACAGCCTTATGATATTCAAAACCGTCAATAATCCTGACAGCAGATAGGATATTTATTGTAAAGTAATATGAAACGGAACAGCAACAAGATAAAAGAATTAAATGAAATGCAGCACACAGCATGAGGCAAGGGTGGATAACTGAAAGGTAACATTAAAAAAAGCGTGAGGACAAGCATAAAGCGTAAGCACATGGAGCAGTATTGCAACCCTAAAGAGCGTGCTTGGACCAATAACGCACATGGTCGCGGATTATGGGGATGATGACGTGTGTATGGGAACCGTCATGACAACTGTACAGTACAGGTTCACTTTTTCTTGGATTATAGAGGCGGATACCGATAGCAACTTCGTCTGCGGATTTACTTTCAGCATGAATTTGATGCTGTGATAGATGGTGGCATATTTTTTTTTTTTTTTTTTTTGAGAAACGATTTGGTGACAGCTGTTTCGCATTGTTTATTTCCTTCATTGCCTGATTTTCAGTTTTTGGTGCGTACTCCCTGGCCATGCTCTTCATCGTATGCCAATTGAGAGAGATGTTTGTCGACATAGTAAAATCTAAAATAAAGCTTCATCAAGTTGCAAGAAATAGGTGAAGGTAAGGTATATGGTTTTCAATGATCAAAAAATTACTGCAGACTTCAATGTAGTAATTACTGCATTTGTTTCTTCTGCCCATTCTGCGAGCAACGCCTTTGTGAGCTGATGTTAACTTGACATTGATCTGGACATTGGTATATAAACTGTTATTTTCTGTTTTTTTTTTTTTTTTTTTTTTTTTTTTTTTTTTTTTTCATTCGTAATAAATGATTCGGATTCTTTATTGCGTCCTCATTCGAATCTGTTGCCATGTCGTCACCGCCATTCTGATAAGATTACCGGTCACTTCTCTCATGCCTTCTGTGTAGGGTTCCTTACCGGGTCGCCGGGTCAGTGACCCGATGTTACAAAAAATTCGATTTTTACTGCAGTCATATTTAGTTTTTCACCTACCGACGCACCGTTTTTCCCTTAATCGACGTACCGTTTTCCATTAAGCGACGTATCGTTTTCCATAGCCGATGTACCATTTTCCATTAGCCGATGTACCGTTCTTCATTAACCGATTCATGATTTTCCATCGACCGATCAACCAAAAACCATAGCTAGAAAATAGTGTAGCTTTAAAATTCCCCTTGTTCACGTCATCGCCCCCACAAATTGTTTTTATTTTTATTTTCCCCTTTCCCGTTTTCTTTTCAATATACTTATCCCATTATCGACATTCCGTGTATGCAATCGCCATGACAGTAACGAAGTAGTTACCTGAAAACCGACCTGCAACATGCGTTACATCGTACTCTGATGTTCTCTTTACCGATTTCTCCATTTGCGATGCATCACACACCGACCCTTTTATTCGCATTGCATCACTCTGCGATGTATCCACCCGTGATGTATCTGGCTGCGATCTTCCTAATTGTGATGTTCTCAACATCGATGAACAAAGCATTGCCTACCTTATATTTCAATCCGAAATAAACCTGTGAATAACATGCCAATACATCTTTTCTATCTTTTCTCTCTCTGTTGAGACTTGTAAGCCGCTCTTATAGCGCACTTTTTCTTTTCCTTTTGATAACACAGGAAACCCCTTGGTGTCATTCTTTTTCTCTGGTTTCTCATTCCAGACAAGACGTTCTGACGACCTGATTTCGTGCTGATATGTATCGACAAACAAATACATCTGGTGTTCACATCTTTTTTAAACCGATCCATTTTTTCCCCTGATTCCCACTCATTTTCCTGACCGGAAAAACACATTACACCGGGTCAGGTCGAGCATTTTTGGAATTGGTAGACAGTTCGGGACAAAGGCTGACCCGAACAAGCGACCTGATAGTGAGTAGGGTTCCTTAACGTGTCGGCGGGTCAGTGACCCCAACCGAACCGAACTGTTTTTTTTTACGGTTCGGGTTGACCTTTCTGACCCACCCATCAGTTCGGGTCAACCGGTGATCCGACCCGGTAACAAGGCATCACAAAAGCCAACAGAAGGCAACAGACGGCATAGAAGGCATAAGAGAAGGGCATAAGAGAAAGTCACAGAAGGCATAGGAAGGCACAGAAGGGGGATATCAGAGAAGGCATAGAAGTGCATAAGAGAAAGCTACAGAAGGCATAGAAGGGGGCAAATGAGAAGCTACAGAAGGGATGAGAGAAGTCACAGAAGGCATAGAAGGGGGGCATGAGAGAGCCACAGAAGGCATGAGAGAAGTCACAGAAGGCATGAGGGAGAAGTCACAGAAGGCATAGAAGGGGGCAAATGAGAAGCTACAGAAGGCATGAGAGAAGCTACAGAAGGCATGAGGGAGAAGTCACAGAAGGCATAGAAGGGGAGGCCACAGAAGGCATAAGAAAAAAAAAAAAAAAAAAAAGAGGCATGCTTTTTTTTAGGGGACCTTATGTGACTTCTCTCATGCCTTCTGGTGACTTCTTTTATGGCCTTCTGTGACTTCTCCCCTCATGCCTTCTGTGACTTCTCTCATGCCTTCTGTAGCTTCTCTTATGCCTTCTGTGACTTCTCTCATGCCTTCTGTGACTTCTCTCATGCCTTCTGTAGCTTCTCTCATGCCTTCTGTAGCTTCTCTCATGCCTTCTGTAGCTTCTCTTATGCCTTCTGTGACTTCTCTCATGCCTTCTGTGACTTCTCCCCTCATGCCTTCTGTAGCTTCTCTTATGCCTTCTGTGACTTCTCTCATGCCTTCTGTGACTTCTCCCCTCATGCCTTCTGTAGCTTCTCTTATGCCTTCTGTGACTTCTCTCATGCCTTCTGTGACTTCTCCCCTCATGCCTTCTGTAGCTTCTCTTATGCCTTCTGTGACTTCTCTCATGCCTTCTGTAGCTTCTCTCATGCCTTCTGTAGCTTCTCTTATGCCTTCTGTGACTTCTCTCATGCCTTCTGTAGCTTCTCTCATGCCTTCTGTAGCTTCTCTTATGCCTTCTGTGACTTCTCTCATGCCTTCTGTGACTTCTCCCCTCATGCCTTCTGTAGCTTCTCTTATGCCACTTCTATGCCTTCTCTGATATCCCCCCTTTTGTGCCTTCCTATGCCTTCTCTCATTGCCCCTTCTATGCCTTCTCTCATGCCCCTTCTCTCACGCCCTTTTATCCCTTCTCTCATGCCCTTCTGTACCTTCTCACTGCAGGATCTTTTTTTCCACAGTAGAACGGAGATGCAATTTCAAATGACCATTAATCACAGCTGAGCTGTGATGAAATAAATGTCCCAGTTTGATGATCGTCTGTCGCCATTTTCCATCACAATTGTGAGTATATCCCGATACTTGTCTATTATTCATGCTAGACTGGGGCAATTTGGTCAGAATTAAGCTTTTGTCCGGTTTCGGTTCCCCGATTTTTTTCTGTTCCGTTGATTGTGTTATCGGTTAAAGATAAAAAAAATGTAAAAGTCTAAGATGTGAACGAGACTGAATCAAATATCATTTATTCAACAATGAACGATAGTGAGTATTTATATGATTCCTAAGTACTCCGCTCTTCAATATGAGTCTCCGATAGAAGTATAATATTTGGATCTGAGGAAGAGATGGCGAATATCCGGATGTATGGAAAGATCAAAAAAAGTATTCCATGTGAGTATGGAGGTCGGACTGGTCTTTGTGTGTAGGATATGGTCATTAATGTAGAACACATCAGCGTTGAACCCCAAGGACATTCAAATTTGACTAATGCTGACAATACCGCTTCGCTCAGTGATATTGAAGCATTTACTGATTTCATCGACGTTTCTGAGAATGACGTTACCAATGAGAAGATCATAACTATGAATGGGTCTTAAAATCTCTTAAAACTGCTGTTTGGCCTGAGAATCTTGAAGAAAGGCTCAATCTGCCTTCTGTCGTCGTACGTGATAACGACAAGGCGCTTCGAGCTGCGATTGCAATCGTTTTTCCTGCAGCACACAATATCCTGCGCTACATCCGCCTTCAGTGAAACTTCGAGATCCAGTTGAGGAAGCAGGTGGCGGGAAAGGATAAAGACAGAAAGGAACTCTTTGCCCTGAGTGCTATCACGGAGAAAGATATGGATGAAGCAGACAGAGAAATGGAGGGCTATTTTTTGAAGGACGGCGTATATCATCCAACAAAAAAACAATGTGAGTCACCTATTGTATCCAAAAATGAGCTTAGATATTGAGTGGCTGTATATGTAGGAAAACGGGTAGCTCTGAGATGATGGAGGTGGTAGACTTGACTTAAAGAAAATCAGGCTATAAAGTACATCGGCCTGTAAGTTTACCGAAAATACGCACTATGTATCAGTATCTTACAAACGCACTTATTTGATAGGAAGAAGAAGCCGAGCATTGGACGGGATTCCATACGTATAAACGCATACATCTGGGAAATCGATCAACAAACCGAGTCGAAGGATCGAATTTATTTCTTAGGCACTCTATCCATTCATCATCAAATACCATCAGTATCGTGACAGACAAAATTTGATATGTGGATGAGCCTATGCATAAGTCACTCAAACGACATTTGTTTTCCGCTAATATCAAATGACAGTGGATTAATTGTCCTTTTAGCAAACCGAGCGACAGCATAATGCTACAATCGAGAGCCTATCATATCGGGCCCTCTACATCAAGCAGTCCGATATCTATCAGAAATTGGGAGGACTGATTCAAAAAGTCCACGCTTTCGCTCTCCATAAGATTTTCAGTGAGCTTGTGAAGATCAAAGCTTTCGCTGGTGCTGTTTTCCCCCAGGAAGCATGCCTTTATGCAGCAGACTACAATATAAGATACCGTACAAGCAGATTTTAGTCCAACACACGATGTAGCTGCCGTTATCTATCATATCAATCAGATGGCGTATCGAATTCAATGAAGAAAAGATGGTAGTGTATCTGCAAGGGAGTCTATATGATAGAATGATATCTCAGTAATATGACTGCTAGTTCCGTGGACAGGGCAAATCTGATTAGCAAGAACCTATGTCTTCCAAAACCGAGAACGTGATTGCCGAAACCAACAATGGTAAGCTTCAATTACCTAATAAGTGATACTATCGTTCAAAATATTAACGGACTGGTACTGTACTCATGGCGATCAGAACCGTGCACTGGAAACCAAAGAGGATATGAGGGATTGTTTCAACGATCACAAAAACGGGAATCTATGAAGGTTTGTATGAGACCAGGTTCTATCCGAATAGTAAAGTAATGGCCAAGGATCAGACATAATCGAAGAGAAAAGGGTCCACAATATTCTGACCCGTTTTCCGCCTGAGAATTGCTGGTTCGAAAGCTTGGACTGTTCCCAGATAGTTGCCATGTCTACAATCGGACTGTTACCGTATACTCTGAAACAGCTGGCAATATGCTATTCCACCCCCTCCGCTCTGAACCACCTAACGCCTTCAAGCCTATCATTCTTTATTTAGAGCAGATCAAGAAAAAGCATTGGTACCTCATTGCTAAAAAAAATACCGCACATTGGACTGGCCATCACTTTCCCCAACCTACACGGGCATAAAAGACAACATTGTCCTATACAAGTAGAGTACAGATAGTACAAATAAGATAAAAGAAAAAAGAAAAAATACAGAATAACAACGTGATAAGGTCGCAAGATGAAGTCAGCCCCGGATCCAGCTCAAAAACCGAGTGTCTGCAGAAAGAATGAATTAGCATGATGTCACGCTAATTAAATTTCGAGTGGAAAACCAACTCCAACTGGAAAACCAAAGAGTGTATGCAGTGTTGGCCCAGCATTTTCGCATGCATGCAGTGCTTAGTGTGGGTTGGCCGCTGCCTTTTATCTCTGCCACCTTTTTTTCCTTTCCTTTGGCCCCATCTTTTTTTTTTTTTTTTTTTTCGTCTTCTTCGAAATACTTCCGCAATGGCCGATACAAGAAAGGTTGTTTATTTGTTGAATCGTTGTTTCCTTGACGACACACACACCAGAAACTATACCGACCCACGAAAACTTCGTGATCATCTGCAAGATGCGCATGACTATCAGTTTCCATTGAAAATTAAATCAACACGACGATATAACAATGACAGATTTTTATATTTGCGGCATCGTGACGATAGTCAACTCACATCCGTAAACTATGCGTGCCCATGCTGTAAAGGCCACTTTAAAGATACAAAAGAACTTGCGAACCACTTCTTGGCATTGCACAAAGTACATCTGCCCGGACGACATCAACAGCAAAACCAACACAACCAAGATACCCTCACAAGCGCCGCTTCTGGTAATGATTCGCATGATGACAGTGAGACTACCAGCTCTACCGACGCTAGCACACAAAAGAGAAAACTCGATGAAACAATCTCGATTGAAGGTATCACGTTTTCTCTTCCGGACAATGATCATTTGATCGTGAACAACACCAACCTTTCCATTCTCTTTCACCAACTGCAACTATCAGTCATTGCGAAATGGAAACATTGCCTGGAGGAACACGTACACTTGGCGCTAGCTTCAACATCTGTTCTTTTGTTGACCCGTAACAATGTTCCCAACGATATATCGGCATTCATTGGGTGTGATGACTGGAATGCAACTGTTGATTTAATCGAAAGCAAGTATGGCATCAAACGGGATCCGATGCCGCTAGATGTCACCAACAGCCTGCTAGCCATCGTCGACGATCTACTGACCAAAAAAATCAACCGGGGACAGGCGAACAATAAGATGGACTCGCTGTCGTTGAAAGTAAATCACCACAAGTTCGCGAGGGCATTGGGGCAACTGATTACGAAACTGCCGAATCAACCCATGGAAGAAGACTTTGGCGAAGCTGAACTTTGTTCACGATTTGTTGAGCCGTTCCTCTCGGGCCTATTTGATGATCCTGATAATGGGGTCTACTTACGTTGGACAAATGAAGCAACTCTGGAAACGAAGTTCATGTTTAAATCAAATGGACGTCCTGATCTTTGCATCACAAAATCCTGCGGAGTTAAATGGGCGACAAACGTCGGATACGGGGAAGCCAAGCCGGCTTCAAAAGACCAGGATAACCACTTAATCTGCTGGGATTTGTTGAAAGTAACCATCTTCTGTAAAGAAGCATTGGACAGTCAACAGATGGAAGGAATCCTCGGTGTCCAAATCATTGGTCGAACGATCAAATTTTACGTCATGACTTTACCGGCCAAGGGGCTATATACGCTGATCGATTTGGCGGTCATTAAGATTCCAGATTCATTGCAAAACTTTCCCGGCTTTGTCACTGAAGTGGCAAATGTTACCAAGGTTCTCGACGTGTTTGATCGAGTGTGTGTCCCTGCTAAAGATGTCGCGACCACCAGGAGTCGCCGTTCGTCAACCCTCTCAATGTCGATGTTTCATCAGCTCTTCACATCAGCAAAGGATAGAAAGAAACCATGTCATTTAAAACTTCGACACAACTGATTTGTGTGCAGAATATGATATGTAACATCAGATGTCAGATATATCTTATTTCATCTGATTTGTAGCAAACTTTAATTATTTTAAAGAAACTGAAAATTTAAAATAAAGTACACCAAATATCCTTTGCTTGTATACGTATTTGTAATTATTATATGTGTATCTGTTTCTTTTTTGTCACGAACGTCCTTGCTTCTTCAGAGCGCTTGCCCATTACAACACTTCTCCAAGTATTTATGAGAATGTCTAATAATTCCTTAAAATCACTTGATTTCAAGCTATCAGGAGCTTCACTAATCCGATCATCAAAGTTTCTTCTTGAGAAATTTCTTGTGCTTCCCTTTGTTCTTGACCACTGATCACAATTGCTCCATCAGGTTGAGCTCAGGAGCATGGGATGTAAATAAGCACAGTGGTAACCACGATATTCTACCTATTTGGCTATATTATCTCATGTGTGGATAGGAGCATTGTTCATCAGGAAGTGATGGCCTTTCATATACGGATACCTGTCATTTCATCCGTCGTAGCTTTTAGAAAGCTGGTATAGTGTTCCGGAACCGTTGTTTCCTCATTTGCACGATGCCATCTTCGCGCTTCCTCTTTTTATTAGATGATGGCTGAGGAAGGCTCCAGTTGGTTAACCCTTCAGTGGAAATCGCGCCCAAAATGGTTGTTGTTGTTGCTCATATTTTGAGAACTGTGATCACTGCTGTTACAACTTTCTTTGACCACGCCATACTATGTTTCAAATTAGTATGCGAAGCAGTTAGAAGACACATATTCTCGTAAAAACCATCAATTTTCCCATTTATAAACCCACTCAAACGCTCTTGAATATTTTCCCCCTATTCCAGTCGATGGGTTAAAGCGGAGATATCTGGAGAGATTAATTGCAATGTTGTTTTACAAAATCACACAAACGAGTTAAACTTCTTCATTACTTCGTCTAGGACGATGGAAGGACTCTCATCAATACACTCGTGAATAGCGGGTTTGTATTCTTCAAGGAGAATACATGGACGGCCAGTCTTTCTGTGTTTCTCAAAGATGCTGTCGGGATTTTTTTTTTTGTATTGTGCAGCCCATTTTTGTGCACACGAATCCCCAAGTTTTGCAGCAGCGGCCGCACTCAAATACCTCTTAAACGTCAACTTGAAGAAGCTCACTTTGTCCTGCTCAGAATAGCGTGTATAATTTCGCTTCACTGAAATTTCCCTCATAATGGCATCACCATTAGGCTTTGCATCTTTTTCTACCTGCATTTCCTATACCCTTCCCATTTTCAAAAAAAGAAAAAGAGAATCCTGAAATTACAAAAATAATATGCACGAAAAATAAAGAAAAAAAAATATGAAACGTTTTTTTTTTTTTTTTCTTTGAGCGTACTGATGTCTCTTTGTGCAATTTAGAGGCGAGCTTGTGATCCCATAATCGCCGAAGGACAAGGACTTGTATTGGACTTCTTTGCCATTCGCCGGTATGCGGATGTGCTAGGAGCGGGTCGGTCCACTGAAAGGTGTGTCGCAATCCCCCCGCAAGTCAACCTGTTGAAGGCGTTCCTGATGTCCGATCTTCTTTGACTCTGGTTTCTTTTTTAGGTAGCATCTATGGAACATGGGTACCATTATGCTAATCAAAAATTACTGACATATTTCTTCTCCATCACGCAATTATAGGAGCACATGCGTAAATTCGCCATTGATGTCACAGACGCAATGAGCAAGTACCTAAAGAGTCCTTTCGCCGTATTCATCAAGAACAGTCACCAGCATACCCGCGGCCCGACACTCCACCTTCAGATATGCAGTCCAGCACGCCCCAATGTGACTCCAGCACCCCTCCACCACAGAAGCGTTTGCAGCCGTACATCATTTTTTCACCGTCTAACAGACACAAGCGCGACGGCAACGGAGATGCCACAAGCGATAACTTTCAGTGGGAGATGTATTCGTGACTTGGCGAGTTAGCCATCTCTTTACTCAATTTGCTTGTTACGTTCGTTATCATTCTCCATTCTCGGTGTATACAAGGCCGCAGAGGGAGATGCTTCAACATTTTTCTCGCACTTTTTGTCATGCAGTCTTGTCCCTGGTGCAATACTGAGTCCTCGAGTTTGCCCAGCTTACAGGGTCATACCCGGAGCAAGCAGAGGATCAACAAGAATCCACTGTCTTTGTCGTCAGCATCAGACGATGTATCGACCTCGCCATCGAAGGAAATTTCGCCATGGTAAGTCGCTGTGCCTTTTCTTTCTTTCTTTCTTTTTTTCGAGCAATGGTGTTATTTTGTTACTTTACTAACTTTGTGGATCAGTGCTTCGTAGGAGAATGGGTCATCTGCACATGGCTGCCAGTTTAGACGCCATAGAAAACAGACGGAGACAGCGTCATCAGTTGCATCCAAAATTCATGGTATATCTTTTTTCCTACCTCACCAAAGAAATGATTCCTGAATTTTTTTATATCAGCAAAGCAACAAAATGCCTTCGGACTACCGAATTCCAGGAGCTCACTGAAACAGAAACCTGCACCTTCAACAAAGATTGGCTTTTGATCAAAATCTTCCATATTACTGTTCAAACCTCTTTGCTGGCGCAGTCTTGGTGGATAGATCGACTTCCATTCCTGATTAACACAGTTGAGCCATACGGACGGGATACGACGCTCGATGCCCATTATGGACAGCCTTCCTGGATACCCATCTTCTTACCCCACAGAGAAGTCACGATGTGGGTATCTCACAATTATGGAAGTTCCCTCCAAAGATAGTGGGTACAAGCTGGTGATAGGATCCCGCAGCTGCAACCTGCTGGTGACTTCCAGCATGCGTTTGGACATTGTCTCGGTCAATCTGGGACCTACCACAAGCCACTTTGTACGACAACAAATACGAGGGTCATCTTAGACAAATCTTCCGTCAGCAGAAACGGCTCTCAGTAACGAAGCGAACCCTTGTGGATAAGGCATCCCTGTGCTGTACAGCTGAAGCACATACGATCCAAGTTCCATCATTTATCAACATACAGAATATGTCGTTCAGCATCCTCATTATGCTCCTTCGTCGATCGACAGCCATCCTCAATTTGGACACCTCGGGAAGATTCGTATCAGACGGTGCAATCGATGGACAAAATGGTATCGTCTTTATTCTCGGTGATAGCCATCAAAGTTATCGAACATAAGCAAGAGGCAGCCTTGAAATGGGTGGTATTCAAGATATCATTACGCCAATGAAACCTTGCAACACCAAATAGATACTGGATGCCATCAGTGATATTTGTTAAGGCACCGATACCAATTATTGACAATAAAGATCTCAATTCTCTCTTGACAGATTTGGCTGGACTAGTTCATCTTCCATCAAGCGAAGCAATGAAAAAAAGTTTGGATGGCTTAGATTCAGCATATGATTGAATACTGTAAATTATTGCAGCGCATATAAATCCAGAAAATAGAGAAGGAGGAAAGTTCTGTTCTTTGGCTAATCGATTTTCGATGTTCTGAAGGAAGCCAATGTAGAGACTGATCCAGTAAGTACCTATTTTGAATGCTCATGGTTGATTACGCTCGAATGCCGCCCTCAGGTCTTCACGTCCGATCTTCTAATGCAATCATCCAGAGATACAGTTTTTATGATAGCAACTCTTTTCACTAGCCATTCCGGCTGAGGTGTTGCAAATCAATATGAAAATATGGTCATTCCCCCACGCCATTTACCGCAGTGAAATAGATCACTATAACTACGCATGTTGTCAACAAGGAAGAGAACTGATCCTGCCAAAGCTGGATTCATGTCACATCTTTCGTGTTTGTAGAAAGCCAATACCATATATCTTGTCATCAAGTTCAGTGTGAAGTTGGCTGTTCAAAATTAGGAGCCCATCCAGGCTCTGCAGGGCTTTGATGTCGTCCCGAACAAACACGCCGCTCTGGATTGTCATGTCCGAATTGGCACAGTCATATCTAAAAAGGTCGAGTCATTACAGCAATTGCTACAGAAATCAAAAGGTCAAAAGAGATCAGTAAGCCAGGATTTATATCGTAGTAATCAACCAATAGAAGATACATTATTCGATGTTCAAAGTCGCTTTTATGTGTGTATTGCATGGTGACCAGGAGCAGCCCATCATATGAGCGTCAGCTATAGGAAAAGAAGCATTGATATGGTGGAGCAAAAGAGATTTCAGAAAGAAAAGGCAGATCCTGGTGCAATTTGGTGCACGCCAGTTATGCTTGTTTTGCTTGTCAGGTGAAGAAGGAAAGCTCATAAAGAATCTTTTTAACGGCAGCCCACATGGATCTGTCATTGTCACACAGGATCATTTCCATTAAACTCAGGAACATGTTCTCACAAATCTTTTCCGCCGTCAAGACGCATCATAATTCTGGTGAAAGCCAACGTTACAGCAATTTTCATTGGATCTTTGGATCTTTTGGTTTTTTGATGAATTTATGCAAATACAATTGAGGATGCTTCAAGGTTTATTTGGTTGTTAAAATATGCAAATGTGACATCTATTTACCATTCAATATGCTCGGGGTCTTCTTCATCATCATCACTGCTATCTTCATCCGATGATAACGAGACGGTGTTGTCTGCGCTGGATTTGTTCACAACTAAAGCCAAAAAAAAATCAGTATGCAAGCGCAATTTTTTTGTATAATAAAGATCTTACCTTGTGATTTCTGACTTGCTTCCGCAAAATACGCGTCTAAAGTGGGCAAACTTTGCGAAGCCGATTCCAAAATCGTGATGTTATCGGCAGTAGGAGCATTTTGTTGTGGGATAGCTTCCGGTGTCGATGTATCAATTTCCATGGATTCTTCACTAGCTTTCTTGCTGATACGAAGGTCCATTAGAGAAGCCATGAAGCTCTCAAAAGTGACATCAAGGTTCGGCAATACGTGGCTCGGGGCATCCAAAATAGATTCGGTTGTGTCCTCCGTCTCATCTTCGTCAACAGCTTGCATCGATTGGTCTCGGGCGGCCGTCTGATTATCAATAAGTTCATTCTTTCGTGCCTGATCCTCCCGCTCTTGACGTCTCGCACCAAACATATCGTTGAACACTGATTTGTCGGCCTCCGCTGCCTCAGATACGGAACTAACTGCATGATGAATTTCCGATACGACCTTGGCATCCCTGGGTACGACTGAGAGAATAACGAAATCATGATTTTGATTGAAGTAAATCAGTTCGCCGGTTTTTGCCGATGAGGTGTCCGCCGATCGTTTTGGTGCCCAGGCCAAACCTAAGCACTCATCATCCATGGTGTGGATCAAAAGGGGGACAGGCGATGCCGAATCAAAAACGACAATATAGGAGTTGCCACGTTTATGACTGCCGCAAACAACGGCCAGCTGAGTGGAATATGGGTCGACCGAGATTCGCTGAACTTGCATCCGATAACTCCACCATACTACAAGTGACCATTGTAAAACATCAGTACCCATATTCAACTATCCATAAGCCACAGAGCATCACTGTACCTGAACAAGTCAGCATATTCCACACAGAAAGATGATCATCGGAAACGGATACAAGGTAAGGACTATCGGCAGAAAAGTGCAAGTTATGAATGGTTTCGTTGGTTGGAGGAACCAGGACTCCTTGGATGATGTTTTGATAAGGATCCCATAATGTAATGATGTTTTCAAAAGCCACAGCTAGAATACTGCCGTCGTGTGAGAACGCCGCTACTCGAGGGGAGTAGTTTCGGTAAACGCCATTGGATCGGCATATCCATGTAGGTTGAAGGTCCGTACGAGCCGCATTCGAGAACAAATACCAGACTCTGAACGACTTGTCCAACGAAGTAGTCACGGCCATAGGAGCATGGGATGAGCTTCCTGGATTGAAGGTGATTGACGTGATACGATCTGTATGTGGATGGTCGACGCGTGTATGCAAAATATAGCTCTGGGTATTCGGATCCAACTTCCAGAATTTGAGATAGCGTTCCGGAGTCGTATCTGCATCATCTCGTATATCGACTGTAGCCATCCATTCGCCGGTCGATGAAAAAGCCAGATGCTCCACTTCGGGTCGCACGATTTCCGAGTTACCAACACGGCTCACTTGATTCATTGGCACAACTTGCATATCCATAACGTGTCGATCTGCGTACGTATCGTAAGCTTGTATGTTACCAGGAACACCATTCATGACAATGTGATGATTGCGAGGCTCTACAACAAGCCCGGTTTTGGGGCCCTTCGAAGCCTCATCCAAAGCTCGGTATTGAACACCTTGAATGACTTGCTCGATTTGTTGCGAGATCGAATTAACCAGTCGAATGGAATTATCACCCAAAGCAAGACAATAGTATTTGTGATCGGGGGAAATAGAAATCGACTGGATCGCGCCGCCCATGCGGGGTAAGAACTGCTTGTGAGTGGTCTCCAGCTGCCATAATACCAACACAGCTTCTTCACCACCAGACATCAAATAAGCGCCGTCCCCCATAAAGGTAAGCGCGCCCACAGCCGTTGAATGCCAGTGAAGAATCGTGGTAATTGGATACTTCGCAGTGTCAGGTGTAAAACAGAAGAATAGAGTGATTCTTCCCAGACTATCACCAACGGCCAAGCATGATTTTGTAGGATTGAATGCGAGTCTGGTCACGGGTTCGGCAACGTTGTAGCGACGAATTTGCGAATATGCAACCTCTTCTTCATCGTCATTGATTTCCCATACACACACTTGATATCCGCCACCTACAGCCAAATGCTGCCCATCCTTCGAAATCGCCAAATCGCTGCAAGACTTCAAACCCAGAATCTGGCGCATCCGATTCTTCGCAGAAGCGCTTGATGAAAGATCGAATCGAAAGACAACGAATTTAATATGATAGCTCGCTACAACAAAAAAGAATTAGGTTGAGGTTAAGTAGCTAGCATATAATACAACAGAACATACCTATGATACGGTCGTTCTTGACGACAATAAAGGCATGATCGGGATTACTTGGCGAGATCACCATTTGGTGAACTTCATGTTCCACATGAAGAGTCTGCGAATGAGGAATGAGGAATGAGAAAACCAGTGCATAAATGCAAATCATTATGCTTACCTTGAGTAGTACTTCATCGCTGAAATCCCAAAGTTTGATTGTGCCGTCTAAACTGCAAGAGTATAACTGCAGAGGATTTTTTGGATTCAACATAATCCCGGTAATTTGGCGGCTGTGACCTCCAAGTGCAGGTGATTTAGAAAGAACCTTCACAATGGCACCCGTTGCAACGCTGAAGACTTTGATACAAGATCCAACACAGGAGAAGAAATATCTATGACAAATCAGATCAGTGATTGCAAAGCCAAGATCTGGCATAAACACAAACTCACTTTGAGTCTTTCGTGAATACGATGGGATATTCACTGATTTTGCCGCCAGCAACCTGATCGAGGGATAATTTCGACTTTGGTGTATTAACGTCATCGTTTTCCTTCGTATTGTCAGCCACGGCCTTGACAGCGGCTTTCTGTTTTTTCGATGACACTGGTGTTTTCGACGTAATGGAGACCATGGCCATGCAAGTAAGGGCGAAGCTAAGATTCGTGGGTAATCTCGACAAAGAACGATCGCAGCAATGGAAGCTACAATAGGGTTGGAGAATAGACTGTGTCGAGAGAGAAACACAGAAAGTTGATCAACGATGTCCGAGAAGTAAGGGCAACGCTTACGGCTTCTTTAATGGATCTGCTTCCGAAAGAAAAAAAAAATAATTTTTTTAAGCAATTCGAGCAGCCCATAAACAGTCACGGAATTGACAGCTTGGATATAGCAGGCAACTCGATCCTATAATTCGGGTGGTGACGAGCTGTTTCCTATTTAAATAAAGAGTATATTCTCAAATATGTATATTACATTATATACTCATCCATTAAAAATTGATGTAAATATTGATTACGTAGCGAGCTGTGTATGATCGTGCATCATAGACAAAAGTGATCTCAAACAGTTTCGCTCTCCGAACACATTTGATGTGGGGTGGCAGCTTGGCGAGTAACAGCTTAGGCACATGTAAGATTTTATTGCGGCTTACCGGCCGCGGATGGATGCATAGTATTGCACGGACTGTCACACACAATGCCAGCGAGATGTCAACACCGCAACATTCATCTCATCGCAGCTGCTTCAGCGGACGGTGAGGAATGTCCAGCGCTTTATACTCGCTCAACTTTCACAGCTTCTTAGCTTTATCAGATGCCAACACAAGAGACTCAGTTATTTATATGGCAATATAGCAGAGTCTCCCTTTCTTTTTTGGTCACTGCAAATGGAAGCATTTACCGTTGACCCGGAAAAGCGTATCATACCAGCGTCATTATTGAATTAGGGTATTTCGCATTCACATGCAGCTGTAATTAAATCACAGTGTCCAAATTCAGCATGATAGCGATGACCAAAATTCAATGTCACCTCGAGGTGGATAAAATTTATGAGCACCGTTACTGCGTTGACAGCAACCTTTTTTGCTTGAACACTGTCGCCATGGAAGTCGTTCAAGTTCAACCACGCGATTCTTACCTACACTATGTGTACGTTCCTTCAAGGAATACTTGTATACGCTGGTCTTTCACGACCAAAAACAAGAACATCGGTTTCGGGCTGTACCGTCGCAAAGGGACATCGTTACCTTCATCGTCCAATATAATTTTTCGAGCTCATCAGCCAGTAGAACAGCGCCAACTAACTGCACCACCGAGAGATCTATATAATGCTGAACAGGGTAAATACAAAAATGCCGGCCAAGGATTTCCACGTTGAGACAGATGTAGATCGTCAATGATGACTAACGATTAATCTAGATGATGCTGAAAACAGCTGCGCTGATGATTTACCTGCTTGTAATGAATCTCTATACAGCAATAACAATGCTGCATATAATCGTCCTCGGGCAAAATCGGTCGCATCGATCCAGCTGAAAGAGCAGGGGCTCGACGAGATTCTTCCAATTTATCGCACCAATTCAAGTAACACCAAAATCGAGGGCTCTTATACAGTTGATGAACCCGGCAATTACGTACTCGTCTTTGGTAAGAACCTACACATTGTTCACAAAGGAGTTTTGTGCAGCTAACAATTGGACATTTAGATAATACCTTTTCACGAAATACGCCAAAGATGCTTACCTTTTCCGTTGCACTGGCAGATGCACAGACCACCATTGACGCTGAACCTAAAAGTGGGGTTTCTGGATGGCTTTTGAAAAAGAAACGGAAGCGAATGCAAGGTAATTCATCGGAAATACGATATGCGCCATTATAAAGCATTAATGGGTCTCATGATTTTTTTTAAAAGGCTGGGCGAAGCGATGGTTTCAGCTGTCCTCATCAGGGTTGTTATCTTATGCAACTTCTCCTGGTAATGTGATTCGTGGATCTATCCAAATTATGGTGTCTACCATTTCCGTCAATCCAAAGCAACGCTCTATCCACATCGACTCCGGTACCGTCGTTTATCATCTGAAAGCGCTCACTGTTGAAGACCATGAGAAATGGACCGAGGCTTTGCGCGCTTATCGATCTTATGCTCGAGAAGAAGAGGACTTGGATACGACAGCTGCACACCAGGAAGACCATGCAGATATTCATCATGTGAATGGCACGCATGAACACAGCGAGAGCGCGCAACTAGAGATCGAGCGGGGCATCGAAGAAGTAAAACGTTTGATACATCTTGCGGCAAACATGAGAAGGAAAGCCGATACATTTTTCGGTCAATTAGATGGAGACGAAAGCTTGGCAGCGTCAATAGCTGATTATAGACAAGATCAAGAGACACTGAGACAGCTCGCTGATCAACAGTATACGCAGTGGAACCGAGCAAAAGAAGCGATCAGCAGCACTCCATTGACGAACCCCCGAGTCAACCGGTTGAGCCACCAGCAGCAACCATCGCCTAGATCTCACAGCATCCAATTAAGTCGAAGCGATAGTGCTCGTTCATGCGCCTCCACCTATTCAGATCAGTTCTTTGATGCTGAGGATATCATTATCAATGGTGACGAAGAAGAAGATGAAGACGATAGTGATTTGGTCGTTGACAACGATAGCGATGATGAAGGTAATTAAAAATTATCTAACGTGAGAAGTGATGCTAACGTTTACTATAGAAAGCAACGAAAGCAACGAAATCAGCGACGAAGGACGTGATTCTGCGTTGGATTTGACAAGTCTCAGTGATTGCCATCGCCGATCTACTTTGCCTTCTGTTGCCGTTGGAGATATCGGCTCAGCTTTATCCGTGTTTCGAAAGAATGTTGGCAAGGATCTCTCGACTATCTCCATGCCAATCAATATGAATGAACCGCTGAACTTGCTGCAAAAGGCTTGCGAAGATCTAGAATACTCGGAACTTCTGGATAAAGCTTCCACGTTAAGCAACTCTATGGACCGATTGGTTCATGTAGCCGTTTTTGCTGTATCCAGTTACGCATCCTCTCAATACCGAACAGGGCGAAAGGTAAAGACCGGTTTACGTGAAAGCCATACTGCGTTACACGAAAATGTACTCATAATGATGTAGCCTTTCAATCCCATGATGAGTGAAACTTACGAGTGCATTCGTCCCGACAAAGGATTCCGATACATCGCCGAAAAAGTATCTCACAATCCTCTCATCATTGCAGCTCATGCCGAATCGAAAAATTACAAATTCTGGCAATGCACCAAAGTGAAGAGTAAATTCTGGGGCAAATCTATGGAATTCATGACGGAAGGCAATTTTCATGTTCAGCTGACGGGACACGATGATCATTTCACATATTCCAAACCCTCCAGTTGGATGCGCAATATGATTGCCGGGGAGAAATACTTGGAGCATGCTGGAGAACTGTGTATTCGGAACCATAACACCAATGAATATGCCATCATCACTTTCAAGGAAGGAACGGGCGGAGGTTTGTTTGGAACACCTACCAAACGTAATGAAGTAATCGCCACATTTTACGACGCCTCGGATAAGAAATGCCGAAGAGTGGTTGGAAAATGGAGCGATAAACTCGCGGAAGAAGTGGACATGAACAAGCGACAACTCTCCGTTTTGTGGACGGCCAACCCTCCTGGCATTGAAGACTATGCCAAGTATTATGGCTTTACAAAATTCTGTATAGAATTGAATGAAATTACTTCCATTGAACAAGGAAAACTGCCAAAGACGGACACCCGGTTGCGTCCTGATCAACGCATGTACGAAGAAGGTATGTCATTTATTTCTTTCCGTGAAGCGATCGATGCCTATCCTAAGATATTCTGGATTAGGTCTGGTGGATGAAGCAGATGCAGAGAAGCAACGCATTGAGCAGAAACAACGTGATCGACGTAAGGAATTAGAGCAACAAGGCGTTCCATGGGAGCCACGCTGGTTTGTGTTGCAGGATGACGCCTTTGCTGAGCCTGGATTCATTCCCTCAAGTAATGAAAGCCAATCATGGCAGTACAACGGTCAATATTGGCAATCGCGTGAAGCTCAACAATGGCCAAGCGATTTATTAGATCTTTGGTGATAGAGCTTAAACTTTTACATATACCATCTTTTGTATCCATTTTTTTTTTTCGGTTAAGTTATGCAAGTTTTATGGACAAACACTGTTCTTATTTTATTTATTACAAATTTGAAAGCGTACAATATTCGATGCGTATCACATAGTTTTCCAAACAAATGTTGTTAGCGCATAAAATTACTTGCAAATGGACAATTTGCAGGCAAGAATTGCTTACTTATAGAGCAACCAGCGTTCCCTCTACTGTATGTACGTACTGTAGTTACAATGCCGCAACAAGGACCATGACAGCAACGATCATCACGACAGTGATCATCACGGCAATGGTTCCGATTCCAGTTACCTTAGTTTATGTTACCGCTTTGCTTCTTGCAAGCCTGAATATAATCCATCATATCCTCGGAAAGGATACCACAACGGAACTTTTATGCTTGCACGATCAATCCAATCGTCTCAAGTATGCAATAGCGAATAACTTGGCTATGAACTTCATTTATCGCAAGCGGAAAAAAAGGAGAGCATTACAGTGATATATTTACATAATAAGAAAACCTACAGCAGTTGAACTATGCATTTACGACGAAACTTTAGCTCAATAATTCTACAGAAAAGAAGAAAAGAGAGATATCGTGTTAATGAATTAATTGACTTGCAATGTTAATGAAAAACTCACATCAAATCGATCAGGCATGAGAACTGGTGCCAGAAGCGACCATCCGTAAATAAGATGGCAAATCCAGCCAGAAACAATCTTGACCCAAACCGCAGTATAACTTTGACCGATTCGAACAAAATCTCCGTCTTCATGCGTAGGAGCCGAAACATCATCTCTGGTGATTGTATTCCTATAATATCACGGTAAGAATCGCTTCCAGCTTAAATGTACATTAAGTTTTACAAAGTTGACTCACCAGTTAGTCAAAACCATGGCGACATACATGGCAGCAATAGCAAACACAAAATGGAAGAACGAATAGCTGTACACAGAGCCATATCGTTCATCGTCCATTTCGTCTACATCATCGTCATCGTCATGGTCCTCGTATAAGACAGAACGTGGCAAAGCACCAGCCTCCACGGCAGCAACTAAATGGTCGCGCGCACTGCCTGTCGCATCCATTCTTTGAGCACCGGCTTCCACTTGATTTGGCATAAGCGGAACAGCGGATGCGGTCTGCAGAGGCTCGTAATTATTGAGGTTGGGCCGGCCTTTGTTGATGAAGGCACTGTCTTGGGTGGCAGCACGGCTGGTAGAATACGCAACTGCTAAAAATGTAAAAATAGCGCCAAGAACAATGGATGTCGTCTGAGGTCCATGCGATCGTCTCAAAGGATTACACTGCTTATCGTTGGGTTCGTTAGCAACAGCCGACAGTACGAGGTAGGTACAATAAATGACAACGATGGATGCCTGGGAGAGGCCAGAGCGTGAATTGGCTTCCTGAATTTGAGGCGTCACGCACATGAGCGTCACCACGATACACAAGATCAAATTCAATGTCACGAAGAATTGATTCAGCGAACAGCCATTCGTTGCGAAAAAACCGTACATCAGTCCAGTGAGTGTGATTGCTCCACCATACATCAACAGAGACCCCCCTAAACCAAACGCTTAGCATATATATAAAAATAGATACTTTTGTGAAAAGATTGGTCCTTACCAATGAGAATGTATTTCCATTTGTTATTGTCATTCATTTCGTAATTTTCCATGCATCTCTCCGTCCAGCTGTGAGCAAAATCCACCAGCAAAACAAGTCCAAATAGAATGAAAATCGCAGCACCAATTAATGCAAAATAGTTGCCCCACACCATGAAGAATCCACTGGGGATGAAGAACGACAGTACCAGAAGAGCTATCCAGGCCAATATTTTCGGACCCCACCATCTAGCGTTGCCAGTCTATTAGTATCCTAGTTGTCTTGCATAGATCAAATCTATTTACCCATTCTGAACGGCAGCTCTCTTCTGCCGGCTATCGTGCACGCCTATTAATAAGATGCCGAGTATCGCGTGGAACAGTACAAGGGAAAAGCAAACTCGATGAACCTGTAACACCAATAAGTACTGTGAATGACTCCATTGCGTGGTTGAATGGCTTACCGCAATGATACCATAGCATGTTCCCTCAGAGCATTCCAATTTCATGTAATCAAGCGTCAAGTGTTGTAGTTGTTTGATTGCCCAGTTCGATAGCATAAGCCAAGCAAGCTGTGTGGAGAACAATAGGTTAAAGCTAGCTGGGTATAAAGATTTTTTCACCGTAGATACTCACAATAGAATTCATAAGGAAAATAATCTAAAAGTCATGTTAGTTTCTAATCAGTTGATATCCTCCCTTCGTCACTTACAGCGTAGCCTATTCTGGTGGCAATGGAGTTATTGCAGTTGCAACTATAAAGAAGCCGAGACAAATGAATGCCAATTAAACACTTTGACTATGTATGCTCCGTTACCTTCTGAATGCGAGACTACATGCAGCAGCAGAAAAGCAACTGGCTATCCAGCCACCCACTGTGCCTAAAGCTGGTAGCGCAACACAACTTAGTGCAGCTCCCATAATAACTTAGATATTTTCGAAATAGAAGTTGGTGCGTGTGTGGTTGCAGGCTTCCGGAATTGACTTAAAATCCAGGTATAAACTCCGAAGGACAAAATTCTCCAATAAGAAAGCTGGCAATGTTTTCGAAATCAAAGCACTTTTTTTTTGGCAATGCGGGATTAACGGCTGCCCAATCAAATCAGTTTCCACATAAACCCGTCAAAGATAAATTCATGAATAGCAACGCAGCTGCTATAGTAAACTTAAACCGTTGAATAAAAAACTGATGAAGTGAGAACCCGCACTATTAAGCATCCACACCGTTTTCGGAATTTCCCTTTATGTACAAAATATTTTTTCGATTCTATTTTTTTAATAGAGGTTTGCTTTGTGGATTGCTTTGTGGATTATCCCATGGCAAAGGTCCATCGAATACGCTATTAGTAGAGGGGCAGTAACTAATAAGTTGTGAAAGGGCAGGGCAACTGTCTCTATACATGTGCCGTCGTCTAAAAGGGTTGCGGTCGATCTTCTTTTGCAGTAACGATCCTTTGCAACCATAGAAATCGTTCTCAAAAGGCTTGAAAGAGTTGTTTGTCTCGGATTCATAGGTTATAGTATCCATGTCAGAAATTTCGGGATCAATGCCTATATATTCGAATCGAGCTCGAGGGTAGCGTAATGCGCTGCGATGTAGTTCTTCGAACCGTTTTCGTTTGAATTCGAAACCAACTACGGTAACTTGCAGAGGATACTGATCCGTCATTTCCGCAAAGCGACATAGCGAGAATAGCAGATTTTCGTACGAGTCGCGAGCATACTCTTCAGTGACAGATCTACTAAGGATGGTATCGTAATCCGGATCTCCAGCAAGCAAGAGCTGTGCGATTTGCCAGTAGGACGACCCTTCGGAACGAGGACCAGCATGGACTCGTGTTTGCCCTCTATGATAGCGTTATCATGACTATATTCTTCTTTTATATTGACTCCGGTAACTCACCCTGAAAATATAAGTAACGCATTTGGGTCGTTCCTTGCCAATTCTATTCCTTTTTCGATATGGTTAAGGAACGTCGTTACTTGGCCTTGCTGGAATGACTCAAGAACCCAATAAGACTCGTTTTCTAGATCTTCGGCATTCGAACCAGTAAATATTGAATGGCCAGGTATAACAATAGCGTGCGTGGCCAGGTGAGATGGTGGTGGTAACGATTCGTCAATATGGGACGCTATGCATGAGGATGGCTGTCTTCGGTGCGATTTTGCTACATTATACGCAAGACTCAGGAGGAGAAGTACGATCAAGATAACTGATGGGGCTTGACGCTTGATTGGGATTCGGCGGTAGAATGATGATCTTTGAGGGAGTGGAGTCGTAAAGGAGGCCGTATCTATGTGGAGCGGCAATATACTCTTCCTTGCTTTGTATGACATGGCATAGCGAGGAAGAACAGCCAAAGGTTCAGTGATTAAAAGTGACCAACAGCATCCAAGTTTGCGCTCAGCGTTCAAGGACATTTGTGCTGACTTTGAACTAACCTATCCGTAAGCCACGAATTCTTGCCGGGTTGGCTCCAAATTGGGAAAGTCGCGAAAGGATTTTGGCACGCATGTGCAACAGATCGCTTTACTCCAAGATCAGACTAATTCTATCTATGAAATTCATGCATGGTCATTTATTGTATCGAATAAATTGGTAGACGAGAAATAAAATTATGACTGGAGTTCCCTTCAAGACTACGTTATGTATTCTAGCGATTACCGTAAAGCGATCTCGACATATCAGCACTGTCCGACTGTTGTTAAGCAGTTCAAAGATACTTTCACATGGTAAACAAAAAGCAAAATCCTGATCTGTGTGAATAAACAGGGGTATCCACTGAATAAGGGAAAATTGTTTTTGAACGATGGATGTTCCATGATCAATCAGACTCCAGTGCACCTATTGAAACAGGTGTCGCGATTTCCCGATTTTATTTTATACGATATTTTAAACCAGCAAACAACCCACTGAATTCATTACACACTGTGATTACATTATGTGGTTTAGTTGATGTTTTTCCTTTTGCGAGAAAAAAAGTTCATGCGCGCCGTCGTTATTTCAGGTTTTGTGAAATGTGAGAAAATAGAATGTGCAATTCGGCGTGCCTTACGATGTACTAAACATCTTTAATGATTTTAAAAATATCAGGACTTGTATCTGTATTAGCTTGTGAGTTGTTAACGGATGAGATACCTGACGTAATTATCGGTGTCAGATGAAGTGGGAAACCTTGTTGGTCAATCAGACAATTATTCGAGATATTAGTAGGATCAGGATGAGAGTACAGTATGTGGATAGAATATTAAACCATTAGACAATCTGAAAGCTGACTATCTAATCCTAGTAACTTTTTTCCGTCCATAAACCAGATAGCCCATAACTTTCGAAATCCTTATGCATTGCTGAATGTCATTTAATGCCAAATAAGAAGTAAGAACTGAGATCACTACATTCATGAGCAGTCTGCTCGCAAGAGAGAAAAAAGTCAGACTTGCGCTGCGTTGATTCAATATGGTATATGCAACTTGAGTTTTTGACGATCTTTTATTCCACATTATGCTACAAATACATTTAAGCACGCTGGCGAACAACAAGCTCCAAGAACTAAATACACACAATGTCAGCGACCATGAAATTTTGTCATTTTGTTAGGTTCAAATACCTGTTCGTAATTAATCTGAATCCAGCCATCACGATCGGTGTCAAAGCTTTGGAAGGAATCGGTCAAAGTCTTTACCGTGACACATGCCTGCACAAAGTTATCGAATGTAACAGTGCCACGACCTGTTTTTACAGTACCTAGTATTAATATCAGATGTTCTAGTCGGCTCTTTTTACGCATTTAAATATGGGTTCTTACCGTATCGATCGAACTTTTGAATCAACAGCTTGAGAAATTTATCTGAAACGTTGTAACCAAATGTGCGGAACGCATTTCCCAATTCCGCCTGATCGATCGAACCGGAGCCATCCGCATCGAAAGCTTGGAAGCATCGTTTCCAATCCTCAATGTACTTCCATAATCCCGCAAACTCGTTGAAATTGATGGTTCCCGTGTTATCTGTCGGGATACAGATTAAAAATGGTAATTATTTCGTCAGCCATTCCATGAAACTTACCAGTATCAAACATATTGACCATTGTACGCACAGTTTCGATATTGAAGGGACTCCAGTCGCCGTTGATGAGAGCACGTTGCAACTCATCCACAGTCAGTTGGCCGGACCTGTCAGTGTCTACGGCCTTGAACCATTCCAATAGCTGAGGATTCACATCAGGGCGGGCACCTACCAATACATAAAAAATTTAACACGGAGACTTCGTTGATATCGTTAGAGTTTTACCATAATTCTGTTGACCGGCCCCGTACTGCTGTTGCTGCTGATGTTGTCCCGCGTACTGGGCGGAATTGCCATAAGCACCGGCATTTTGTTGCGGGTTTTGATGATGGGTTGCTGGAGTGCCCATGTAATTAGGAGGAGGTGCCTGGTAGCCACCTTGCGGAGCACCGTAAGCTTGATTAGGTTGGTATGACATGAGTTGTTGGAAAAATACGGAAAAAGAAGCACTGAGAAAGTGAAACTACTGAGATTTAACAAAAAGAAAGCAACCAAAGACAGCTGACCAATACAACACGGTCAAATAATTCTATTGGGTGGGACAGGGTTACATCTTGGCATTGATGCGCCACTCTCCGTTCAAAGCCCACGACTTTATCAATTGATGAGCAATGGCTGTGTCTGGAGGAAAGAAAACAGAGTCGGATTTCGACTCGAGGCCGGCCAAAACTTCAGCACGCGAAAAACCAAATAGCACTTTCAAGCTCTTTATCCTTTAGATTCACTTCCACAGTTTTCGCACGTGCAATAAAACCCAGCATTAGAGAGTTCGGGAACGGCTGATGTCAACAAGATATCAGAAAATGTCTCGAAATGGAACTTTGGTTATCCAAGACACTTACCCAAGGTTGACTGCTGTGGTAGTTCACTTGATCCACTATGATACCGGTCTCCTCAAAAGCTTCGCGTCGCACTGCTTCTTCAACAGATTCTCCTGCTTCAACAAAGCCTTACGCACGCTATTAATATATATTACTCAGCCCTCGGTGTTACGCAATTTTTTTTTTTACCTGCAATGCATGAGTACATTTTTCCAGGCCACTTATTTTGGCGTCCAAGCAGGATCTTGTCTTCATTTGGATGAACAATACATACGATGACCACAGGGTCTAAAGAGATGGAAGGTCGGATTATAACATCCAGCACCATAAGCATAAGCTCGCCGTACCTGTCCTCGGGTATGAGAAATTGGACACTCCCTTTGTGCTAATGCATCGCTCATGCTTTGTATCGTTCTCGGATCGAGGTGGGCAATAGCGTTTATGACCGCCTTCCTCAGAGATTGTCTCCTGGCCGCAAGCTGGGCAGAACGTATTACGTGCATTCCAGTCAACTAAACCAAATCGATCAGCGGGACGAGGAATATAGACATCAAGTAGCACCAGTCACTTACCCATCGAAAGTGCTTGCGCCAATATACCTGCTGTCTGCTTGTCCAACGTGAAAGCTTTTGGACGCGGATTTTCAAACTTTACTCCTAGTTTGCTAGTCAAATCTATAATTGTCCATATTAGTGGATGTAAAAGTCTCAGCGTGGATCAATTTTTGATTACCATTGATGATCGCATGATATTTATCCGTATGGATTCCTTTAGGCGTAACATCCAAAGCCCAGTAGGCAGCTTCCTTATCCTCTGCTTCGTCAATACCGAGAAAGACCAATATCACTTGCTGTTGAGCAGATTGTTCCGTATCTCCATATAACTCGTCCACAATAGGCGCCACTTCCGAATAGGTTGCATAATACAGTTTCGAAGTGGATTCGTTATACAGCATGTTCTGTTTTTGCAAGATGATATATTTTGCTTGAGGTGAACGCGCTAGTTTCATTAGCACAGCGGGATCGTCGCGATACCAACTACACCTGTATTTTTCTCAGAGGTTCAGATTTTATCAGATGCATCTACTGGCGGTTCGTACCTGTTCAGGGGATTTCCCGCGAAATGGTTAAGTGGCTGGTTCATTACAGTCGACTTTTTTGAGGGTTTCTCGGTCGAAGGCTCGTAAGATCGCAATACCTCGGCTACTTTTTCGTTTCCCCAGAATTGAGCGAGTTGGTATGCAGATTTGCCTTCGCCATTCAGTGCATTATGGTCGATGGGCTGTTGGCAAAGATATTGTGTTGTCTCTAGTTGTCCATAGCGCGCAGCAAAATGAAGTACCGTCCAGCCACGTTCGTTTTTCTCCCTTAGTTTAGAGGAATGTTGCTTCAAATACGCAATATCTCCTGTGGCTGCTGCTTCGTAAATGTTGCTTGCCATGACGTACAGAATGAAGAAGCAATTTTGAGCATTTCTCTTTGTCAGCAGCAAGTCGGTTTTTGAATTAACGGAAGTCTCCGCAATGCATTTATCTCGATTTTTATTGGCTAGCATAAATTTATCGGCCATCTTTCCGCTTTGTGTTGATCCTCTGCCACAGCTTCGAATAACAGCAGACGTTTTGTAGTTTGTTGCCCTGATGACTAACCTCTGGACTACGATCTTGTGTATGCATTTTTATGCCCTGTTCCGGGGCCACAGCTACAACAACCTCGATTGTTTCACTACTTCTGTGTCGCGTCTCAGTTTTATTCAACGTGTACTCCTCCATCTTTACATATGGTGTTAGGCTTTTCTGTTTACTGGCTAGGCTCCCATCTCCACCATTATATATCAAAGAGGTTTTATTTATTTTACTACAGCTATCTCCTTTAGATATGGATGCTCTCAACCCCCCTTGGCTGCAATCACGGTAGAAAGGGTCGGCTCGTACGTCGGCAATCCCGTTCTGCAAATATTATCTTTCCCGTCTTAGCCTCTCAGCTAGCCTCTCAGCCGAACCCTCATCAAAGGGAACTTCTCTACATTTCTTTTTTTGTATTCCTTTCCTCCGTTCTTCCCGTTTATCTCATCTTTTTTCAAACTTCGTTGATGTTACATTCTTCACATGGCCGTCTCGATAAATGGTCGTGCGACCATGCGTTACATCAAAGCTTTTTTTTTTAAGACAGATCCTTGATACATAGCAGGATAAATATTTCCGTGAAAATGGGGGTCAAAATCGCTGAAGGTTCACGGGTTTTCGACACTTCCAAAAACTGCGCTGCTAATTTGCTGTGCGGCGCGCTTGATGAGGCCTCGCTTGATAAGGGCTCGCTCGCTTCGTTTCTTCTACTGCAATCTTGAATTCGAGTCGTTGAATTCGCTGAGCAAATTTTGTAAATTGGGTGTGAGAATTTGATATGGAAATTGCCCTCACCCTTTGGTGTGCAAGTTGAAGCTTCTTTTCTACATAGTCCCATAAGTTATTGTGTGTTGCAGGGCGTCCGAACAAGCAAAAGATCAGCAAAAAAAAATGAGTAATGTTTTATATGAATACCTTGGCCGATTTGCCTATGTTCCGCAACTGTTTTTTGAAGCGATTCAACCAAATGTCCTCCAATTCAACCTTGCTATGGTGCAAAATATGCCAATATATGAAATCATCCCTGTGTGTGGAGACAAAAGCTTTGAATTTCGGCACCGTTTGTGTTGTGATAAATGATAATAACGCTATAGTACTTGTGTGAATATGTGTATAACGAAGTGATAAATAACGTACCAGATACCCAGGGTATTTGGACTTCATTGTAACAGATCCTTTGTATGAAAAAGGGAGCGAAAGTATCCCAGTTGGAGCAACTTACGACGTAAACTTTCTTAGTTTCGTGATTTTGGACGAGAGCAAAACGTTACTAGGACTTTTACCTGCTGGAAGCGGTCAGTGCTCGTTCAAAAAGGGAAGTACTAAAGTTGGTAGCTTGCTGATATCCCCTCAGGATTAAATATGTAAAGTCCAAGAAGCCAATAAGACTAGAAATATGGATGGTTTATTATTCAATCAACACTTAGCTGAGTATCTAATAATCCCTACGTAATCACCCTTTGAGGCTGAATTTCCGTAAAAAGAATGATGTCTGAGCTGAGAAGAAATGATAACAGATAGGAAGTACATCCAGACTTTGGAAAGGTGAACAGTGACTATCCCATGTCAGAGAAAGGTCGGATTGGCGATTTCTGTTGGTGTATACAAAAGAAGGGAAAAGAGAAAGACAAGCAAGCAAGCAAGCAAAAAAAAAAAAAAAAAGGCTCTCCTGTACTGTAACCACGAATCGAGGAGAACGCTTTGATTCGGAAATATTTTGCTGCATAAGCTTCCGGCTGGCAGGAATCAAGCATTACGCCTTGGATAACAAAGTAGAAGTGGCAGGGCCGGCGGGGTATGATACTTGCACGCCATCGTTGACAAACGTGGAAAACTATCTGGCGAAGATGCCAATGCTCAACCACGCAATTCATCTCATTGTCCTTATCAAAGTCCGTCAGAAAAAGCCCCTCGAGAGTATGCCTCCAGTGCGTCCACTACCAGTTGCGTCTCAGTACGACGTCCAGGACCTTCTGTCGAACAACAGTTGCAATAGAGCCTCGGAATCGCTTCCAGGCGGGTCCTACAACTAAATATGCGACTGTAAGTGGGGTTCTCAGTTCATCTCAGACAAGTAACAAAACTTCTGCGATGGGCCACACTTCGGTCACAGCATCATACGTCGTGTTCATCAATGTTGGGATAATATTGCTGAAACTTTTCCCTTCTCTGTAGCCTGGTGGAGTATGACATGGTTGGCACTATCGTCGCATATAAACCTCAATTTGATCCATAGTGCATTATATGCATTGGAGAATATCATTTCAAAACCACGAATAGGGTAATTATTGGAACTCATTAAAATATAATTTTAGCTGACAAAGACACTGATTCTGCCATCGCATGGAACGCCTGAAATAAAACCTGCGTTTGCTTCAAAAGCTGACATCGGCACCCAACAAGCCGACTGGACAAGATCCGAGTATGTTGACAAGTATGATCTTTACGATCTTGACTTCAAGGACGCGCTTCCCCATCAGCTTCGTGATTTCATTGCTTCGTATGAGGATTCCACGATTCTGTAAAGATACTTGCTGATACTGCTTGCCATCCTTTAAGGGGTGTGTGTCTAATTTAATACCATCTGAGTAAGCAAAGCATTCACGATTTAACGGATATAATATTAAGATTTTACCTCACATACAGTATCTTTATATAAAATCGTTATTTTCGAGATCTAATCCATAAGCTATAATAAGACAATATGGGCATTGTTTCTTTGACAATGTATAATCATTCTTTTTCATACAAATGCGTTATCATGTTGCCCTCTATGAAGGTGTCTACATCTTCCGGTGGCATGGGAAAAAGCGAGAATCGATTATTTGAAAGCGCGACAATTCTGAGATGCACTTGATCTCATGTCATGATTTCAAAAGAAATGGTTTGCCCTCTTTGAGTCTTTGGATTGCCAAGGTTCCACATCAAGGGGCTCATTTTTCACTTTATTCCGAAAATGCTTAGCGGCCGCACTTTTTTTTTTCTTTTTATACGAGATCAGCGTTTCAAAAATTTCATTTGGGCGAACGTTTTAACAGCGGTTCCGGACGTTTGCAAAAAGCGCAGTTCACAGGGTAAGCAGCAGCGCGTCAGTGGGGTACTGTTGGAAATGGTTTCGTCGCGGGAAAATTGAAGAATAAAAATGGCGGAAGGTCAGTAGAACGAAGAAATAGCATGCACAAATTTTCCATAGCTTGCAGAGGAGACTAGACCAAAAAAAAAAAAAAAAAAGATGACGTGTTCGCTAGATTTGGCAATGGGAAACGAGCTAATTCTCGAATTGGGTAAGAAAATAACATGTCAAATCAATCATACCTCTTTATCACTCACTTGTACTTTAAAACATCATGTCAAACGAACGTAGGCCCCCTCAAGTGCAATCCTCCCGACCAGTGCGTGTGCACCCAGTGCCTGCTCTTCCGATAATCTCCCGGGATTCAAGTGAAGTAGCAGCATTGAAGCAGCGTGTGGCAGTTCTTGAGCGACTAGTCGCTGAAGGAGACCGTCCAAAGAAACGCTCCTCTGCCACCATCGACCATGCTGATTATAAGCTGAGAGTAAGCAGTGTACATATAATATATCCAATTCGCTGATAAGAATCACTGACCGTTTCAAACAGAGGCTTATTCGTAAGCACTACGAAGCAAATTTTGCAAATGATCCAAATCTCTGCTTCAATTTGAATATCTTCGTCTTTGAGAAGCCAAATAAGAAGGTCGTTAAGGCCTTGCAGGATTACATCGCCGACATTTCCAGTGACGAGAGGGAGCCTGACTGGACTCCCGAATTCGTGTACCAAAAGTGCCGCAGTTACCTGAATGGGCTGCGAAGTAAGGCAAAAAAAAGCCCAGAAGACCTCCAGAACGAAAGTCGCACCAATGCTGCCCCGCAAAAACGGGATCGCGTTAGTATTCGAAACAATACAATCAAATTAAAAAATATGACTAACCTGAGTACCTGTGTAGAAATGCCAGGCCTGGCTCAATGCCTTCAGGGCAAATGAAGGCTTAACTACATCTTTCCCTGGGGCTGGAAAGCTCCTCGACAAGCGATTGGTGTCTGACGAGGAGGACGTGAAGGACGAAGACGGTTTCGTCGTGAAGATAAAGGTAACGGAGAATAAACAAAGGGGCCCATAATGTGATTGGTTGTAGAGATCATGAAACAGAGAAAGGGGCCATAAATGACGACATTAGTACGATAACTGTTATGTGCAATCCAGCAAAGAAAAATAAGTTTTCCCACCGTGCTTGTAATACTGTTACGCATGTCTTTTTTATTATTCGCCTCGTTTACTCGTACCATGGAAGACAAAGAGCACCATGAAGGGCAAAGTGGTAACGCATCTCTATGGTAGCTAGAGGTTGAAATGTCAGATCTGGCTAAAATTAGGAGATTCTATTAGAACTTGCCCACTACATCAGTAATACTAAACATCCTTCCTTTGAGTCCTTCGTGCTGAACAATCTCGAAAATATCGCACATTGGTCGAGGAACTTGAACAACGATGATCTTGACTTACATGACATATGGGCATGCAGATACACAAAACTGTTGAAAAGTCTGCAACCTCATTTAAAGACAAAGTAAGTTCAGGGAGACGCATAAAATATGTCGGAAATTCGCGAAATTCACCACCTCGTCTTCGGCTTGGAAAACAGATCACTGAAATTCAACAAGGCCTTGTGGCATTCTGTTTCGGAGTTGAAGGCGCTTCTGAGGACTGATCACCTCTATAATGAAAAAAGCATCGAATTGATCGGCGAATATAGCAAGAAGGCGGAGGTCATTGTCAAGGATCATCTTGATAGACAGCTGGCAAACAGTGCCAAACGCCACCAACCAATGGGTAACGCCGATAGGAACGAAGATTCCCTGAAAAAGAAGGGAAAGCGAAAGCAGACGTCTCCCGAAGAATGTCAGGACAATCCATTTGGCGAGGGTTCAAGTCGTGCTCTCATAGCACCGGCAAATATCCCATCACAACTGTCAAATGATAGCATTTTCAAAATGGGTTACAAGAAGGTTTGTCATTATTGCTTCGAAAAGACTTATATTTGCTCATTTCTTTGTTTCATAGCTTGCTGGCCTTCAATGGGACGATACAGAACGACAACTATTTAAAGAACTTCACGACGGCAATCCCTTTGTTGGTGGGAAAACAGGCCTGGTCTCGTTTATCGTCAACTTACTCCAATCACTCTTATCGACGGAAGACTTACCAATTATCAAGTGAGTTTAAACTATTATCTTATCGTAAGATGAAAAGCTAACTTGACGACCATGTTTTTTAATGGTATCTCAGGCTGTCTTTATCTGGCATTGTCAATCAGATGAATCCGAGAATGTTTGAGCAAGTCAAACCGTATCTAACAGGATTCGATTATGAACGTCGCTTCCATGAAGTGATAAATTCCCTCGTTGGCCGTGGATTAAAAGAAGATGTCAGTGCTATGGTCGATGAAGTTAACGAGAGCCTGTAAGTGTTCCGCGAAATGCAACGTTGACGAATGGAACTACAGTAGACGTAGTTGAAAGCTAATTTCTTCCGGTAAAGAGGATGAAGGACGGTGTTGAGGCTAGCCTCGACCTCATTGACGACCTGAAAAAACCTTCCCGTAGAAATGGCGCTCGTTCTCAGCAAGGGTATCGTGTTTTGCTCATCCTAGGGTATTTGTAAGTGCTTTTTTTTTTCCTTTTAACTGATCTTGCTTTCCTTGGTGCTAACGGACCAATCCCTAGAGTCGAATTCATGGGCACCTTTACCATCACAGAATCAGAGGCAATCACGACTAACCGGATTGGCTTGGTGATGGAAGCGATTTTCTGTTGGACACCGATCCAATTGGTGTAGTAAGTGAAAAACCGAAGATCATATGACTTTGCATCTGACTTAGCTCTGGTTTTTTTTTTTCCTTTTTTTTCCACAAAAAATAGTGGCGAACACACAAGCGAGTGCACGCAATCAGTGCGCCAATACAATGAAACTGTATTCGGAACCAACTCGCCGATTAATTTGTCAGGACGCCGAGTGGACTTGCTCGTGAAGACCACAGCAAACAAAGATGTTGAACTTTGCAGCATCGAGATTAAAAAGGCGTTTTCATCCCCATCGTTGATACTGGAGCAGCAATGCAAGCATCTGCGAACAAACGCAGCCATCCTCGACAACTTGCAAGTCATAAAGGCCGACCGTTTTCAGCATGTATGAGTCATGGAGTGGATCGGTAAATATTAATAAGCAGGGATAGAATGCAATTAAAGGTCGAAACGAAAAATAGTATTAATGCGTTAACCAATTTCCATAGGTACTATAGGTTATATGTACGTTCTGCTGAAGGTCGATGGTGTTTACTCTGCCTCGGAAACTTGGTCTCCTGAAATTTTCAAAATCGCCAAAGGACTCCAAGGACTTCAAGGTGGTCTTGGGCCTGCTGTTCGTCTTTCAAGTAAGTGAAAAAGCGCAGCCTCTTATGTGCCGACCAAAGTTTTGAGCCCGTTGCTTACGACTCATTTTCCCATAGAATCACATTCTGAATTTCGCTATGGAAGCGCAATCTATCGTCGAGTAAGGACAAGTATTTGATAGTCTCGCATAGTCCATCGATATTTATTGCAATAAAGGCAAACCAATTTTATCTTATTGTTACTTTTTTGGATAAGGGGCGAGTGACCTGGTATTTTATTTCTGAGGCATCTCAATGGAAGCTTAGTATGCGGAGGCAGTGGGTACTAGATGAGTGGGCAGAAGATAGAGGGGCTAAAAACTGGTCCATGGAAGGGCCAGTAAAAGGAAAGGAAGTTGGATTGTCCGGAACTATTAAGACGATATGGCGACGGTAGTTTTAGGGAATGATTTCGGTAAATGGGATACCCGCAATGGAGTAGATCGAGAAGAAAGTTAATACATCAGAGCGCAAGGATTGAGAGCCTGACGAAAAGAATAGTGAAATAAGGGAGAATAGGTAAAGACGAACGCGAAGATTAGACGAAATAGGGTTTCCTTCTTCTCCCAGCCACCAGAACTCGCTTTCATCAAACTCTTCATATGTTTTCGTTTCCCTTCTGATTTTCTTAATCCTTGTTAGGCAACTAATATCACTTCTTGTTGGGACCGCACATTGTGATGTGCGAGCAAATAAAAAGTAAAACACCGGGTCATTCAGGTCCATTATAGAAGATATTTTAGTACCCGTTACTCTAGATCTACTATCTTATCGAACCCTGACTCTAAGCAACATTCTTCAAAACTTCATCGTCCCAGCTGAGGAATTGGCCAGAAAATTGGGGCTGGTGATGAGTTGCTAAAGAAGCAATAACGCGGCCAGGCTGATCAGGATGCACCAATTGACCGGTTTCATGCAGCGTAACAAACTTTTGGTAGTCGTCCTTCATGGCGTCTTTGCCTAATATTCTTATCAGATATGTTTGTCACAAATCTTAGCTCAATCACTCTCTTACCTATGGCGCGCAATAAACCTTGCATCTCGGTATCCACAACGCCGGGTCGGAGAGCAATGGTGGTTACATCGGGTTCTTCCACCGACAAGGTAGATGCAAGGTGGTTCAAAGCGGCCTTGGAACTATTATTCTCATCATAAGCTTTCATCTTTCATGGAACCATCATCTCGCTACTACATACGATCCATAGGCGCCCCAAGCGCGGTATCCCTTGGAAGCAGCGCCAGAGGAAACCATGATAATGGAACCTTTTGATTGACGAAGCAAAGGCAGTGCTTCCTGAACAAGTCGGATGACGGAAAATACGTTCACTTCAAACAATCTACTCTCACATTATTTTAATTGCCTTGGAAATTCATCTGCCATCAAGCCAACATACCGTTTCCAATCCTCAACGAGGCCTTCAGCCACAGTAGCAACGGGTTCCAAAACACTAATTTTTTGGTGGGTTAATTGATATTGCAACTTTACGTAATATTCCGTCGTATCTGTTTACCCAGCATTGGCTACCACACCGTCCAGCTGTCCCCACTTGTCGACAGCAGCTTTGACAGATTGCTTGACAATGTTTTCATCGGTAACGTCACCGACAACGATTTGCAAGTCGTCGCCCTTTTGATGAGTCGCTGCCTCCTCGCGAAGCTTTTCCAACTGGTCTTTGCTACGAGCGACTGCTACCACACGTGCATTATACTGTTTCAGCAGAATGGTGGCAACCGATCTGCCAATACCCTTTGAAGCACCCGTGACAATGACAACTGGAGACTGCATTTTTGACGTAAAAGCGAAATATACGGTAGAAAAATGGCGGGCAATTTGTTAAATTAACCATGTGCCAAATTCAGACCCAGTTTATGCCTCGTGACGTCAAGTGCGTTGTCGAGCTGGCATGATTCCGGGTTTCCGTGAATTTGAAAAAATATGGTAGGAAGCACAAATCAGGATAGTTATAGTGTCTGCGATATATAGCAATGGAGGATATTAGATGGAGCTACGCATCAGCAGTTGATTGGCAAATTCTGCTGACCATTGCAATGATCAAAAACAAAACAAAACAAATAAAGAAATAATAAAAACGAGAAAATAAACGCAACTGTAATACACATGAAGTATCCCTCGTCATGGTCTTCATACCATATAAATTCTACAAGGCATGTGTGTAAAAGAGAAAAAAAATACGTAACGGCAGGATCTTCAAATTTCATACTTTTTAATTTTCATGTGCCCGACACCGAAAATCACTACCGGCAACTGTCGTCTATCGTATGCCCACATGCCCCGCTTTCCCCTTCTCCTTCATCATGCATCTGTTCGATCTTTCTCTGTAATAACTGCGCTAAGTTTTATTGTCAATGAATACTTCGCCCTCCATATCTCACTTTCCTTTTTTTTTTTCTTCTGCACTCCTTTATTTTGATGTCGTCCTCGCTTCTTTTCTTCTTCCTATCTCTTTTAGTGACCTCTACTTTCGACGCACAGACACAAACATATGGCTCATTTTAATCCGAAAAAGCCAAATGCCTCTCGATTTCGCCCGCTTTGCACATATGGACCACTTTCAGAAGAGTAAACCATCGTTTTATATGTTGGCCCATTGTCGATTTATCTGATCCACTATTTGCTAATCTGACCCAACTCAAAAGCTGCACAATTGTACCAAACGTTTAACACATGCACATGTTTATTTGATGATAGAACAAGTGCCATCCTGCCACTCTGTTCTCATCCATGAATGGGTCGAACGATATGTGCCAGTTCTAGCATTCGCATACATACATATCGGCAATCAAAGTCAAGGTGTCTTCGCTTAGGCAATCACACTAGGGTCGTTATATAGTTGAAACATATTCTGGATAAAATTTATGCTCTTGATGGGGGAGCGACCTATAAGCGAGTGTTAGATTCACGATACGAAGATTTGGCCCCAAACACTGCTAAATTACCAAAATCACACCGTCTCCACGAACAAACAACATGTCAAAAGTGCGCTTCACGGTCTGTTGGAGATCAATCAACAATGAGCTAACGACGATCATATAAGCGTGTGTGATTGTCACTTACTCTGATAAGCTCTTCATAAGTTTCCTCATTGACATCAACGATTGTAATAGTTTCCTCGACATCGCCCAACACCATGTTCAAATGGCCGTCATATGCCTAGGCAGATCAATATGAGTATTGGGACGGACAATCGAATAAATCCATAATAAATAGCTTACGTGTAATAAACCCCGTAATTCACGATCGCCGCGAAGTTTAACATAGATTTTCTCATCCAGAGACAAGCGAACAAGATCCAAGGGTTCTTCTACGGCTCCAATGTCACCGTTGGTTGCACTTGCGACGTCTGCCATGTCTGCAATATACAAGAATTAAAGGTAAAGGAAAGGAAAAAAGTGGAGTTGGCTGAGAAAAAATTGAGCGGCGTGTGTGACGTAGAAAATGGGCTCGACTCAACTAGTCAGCAGCATTCAGTCCGCTCGCATTGTATATCCAATTCTATACTGTTATCACCCTTATCCGTATGACCAACCTAGACACACTAGACGATTCGCAAAGGGACAAACTGAACCAGTTCCAGGTAGAAGCTACCCACCTAGAAACTGTGAGGCGTAAGAATGTTAACGGGTGTCGTAGGCTATTACCCAAAATGAAAACCTGGAAGCTTCCATTGACAAACTTTCTAATAACCACTGGAATCTGGAGGTAGTTATTCGGTCATCATGAGCTCTTTTTTGCAATGTATCTGATATATGAACAGAGAGCGGTACAAAGTCACTTTGAAGGCGGAAGTGCCACTGCGCGACCAACAACAACCACGCCGCAAGACGCTGCCGCCGTTCCTTCTCGGCCGAGACCTCCTCAAAGTCGACTGCAAGCATTGCTTTCTTGGCCATTCAGTCTAGTGTGGGCCATTTTGAGCTATATATGTATGCAACCTTCCTACATTTTTAGTGTTACAGTATACTTACTATACTTTAATTTTTTTATTTGACAGCACGTTTTGTTACGCGACCAGCCATTGCCTCGACCGCTCAACGACAAGATGCTCGGTCCGTAGCCGATCGATTCCTTCGCGAATTCGAAGCCAAGTACGGAGAACAGCATTTAGACTTTTTCCAGGGAGGTTATTCCCAGTGCTTGGAAATTGCACGCCGCGAACTGCGTCTTTTGCTTGTCATTTTACAAAGTGACGAGCATGACGATACAGATGAATTCTGCAGGTATTTTTTCAATCAGACAATCACACCATGGAAAGGGCTGGTTTTAACTGTAGCTGTCATCTAGAAATACCGTAGCATCGGATGAATTGATCGAGTATGTGAGACAGAACAATGTGTTGGTCTGGGGTGGCAATGTCCGAGAGGCGGAAGCTTTCCAAGGTATGTATTGGTCATACTTGGGTTGATTACATCTGCAATTGTATATTCCAATAGCGCTGACCTTCACTTCCCCCCCAAAAAAAGTCGGTTCCACTTTGCAGGCCACGGCATACCCATTTATGGCAATTATCGGCTTACAGGTGCCCAACCCTCCATCGACTACGGCTCCAAAGATGACCGTAATGGATCGACTCGAGGGCCTATTGACGCCTGCAAGCGTGATTCGACGATTTGATTCAGTGATCGAACGATACGGAGCTACACTGAACCGGTTACGATTGGAACGAGACCAACGGGATAAAGAAAGGCAATTGAGAGAGGAACAGGACCGGGCTTATCAGGATAGTCTTAGGGCAGACCAAGAAAAGGTAACAACGACGACGAACACTACCTCGTATTTTTACATATCCTGATACAAATTATTTGCAGGAACGCCAAGCACGGGAAAAGCGGGAAGCGGCTGCGCGAGCGGAGGAAGAGGCACAACGCGCCGAGGAAGAGCGTCGTATTCAAGCAATGAAGCGGGAACAGTATATTCAATGGGTATGTCGCCATTTACCAGAGGAGCCATCTGCAGATTATGAAGGGGAGGTGACAAAATTGAGTTTCCGATTGGCCGACGGTGAACGTGTCATTCGCAAATTCCGCGGCGATGAGTCGCTCGATTCACTGTACAAGTTTGTCGAAGCATACCCAGTGCTGAAATCACACGCCGATGTTAGCGGTGCTACTGAACCCGAAGAATACCATCACACCTACAGTTTTACCATTCACTCCCCGTTCCCACGCACTGTCTACCATGCCGATCACGAACGCAAATTATCGGACGAGAAAAGCTTATGGCCCACAGCCACTCTGATTGTTGATAACAATGATGATGCTGAAGAATAAAGAAAAATGAAATAGGATACATCCACAGAAAGGAAAAGAAGAAGCAAAACGCTTTCCTTTTACAATAAGATATTTTCGCAGTAATCTGTCAGCAACGAAGTTATGGTTTGGTGAGAATGAGATGAGGATAAGGATTGGGATGATGATAGCATTTTTATCCGACAGAGTAATTTCTACTTTTATGGTGTCGTAACGGCTGAGGCACCGGGGCAACATTGTTAGAACGTGATATAGCCGAATGGCCTCGTGCGCTGTTCTTAAAGTTCAAATAGGCCAGCGCGTCGTCATCGACGGCATTTCCCATTGCGATCGACTCGGTAAGTGTGACGCCAGAGATAGGGTCCATAAAGCTGGCATCGGCACCATTCTGGAAGAGAAATTCCGCCATTGGGAATATTTTATGTCCATCCTGGTACCGACAGTGCAAAAGCGCAAAGAAGAGAGCATAGTGCATTGACTGGTATTCCTGACTACGTCCACTGGGTATCTGTTCGGGAATGGGAATAGCAATCGTTCTGCCCAAGATCGGGTTTCCCGAAACATCCAATCGAGGCAATTCCAAGGTATTTCCGCAAGGCCGTGCATCCTCTTTTGACAAGGGGCTCTTTTCTTCTGGGGTCACTACAGCTGAATCTCGACGTCTGACGTTCACGTCAACACCGAGCGCTACCGCATACAGGGCTCCGGGAATGTCATCTTGCTCTACTGCTTCAAACAGTAGATCAACGCAGTTTCTGCTACACGGCTTCACAAAGGCTCGCTGGACATATTTATCTTGGATATATTTCAATTTGATGTTGCGCATGTCATTGGCTGTCGGCTTTTCTTTGCCATGCGGATCCCATATTTCATTGGAGCGAGCATTACCGAGCGAGCGCAGTAGTTCGAGTAGGTCAGCAGTATAGGAGGCACTGTCCAAAGTCAGTGATCGCACTTTGGAAATGTGGGTGCCCAAACTTCGGTGAATACCAGAGCATTCTTGAATAAAGAACTTTTAGTGTCTGACGTGTCCATTAACCCAAAAATAAGAAGCATACCTATACACAAAAGAATCCCCAAATTGATTGAACACCATTCTGGATTGGATGCATTACAGTCTGCGCAGAATGCATTGGAAGGATCTTGCCGTATTTCGGTAAGCGTTTGCGTTAAGACCTCATCACTTCGCGGAGGCACAACCGGACTTTCGGACGGTGACGATAAAACTTCGCCTTTGGTATATGCAGCATGATTTGAAGGCCATTGCTCTGATAATTCACTGGACGGTGCCGCAGGAGGAGATGAAACAGGTTGGCTTTTCTTTCTCAAGTATTTTTCCTTTGCAGCGTTGGCTCCCGCCGTCAACCCGCTCAAAGCCCCACTCAGAGGACGTCCAGATATTCGTCGTGATCGTCCTTGAAATAGTGCATTTTCTTCATATCCAGAGGGTAGGGTGCTGTCGACTTGACCGAATTCCACCAAGCTGCTCATACCATTCAGTAGACTTTCGATGGCGTTGTTGATTGTCGCTATCCAACTGTACATTTCTTCCTGTGATGTGGCTTGATAGATGCGGCGGATGTTCGGGGTAATGACCTCAAAGCAGAACCGGCGTTCGGCGTTTCGTGCCTCCCGTACCGTAGCAAAGCGAAGGTTGATAGGTTCAATATGGGTTTCGAGCTGTTTCTTCCAGTTACTGTATTCATGAAGCTGACCAGCGCTCAACACGCACCAGTACCTGTGAGAAAAAAGTGTTAAGCACGCCTCTTACGGATGACAAGAAGTCCTTTTTCAAACTAGACAAGTGATACCTACTTGTGCCATGCCACATTGGCCGTCAAATCAAAAGCATGATTTTTTGAAGGTTTGGAGGTCGAGAATAAAAACCCTTCTTTTCTTCGACCAGCTATTTGCAATAGATCGCGATCTTGTTGCTCCAGGTCCCGGATACCACGAAATTTATCTTCTGACGGAGGAGCCTCGGACGGACTACTGTTATTGAGAATTCCTAGACCCACATTTGACGGTGTTGCCAAAGCCGGATTCTGACTGCCTTCCAACGTAGTCCCTGGAGTGTTGATAGAAGGTTCTCGGGGCGCATCTCTTGTAAACGAGAAACTCGACCGCGGTTCAGACACCGGCGTTTGTCCTGCCATCACTGCCGATGCTTCCGCTTCGCTTTTCGTGTATTTACCTTCCAACATCTTCCGCTTTTCGTATCTCTCTTTGTTCACTTGGGCTTGTTCCCGCGACGCTTCCTGCATAATAGCACCGAGCTCATCTAATCCTGACTTTAAAGGTTGAAGGCACCGTGCAATGGAATCGTAAAAGGTATATTCTCGCTGTTGGTGGGTGAGTAGGTGATACAAGACTTCTTGATCCTTCTTGCCGCCATGGAGATCGGTCAAAAAAGCATAGTAATCGAAACGTATCAGATCGAAATGACTCCTTTTGGCAAAGTACTTGGCTTCGTATTCTGTGCGTTTTTTCTCCTTGGTAGAGTCTGTTTTGATGCTTAAATATTTTGCTAGGCATGCATAGTAATCCTTGCTTTCCTCCTCAAATTGCTTTCGTTTGGCGTCGGCTGCTTTAATATCCATGTCGTACAATTTCTGCAGCGGGTCAATCAACAGCGACTGCATGGAATACTGAAGGAGTTCTCGTTCTTGCAGAATTTTTTGCCATGCTTCGTCCAAATAGTGAGTCAACAGTGGTTCGACGGACGGTGTCTCTCGTAAGACTTGGATGAACAAGCTATCTGTTTCCAACAATGTTCGTCTGGCTTCCAATGACGACGTAGCCGCTTTGATAATCTTTTTGATGTACGCTTTAAGGGTGCTGGTACGTTTCTCAAGCTGGTTAATGGTCGCTCGAAAAAGGGGACCGTCTTCTGGACCTTCGCCGTCCACGATAGGCGATGGCTGTTGTGCAGTAGATGGCGATGCGGCGGATCGGACATGACTGTCCTGTTCTCTGGAAACTGGAGCTTCCGAAATGGTCGAAGTCTGTAAAGATGCAGTATCCGAAATTTCAGACATGGGAGACAGGTAGGTATATACAATAACTTTTTAAGGAAACAATAGATATTGCCAATGCACAGTATAAAAGTGCAAAATGCAAACAAATAGTGAATTTTCGGACACGCAAATTAGCGTGCCCTTAAAAAGCCCTAATGCTGGATTTTGACCAAAGTTTTTCTACACAGAAAATTCATTCCTTCACTGTATGTATCTCTTGATCCGTACAGTGTAAAAAGTTAGGGTAATACAATAATGTAACAGAAAACAAAGGAAATGAAACTGGGCGCTTCTCACAGTGTTAATGAGCAAGCACGAGGTGAATTTGGTGGAACAAGTTGAGGAAATCAAAATACATGACATTCGATACAGATACAATAGGTGACGAAAAAGAAAACAATGCGATAAAAAACATGATATTATGCTCAAAATGGGGACGAATGAAATATTATAAGTCATTAAACGAAAAAGAAGCCAGCCTTGAACCCAACAATGCCAACAAAACAGTCCTAACTTGTTCCTATCAAATCAGAATTGACAGTCTTGGTTTTTGATATACTTGACTGCGCTGATCTTTGACGTTTTCGCTGCTTTGATTCGAACTCATGCCAATCACCATGCATATATGACAGACTATGATACTCGGGGTTAGATTTACATGTTTTGCCTACATTGGATTCGATAAATTCTTACTTTTCAGGAAGTGCGGGTAAAGGCTCTTCGGTAAAGTATTCCGACCGCAAAGCTTCACGAGCAGATGGTCGTTTTTGGGGATCCATCGAGAGCAATAACTCGGCTAATTTGAGAGCCGCAGGAGATAGTAAGCTAGACCAACATAATAAGTATGGGGGAAAGGGGCCTATACAGCGGATAACCGGTATTGATATTACCTTTCGTACATTTCCTTGAATTTCGAGGGATAATGATGTTTAGGTTTCAGCAATTCGAACCACGGAAGCTCGGATAAGGTGGGCCAGTTTTCTACTGTAGGTGTTCCCATGGTTTTGTATATACGTTCCAGCTGAGAGATTTCGTCTGTTCCATTGAAAATAGGTTTGCCAGTAAAGAACTCGAGCATGATACATCTAACAATAGGATAATATTTCACGGTCAAACCAAGGACCCACTCCTCCGCGCGAATAGAACGCCCGCTTACCCTACGCTCCAGATATCCACCGCAGGACCGTAAGCTGTTGCTCCCAAAAGTAGCTCCGGCGGACGATACCACAGAGTAATGACACGATTGGTATAATCATGGGATTGTCGTTTTTGAAACACTCGCGCCAGACCAAAATCAGCAATTTTGAGCTCTCCCTTGTTATTGATGAGTAGATTGGATCCTGATACAGAATAATATGAGTACACATTTATAAGGCAAAGAGTACTTTAAGTTATACCTTTGATGTCGCGGTGAAGAATACCCATTTGATGAAGATAATCGAGACCTTCAAGCATCTGCTTGACAAGAGATTTGGCATGCTCAGGTTCAAACTTGAAGTTTGGATGACTGAGAATACCTGACAGGTCATGATCCATGTATTCCAAAACCATATAGACGGAGCCTAGCATGGACGTGTAAGCAAAAAAAAAAAAAAAAAAAAAAAAAAAAAAAAAAAAAAAAATTCCATCTTTCCCCTCCTCCGTTCTAACTACCCTTTGAAAGCATAATGTGATCCAACTGCACAATACGATCGTGTTTCAGCTTTTGCAGCAGTTTAATTTCGCGCATGGCAGTGATAGGAAACTGGATACATTCACTTTAGTTACCATGGTATCATACTCGTTGACAGCATGTACTTACACCGTTTTTCTCGCCAGTCATACGGATTCGTTTCAGGGCCATTAATTGCCCTGTTTTGGAATTACGTGCCTTGTATACCTTTCTAAAGACAAAGTTTAGTTTTTGCATACCCCTCGGAATGTTGAAATGCCATCAAAAAACTCACCCATAAGTTCCTTCACCGACCTGACCGATTCGTTCAAACAGTAAACTGGGATCATGATCGGTGATGTAAGGGTAACTCAAGTTTTTAAGGACAGATTTGGGCACAGAGCATGCCCCCAACAGAGACACCGTGCTGGAAACATGTTGATTCGAGTCATCTTTTCCAGGCAGCGTCGCGTCGTTTGTGGTTGATTCTGATCCCAATTTCGGCACTTCCGCTTGACTTGTGGAACTGGCAGGTGGAGGAGGAGGGGGAGGAGGAGCTGGAACTGCGGTAGCATAATGCTGTGCATAGTATTCCGGATAATATGTCTGATAATAGAGGGCTAGGCTTTCAGCAGAATGCGAGTGGTAATAGGCATAGTATTGCTGGTATTGTTCCGCCGTCCATGCTGATGCCGCTTGGTGATCCCCATAGTAATACCACGCAGCATGTTGTTGGTAATACGCTGCTGGGGCTGCCGGGGGAGCATCTGCTGACATGGGCGCCATGGTGGACTTGGGTCCTGTCGGTATCGGACTTGATTCTTTTGATTTGAAACCTTTGACCTGATCGTGATCGTGGTCGGAAGGAACGCTGGTATCTAGGTCGACTTGTTTATGAACATTTGGTTCACTGCGGCTAATTCTTCTTTGTGATATTTCGTTTGCACGTGCATCATATGCGCGATCTTTATCGCTTGATCGTTGATCGTAAGGCACACGGATTTTGGCATCATGTGTCGATGTCTCGACTTCTTCCCGCCTTCTTTTCTCCCCAATTTTATGATGCGTTTCCGTATATTGATCACTTGGTGCAGTTTTAGCGATACGGCATGAGGAGCTCGAAGATGCTGGTGTTGGCGAGGCAGATCTCGATGATGTTGACCGCATGACTACCATTAGAAAAACGAGAGCGAGAATTTAGCAACATAGAACAGCAACATAGAGACTTGGGGTTGTCACTTTACAGGTGCAGATATGCTTTGTCGTTCACGGTGCACTGTGTGGAACTTTTTACAGCATGGCAGCACGGGTCACTTCCGTGTATTCAATCAAACAAAAGAAATCGGCCATTGAAATCATGACGTCGAATTTCCCTTTTGGACTTGATGCAACAGAAAAAGAAAAAAAAAGGTTCCGTGTGATGGAAAGGAGTTAGTGAATCTTCAACCCACTTTGCCATCAAACGATAAGATAGTGTTTCCAAAATCACTTAAACGGTAGTGTACTGAATAACCATTCGTGTCACTATGCAAAAACACTCCCCCGCCCCATCAATAGTATTGTGGTTACCGATAAAGCCGCCATTTTATTGCTTTAAAATTGACTTGTCACTAACCTAGCCTAGTTGTCTACTATTTTGCTGAAAATGCCATGGAATATACAATAAAGATTTGAATGAATGAGAGTTGCAATGAAAAGTGTCATGAGTGACTGATATTTTTTTTTTCTAATCTAGGTTGTGGTTGTATTTCTTTTACGCTTAGCGCCTACCGCCGCAGGTGGTCCGTTCGACGCTGTGTTGGCCATGCCATCAAGATCGTCATCTTCCACCTGGATATTCTTGAGTTCTCGTAGAGAACGAATAAGCTGCTCCTGTTGAGATGTTGTAACAAATGGACGTTCGCCGGCTCCTTGGATTGCACAAGTGACAGGTTCCGTTTGCACTTCGTCGTCGGCGGGAGCGGTGGAATCCTTGAAATCGGTGACCTTCCAACCTCCGGTATCGGGATCTTCGTCTCCCACTTTCCATATTTGGTATCCATAGCCGCAGTCTTCCTCCAAAAACTGTCGTCTGCGTTCCGAAAAGCTCACTTCATGCGTATGGTCGGTCACCAACGTGTAAAATCGTGAGTAAAAACCCTTTTCGGATCGTTTCTTGGCACGCAAAATACGGCCTAAACGTTGGGCTTCTTGACGTCGAGAACCGAAATGCGAAGAAACTTGGATGAGGACCGTGGCAGCGGGAAGATCCAAACTGGTATCACCGATACGAGAAAGGAAAAGCGTACTGATCTGCTTGGCTCTTTGCACCCGTCGCGCCGCCATTTCCGACCATGAACCTGCTGTCTCAGTTGGCACATCGATCTGGAATCGTTGCAATAACTGACGGGCCTCGTCGGTCGGCGTGCCACCGTAGATGTAAGGTCGACCAATTTTTTCTGCGTATTGTTTCAAGGCATCAATATGATCACAGTAAACTAATACCTTATCACCCTTGGCTTCATGATAATGGATTAATCGCTGGCAGATCTGCATCTTGATAGGATTGAGAATGGCTAACAAACTCTTTAAGTGATGCGTATGTCCCAAGACGCTGCCACCTTGACCTTGCACGCTATCGTATTCCTTTCGAACGATGGACGGCATATCTACTTCCACTTGTGTACAAATGACTTTGGCGATGTAGCCTCGATCCGCCAACTCCTTCCACTTGGCATGGTATACGATAGGTCCCACAAGCGTCTCCAAGTCGCCAATCTTTTCATCTTCTCGAAGCATGGTAGCCGTCAACCCGATTCGAACCTGAGCCTTGATCTTGGTGATAGCCTTGCTAAAGTTCATGGCAGGTACGCAATGCACTTCGTCCAGAATGATCATTCCCCACTCGGTTTTGTCGATAAACTGGCTCATACGTTTACTGTCGGCTGTTCGATTCTTATTTTCGACCAGCATGGTATAAGTGGTGAAAAGGACACCAGCAGGGCCATTATAAGGCCACTTTTTAGCACCAGCAAACATGCCTGTTTTCGAAGCCATCAATGTCGTGAATTTCAAGAATTCCTTGGAAAACTGTTCGGCGGCAATAATCGTAGAACAAACAACAAGAATGGGCTTTTGAATAGCACAAGCTATCACGATCGAGGTCAAGGTTTTACCCGCACCGCAAGGCAGAACGATGATGCCAGAGCGAGCCACCGATTCCCCAGACTTGTCTGATTTCTTGATGACAGCATCCACGGCTTCGTTCTGGTAAGGCCGTACTTCGATTTCCGGTCTCAGTTCAAGATTCAGCATTGGTAGCATTTTGTCACTCTGGAAATGGTAATCGGGAAGAGCAGACGTTGGTTGCTGATGACGGTGAACATGCGATTTGACAGCATGCGACCTTTTGGCTTCTTTGTTCGGTGGTTCTTCAGCTCCACTTGAACCCTTTTGCGCCGCAGATCGCTTTTGGACAATTGCCAGCAATTGGCCCAATCGTTGCTGGCGATCTTGCTCATTGGAGGTTGTAGAAAAAGCCATGATTCACTCGAGTCACCGCAGCAAAAACGCAAAAACCTTCTGCAACTCGCAGCGCCCAAGGCACTGTTATCTGAAAAAAAGTCACATTTTAAGCGGAATCTGAAGTTGTATGGAATTTTGCTGGATTCAACCGTGCTGGCATGAACCAGTCATCCTTACGCAACTTATTCCCACTATGAATGAGCGCCATGATTTTCAAAGCCCATCTTGATATACAGTCATTCATCACTACGAATCAATAAGTCCACAAACAAAATAGATTCACAAAATAAAAATACAAAAAAAAACAATGCAGACAGTGTTATATTTTTTATTTGTTGGATGATTTGATTTATCGGCTCTGAACCTAGAACAGTGTAACATCTTCAGTTAGAACCTCTTTCATCATTTGATTTATGAAAATGAAAGCACTTACCAAATCATCAATCTTCAAAATCATCTTGACGGTTTCAGCGGCTAATTCAATGGCACTTGTGCTGACCAACAGAGGTTGGATGACGTTTTCTTCCAAGATATTGGTAATGGTACCCTTCTTCACGTTGATACCGGCAGTCTTCTCACCAAGAGCATGCTTGTTTCTCAGTTCGGTAACAATGGAGATTGGGTTCAAGCCCGCATTTTCGGCGAGAGTGGTAGGAATAACTTCAAGCGCTTCGGCAAACGCTTGGAAACAGTACTGCTCCATACCCTTCAAAGTCTTTGCATGGTCCATCAATCGCTGGGATACTTCAATTTCAGGAGCACCACCACCGGCAATCAAAGCTCTGTGAAACATCATGCTTATTAGGTTGCTTGAAGCAAAGAAAAATTCGATCAGTTGCTCCAACTTACTTCTTCTTCACAAGACATCGTACGACACAAAGAGCATCGTGAAGTGATCGGTGAGATTCCTCCAACACCAAGGAGTTGGCGCCTCGGCAAACCACAGACACGGTCTTTCCAGCGTGTCTCATGCCTGTAACTTTGACAATCTTGGAACCTGCGGAATCGACTTCTTCAATGAGGTCGGCATAACCCAGTTTATCATCGGTGAAAGATTCAACGTCAGCGACAGGCTTGCAACCAAGTGACTAAAAAGACATCCATCATGAGGATCAATGAAAGATCATCCCACAGCGCAACAAATAAAACCGTCCGTACCTTGGCGATAAATTCAATTTCGTCACGCTCAACATCCTTGACGACCATGATCTTGAGTTTGGCAAGGAAATGAAGTGATAACTCATTCACAGCATCACGGAGGATCGACTTTTGGATAAGCAATACATTACAGCCGCTCTTCTTGATCTTTTTGCACATATTTAACAGATATTGACGCTCTTCTTTGAGGATTTTATCCATTTGTCGGTAGTCATTCACCACGATTTGATTTTCCATCTAAAAATAGAGTCATTTTGTCGAGTCAGATCATCAAGTACCTTTGGCCAGGTCCCTAGCATAGGCAATACTCACATCAGGCTTGGGGGGAGATAACTGGAATTGAATGAGACCAATTTTGGCCTTTTCCATACGAATAGGGCCACCGGCAGATTTCACCACGGTTTGGTTCAAGACCAAACCATCCACCATTTCGGTATCATCAATAGTACCGCCAACCTTCTTTACTATGCGGACATCGTTCAAGTTAACGTTATCGGCCACATTGGGATCAATCACTCGAATGACTGCATCGACGGCAATGGGGGCAAGAAGTGTGGAATATTGTGAAACAATCTAACAATGCGTCAGCCCCAAGATGTCAATCATCTAGAATGATATGCGTCATGTAAAGCTCACCTTGGAGTTAAGGGAAGTAGAGGCCGCTTGTAACAAGGATTCGCGGTCGGCAAGGTCCAATGGGGTTGACATTTCGGTAAGGTACTCTACGGATTTGGCGGCTGCGCGCTGGAAAGACTCGGCAATAGTTGTAGGATGAATACCTATTTGAAAAGTTCGTTGATATCACTTGGTGTCCGTATAAGATGGGAAAAATTAGGTGACGTACCTTTGTGCAAAAGCTTCTGAGCAGCAGAAAGGAGCGAACTACATAACACAACAACAGAAGTGGTACCATCACCAGCTTCCACATCCTGTGCAGCTGACAGATCGACCAACTACAATTCACATTCATCAGTTACCGAGTACACAGACAGTTTCATCACTCGATGCCCTTTCAATTACCATCTTGGCCGAAGGATGAAGTACAGCCATATGTTTCAAGATAGTAGCACCGTCGTTGGTGATAACAACTTCACCGTTGCCGGTTTGGATCTGTGAAATAATAATGGGAAACCATCAGTTTCTTTCTCAACGTAATCTCGGAAACCATCTTTTTGTCTGCGTACCATTTTGTCCATGCCTCTGGGTCCCAATGAAGTTCTGATAGCATCACCAACAGCTACAAATCAATGATGACAATGTACGATCAGCATCATATGTTTTCATCAATGTATTTGACAGGCTGTCAAATAAGCTTTTCTTGCTTTCCCGAAGAAAATATTACCTTTGGCTGCGACGATGTTGCTCATACGAACTTCCATGGGCTTTTCCTTGTCGGTAAATCCGGAGCTCTTGGCCGGAGGCTTGGATGCTACTTCTGCCATTATCTTTGTACCGGGATGATGATGAAGCGGGAGGAGGCTAGTGAACGGTTGGTTCGAGGGGAAACGCGTTCAAAGAAAATTTGGGAAATCAAAAAGGGGGTCACACTTGTGACGTAGCGAGGTCAAAAAGAAAAAAAACTCATTGGAGCGGAAAATGAAAGTTTTGACAAATGTGTCCTTCACTGCATGGCAGCCCAATCTTGCAAAATCGCCTCGGTGCTTTCCTGACTTGTTTTGATAGATTAGATTTAAGCAATAAAACAGGAAACTTCAATGCCATAATTTTTAGCTGATAAGTGTGTAATAGGTACATAATGCAATGAGTTCATGATTTATTTCACAGCATGTATGGAGCTTTCAAGGCAGATTCCTATCTCGTAGTGTACGGAAGCTAGGCCGACGGTCGGGTTGCTGATACATACTTGTTCTGCAGACAGACACTACGGTCTTATTTCCTACATTTACGGAAACAGTGGCTAATCCGCTGTGATGAGTCGATCGAGGTAAAGTAAGAAATCGTGGCATTTTCCGTCGATCCAGATCGATACTGATATTGTTGGAAGCCTGGAAATGTTCGATCCATGATACCATCTCAATACAGCTACGAGCTCTCAACAGAAATTGTTCGCCCGTTTGCAGCCGTAATCGTAGCACATGTGGATACTTGCTATATTCGGGAGCCAGCCCTGAGTCTGCGTTTTGCATGGAATGCTGGGTCAAAGGTGTCGCATCACCTTGACGGTGATACATGCTGAGCAGAGTTCCTTGCAATTCGACATATAATTTTCTAAAAGAGGACATAGTTTGAGCCTGTTCAAATACATGCAATGAGACCTCTCTCAACCACTGACCTCCATGATCGATCTTTTGACTGTGTGGTTGAATTGTCCAGTTCTTTCTTCACGTGGATATAATCCATCTTGAACAATGTGCAAGTATATGCTGGTGGTAAATCATCCTCTTTTTTTGTTTGTGCATAAATTGATGAGCTTCGAGGTGATACCATTGTAGGCGTGGACTGGCTGCAAGAGGAAGTTGAACGAATAATATAATCCGATGCAGGCGTGTTCTGCGCTGATGCTACTTTGGCGATACAACCGCGGTTGGAGGATGAAGATAGCGCGCCAGATGGGTGATGGCCATGCTCTGCTCGCTCATCATTTCCTGATTTAAAAAATTGCAGCTTGCGCTTGGTATGTTGAAAGAGGGAAGCCATAAAGGAGAAAAGACGTAACTTCTTTTTCATTTTTCCCATTAAATTTTATGACATTCGAAACACGGGGGTTTTTTTCATGCAATGTTTCGGCATGCAAAAAGATGCATCCATCACAAGCTTCACATGTCGAGAGAGAAAAAGGCATGTCTGTAGCTTGGATCGAAATTATAGTACATAACATGCATTTTGCAACAAATGTAAATGTGTTTTCAACTACTGAAATCGAACGGGAAGCATTATCAAGAATCTTCAAGATCATGATCGTGGTCACCCGCGGAAGTTGGCAGAAGTTTAATAAAAGGGTTTCGCTTATACCCAGTCACTATTAAAAATGGTGGAAATGTTGGTTTCACCTCCTCGGCAACCAACCTTCAAGCGTAGTTGGTTATTATTTTACCTTGTAGGCCATCCACATCAAAAAGTAAGAAGTGGAAACTTGTGGAAAACTATTATTACAATGCATTCTATTTCGGTACACTTATGTTGCCTACGTTCATCCTTATGACAGCTTAGTGAATATACTATCGCATGCTTGATTCGTGTATCCATGTCGACAGTGAAAAAAAAAAAAAAAAAAAAAGAAAAAGTTGATTATCCAATTTCCCATGTCATATTGGGACGATAACTTCCAAAAAAGTGCGGGGTGTCGATTGGGGAAAAACTTCGTTCTAGCACAAAACAGTATTAAACTGCCTGCCCAAAATTTGGCAACACTTTATATCAGAAATCTTGGTTGACGATGCCGTAATTACTGTAATTACAAGCGAAATAACCGGATGGACTGCCTCATGGACGGCGAGTCCGGATCTCCCCGCACTGAATAAGTGGGAAATCATTTCTTTTGATTCTTATATGATATGTCAAAATGTATACTGATGAGCACAACGGTTGCATCATCAGCTTGATCGTATAGGTTATTTGGCAAAAATCGAATTTATCAAAGACTGGATACCACCATTTTCACGATATAAACTTCATCCATGGACGGAGGAGTTTTCCAGGTATCCAATAATATTCCACCAAAATTTTTGAACTAATGTTGCAAGTTCCAAGCATTCTTGGTTATGATTGGTTAAATCGGAAAGGCACACACATAGTTTAAAAAGCGAGGTAAGGATCATGGTTGACCAACCTCCACTCCTTCTTCTCATCTAATCTTTACTTCCAGTTTTTCATCATGGCTGCCTCTGCTACAAGAACCCAAGTATTGTCTCTTTACCGCGAATTTTTACGATACGGTAACCAGTTTTCTTCTTACAACTTTCGGGATTATGCCATTCGCCGTTCTAGAGATGCTTTCCGATCGCAAATCAACGAAACGAATCCCGAGAAGATCACCGAATGTATCCAAAAAGCCAAAAAGGAATTGGAAATGGTGCGACGACAAGCTACGATCAGCTCACTTTACAGCCGAGGTGATCGTTTAGTCATCGAAAAGCGAGTGTAAATAGAAAAATCCTTGACATCATAGAAAAAGAACCCAAATATTCTCAGAATGTCCAAACCATATGTTACTCCACTTTTTTTACGATCTCCTGTATTATTATTGTTTGAAAAAAGAAAATCAGCGAGCTTACCTATTGAATGCTGCTGCGCCCTTGGAGGAACAAATCTCGTAACTGTTTTGACCGTCGGAAAAATATAGGGCCCGGAAAAACCACGTTATTCTGTGTCACCTACCGTCGTTGGATGTAAAAAAGACTGCATTTCGGCGGATGTGAAGAGCCACTCAACGGAACAATGAGTCATCACATTTGACTAATGAGACTTGTCTTTGCTTCAGGCTATGCGATAGAGGTAGATCAAGACAAAAGGAAAAATGCGCAAATGAAAGATCATGGTGATAGGATGGCAGAAAAAACTGGCAACATTTTTGTGATTCTGTGGAAAGGCTAGATTAGGTAATATAAATATTCACATAAACAAATGAAATAAGAGTAAGAAGTAACCAGAAAAAAAAATAACTGTATACAAGAACAAGCAACAGAGTGTACAATGTTTGACGAGGCAAGCCTCATGTGGGTGGTATGGGGAAGGGTTTTCTTGTGACACCGGCGGGTTTAATACCACCGTTTCGGTAATTGTAAAGTTTCCAGCATTTGCCGTCGGTGCGCTTCCCATTCACGTTCAATTAATTCGTCTACTTCCTCCATGGTCGAACCGAGAATTAACTTGACCTGATCGGCCAGACCTAGTTTATGGCTCTTATCCTCCACTGGCTCCTCGTGATATATACATGTATCGATCAGGTGTGATTTTTTTACTGGGGTATATTCGAGTTTCTGATTAGGAAGGTGGCACCAGTCAGGTCGCGATAGGTCAGCTGGTGTTTGCGGTGTGGGAGGCAAACTTTCGTCATCGTCTTCATCCGTGCTTCCGTTTGTCGTAATTGTATTTGTACTGCGTCGACTGCTTCCTCCGTAGCTGCGATGACTCTTACGATCATCGGATGGGGATATCTCGGCAGAATCTCGACGACGAAGAATAAACGATGTCAGTCGCTGCTTAACTCCCATGGACGGGCGTCTGCTGACGTTATCGGTGGAGATAGTTATTGAACTGTGAGAGAGATAGCGTGCTAAGCCCGAGGAACGACGTTGAGGGGGGGAGACCGACATGGGATAAACAATGAGTTAAAATTATCAGGCACAGAAGGCGAAAAAAAAAGAGGTGGGATTACAGATTGTAAAATAAGATAAAAGAAAAGGAAAACCGAAAAAAAAAAGCGTTAAATCGATGATGTAAAAAATCAGTAAGAAAAGAAAAAGGTCTGTTTGTTGCCTTACTCCGATGAAAATTCCACATCATGCACGAATAGAAACTTCGGCTCTTTTCATTTTGCGGGTCCGCCGGAAAAGGCTTATTGCCTTTTCTAGGCAAGTCTCCCCCGTCCTTTTTTTTTACTTCCTATCGCTTCAGAAATAATGATTGGAAAAGAGCCAATCGCATGGTTTTCCCATATTCTAGATCAGAAACGATAAAAAGAAGAGGATTCTAGACATGTAAAGCAGTATTCAACAAAACACTATGGCAGAAACAAATTTTGAAACGATGCCAAAGGTTGACAATCACGCCACCAAAGAATCCTGAAAATCAAGCCTACTGCAAACCTTGATTCGATTCCACTACATACTCGCAATTCATAATAAAAAAAAAAACCAGAATAGACCGAATATATGGATGGACTCTGTTTTTTTTATTCTTTTTCATCATTATTTTTTTCTTCCGTAGGAGAATCTGCCGCGGCCGATTCTTCAGTTGCAGGTTCCAGATCTTCTTTACTTTCATTTTCTTCTCTTGATTTCTCTTCCTTCTCTTCCGCTTCCGTCTCCTTCGTGTCGGTCTCTTTCGCTTCCTCCCCTATCGCAGCTGCGGATGCTTGTTGTCGTTCGGTATATAAACGCTTCAAAAGATCCTGATCCTTTTGTTTTCGCAATCGGTCTATTTCCAAGGCGCCGCCTGTCTTCTTGAGCTTCTTGGAGTCCACAAAGTCCGTCAGTTCTTTCTCGAAATCATCAATGCGATTGGCTACTTCTCGTTGTCGCATCTTATCCGCTTGTTCCAACGCACGCAAGCGACGATCGTGATCTACATCGATGGTCGCTACTTGCTTCAGTACACTCGACATGCCTTCAAATCCTTCTTCTGCCGGCGCCACTCGGAACTCGCGCTTCACCGGTCTTGCCTTGACCTGATAAGCGTAAATTTTTTCCAGCTGCTCAAACACTTCCAACAGCGCATCCAGATCGTCTTTCATGTCCAACAGTAATCCCTCCTGTTCCTTCAACGTTTGTTGTTCCTTCACAATGGTTTGCAGCTCTTGTTCCCATGTCTTCTTCCACGTTGGCTTCACTTTCATAATATAATTGCCAAACTCTTCAATCTCTTGCGCCAGTGCCTTTCGTTCTTGAGCACAGTGCGTCATCTGCACTTCCGATGGACGGCACTTGCGCGTCGTAACATCCGTCTTGAGCTGATCAATGGTATCTTGAAGATCCTCTAGTCGTGCCGTGATTTTGTCGGAACTTGTCAAGAGTTTGTCCTTGCCCTCTTCAATGAATAATCGTGCAGCGGATCTTGCCATTTGCTTTTGCTGCGCATCTTGCCCCTGCGCTCGTAATTGCTGGGACTTGCTCTTCAATTCTCCAATCACACTGTCTGTTCCTTCCTGTAATTCATGCTGATATTGACGAAGGATAGCCATATCCCGTCGTAATGCATCCACCTGGTCCAGGTGTGATTTCAACTCCGTGACGGATAATCCAATCGCTGCGGAAGCCGCCGGCGATGTCGAAGCAAGCGATGCCACCTCAGTCTCGTCCACCGTTACGTCGTTGGACGGAGGTTCATTTGGTTCCTCCTTGCTCTCTTCTTCGTTGTCGGCAGTCGGCGTTTCTGTCACCTCCTCCGTCGTTACCAATGACGGTTTTTTGGCGGATAATAACTGGCGAACTTCATCCAAGACTTCCCGCGATGCCGACCCTTCGTGTATATCCTTTTTCAGTTGCTCCAATTCTTCCATGAAAATGCGTCTAAATTCGGCCATCTCTTTTCCTAATGCATTGGCCACCAGTTCTATCCGCTGTTTCTCATCTTCATTTGAACCGTCCTTGTCTGTAAAAAAAAAATACGCAACTTAAAATTCCTATCCTTTGCAGCGCTACTTGTGCCTGTTTCACGAAAAAAAAAACACTTGGGTCCATCGGGAAAAAAAAAGGCTTACCTGTTATATTGAGTGACAGCACACAGCTGTTTTTCACCTCGTCAAGATTTTCAAGTTCGTAAGAAACACCGATGGAGGGGTCTTTCACATAGATGCTGGGGAAATCATTCTGCCGCGAAGAGTAACCGAAACGCTCAATAAAAAGCATGCGTAACGCAGGCATGCTGATTTCCCCACTGTAGTACACCTTTTTCGTCTCGTTTCCAATTTGAAGGTACAATGTTAGACCTAAAAACCATCCGAATTCAGTATAACCTAGATGGTGGAAGCCGCATTACATAATCTACCTTCATCGGTTTTTTGACGGGTGCTTGTAGGTTCACTCGTCGTTGTTTGATCAGTTGATTCTTTGACCGTTGCGAGAGTGGATGATGGTGGTTCGATCTGATGACTGTGTGACGGTAGAGGAGGGACGGGCGGTGTGTCTGCGTGAGCACGTTTGGGAAAGTAGTCGCTGGCTCCATTCGCTCTAAACATGGAAGCGCGTCGTACAGAGGAACGCCGCGCCAGATTTTCTTGACGTTTCAAAGCCGCCAAAGCGCTCGCTGTGTTTGGTTCGTTTTCGTCAAATTCGGTCGATATTTTGGAAGATGAAGAAATCGAAGGTGCAAAGGCAGAGGATGGAGGAGGCGGTGGTGGTGGAGGAGGTGCTTGAACATTCAAAGGAGAATTCGGCAGCCGAGAACGGTTGTTGGTGGATGACGAGGAAGATCGTGAGGGTGATGGCATCCGCGTAGGTTGGAAAGAAGGCGATCCAGGTATAGGAGGTGAAGTGGGACGAGTAGAGGGACTGCCCGTGCGTGCGGGATAGTACTTCATCCGTGCAGATTCCGACGACGTCGACGGTCTAGGTATTCCAGCCACATATGGATCATAATCCGAAGGCGTCAATCGGCCGGAAGGAAGTTGAGGTGGCGAACTCGGTGGATAGTACGGTCGGGATCCCTGTGCTGGATTCTGCCCGGCCGAACCACGAGAGAGCGCAGCAGGCGGGACGTCACGATGCCACGAGTCAGTCGAGCGTACGGAGTCGTGCGAAGAGAGTGACGTTTCTCGCTCCCGTACTTGTAACTGCTGTTGTTTGCTCTTGAGACCGTGCAATAAGTGGACAATGACATCACGAATACGTGGCAAATGCTGATTCAAAGTCATGGGCGAAGCTTCGTCGTTCATGGCCAGTGCTACCGAGTCGCGCAGCTGACGTGGAATCCAGATCAAATCGCTAGTGTTTGCGAAGAGTAAGAGAAACAGAACATATCAACAAGTGTATATAGGCTGTTTACCTCATGGGCACTGAGACATCTTCAAATGCTCGAGATACGACATGAAACTGATTCTCTAGCGTTTCGTACAGATCAAAGATTTCCCCTGTGGTGACGTGATTTTGCGACCACATGGTCAGTGCTTCCAATAAAGCCTTGGTAGTTCGAAGAAGCCTGGTCACAGCAGGCTCAATTTCAGCAGACTAAACGGTAAAAGTTGAGACTCACGTATTTCACAGCATGTCCTGACATCTATAAAAAAAAAAAAGGTACCTTTCCTCTGCTTCTCGATCGGTTGACCATGTCCGGTCGTCGAGAAGCGGATGAAGCCGCATATCCTGAATTGTCTTGCTCCATTGAAGACTAGCAAGCTCTAACGACAAAATAATGAGATAATGCTTTCCGTCCTTGGAATAGAAGAATAAAGAACCGATCCAAAAAAAAAAATCACCCCTTGTGCTTATTCAGTGCAACGTGACGTTAAGCTTACCCAGCCAATCATCTCACAAGGCTTTGGCCTTTTGCATCTCATTTTTGTTTAAAATCAAAAAAAAAAGTCCTCATTCAATTGGCTTAGATTCCTTAAAAGTTTATCATCTGGAGGTACTGTACGCTACAAAGACCAATGGAACAGTTTTGTCAATTCGGTGATCTGTTTAACGCGTTAGCCTCCTCTTATAAGTCTAAGTTCAACTCTTACATATAAAACGTCTACATACAATAAATCACACTAGTGCGTGTGTATTCTTCTTTAACTATTGCCCTTAAACAATGATAGGTAAAAGGCCAAATGCTCATACTTGTTTCCTTTACCTTGTGTCGCCCGGGAAACAAAACCGATTTTGTAAGACACTGGGAGTTATCCAACCGGGTACGTAAACCCATGCTATCCGGCCAAACGACCTTGTAAAAATGCAACAGAGCTTGCTAATGTCTTCAACTGCAATTTTCTTACAATCATGGTTTATCGAGAGACGAAAAACGAATTTGTCTGTTGGCTCAGGTTGGGCAGATCATGACGGGTACACTATCCACGAAGGACCTTGTGATCAGATCATAAAACCATTTCCCATGGGTTTATTTTTAAGTGATTCATGGTTTTTTTTTATTTTATTGTAAAGACATGCAATTTCTGGATTGGGTGTACTCAGTAAGTGATACTCACAGCTTGGAAAAATAATATAAGTTAAAAGTTATGCATTCCAATGTCTTTCTTTGTTCATCTCTTTATCTGCTCAGTGAGCCAAAAGCTTACAACTGGTGGAACAAGGATGGGAAAGAAACAGAAAGCGGAAAATTTAACCATGGTTCAAATGCCGAGTCACAAAGTTTCCCTTGGACAGAAACAGAAAGCTGCGTTTTCTTTCTTCTCTTGACTGAATGCCGTGTCATCTGTGATCATCATGAGCTTTACCAACTTATCAGAAAGCGGCAACTTTTCTCTTGGTGGCCTCTTACTGGTCGTTTTATGCGTTTACGCTATGATCGGTCGACTGGTTCGCATATATGCATTTCAACAAGGCAGCGGCCATCCAGCATTACGTCCACGATTAGTGGTGCAAGTCGTAGTCCTGGGCGATATTGGACGTTCACCGCGCATGCGGTACCATGCTGTGTCACTTGCAGATGCAGGTTGTATGGTGGACCTTATTGGTTATGTAGGCAAGTAACTCGAATTCATATATTTCATGCATAATTGAGGAGATCAAAAAACACCCCCCCCCCAAAAAAAAAAAAAAAAGAAGACAAGGCTCACTGATATGGGGTTGCAGAAACACCGGTAGGAAGCCGTATCTCCACCAACCGCCGTATCCGTGTACGACGCATTCGACAACCATGGAGTGTCCCAGAAGGCTGGCCCAAACTCGTTTATCTCTTGTGGGCCCCTTTCAAAGCTGTCTTCACAGCGGTTCAAATGCTTTGGTTCTCTGGATGCATTACGCAATACCCCGACTTTATTTTTGTTCAGGTATGAAATACAACATCCTTTATAGGATGCGTAACCTAACGGTTCACATGGATCTTAAAGACTTTTTTTTTGAATTTCGTGCTTATCCATATATCAAATAGAATCCTCCTTCGATCCCTACTTTGGCGGTAGCGCGAATAGTCCAATTCTTCCGACAATCATGGCTTATCATTGATTGGCACAACTTTGGTTACTCCATTCTGGGAGTCAAACTGGGTATGCAACATCCGGTAGTCAAGTTTGCCAAATCGTATGAGCGTTTCTTTGGAAAGAAAGCGTACGCCCACCTTACAGTCACTGATCGTATGAACAAAGAATTGAGTGAATGGAAAGTCCAGTAAGTCGTCACCCTTATCAAGCATCAATGATGGGTTCTTCTCACGCGCCACCACCTTTCTTCTTTGGTCTCACAGAGGAAAGTTAATCACCTTCAAAGACCGTCCGCAATCTCATTTCTCACGGTTGACAATGGACAAAATGCATCAGGTGAGAGTATAATGATAACTGTCTGAAGATTGCACTTGGCTTATATCGTGGGTTGTTGATAGTTTTTGACCCAATTCCGCTTGGAAGAGATTGTTAAACGAGAAACCTTTGATGCGGCTAATTTTTTGGGCAAGATCGATCCGAATTCGACCATTTTGACCGAAAAGTTGCCCAATGGCGAAGTGATATTCCGTGCTGACCGACCGCGATTGATTGTGTCTTCCACTTCATGGACTGAAGATGAGGATTTCAGTATTTTGCTGAAAGCAGTAGAGAACTATGAACGTGACGCGAAAGAAAGCGATCCCAAATTATTGTTCGTCATCACCGGTCAGGGTCCTTTGAAATCCATGTACGAGGAAAAGATTTCCATGATGAAGCTGAACAAAACGCGTATTGTAACGGCATGGCTCGAAATGACGGATTATCCACAACTCCTGGGAAGTGCCGATTTGGGTATCTCTTTGCACACCAGTTCAAGTGGCATGGATCTGCCAATGAAGGTTGTTGATATGTTTGGATGCGGTCTTCCTGTGTGTGCTGTTGCATTTGAATGGTAATATGATTGTGCCTGAATCGGTTGAAATTGGGTTTTTGCTTATCAAGATGATCATTTGTAGTCTTGATGAATTGGTGACCGACGGAAAAAATGGGCTCGTATTTAATAACAGCGGAGAACTTTCGGATCAACTAACGGTAAGTCCGATGAAGCAGGAAAGCTTCTTACCTTATTTAATAGGTTGTTTTGTTATCGCTTGCTAACGGACAACGATGCTTTTAGGAACTGTTTGTTACTCATCCATCGAAACTGGAAACCATACGCAAAAATGTTTTGGAAGAATACGCCAATCAAACATGGCAGAAGCAATGGGCGAGAATCATTGGCGACATGTTTCCTCAGCAAAATTCGTAAACAGTAATTGTACTCATATTTAGCATCAGTGAATCTTTTGTTACGGTGATTTTTGGATGTCAATCGGTAAAATGGTTGCACAAAACCCAGATAGGAATATTAAAACAAAATTCACCCTTCCAGAATGGAACAAACGATTGGCGGCATTGTCGGATCTGTCGCCGACGCTGAGGCACCGGGGATGATGGAGTGGTTCATAAGAGAAGCAGGATATGTCGTGTCACATAAGATGATTAAATGAGCTTGTGTTTTGATGCTCCCTTTTTTTTATACCTCTTTTACTTTGGGTCTTGCAACTTGATTGACTCGCAGCTTACTGAATTATGGGTAATCAAGCCAGTCGAGTCATCCACAAGAAAAAAGAGCGGACCAAAAAAATCAAGCAAACACGTCGACGGAAACACAGCGGAGTCAGCTCAGAAGATCGATCTCATTTTTCAGGCACCGTGTCGCAAGCAAGCAGCGCGTATTCGCATGGAGACTACGATTGGCTCGAAGGAACCCATACGCGTGCTCGACCGACGATATCTTCATCGAATAGTACAGAAACGTCCATCATCGGAAACGGCTCGATCAAAGCATCCAGCCGAATCACCACTGTGACGTCGTCGTCATCAACTCATCGGTCAACAGAGGCGGTCCTTGATCTTGGCAATGGGCTACCATATCCCATGGTTCGGGGTCACGAAGAACATCGGGAACAAGACCGATTACAACGACAGGTATGAACTATCATTGCCCTTCCCTGTTTGATACTAATGCTCTTTATTTTGTTCTCCATTGACCATTGTTAGCATTACTTGCTCAAAAATGCACGAAAGGCGAATGCTGTGACATCGATTCCGGATCACAGCATGATCGTCGATGTCGGCACAGGCAACGGTATATGGGCTTGGGAGATGGCCAACGAGTTTCCGAGCTGTCAAGTAGTGGGCATTGATAGGCGAAAACCCTCCGAACAAATAAGTCGGTGCAGCAATCTATCCTACATCGAAGCCAGTATTTTTGAACCGTGGCCTTTGGCAGATAATTCAGTGCATTTGTACGTTCTTCCACCGAAGGGTATAATTTCGGTTGGTCTAATTTGGCATTATCCATGAACAGCATCTTTCAACGGAACATGGGACAAGACATACCAAAAGAGAAATGGCGTTTCATCCTCACGGAGATGCATCGAGTACTACGATCAGGGGGTGAGATAGAATTGCTGGAGCCTGATCTTTGGCATCATAATCCCGGCCCTGTGCAGCAAGCTTTTGACAAGTTCTTTCAGGACCTTTGCATCGAAATGAGCATCAACTTCACCTTTACCGAATCGTTGCAGCAGGACATTCAAGAGGTCGGTTTCCAAAACGTTCAACAACACTCCTTGGATATTCCTATCGGTGAATGGCCACAAGATCCAGGTATGCCCTCGTCTATCAAGCGTTATCACCCCATTCTCACATGTTCATAACCTGTTGGGTTCAATAGAATTAAAGCAGTTTGGATTTATGAACAAAGAAATTCGCAAGAGTTTTCTCAAAAATAGAAAGCCATTCTATACCAGCAAATGGGGTTTCACGTCTGATAAATTCGATATCGTGCTTCAGGAGCTTATGGATGAGTACGATGAATATCATGGATTTTCTAGATTCAACTGTTGGACAGCTAAAAAAGTAATGTAATAGAAAGCTTTTTTTTTTCGCATGGTGGCCCTCTTTTTTCTTTAAAATGAATAATGGATTTAATAATGAGATACTTGTTAAACATTAGTTGTTGGGAAGGATAAGAAAAATAAGATTAAGGTAACCTATATTACAAGACTATGCTTTATAATTGAAACAACAGAAAACACAGCTAAAGCTCATAAAACAATGGGGATGGGAAAGAGCTGTATAAAAAGAATAACATAGAGTAAAAAAAAAGTATGAGGTGGGAAAGAGCAAGTTAAAGGGGATGGGAATTTGTAGTTCGAATGTAATGTGAGAGTTAAATGATACTCGAAGGTTGGGAAAGCTAGTAATGCGGAGGTGAAGGTCGATACAGGGGTGAGCGTTGTTGATGATGAAAATGAGGATTATAATGGGGGAAACCTGTCCCTACAGCTGGATTTGCGGATGTGGATGATCGATGCTATTCAAAATAGTAATTTAGTTGAGACATTCCTGTGTTTTAAAATTTTTTGGAACGTACCATGGGTCGTGAATAGGGTTGCGTAGGAGTTCGGTGGAAACGATGAATGGTCGATGGCCGAGAAGTGGCCACATACGATGAGGATGCAGCCGAAGGTCGGGAAAAAGAGGGTGAACGGTTATAGTAAAAACCAGCGGCTGAATTATCACTCGACCATCGACTCGTGTTTCTCTTGTTGGCCTGCTGAAAGGAGTGACTTTTGTTTTGTTGATTCTCTGCTTCGGCGGCTGTGAATGCCTTAATTTTAGCGGCCGCTTCTGCTTTCGCTGCTGCGAGAAGTTCCGCTTTTGCTTTTGCCTCTGCTTCGGCTGCTGCTGCCTTGGCTTCTGCTTCGGCTTTCACCGCTGCTTCGGCTTCCAACCTTGCTTTACGTTCTTCTTCTTCTTGCAACATTCGACGACGTTCTTCCTCTGCTTTGGCGGAATCCTCTTGCACCATGCGTTTAATTAGCTGGAAAAGTCGATGCTTCTCTTCTCGCAATTTCTCCAACTTCTCCAAAATATCGGCTTCTGTCAAGGGTGGAGTGGTCGGTGGAGCTATTGTCGCCGCTGCTGACGGCTTGGCTTCTTGTACTTGTTCCATTGGTAGAGATGACGGTAAGGATGGCTCATATTTTACAGATGTCTTGTCATTTGTCAAAGATTCAAAATGATCCGGCGGAGGACTTTCTACAGGCGGACTAGGAAGACCGCCATGACAACGATCTAAAGAGCATTGCTGTTTCTTCAACTGCAAAAGACTTTCAGAATGTTTGCGCTTGTATTGTCGAGCGATAATATTTCGTATAGAGTCAAGTCGCTGCGACGGTTCCAAGTGATAAGTCACAATTTCTCTGGTTAGAGGAGTTTCGTCGATTTCGAATATTTTTTCAACCATTCACAGATAAAGAAAAGAATATGAACGATAAATAGGAAAGCAAAATAAATAAAATAAAAAAAAAGAGAGAAAATAAGCGTTGCCCGAAACTAGAAGGGTAAAAAAAAAAAAAAAAAAAAAAAAGAAAGGAATTTTTCGGATCGTCGCTACTGGAAAACATTTGCTATGTTTTAGTCATTTTCATTTTTTGAAAATGTTAGTGCCCTTTTGGCTCCCTTTGCCTTTCCAAATCGTTTTTTTCATTTTCCACCGTGTTGCATTTTCTTTGTTTTTTAACCTCGTTAAACCATAACTGATCTGTGACATTGTGTCACTATGAAAAATAAAAGAGAGAGAAAAAGGAGGGGAGGAGAAGCCAAGTTTGATGTGGCTATATCCATCATTGGACCTCACGGAAACAAACATGCGTGCCCAGTAGGGGACGGTCAACTTTTTTTTTGACCTGCTCCGTATAAACGAATCCTATCTGCACATTATACGGGATGACTAGGATCCTACCTACATTTTGCATGGAGGATACAGAAAGTAAGAGAAGGAAACAATAGACGGAAAAAAGAACTAGACTTTGATTGATTTCTTTCTCAAACCACCACGCTTTCGCTAAAAAAATTTTCTACTCTTATCTCATCCAATCATATTTTAGCATACAAATTTCATGTGCAACACTAATCTCAGAAAAAACTTTTGAGAAACCGAAAATAAATAGAAATGCAAAGATCACAGCTTTTTTTATTTTTTTTTTTTTTTATTTTTTTTATTCCGATCAATGATTCAACGAATCCTTTCAAAACGGTATCCTATAAATATATCGAACAGCTCTTTTGAGAATTTTTGACGTCCTTCCTTCTAAGCCAACAGTTACACTATTTACAAAAATCAACAAGTCATGCATTTATTTTTTTCTTGGTAATAATGTTCTCGATTCACGTATCTCACTGCTTAACGGTAGCAACCACTGTAGTTTGGTTAATTTGCAGGACACAATCTTGAAGGCAAGGCGATGAATGAGGCTTGTCAGTTCTGTGGAATCATCCATGTGTCGCTTTCCATCAGCTTGAAAACTGAGTGAGACATCATGCTTCTTGCCTGCTTGCCGATGTGCATTTTACTGTTCTGAATGGCACGTCTATACCACTGGAGACTTTACGGCGAAGCACCCATATCACCACACAACGCCTTTTTTTTCTATATACGTTTTATCCAAAGAATGGACAATCAAGAACATTCACTGAGAAAACCACCCAGGTGGCATCTTAAAGAGCAAATTGAATGAGTCCAGCATCAAAGGCTAAATCCTCTTTGTGCATAACAATTTTTACTACACGAAATCAAAATATTTTTGAACCGAATCCAGGAAAACTATTGAAGTTATAGTTTTGTATCAACCCTCTTTGTCCCATCCGGCAATCCGGCCATGTGGTCATATGGGCCGTTCTATCAGACCTTCCTATAGATATTCCACTTTCTGCTGTTCGGCAGGTATTTTTATTCATGCCCATTTTCAATGGGTGATCTTCTGAATGGTCTGCCGTCAAACAAAGTTCCCATAATCGGCAAGACTTCAGTATGCAGGCAGATATTTCCCTGTGGCTTAAGATCACTGTATCATTCATCTGTGCCTCGGTGATAGCCTAGGACGAAGAAAGACGCACAAGTCAAAGCAGCCATGGTCAATTTTCCAGAACCTCATAAGGAGCCAGAGACATACATTTCACGTGTGCTCTCAACACACGGTGCATGATACACCTGCCAAAAAGTTGACCTCTGACCTTCTCTGTTCCTGGGACTGTTTTTTTCAATTGAAAGCTGCTGAATGATATACAGCTCCTTTCCTTAGATTGTGCTTGAAATACTCTCTCAAATTCGATCAGGCGGAATCCAGGCAACTGTCTTGAATAGGCTCATAGTTACGGTTTGAAATGACCAGTGCCGCACATCCGCATTTGGCCACTTTTTGGTAAATTTGGATCTCCGACAGGGTCAGTGACGTGCCCCATTGAATTTTTGACAGTAACAAAACCCGAGTTTTTTTCAGACGAGCACGCGTAGTGTCATCTTGGGCTTTCCTTCTGCAACCGAAATAATGGCCGCATCTATTGATCCCAACTCGGCTGTTTATGCTACCGATGAATATGGTAGACCATTCATCATTGTCCGTGAGGGACAGAGAAAATCAAGATTGAGTGGCATCGCCGCTATTCGGGTTTGTTGATAAAAAATACACTCAACCTCCCAACTGTCAAATAATTTTAATGTCATCCGTCTTCAAAAACTTTCATCTAGTCCCATATTTTAGCTGCCAAAACCGTCTCCAGCATCATCAGAACTTCGTTGGGTCCTCGAGGTGAGATGATGCCACATATTTGTTTCATAGACCTTGCAAGCTCAACTGATCCATTGGAATAGGTCTTGACAAGATTCTCATCTCTCCTGATGGTGACATCACGGTGACCAACGATGGTGCCACTATTCTTGAGCAGATGGAAGTGGAACATCAAATCGCTAAGCTCCTTGTCCAATTGTCCAAGAGTCAAGATGACGAGATTGGTGATGGTACTACCGGTGTAGTTGGTAAGTGGATTTTCGGGAGAGAAGGGGTTGTCAATTGTTCAGATTATTTATCCTGCTCGGTTTAGTGCTCGCTGGTGCTCTTTTGGAACAATGCGAAACCCTCTTGGATCGTGGTATTCATCCTATTCGTATTGCCGATGGTTTTGAACGAGCCTGCGGGGTGGCTATCAAGCACTTGGACGATATTTCGGATACAATTGAATTCAGCAAAGAAAACGTCGCCAATTTGAAGAAAACGGCCATGACCAGTCTCGGCAGCAAAATGTAAGTCAACATTCTAATGATAATGAGATGATGCTGACTGATGCATGCGATGTTGGTAGTGTTTCCAAGTGTCATGAACAGTTTGCCGATATTGCCGTCAATGCTGTTCTCTCTGTGGCTGATTTGGAACGCAAAGATGTTGATTTCGAATTGATCAAGGTGGATGGCAAAGTAGGAGGTTCATTGCAAGATACCGTTCTCGTTCAAGGCGTCGTTGTCGACAAAGACATGTCACATCCTCAGATGCCGCGTGAAGTTCGCGATGCCAAATTAGCCATCCTCACCTGTCCCTTTGAACCCCCACGTCCCAAGACCAAACATAAGCTCGACATTACCTCGGTCGAAGAGTACCAAAAATTGCAAGAATACGAACGAGAAAAGTTCTCGGACATGATCCAAAAGGTGAAAGATTCAGGAGCCAATTTGGTCATTTGTCAATGGGGTTTCGATGACGAAGCCAATCACTTGTTATTACAAAACCAATTACCCGCTGTACGATGGGTGGGTGGCCCTGAAATTGAATTGATCGCTATTGCCACCAACGGTCGTATTGTCCCTCGATTTGACGATCTGTCACCGGAAAAATTGGGCCATGCCGGCATTGTCCGCGAATTGTCCTTTGGTACCACCAAGGACCGTATGCTTGTGATTGAGGAATGTGCCAACACCCGTGCCGTCACCGTTTTTGTACGAGGTGGTAACAAGATGGTAAGCCAAATCGATTGTTTTTCACATGAGCCTGTTATTGACGATGATTTCGACCTCCCTATTTCTCTTTATTTAAATAGATCATCGATGAAGCCAAGCGTTCTCTTCACGATGCCATTTGCGCTGTTCGCAATTTGGTGCGCGACAACCGTGTCGTATACGGTGGTGGTGCCGCTGAAATCAGCTGTTCATTGGCTGTAGCCAAGGTGGCCGATGAATTGTCGACGATCGAGCAATATGCCATGCGTGCTTTTGCGGATGCCTTGGACGCTACCCCGTTGGCGCTTGCCGAAAACTCTGGTCTTTCTCCTATCGAGACCCTGGCCGAGGTGAAGGCACAACAGGCAACCACTGGTAACCCGCGGTTAGGTGTCGATTGTCTTTACAAGAACAGCAACGACATGAAGGAGCAACATGTGTATGATCCATTGATCTCCAAGCGTCAGCAATTCCTTTTGGCGACACAGCTTGTCAAGATGATTCTCAAGATTGATGATGTGATTACAACCGGTGCTGATGAGTAAAGACAGAGGGAACAGAAAAAAATAACATTGTGATTAATTTGCAAGCATAAAGCATTCTTTTTTGTGGACTTGGTTTTTTTTTATTGGAGAGTTAAAAAAAAAGGTGGTGATTGTTCTTTTTGGTCCCATTTTTTGAAGGGGGACCATCCCAGCTAAGAGCGAGGACAATGACACGATTGGGTTTGTAAATGGGAAAATACAGGCATGAACTTCCTGACGAATAACCTGGGAGTCTCGGCCAAAAAAAAGGGATGCGCGCTGGGCAAAATGTGGTGCACAGACGCAACTTTTTTTTTCTTTGATTTCAATCATTTCAACCTTTCCCCCTCTAAAACAGTAAGGCTGAGGTGCACTTCGGGAGTATCTAAAGTGTTTTAAATATCAATAAGGCCATCAAAACGGGTGGCTAAAATTATCAAGCGTCGTGGATGAAAACAGCGTTGCAGTAAAAAAAAAAAAAAAGAGGTCGCTGATCACGAAAATGATACCAAAAAAAAATACCATTTGCCACACCACTGTGTGCCTGAGCCTAATTTGGCGATACTCAAGCCGGGACCAACCAAAAAGTCATCTTTCCAGGGAACATCCTTGTACACATCAGCTTTGCCTGTTGGACTGTTTGAACCGTGGTGACAAGGTTAAGCTGAAGGTTAGGTTCAACACGATGGTTATCCTCTCCACTCTATCCGTGTTTTTTCGTGGCGATCGAGCTGTTGATTGTGGCCCTTTGACGGTGGTTTTTTTGATCAAGAAAAGTGTGTTCTCTTCTCTACAACATCCCGAAATGGCGGCCATCTCTTTCCAATTCATTCCATCTCCATTGCCAATTCAACATGGGCTGCTGAATTAATTACTGCAAATTCCGCCGTACGAATCACATTTTAACGTCATACCGTTGGCTCCTGACCAAGACGCTTTGCAAGTAACAAGGAGAAGATTTCGGGATGGAGCGTCTCCTTTACAATTCCCGCGACGCCAGGATTTTTATCGACAAGAAAACACCGAGGCAACTTTGGCTGCTTTTCACAACCAAGTCCTACGTGTTTCCTGCCATCAGCCTATCGTCACTTCGACAACTCACCGCTGGTTTCGGCAACGTCTCCACCTTATATCCTTGTGGGTAATCCTACAACAACTCAAAACTGTTGCCTGACTATCCCAGGCAACAATCTTCATCCTCTGTGACGTCCCAAGTAACCAAGCAACTGTTGGCCGACCACCAAGGTTTTTTCTTGTGAATGCGGGGCTTGGTCGTGTACAGAGGGGCAGCACCCTATTCCTACGAATGGCTTTTCCTCTCTCTTCTTGAAGAATTGGCACGGCTGTTAACGAGGTCTCGGCAAACAAGGTGCCTGCCATTGGATTGCTTTGACGAGATTTGCAAACGACCTCTGATATTTACCTGGGCAAGCGCTTGCCATAATCGTTGATTTGGACCAGTTACAAAACTGGGCGGAACAAAATTCCTGATTTCATAGCAATCAAAGAATCTATGATTGCAAAACTGGAACAACCTCGGGACTCTCCTCTCTCGCTGATGTTTTACAATGACCCTCTCCGGGAACGATCCGATACCTGGCAACGGGCCAGGAACCTCTTCGCTAATTCCTCCACCCCCCTAAAGTGCCCCGTCTCTCTTATGCATCTATCGTACAGAAACATCGTCAATCTCTCATGATAGTGGAGAGTGAGACTCGCCCTTATTTCTCGATAATACTTCCCCCGCGAAAACCGTGCGCATCGTTACGTCCAAGCTTTATCGCGTCGGCGGGTCCCTTGCCTCTGCCGATAGTGCCTTCTTTGATCTTAGCACTGGAAAGCTTATGCAACGCCTCGCTCATTTGTTCCCGAACAACTGTGGTAAACAAATCCTGCGTGAAAGCCCTCGTGTGCTGGCCGAACTCTTCTTTGACCTGGGGCATCTCCATCGACAGTTTCTATGCCACCTAGGCTAGCAGGACCTTTACAATGCGCTAGAAGTCACAGGGAAGCCTCGTTTACGGTTTCCGCATCTCAGGACACCTAGGAAGTATTTCAGCAATTAATGCATGAAACCAATTCTTTGTCCATCTTTTCAAGACTATGGCCCAATACATAGAGGATAATGGTGGTGCTTCCAAGATCAGAATGATTATTCGAGCTGACGATGTCCCAGATCCACGACGCTATAATGCACCAAATGCTTCCGAAATAGGTGTCATTATCGGTGCGAACTCTGGAAGGGATATTGTTATATATACGCGTAGTGACCAACTGACGTCAATCAGTGAGATGCAACGCCTGTATGACCCTCTCCATTACGCATTGATGTTTCCTGAAGGCGACCTTGGGTGGAACATCGAAACTCAATCAACCAGAAACGTCAAAGTCACCGTGATGAACCACTACAGCTTCAGATTGTTGTATCGAAATGATGGACACCGCTTGCACCTCTTTGGACGATTCTTTCAGCAGTACATAGTAGATATGTATGCCAAGATGGAACAAACCGCCTCAATTACCTCCGCCTAAACCAGTCCCAACTGCGTGTTGATGTGTATCAGGCGTACAAGATGCTCTCCAACTTGACGATAACAGCTTGAATTCCGTCGGTCAACCTGTTCCTGCCGTTGTCATTCATCCGCAGTCCTCGACATAGGCAACAGCTATACCAAAATGCGAAGAGTATCGTCAGATGCTTCGGAAAGCCTGAACTATTCATTACATTCACGTGTAATCCAAAGTGGCCAGAGATTCGGAATGAACTTCTTGGTTCACAAACAGTCTCTGATCGACTCGATTTAACAGCACGAGTTTTCCAGCTTTATTCCCTCTATTTTTTCATTGTCAAAAAATAAATTGAAACATGACAATAAACCATTCTCTGCTTCCAGTGTTTTACGCGTGCGTAGTGATCGTTCATTCAGCATACACATTGATTTGATTTCGACTGTATAGCGCCTCCCATTTTTGCTTTTCTTTGGTTGAGACTCCCAACTTATTTTTCTCAAGTGCAACCACATTTTGTCCAGTACATCAATTTTTTAGTCGCCTCAGCTATAATTCAATTTACTCTACCACGTAGTCCTTGGGTTCAGGATCGATGTTGTGCCATTTTATATTTTTCGAGTGCCAAAGCCCCTGGCGACATTAATTTAAAACAAGCTAAAACTGCGACTTGCATTGCCGAGCATGCAAAATTGTTTTCGATTAACCGTTGCGTTCAGATTTTTCAATTGTCCAGCGACATTATTTTAATTTGAATGCGATATTGGTTGTTGGAGTTCTTGAGGGTGCACTCCCCGCAAAATCATTCCTATTCCCCTTGGAAAAAAAAAGCCATAGGGAGACATCGATTTCCGAAGTAAATGCCTGTCATAGTAAGGTAACAAACGTTTTTTGAGCGGTGGACATATCAAAACAGAAGCTTTTCACCGAGGGCATGGATTCAAACCCTATATTGTGTTCGTTACTGCTAAAACAAACCCAAGCTGGGGACAATAAGCAGCGAGAATTAGGACCGCATTACTAAACGCACGGGAACCTAATGACGTGACAGATCCAAGTGTTTCTGTAATATTCGTCTTTTTGATGCAAATGCCTGCATAGAATGCGGGGAATACTTTTTCTCCTCGCGTAGAATAAGGGATCCATTCATTGATCATTGTCCATTAAAAGAGGAAAAAAAAGTGGGATCCATCATTTGGTGAGTTTGGGCAGTATATCACTCTGGCATCAGAGGAAACCAAGGGTTACCCGATGAGGTAGCTGTCTCCAAAACGTTGTTGTACGCCTCCTCTACTCCTCTTTTGGTTCCAAGGAAACTTAAAGAAAAATAGATAAGTTGGAGGGAGAAAAGGAGACAATGCTGTAAGGATAACGTAATAAAAAAGTAGGCAACTCATGCCAATGATAAATTACGAATCAAGGCAAAACTCGAAAAAAAAAATAGATGAAACTGAATAAATGAAAAAGAAAAACCTACAATGGAAGGGATGATCTCGTTATAGTTTGTGCGCAAAATAGATAATGACCGAAGCATCGACATAAAATATGCCAATGAATGAATGCAAGAAGAAACTCGCTCATTCTCATCACTTAAATAAGCAGGCCGTTGTATGGCACTTGGAAAGGCTGGATCAACTCATGTTTTTTCGTCTCTGAATATCTGATTCGAAGCAAAGAACATTGTCGAGAAAAAAAAAGAACGTGCAATGAATAGGAGTGAAATGCATGCTATGATGTGGCAATTGAAGGTTAAACACGGGCACAGTAGGAAACCTAAAGATAGGATGATCCAATCCAAAGACCCCATTTGCTTATATTACCCAGCGTTTTGCATTGCCACATGCAAAAAGGCTAGCCACATCATTCCCCACCCTAAAAAAAGACTTGTTCACTCTGCTGGGATCATCATGATACAAAAAAGAAAAATGTGTTAAGAACGTGACTAGTTATTTTGTTATCTCCTTTCCCACTTTGTTGCCACCCCTCTCTCTCTGTCTCTCTGTCTCTCTCTCTGTTTAATTTGTTTCGAGTTGGTTGGTTTTTTTTTTTTTTCCCTTTTCTGAAAAAAGTATAAGTAACCATGGAAACTTGAATGGTTTTGAAACGCCTTCTCTCATTTTTACTGTCACTTTTCCTGCTACCTTTCCCTTGTTAATCCCTACTTCTTTTTGAAGTGTGTTCCCTCCCTTGATCCTTCCCTTCCCATTCATTTGCTATTCTTCTTTTATATTTTTATTTCACTTTTTTTTTTTGGCATTGTCTGCAACTTTTAACCTACTTCCACCCGTTTTCTCTTTTCTAATCAACTCAAGTATCAATGTTATTCAAATCTGTATATCGTTTCAAAGTTCGCATTCAGGATCGAGCCATCGCCTTTCCTTTACACTTATGTTCCTATAAAGACAAGGCCCCGTTGTTCGATCAATTGGTTGATAAAATTAATAATGTTGTCAAGGTAAATTATACTTTTTATCTACTTCCAACCCGGCCATACTTGAAGCAACCATAGTAAAAAAACTAACCATGATCTAGGATGTCAACATGAACGATTATTATATTACGGACGATCGTAAACGCAGCCTATTACACGATGATAATACACTGTGGGATGCTTTGAGGTTGGTGTCTGACCACCAAATTCTTGAAATTGTTCTATGCCGCAAACAGCCACCCACACCTTGTCCGCAGCGATCATCAGGTAAAATTACCATTAAAAACCAAAATTTTAAAAAAGAAAGAGGAAAAAATTGAGGATATTCTAAATCTTACCATCTCCGGCTCCCTTGATTTTGAAGTTCCGGTCATTAAACCGACCGTGCTCCGATGGACCCCACCTGTGCGTCGCTACAGTGCAGATAACGATTACGAAAAGACGGAAGAGGAACAGTATGCGATTCGAAAGGACTCGGGTATTTCCCTCACCGACGATGAAGAGCCACGCAAAAAGCAACGCATCCTTTCCGATGCCACTCGAAAACTGCCGGAATTGCATCCTTCCCATCGGCCTAGAGAAGGCATTCACCCCCTGGATAGTCGAAGAGCTTCCGTAATTTCCAACAGCTCAACATCCAATCCCATTACCATCACATTACCGGCCATCTCGTCCATCACCTCCACAACTGAACCTATCGATTCCCATTTAGCTCCCATTCAGTCGCGCAGCTCTCCTTGTCCATCTTTCTCAGGTTTACCATCGACCAACCATGGATCACGCAAACAATCGTTGGCTCCCATGCGCACCTCCTTATCCATTGTCGTCCCTACTACCACTACTCACAGCTTAATTACTTGCAGCCGAACACCTAATTCACTTCCTGTCATCAAGACGGCTTCACCGTCGTCCTCGTCGTCTTCTTCGCGAACGTCGTCCTCGTCCACTACTCTTTCCGGTCAATTTTTATGCGAACATGTCGTGGATCGAGCCACAGGAAGAATTTGCGGTCAGACATTCCGTCGTTCCTACGACTTGTCGAGACATCAAACCATCCATCTAAAGAACAGACCCTTTTGCTATTGCAGCCAATGCGGCAAAAAGTTTACGAGAATGGATGCATTGCGACGACACGAACGGGTGCAGGGACATGCACCTAAACAACCGCATCTTTCATCTCAGCGACCTTCAGCGTCTCTTTATAATGCTTCACTTTTGAATTGTACGACGACTCAGCAAACTCGGGTCTAATGCCTGTATTTCGTGCTATTATTTTTGATCTGTTTTCCTTTTCTTTATTAACTCATTAACTTTTATTTTTTGGTCCGTATTCGTATTCTGCTTTTTTTTTTTCCATCTGTTTTTGTGTGAATATGCTGTTTTGTCTACTTACCCTTTTTTTTTCATCGTGATTGTTCATTGAACGTTGATCTTTCAAGTCCAATTGCCCTTCATCTTTAATACAAAAAAAAATATTTCTCATCTCCACTAATCATAAAAACCGGTTCGTTTACATGTTTTACTGTATCATGCAGCGCATACCCAAGGGTCCAGATCGACAGCATGGCCGATCCTTTTACCTCGGATTTTTGGCCGCGTCCTGAGCCTTCTCCTGAGATGTTGATTATCATCTTTTTTTTTTTCCGTTTGTCTGTTTCTGCTATTGTTGATATCTGATTCTCCGCCTTCTCCTTTTTTGAATGGTGCAACAAAAAAAAAAAGAAAAACTCAGTGTACAGGGTATACAGGGTCCATTTCTCGGCAGCATCTATCTATGAACATGCCTCGAAGCATGCTTGCAACGTGTTAATAAAAAAGTCATGGACCCATCAAGCTTTTTTGAGACCTCTTTCTTCATTTCCGTATACAGTAACTACGAGATGCTTTCAGTAACCATCACCCGTGCGCGTGGAACCGGTTCACCAGTATTTCCAGGACTTGGATAGGAGACAAAACGAGAAGATGTGTGAATGGTTCATAAATTAAGAAAACCAATCACAACCATGATACTAAAAACGTTGGATAGGGTGCTGCCTAGTTTTTGTCTGTGTATTTTTATTTATAAGGCGAATGGATAAAAAAAAAGGTTCGTTGCTTGCAAATAGGGGTTTTCGTCTCTTTTGTATGGTCAGGTTGTTCTTAACGACCACCTCTGCCTCTACCTCTTCCACCACGGCCGCGCACCATACCACGACCACGACCACGACCTGCTGGACCTATAAAGCATCCATTTGTAAGCCGTCCGTATTCGGTGACCAAAGGCTCCCCGCTTTCGTCGGTTTCCCATTTCACGTTCATTGATTTGAATTACTTACCATCTTTGCTTTTGGACTTTGCCTTGGGTGTATCGTCAATCAGCAATGTATCTAATGGAAGACTGTCGGGCAAGATAACGCAACGAATATTGTTGCCACGAATGCTGAGGGAATCGAGATTGACGGGATCTTTGCTCTTCACGGTCATTTTGACTGCCTTCAAGTGTGTGTTCATGCTCATGTCAACACCTATAAGACCGTGTCAATTACTTCATATTCAAGTTCAACCTATAAACCCGTAATTACCTGTAATGGTGCCGTGTACGATGGTGCCATTTTTCAATTCGACAGAGACTGTCTCATTGTTTAATTTCATCAAAAATCTGTGGCGGTTCGATAAACAAGCCATGGTTAGTTTATGAGCGAATACTATGAATAAAACACAGAATGAGTCTGCAAAATCTCGTTATTACCTGACCAACTTCATCGTGCCAAGATCGTTTTTCTAAAGAGAGACGGGTGTGCTTCGGCCTTGAGAAACGATTTTGTCACTTCCAAAACGTCGACATAGTGACTGCTATTTCGAAGGGGCCTAAAAGTTTTTTCCAAAAGAATGTCGCATGTCAAAAACTCAAACTCAGGGTTTTTCCCTTACAAAAATAAAAATGACCAACCGATCCATCAGAGCTATATGCCTATTACAACAAAGTGATATGAATAGTGATGCAAGAAACCACTCCAGCCATGCACCCGAGCCTCAATTTTATTGCGAGAGTATACGAGGGAGCTTCATCTGTCCACCAATGATACAGGCGCAACATAATAATAGCAGAATACTCGAGAATATGAGAACTATAGAGTGGATAACGGCTTGCGAATCTCATAAAGAATCATAGACTCTTTTCGATAGTAGGTGCATCTGTTTTGCGGATTGATTCACGTATCACCAAGAAATAAGCAGAACAGCACTTTCTCATGTTGCTGCAGCGTCGCCTAGGCCATTCGATTGACGAAAAAGAATGTCTGATCCAACCATGAACACTGAGCATCCAAATTCCAGCAAAAGGAGACACATTTGTAGCCGGCTGTTACATACTGGCACACGACAAAGGCCGTTGAGATAGCCGACCCAAACAGGAAACAGGCAATGCTGACACCAGTCAACGTTCAATGATTTTGATCTCACCAATATTGTCAGCAAAGTTCAACAGAACCTTTTTTGAAAATATCAAATGAATACGCGTTATTCCTGCAAAGATGCGAGACAAAAAAAAAAGAAAAAGTTGCGAGCAATGAGCCGTCGAGATTAGTTCTCTCAGGAACAAGAAGATAGAAAAGTGAGACAGACGCGAAGCACAGCGTCATATGAATGGCAATAGTTCTTCGGTTCTTTGGAGAGTTTTTCTACATAAAGGCCTTTTATCAGTTGGGAACGAGATCGTTAAGCGCATCCGCATTTTCTATTGGCAGGAAATTTTATGGGTAGTTGTGAAGAAATAATCTACTAGAATTCAATCGATGGACTTTTTCTCTGCAAGACGAGAATTGAGTATCTAGAAGGCAGCCATCGACTCAAGGCAAGATAACTTGCAAAGCGGAAAGAAAAAGTCCATTCAGATAACCGCGCGATCCTGACCTTAATGAAATTCGATTTCCGACGACAAGCCACTTGCACAATGAGCTTTAATTTTCTCGGGCTCCACCCTTTTTTTCCTCGACTTTCAACCTGTCAAGCATAATTGCTACGTACAAAAAAAATTCTTTCGGCCATGGCGACACCTGAAGATACCGTGCCAGCGACCACTCCGGAATCAAAAGAGAATGATGCCAATCATACGGCGAAATCGACTCTTTTCGTTCGTGGTATACCATATGATGCAACCAGCAAGGATCTCGAAGAGTTTTTCAGTGAGGTTGGCCCGATCAGAAAGTGTTTTGTGGTGGCTTCCAAGGAAGAAGGAGCTCCCAAGGAAGGCGAACCCAATTTCAAGAACAAAGGATTTGGTTATGTTCATTATGCATTGGCCGACGACGCACAAGAAGCCCTCAAAACGCTTACTTCCGCCAAGTTTAAAGGGGGTCGAAAACTCAAGATCGAGCTCGCTCGACGACGATCCGAAGCGGCTTCAGCCAACGCCAAGAAAGCAGAATCCAAACCCGTAAAGAAAGCCTTTGTCATCAAACCTACCAAGCCTGTTCAACCTGATGGCACAGAACGTCCCTTTGATCGTGCCGCCCGTTTAATTGTTCGTAACTTGCCTTGGAAATACAGAGAAGACGATTTACAGCGACTATTTTCAGCTCACGGTACCGTTCACGAAGTGCGCTTACCTCGAAAATATGAGGGTGGTCCTCTTCGCGGATTTGCCTTTGTTCAATTTGAAAAAGTCGACGAAGCCGAAGCGGTAAGTAATTCAGACTTGTTCAGGCTTGCAGATTTGAGGTACTTAGTCTGCTTTTTGTTTAGGCCATGAATGCGTTGAATGCTACGGAACACCTTGGTCGAACCATTGCTGTTGATTGGTCTATCCCCAAGGATCGATTCGATCAGATGGAATCTCAAGAAGCGGAAGAAACGACGGAGCAGCCGAGCGAAGAGACAAAAATGGATGTAGATGAGGCTACTAACGACGCGCAAGATGCGGACGAGAAGATGGCCGAGTCTGATGATCAAAATTCGGAAGACGAGAGCGAAGATTCCGACGAAGAAGAAGTCGCTGAAGAGGCTGGATCTGATGCTAACTCTGATTCTGATGAAGACGAGGACGAAGAAGATGATGATGAGGAGGAGGAGGAGGAAGAAGAGGAGGATGAGGATTCAAGCGAAGGCGAAGAAAGTGAAGATGACAGCGACGATGATGAAGAAGAAGAAGAAGAAGAAGAAGAGGAGAACGAAGATGAGGAAATGGAAGAAGTCAGCAAGGGAGAAAAAGTGGAGAAAACTCGCACACCTATCTCTGAAGGTACCACGTTATTTGTTCGTAATTTATTGTTCGAAACCACCGAGAATGATATGAAGCAATTGTAAGTAGCATGAAATGGCGAGTTAAAGTGGGCGAGAAATGGCAACTAATGATCAATTCCCATTCTATTTCAGCTTTTCTCAATGGGGCAGAGTGGTCTATGCACGCATCACAAGAGATCGTGAGACGAAGCTTTCAAGAGGCACCGGTTTTGTGTTGATGCGAGAAAAGGAAGATGCCGACAAGTGCTTGGAAGAAGCGGAAGCATTGAAAGCCATGTCATCAACGGGTCAAGAAGATGACGAAGATGTGATGAAATCCTTAATGTCGAAACGTGAAAAGAAGAAGAAGGGATTAATGTACAATAGTATTCTGACGCCGGACGCCAGCTCCAGTCTTGGTCAAAAATTCACATTGAACGGTCGAGTGTTGGATGTCACCCGCGCCGTGGATCGCAATGCGGCACAAAAGATGAAGGAAGACAAGCAGAGTTTGAAACGTAAGGAGGATAAACGCAACCTGTACTTGATGCGTGAAGGCGTTGTTTTCCCAGATACACCCGCCGCGCAAACCATGACGCCCGCCGAATTGCAGAAACGTCAAATGTCCTTCTCTGCGCGCAAGAAACTTGTGAGCAACAATCCATCGCTGTTCATCTCCAAGACCCGTCTTTCCATCCGTAATCTACCTGTCAAAGTGGATGATACCGATTTACGTAAGCTGGGATTGGAAAGTATCCAAAAGTTCAAAGAACAAGTCAAGGCCAAACTTCGAACGGATTTGACCAAAGAAGAAAAGGAAGACGGATGGCAATACAAACCCCGCGTGAAACAAGCGAAAATTGTACGAAGCAAAGATCGTGTGGATTCGGCCACCAACAAGCCCCGCAGCAAGGGTTACGGTTTCTTGGAATTTCTCACTCACTCACACGCATTGGCAGCATTAAGATATTTGAACAACAACCCCGATCTTTTTGAAGGCAAACGCCTGATTGTCGAATTTTCGCTCGAAAATAAGGAAGTTTTGGAACGACGCAAAGAACGTACTTCAAACCAACACCAAGCATCAGCGACCACCTCTGAAGAGCAAGAATCCGAACAAAACTCGCGCGGATTCCAGCAAAGGGATCACCGTGAACGAGGTGATCGCGGCGATCGAGGTAGCCGAGGTGGCCGTGGAAGTCGTGGAGGCCGCGGAGGCCGCGGTGGTCGTGGAGGACGTGGCGGCCGTGAAGATCGTGGAAGCCGTGAAGATCGTGGAAGCCGTGAAGATCGTGGAGACCGTGAAGATCGTGGAGGCCGTGGAGATCGTGGTGGCCGCGGTGGTCGCGGTGGCCGTGGAGGCCGAGGTGGTCGTGGCGGTCGTGGCGGCCAAGTCCGAAGACCGGTTGAAACTGGAAAAAAGAGACCTTTCAAGAACGGTGACAAGCCTACGAATACCAAAAAGGCCCGAACATAAACCCGGACAATTTACAAAAAAAAAGTAACAATTCATCTCATCCTATCGTATCGTATCCTGCATAGATTATAAAGAAAAACCTGCTTCAATATGATTCACAGATATGTATCACATAAATGAAGAGACAAAATGCATTAATTTCATGGTATAAATATAGATTACAACATATAAATATATAGAGAGCATGTACAGTAAATGTCCTTTTTCCTTTTTGGTTGTGGACAGTTAAAGAGATGGAAATTGATTCCGCGATCAAGGGTCATCGCGGTTGGTACGCAGGTGGAGGGATAGATGGAGCGTCTGGCGTGGGACGGGTTTCGTAGGTCGGACAAGGATACGCTGATGGGGAAAAGGAGGTGACTTCGGGACGTAAAGAATAGGGCGCAGTATCGGTGGAGGCAACAAGACCCCACACGTCGCGGGTCTGGCCAAGGTGGCCCGACAGGGGTAGCATGGGTGGGCCGATATCAAGAACGACATCGTCGGCTGCGGCGCGATACGAAGGTAGCAATTCGCTCATCTCGCAACTGGCTTGCATCTCCATATCGATTTGAATAATCTCTATAATCAAGCTCACCCTGTGCTTACCCAATGGATCGGCAAGATGCAAAGTCTGTGCACTGTCATCATCCCGTAACCTTCGATAACCCCATTTGACCTGAGAATTGATATCATGGGAGGTCATTTCTTTTAGACAGGTTTGAAGAGCATCGTGGAACTGCACAACCACAAAAAAAAACGGCGATGTTTAATTCACCTAAAATAACGAATTATCAGGTACCGCCTCGTCGTTCTTGCCTTGTTTAATCGTAATAAGTAGGTACTCCTCCGCCACGTGGTCCAATATGCAATGATGGCTGGAGCGATAAGAATAAGAAGGGGGTACCATTGCATGATATCTTTGATATGCACAATCACTGCAAATACGCCTGCCAATATGAGAAGGCAAATCGCCAGAGCGAACAAGTGTGTATCGAGCCAAATATGTGGATACTTTTTACGAATGAGTTTCTCAATGTCGTTCATTCGCTGATCAAACGTTTCCTTTGAAAGCTGGTTGAAAAGTTAGCACCGGTGAGAACGTCCGTAACTTATAACTTGTACCGTACATAACCCGGAAGCAGACGATAAACTTCATATTCGGATCGCACTAGTGTGGCCGGTTTCCATCGATGGTTGATGAGAGCAAAACTGGCGAGCGCCATCCAAAATATACTAGTTCAACCACGATATCAACAAAAAAGATAAAAAAAAAAAGGTGGAATACAAAGCAGAGAAAGAAGCACACAAAAAGGGAAATTCCTGGACAGAAAGGAACAGTGAGAAGAATAAAAAAAAAGCGGTATTAAATTTTTCGGACTTGTAAGGTGAGTTTATTCCCGCATCAAGTTATCGAAACAAGAAAAAAAAGAGGTGAAACAATTTCCATAAGAGTATGGTATAGCTGTACGATAGCATTTTGGGATTACTTCTTGTTAACCTTCTCTTAGTTGAGTGCCGATTTGCTTGGCAAACCACCTGATCTATTCATTACGAAAGGAATGCACATCCGTGTCATAAGCTATATCGTTCAGAAAGTGATTGGGTGGCCAATGATACTCACCCTTTACGTTCAACAAGAATAACCATGTTGCGCCATGTATGATATAAAAAAAAGGTCAGATGTTCAATATGAACGCCATGACGGCAAATAAAGGGGGCTGTGCCACTGTTGTTTCTGTAAAGCTGGTTTTACGTTGCACAACTGTCTGCCTTTATTATTTGCGCCATGCACAGTCAATAATCAAAAGCTCATTTCCTGGGTGAAGATTACGCCACAAACCCGATGCTGTTGACAGCTAAAACTGCGCATTTACTTTCTTGTGATGCATTAAGGTTGTTTGTTCAAAAATGCATGAACTGTAAGTATCATTGATGATTTGGTGTCAGTTTTGTTGTCAATCCATTCAATAAGTTTATCTTGCAAGGTACGATAGATGTTGACCACAAAAGAAAAAAAAAGTTACAGCTTAAACCAGCCTATCATTTAAAGATATCAGCAGATCTGTGAACTGGGATGTATCGTGTCACGTTTTGCTCTGTAAAGAAGCTAGTGTCACGGCGGTGACGTGCAAATGGTGTGACATGGAGAGTTTAGTTGGATAGCGGATGATTGCCACTATCGTGAACAAGTTCACAGCATTCGCCTACAAGTGGATGAATGGGTGCCTTTTTACCTAAATCTTTGTCACGTCAGCTTCCGACTTGGTTCATCGCTGCATTAATTTGCTTTTCGCGCCTAACAGGCTGATTTTTATGACGCCGCCACTATCTTTTTGGCTTTTTGGTTTATTCATGCCTCACCTCAAAACCTTTTCAGCTGTTGAAATCTTATATTCAGAGACAACAATATCAACAAGGGTTTACATGACGTTTAGATTATATGATTTATTCCATTGCTTCTATTTTCCTCCAAAACCAAAGTAACTCCAGAGACCGCTCGATGGCTTCTCCACACGTTCGCTCAATGCATCGGGGAATTTAACATAATTGCTGGCCAAATCAAAGTAAAACGGTTTGCAAGCAACAGGTTCGAAGGCGGGAGGGAAATCCACAAGGTAAGGAGTTTGCTTCTCGGCGTCGACGAGAGTCGATGGATATACGTTTAATCGTTCGATCAACGGTACTCGGTTGCCCGCGTCCAAGCGTAATTCATTCATTTTGCTTGAAATTTCTTCTTGGTTGGATCCGTCAGATGCCACACCATGTTCCAAATACCATGTAGCACGTGCCTTCCATATACCCGTTCGGATTTGGTGCTCGGCTTTTTGCAAATCATCCTCGCTGACTGACAGCAATGCATCCTCCGAAAAGCTACCCTTTTGCATCATTTGCTTTGCTTGAACCACATAGGTTTGCGCTCGCTGATACAGAGCCAACGCCTCGGCCGTTTTCGCTGTATCCACATAAGCCCATGCAATATACACACATCTAATAATGAAATACATAAGTACATCCTCCCAGATATCGATCTAATGAACCGAGTAGTTGTACCTGGCTGATTTGTAATAATAAGAGAGAATCTCCAGTTCCCATTCCAGTTGGTTGTCATCTCTCATCAAGGGCAGATCTCTTATAGAATCCACATTCTACATACGCAAAGCGAAGCGAAATGAGTACACTCTTCGTTACCCTGTTACGATCATTCATCCTACTACCTTCAAGATATCATCATACAGCTTGACCAACTCTTGCGGCTTACCCTGACGGGCTTCGACTTCTGAGGCCAGTTGCAGGTTTCGTTGAATGGATCGTGCATATAAATTGTAGGATACATAGCTATACAATAATTCGTAGGATTGCATGGCTTCGGCAGATTTGGACGAAGAAACCTTGGCAATAGCGTCTTTGCTTTCCTTCAACGACTTCTTGACCAATTTTTCGGCGTCAGCCCAATCAGCCAATACCTGATCAAAGGAAGTTTCCTCGCGGCCCGAAGACTCCATCGCCTTGGCAATAGCATCAGCAACGGCTTCATTGGCAGAAAATGTATGTCCTCGCCAAGTGATCTTGGAAAGCGATCTTGTACGTTCCATGCGATTCTCTTGGGTCACCTTTTCCAGCTGTGCTTCCAATAACGCCATGCCCGCCGCATTCTTCTTTCGCAGACTATCGACAATTTCATCAATGTTATGCGCCGAGTTTCCTTCGTCTAGTTGAAGTTTGTATGCGCAGAAACGAATGTTTGGATCAATAGCATCAATAGCAGAATAGCACAAAGCCTCCTGATGGGCATTTTCAATGGCTTGCGCAAAACGTTCGTAAATGGTTCTAATAGCAAAAGGTGTATTAATTTTCTTCTGTTGCCGACTTTTTTTTGCTTTATCCTTTTTATTATTCGATGACATGTCCCTATCGTTGCTCTTGCTTACCTAGCAGAAACAAACTGGTCCAAAGCTTCTTGCCACTGCTGTTGTTCGAAAAGAAGATAACCTTTCATGGTGGCAGCGTAGGCTTTAGCATCCAAGACGGTTCGGCTGTCGACAGTCTGCTTTTCACATTCCTTGTACAGAGTTTCCGCGTATTGACTGGCTCGTTTCAAGCGTTTCGTCAAGTGATGACGTTTTCTCAGGTTCATGCTTGTCGTTGACTCTTGCTTAATTTCCATGGCGTAAGCCCATGCCCGTTCGGTATCGAAAATATACAGATGAAGATAACGTGGATCCGAAAATTCGTCGGGAAGTTCTTTCTTTTGATAGTTTTTCTTATTGTTGGGCTGCGTGAGCTTCAAAGTTTGACGAAGGCGACGCACTCGGTTCGTAACGTGTTCACTAGAGAGGGCAAAAGCTTCATTCAGGAAAAAGGGAGTTCTTGGCTCAATTATTTAAATGATATTTACCGGTAACGTTGATAATCTTGATGTCGAAGACCATAGGTTTGTCTTTCCTCGTTAATGAGGTGCAACACTGTCATATACGACGAACAGAAAGAACAAAAGCAAAATGAGCCACGGGAGTTTATATAAAGCACCCCGCAATTTGTAGGAATGAAGCAACTGTATCTTACCATCGACTGACATGGGAGCTGCGGCCTCAGTCATTTGGACGTCCATAGCGTAAAGCAAAGGAATAAGCGATTTATACTTGTGGAGGCAAGGAAGAAGACCAGGACACTTATTTTCTCAAAAAAGCCATGCAGTTCCATCATCATCTTCCGAAATTTTGGTGAATTGTGACGGTGTTTATAGGAGCGCGCACCAACAAAAACCTGCCACTTGCCAAACAATAGAAAAAGGGAAACTCATCGTTTTGCTTCGTTACCGGACACTTTCGCCATGGTAAGCTGGGATTTTCCTTCATTCTCTTTCATTTGTCAAGCTTTTTATTATGGTAAAAGATTAAAACGCAGAGGATCCTTATTGAAGCAATACATGTGTTTTGCCTTGGCCAAGGGTAACCGACTATGAATAACATGATCCGGTTTAACTTGGTCATCGGCAAAACGCGCTTATAATGTTTGTATACTCATGATTATCAATATAACAAAACGCTTGATATGATACCATGCTTGGCTATTGAATTTTTTCTTCATAACTTTGGATAAATAGTTTGGTTGTGAAAGCATCATCTAACGCGTTGCTTATAGGACAACTCTAGCTGTGTATGACCGCGAAACTCGACTTTTGACAAAGGTGATTAGTGTGCGTCAATATATATGAAGAAATAAAATGGAGATATATCGTACGATCCTGCTACAGTGGCAAGGTTGATTTCAGTCACATCAACTGCGTTCCTCCGTATGTAAAGAAGCATACTAATGGGGAAAGCACTGGGGTGGAGGGGCTTGGAATACTTTATTACAGTTGGTGCAAATTCATCGATCAGTTTGTTGATGAAAGACATCTGTGATATATTTGGTTCTGATTTGCAATACGGTCGATTCCACAGATTCATATATTTCTTCAGCGGCTGGGGCTAATATACCATGTATTTATTTCATGGTATCAATTTTTTATTACATTACGTTGTTTGAAGGATTCATTAAACAACAGTTCATGATCATGTCCCGCAAAAGTTTGTTCCAGCTCACACCTCGAGATTATGGTGAAATCAACGATAAAAGATAATTTATTGACAGTAAGCAAGAAAAAAAAAATTGACATCAATCCGGCGATACCACAGTTTTTTTTGTAAGTTGATACGAATTATGAGCGAGCAACATTTGGAGAGTGGCGGTGGAATATGAGAGTTTTCAAGGGAGTGAGCGCTTCATTTTCTGCAGAAACTGTATATACCGTCTAAAGTGAAAGGATTTTTCGGTTTGGATCGACGCATTGGATGGTGTGGCAGGCTGAAGCAAGCTAGTGGTGTCATTGTATGAATCTTGATCAGAGCTATCATCCATGGACGAGCGTTCAGAATCCTCCTCCAACGATGTACGACTGGGATTTAGCGGACAACGTGCATCGGTGTACATTTGTTGCGATATGAAGGATTGATGCCACATTCGCAGACGAGCCATGGCTTCCGGGTCTATTATGCAGCATTCACTCAGAGGAATATCTTCATCGTCATTCCACGACTTTAGTAAGAGCTCGGATTCGGAGTCATGGATGAATTCCTTGGTCATATTGTAATCCTTTGAGCAGCGATAGTCTTTGATGGTGATGGTCCCATTTATAACCAGCCAGATATTTTTCATCAATGATCATTTCCTATCTTAAGGAGTGCAAAGTGATATCAAGTGATTACTTTGAGTGATCCATCAAAACTGAATATTCTATCAAATATCTAATGCTCCAATCAAGGAACACAAATAATTCTCAATCTACTCAGTTATCTTTGATTCTATTGATTCTCCAAAAATGACAGATATGAAAAAGTCTTGTTGCATGTTGGGGCGGAGACGTTCAGTTTCTCGGGAGTGTCCACTTCGATTACAGAGAAATTTTCATGCAATAAAGGCGATGGATTGATTTTAACATCTTCAAAGGACAAAGTTGACTATGATGCATCATGCTATCGTTGATGTATTGTGTGGTGGCTATTCTCAATATACCATGGCTGCCAAAGAGCGGCTCTTTCACGGTTGCACCAAAAAATCGTGTGCAAGGGTTCGGCATTTTAATTTGTACTTGAGACATGATGTCAGCAATTCTTCGGCGGTCCCGCTTTTACGATAGGCGGGGAAGCGGGAAAGCATATCTTGAACAAAGGCATAACCACGCTTCTTTTTATTCACCATGTCCGCTCGAAAGAAAGTGTTGCTAAAGGTAAGTTTTTCAATGTCGCTGAACAATAAGAAAATGCCCACTCAAACTCGAATTAGGTTATTATTCTCGGCGATAGTGGGTATGTTTCTATAACACACCAATGGAAAACTGTAGCGTTGTGTATCCATCGGCCATATCGTTTTACACAATTTATATAACTTTATAGTGTCGGCAAGACATCCTTGATGAACCAATATGTCAACAAGAAGTTCAGCAGTCAATATAAAGCCACCATTGGTGCTGATTTTTTAACAAAGGAAGTCATGGTCGATGATAAGCTTGTTACCATGCAGGTATGTTTGTTGTACTCAAGAGGCACGATGGATAATCTCGCCATCTGATGGGCATCGGTTCACTTATTTTGCTACAGATTTGGGATACGGCTGGCCAAGAACGTTTCCAATCTTTGGGTGTCGCCTTTTATCGGGGTGCCGATTGCTGCGTTCTAGTCTACGATGTGAACAATAACAAGAGTTACGAGTCGCTCGGTAAGTCTCTTTAGCTGAGCGAAAATCTCTATATAAAAATCATGCTGTGTTGTTGCTTTTTTTATTCACTTGTACTCGCATAACTTAGGACAATGGCACGATGAATTCTTAGTACAGGCCTCACCAAGAGATCCTGATAACTTCCCTTTCGTGGTGTTGGGTAACAAAGTGGACGTCGACGAATCGAAGCGCATGGTATGTTTTCTGTATCACTTCACATGATCTGAAAAAAAAAATTAGTCTGCTCATACAACAATTGTCCCCCATCACAGGTATCGCAAAAGCGGGCCATGGCTTTTTGTCAGGCCAAGGGCAATATTCCGTAAGTTTGAAGCAAGCTTGGGTGGGCGTGATTTTGCTTTGATTCTGACAACTCTTTAGCTATTTCGAAACTTCGGCAAAAGAAGCCATCAACGTCGAACAGGCTTTCCAGACCATCGCAAAGAACGCATTGCAGCAAGAAACCGATGTAGAATTGTAAGTGAAATCGATGAAAAATATAACTCTCACAGACAATTATCTGATTAACTTTTTTATGATTTTCAGATACAGGCAAGGGAAACGAGAATGAGAAACATGATTTTGCATGCATTACTAACATTATTGTTTACAGTGATTTCAGCGACCCTATTCGCATCGATAGCGACAATACGAAGGACTACAGCGGATGCGCTTGCTAACTTATTTTTCCTCCCAACCGTAATAAACAAGTCCCCCACATTTCCGCGTAGTTTTTCTTCATCGTTATGATTCAGCTGTTGATGTATGTTTTTGGCTTGGTTCGTCATGCAGTCCCTGGCTTCAGCAACACCACCAGTCGTCTAAATTGTTGCGATGAGAATTTGTCTTGCTGTATTTTTATCATTTAACCTTGTCTTCTTCCTGAAGGATCGAGCACTTAGTTAATACAGTAATCTCATATTGGTATTCACAGAGGTACTTAGTTGAAAAATTGTGTGCACACTGATTAGGGATGTTACACAGCTTCCTTGAGACTGAGTATCAAAGCGAGGGATGTCAAGATCGAAATAACTTTTTTTGATACGATATCCCCTGCATCGAGTTAGTTACTGCGACACACTTGGAATGAGGGAACGAGATACTTTCTTATGCCATATAATTAAAAGGCCTTACTGCACAGATAGCCTAGGCGCTTTGGCAACGGCAAGCACTACCATAAGAATTGCCATGTGTGGTTTTCTTGACTGGCTGAATCAACTGCGAATACAGTACCTCCATTCGCTTATTGACAGGTTACCCATGGCATGAATGCGATAAGTATCAGTAAGAGGTTGAAAATAAATGCTTGGGATATTATTTGATGCACTATTGCTCAAATTCAGGATCAGTAAAGTGATGCGGGTCAACATGGATGACGTCCTCTTAAACTCACTTTGGTAGAAACACAGCTGGGACGAAGCTCGGACCATGTGGGACTGGAATTATTCTCCGTGATTCATTCAAGGCTGAGAAATAAAAAAGACAAGGTCTGTAGCTAGCGTTATGACCCCTGATTCCCCTTTCGGCTTGGAAAGATATGGTCTGGACTATTTTTTATTAATGCCTCCTCCTTACCCTGAGGATGCCTTCCAATTTATATGAATCTTGATTCTATTTTTACAAGGCGAGGTTTCTCTTCTTTCGTTCCTTCAATTTTTTGTTATTGAATGATCGTTTTTTGGTTATGTATTTTGTTTGCCTGTCTTGACGCAGGAGTCGCCAGCAACGACTATGTGGTGGTCATGCATCCTTCGAACCGCCGTTTTATACCCCGATCCTTGGCGCAGCTCAGCTCGAATCGCAGCGACCATCAACTATATGCAATTGGCCAATTTCAGTGGTATGCAACGACCCTCGAAGATGACGACATTGAAAAACTACAAAGCCACGATCAAGTCGCGTACGTTCACAGAGATGAACCCATATTTCGCATTGCCGCATCCATGACTACTGTCCAGGATCAACCTCCCAGTTGGGTATGTAAAAAATGTCCTTGTCGTGTTATGAACTCGTTTAAATTTTATAAAGTATTTTGGTCGGTATACGAATAGGGATTGGACAGGATTGACCAAGAAAAAGGAGTCGATGGGCGGTTTCAATTTCCTGGCTCCAGTGGGCAAGGCGTCAATGTCTATCTAGTAGACACAGGGGTCAACATTGATCATGAGGATCTCGAAGGTCGCGCTTCCTACGGTCCAACCTTCATTGGCGACCAAGATGATCCTACAGATATCAATGGTCACGGCACTTTTGTTGCTGGTGTATGCTGCGGTAATGTAATATAATCATTTTATGAGTTATTCCTATAATACCAATGCCCTTTCTGTACACTAGGTAAAACGTATGGCGTGGCAAAGAAAGCCAATGTCATATCTCTCAAAACATTGGATAAAGACGGATCTGGAAGGTTAAGCAATGTTTTACTAGCTTTGCACTGGATTGTGCAGCAACATATGGCTACTCCTTGGGTGAAAAAGATTGTCAAGTAAGTCCACCCAAGCGTTTTTACATTGAGAACGGCTGCTAATAATCACCGGGATTCTGCTTTTGCCAGCTTATCGCTCGCCACGGCGTACCATCTACCGACCAATCAGGCTATACAGGAAGCCATGCATCTCGGTCTTCATTTTTCAATTGCTGCCGGGAACCAAGGGACGGATGCTTGTAAATTTTCACCGGCTTCTACATCTGGAGCACTGGTGGTGGGAGCAATAGCTCAAGACGACTCCATTCCGTCTTTTTCAAACAGTGGCTCCTGTGTCACGATTTACGCTCCCGGTACAGGCATCAAATCGATATGGAATCAGGATAACCAAGCAACCAAAACATTGTCGGGAACGTCGATGGCTGCCCCGCATTTAGCCGGAGTGATGGCACTTTTATTGGCTGATGACGACTACACGCCCCCTGCGCTTGTGGAAAAGATCCTGTCTTCCGCCACGTACGTAGAGGACAGGAATATCCGAATACTGCGCCTTAACATGCCCAACCTGATGGACAATAATGGACAAAGTAATAATATCAGTCATGATCACCAGGTAGCAACAACCATGTCCGATAAACAGCCAGTAGGAGCCATGAGGGGTGGATTTCTGGTTTTATCATCCGCAAACAAAGATATCGCCATCACTTTATTCTTGTTTTTCGTAGCTTTCGCACATACACTATACCACATGCTCTGAAATATCATGGCAGTATCACAACCATTGTAACTCTATCATCATTCCACATTTTTAGAATTTTACACTACATGATCCGGCAAATAAAATTGATTGTTCGCTCGACGATGTTAGCCTATGCAATGAATCCGGGGGTTGAACACATGGACGTCGAAACTTGGAGTGTTGTAAAACAGTGGAGGGTTAGCAGATCAGCAAGCGGCGCACTGTATACCTTCTTCCCAAAATAATCGGGTAACGCACAGGTCACTTTACGTTGGAATGGCAGATGTGACAGGGTCGAAATGATTGGGACTGACTTGAATTTATTTTTCACGTCTTATACTCCAAGGTACAGTAATGGGATCAATGAGTTTATAGTATGAATGATGCTTTACAGCATGAAACACAGTCATACATAAGAACACCCAAGGAGCCCCCAACTGTGATTCCCTAAATGGAATTATTCTTAAATCGATTTGATAACTTCATGTACCAGATAACGGATAATAAATTCGGGAATTCTATAATGTCATTCTCCAATCGAGTATTCCTAAATCGAGTGCCGATTAAAGCGACAGGTCATTTTAGATTATGTTATGGCATGACCAGATGCGTTATATTTTATTACATTGAAAAATGGTGGATGGGTTGAATAGGGGGGGGGGGGATGAGATATATTTATACATGACCATATAAACCTTCATAGAATGGTTTTAGGCGACTACGATCGACGGTCGAGATATAATAAACACCTCCGTTGTTGGTCCAACTGACCGCTTCTGAAAAGTACTCGTACTCCTCTACTCTTAGGATCGACTCAGGCATATGAAATGTCCGCTGATTGATTTTATGATGCTTGGGTACAAAAGATTTCAAAGAAATGATTTTTGCCCCTTCTTTCAAATCGAGAAACAACTGTGCCAGTTTATGGTTGGTGGCAGGATCAAATGCATAATTATTCACAAGCAGCACATCCGCCCGCTTTAGGGTAGAATACATATCGTTGGCATCCACATCAAGAAAATCACCGTGGCGGAAATGGACTTTGCCCGTAGGAAGACGCCATGCTCTGTAGACAGTGAAAAACCACAAGATTATTTAACAACGTCGTCATTTAAATACCATCATTGCATTTATGCCAATGAAACCTACCTCATCCGTGAAGCATATTCTCTCAACTGCCGCTTGGCGTATTTACACGGTGTCTCCATGATCTCGATACCGTAAGATTCGCAACCCGTCTGTGCCGCCACTTGTAGTACCACGTTGCCGATACCGCATCCCAAATCCATAAACACACTGTTGGAACGAATATTCGTCTTTTCAATGAATTCCTTGACAAGAATCGTATTGATTTCACCATAAACATAATTGGAAAAGGCTACAAGAGGTCGGTTAGTCAATTAATCAATCAGTCAAACATTGTACAAGAGTGACAACTGTACCAATATAGTTATTCAAGGCATCGGCCTCTTGTGCAACAGTGCGACTGTACACCTGGTACAGAATATGACACGTTAAATCATAAGATGGGTGCCGCATTGCTTTGGCCTGCTCGCTAATTTTGCCTTGCTCCTTTAACTGGCGCAACACTTGATTGAAATCTTTCACTGCCTGAATGAACCCGGGCCCATTACGTCGATTGCGATGTTTGGTGAGATTGCGCATAATACCGTGGGATTCGTCGCCTAGCAATGCTTGCTGATCCGATGTCAAGTAGTAATCGTAAATGAAGTTGGCGGTGCGGTATAGATCGGTGACCGGGTTATATTCATCCTTGTCTTCAAGCTCGGGATCGTATTTGCCCGTATGGGGATTCTTCATGATAGGCTTCAGCAATAGAAAACTAGATTCAAATGAAATCAGTGAGCCAAAAATTCGCATTGCCTAGGATGATATCACTTGGTTTTGGAAATCATACTTTTCTACTTCATTATTGCCGGGATACTCCAAGGCAACCCGGTCATTGTCATGATTCGATGAGGATGTCGTAGCTGAATGTTCGTGATTCTCGGTACTCGAGACGAAATCTAAAAGATAAAATGGTCAGCTTCCACCCGAGAAAGGATTCAATACCAAGGATATTTACAAGGCCAATAGGTATTCCGGGTAGCCCGAACTATGCGCTCCGAGTGTATCATTGGCTTGACTTGGCGCACCCGTTTTCCTCGGTCATTGTCAGAGGTTTTTGATAATCGTCGTTTTGTTCCAGCCATAGCAAGATTATTAATGTCGATTTCTTGGACCATGATAGACAGAAGAAATTTCAAACGATGCTCGAAATGGCTACTGCAGAGAAATGGACAAAGTCATGAAAAAAAAAGGGAATTGGGGTTAAACCAAACGAACAAAAAAAGCAACCAGGGGCGGCTGAGAATGAAAAACGAACTCTCCAGTGTCGTCCCGTTACACCCCGCTTAGTCTTTTTGTTCATGAGAATTCATGAGAAGCCAAAAAAAAAGCTGATATTCTTTTCTCCGCTTTGGGTTGGTCTTGATAGCACGGTGTAAAAAAAAAAAGAAAGCGTCTTCATTTAAACTGCTGGTATTGTTCTTTTTCCCTCACTGCACGTTCCAACCGTGTCCATGGAATTTGCACCACCACCACCTTTGGGATTTCCGTGCATCGACTTTGTACGCGATCGTGTAAAAACAGTATTTGACCAACTCAGCCAAGAACAAGCCGACGTTCGCCACAGCTCCGGAGAGGATCTCGTCATTCGCCATTTTGAAGTACCCTCTTATGTCACCTCTTCTTTGCCAAGAAAACCGAAAACCAAGGCATGCTTATCTTGCAAGAGCAGAAAACTAAAATGCGACGGAGAGCAACCGTGTGTTCGTTGTATAGACGCCGGTGAATCATGCCAATATCCGCCTGGCATTCAACCTCTCCCAAAATCGACGGTAGCCGACTCGCGCTTGACCACATCCGGTTCGTCCCATCGTTCTTCTGACCACACCGTTAGCGCAGATCAATCCATATCATCTGCTTCTCACACAATGCATTCACATCATGACATCCTATCACGTGTAAATATTCAGCAACCGCTCATCACCAACCGATTCGGTCACTACATGGGTGAGACATCCTTCTACTATGAAGTGTCCGACACGGCACCATCCATGATTGAAAAATTTCCCTCCATAGCGAATATGCGAGCACCCACATTCAGTCTGGACGATCAAGCCTATTTAATCGATCTGTATTTCTCATTTTCTCATCCCTATGCGCCCATCATCAGCAAAGTCAGTCTAAAACAACAATTGTATCAATGGCAACTCGGCAATCCGACATTTCTCTCACCGTTATTCTTCTTTGCCTTTTTCGCTTTTGCTTCCACATTTTCCGATCGAGCCGACATTACGGACAAGGGACAAAAACTGTTGACTTACTGCAACGCTCTGCGTGATGTATACTTGGACAAACCGCGGGTCAGCACGATTCTTGCCCTGTTACTCATGGCTCAGCATTTGGAGCAACAAAAGCTGCATGAAAAATTGAGCCGCGTATGGATATGGTCTGGAGAAGCGTTCCGTATGACACAAGATATGGGCCTGCATCGCCAATGTAACACAACAGTCGACGGATTTTGTAAAGAATTACGAATTCGGGCATTCTGGATTGCATTCATGGCCGATCGATGTTTGGCAATGGTTTACGGTAGACCTCTCGTATTCGATGAAAGGGACATGTAAGTGTCTTTTGGGACTGTTGAAACCTCGCGCATTTTTTAACGTATGCTCCGATCCCTGTCAAATGATTCGATTTGGTCTGTAATTTTCTATTCCTTGTAGCACTGTCCCCATTCCAAGTTTTACCGAGTACGATGCAGAGGAGGATCAACAGTGGATTACAAACTTTGCCGTGTTCATTGATCTGAGCCGGATTTCGGGGCGTCTCATTAAGAATTTCTATATGCCTCAATCTCCTATTGAAGGCCCTTCCACGGTAACAAAGAGTTTATCACGACGCAAGGGGTCTACATGAAAAGCTAATCATCGATCGATATAGGAAGCCATGAGGTCAACTCTTGATAATTGGATTTATTCATTGTTCAACGAGAAGCCAAAGGAAGATGACGATGGTGCCGATACGGATGAAATGCTGTCCGACAGTTTAGCAATGACTCAGCAGCGATTTGACACGCAAAAGCAGATGTGGCTTCACGGATTGCTCATTCTCCTTCATTCGCCCTTTATGAATCATGAACTGGCGCAGAAATCCGTCTCCTCTTCCACTAGTCTCGAAATATGCTATTACTCGGCTACGATCATTACAGATATAGCTGAACGTCTGATCCGTGATGATGTGTTCTTTTTTTCGCGATCGTGCATCAACATATACGCGACCATCAAGGCGCTACAGATCCATTCGATGGGTGCTGGTCATCTGAAGGATCAAAAATTCACGGTATTCAGCCAACTCAATTTTGAAAAGACCATCGCCATGTTACGCAAGCTCCCTCAGCATTGTCATGGAACCATGTTGACCGATGTTGTGGAAGCCAGCGAAAAGAAATTTTACGAACAACGACAAAATCCCACCTCGTGCGTATCAAACCTCGGCAATGCGGGCGAGTTTCGCAAACCAAGCTCGGATACCATGGACGATTCGCCCAATAATCACTGCAATTCACGTTCAATATCGATCCAAGATCCTAATCGTCATCACGGCAAACGTTCCCATCCTATTTCAAAACCATCCAGCAAACCGCCCTTCAAAATCATTTGTTTCGATCCATCTTCACGTATCATCACCCGAGACAAACCACACATGAAGGTGGAAGTCTCACGACAGCTCGATAATAACAACCCGGAACCTCTTGAATATGCGCATCCGCCCCATCCGCCAACGCCATTATCAGCATCGGCACAACTAGCATATCAGCCAGTATCACCGGCGCAACCACCCTTAATGCCCTATATGGATCAGCACTCCTGTTCTACTATTTCTACTGAAAATACACCATTGATACTGTATCACGATCCCTTTTTCTCTGCTGCTTCTGCCAATCCTTTATTTTCAGGGCATGCGGAAGAAGGTAGTGTCCCTCATACCACCATATCAGCCAATACTTTACCCAGTTGGAATAATGACACATTTGTATCCAATTATTCCTTATTCCCCACTCAGTAGCTTCCTTGTACACCAAAGTCCCATCACTTTTTTTTTTCGGTTAGCGTCATCTTCACCACCAACATTATGCATCTTTCTGTCATAATCCAAGATAAAAAGTTTCCTTTTTTCCTATATTGAATGTTGCTGTACTATTGCACAGTTCAGTTACCAACACCGATGATGCCTTTCCACTCAACTTTTCCTGCACCCCCGCAACCCCAATAGATCGATTCTTCTGCAACAATGCAATCCCAGCAGCCTAATCCAGTATCTACTCACTCAATACAGAAATTGATGCTCATACAGTACGGTAATGGGATCATGGTCGGAATGTATTTATTATGTGATGATGATTTTACTTTTGGATCTTGGCAATTTCAACACCACCAGTAGCACCCAGCATGCGTTTAATGTCACCATAGATAGCACTAGTAAAAAAAAAAAAAAAAAAAAAAAAAAAAATCAAGAACGTTTAGTTCACGAGATATTCATCGATAAGACCGACTGTTTTTTTTTCAACTTACAATTGACCGGCGGTGAGGGATGCCACCATGACAATACGAGGACCGAGACCCAAGAAGAGACCCTTGACACCCAATTGACCAGCCAAGGTAACAAGTCGTGATGTAATAGATTGACCAGCGACACCTCTCTGCTTGTTCATCTTGGACAGCAAGGTATCGGCAGGTTGGGAGATAATAGCGGCGGCAGTACCGGCGATAATACCAGCACCCAAGTTGACGCAAGTCATGGTACCAGCGGATAATTGATCCTTGGGTGTAGACATGGATTGAAGGATCTTTTCACTACAAACACAACCAAAACATTAGGCGTTACAAAGTTACAAATGATGCAATGGACTGAAAGTCTTGATACATACGCTGCCTTTTCATAGACGACGAACTTGGCCATAGTGTAAGGAACTTGCTTGAAGAGGATGGGACCGAAACCAGCATAGAAGCCCTGAAGGACACCTTCTTCCTTCAACAAACGGCCAAAGCCGCTAACCAAACCTTTAGCGAAATCAGGTTGAGACACCAAACGAATACGGGTAGCTTCAAGCGGACAAAGAGCCACATCAGCAAAGAATTCAGCAATGGCTGCCGAACCGAGATAGATGGCGGTACGGTTTTCAGTGGCCTTTTCCACGCCGACCATATCGATGAACGTCTTTTTCCAGAATTCGTAACCACCGAATTTGAATGCACCCTGCAAAAAGTAACCAGCAGCAGTAGGACCCAAACCAGTCAACAAGGCCCCCGCACCCTCCTTGGCGGCGACTTGTCGGAAACCAGCAATCATACCCTTGTTATACACTTCAGGAGACAATTGCATTCGGGTTTTCACAACGTCCACAGGCGTCTAACAGTCAATTTCGTTAATACCTCGTCCAGACGCAACCGTAATGATCAAAAAAGGAGAAAGTCGCATTTACCAAGGCACCGTGGGTAATACCGCAGGACAATGCACCGGCCAAAGCGAAACGGGAGTATAAATCAACACCCTGTGGAGGCTTTTCCGACTCAGTAACGGATGGAACAAAGAATTGTTTCTTCAGAACTTCAGTGGATGGGAACATTGTCTATACGATGTTAAATAAATAAAATAAAAAAGAAAAAGTCTATGTGTGTAAAAGTAGATAAGAAAATGATGTATTTAAAAAAAAAAAGAAAGAGAAACGAACGGCCAACCCGATATTTGTAATATGATTCATACAGTTTTCGTGCTCCGGCGCTTGCTAATGCTTTTCGCCGCTTGGACAACGACGTAATGGTAAATGCGATCGTCGTTCCGATTGGATGAACAACGAGGCATAATTATTCAAAAAAGGAAACCGTACTAAGGAACAATGGCGGAGTTGGGATCATTGACGTCTTCACCTGAGACATCGTTCCTCGATAGTTCACCGGCCTTTGGAACAAACTTGTGACGATAATGACTTAGGCCAAATACTGGTGCTCACCAACTGACGGATGAAAAAAGTCCTTGTATACAATCATAATGGATGATGGAAACAAAGCATGTTGCTCATTAGTTGCAAAATCATCCAGTACTACGTCATGGGCGTTCATCTTTAGCTGTTGGACCCTTCTTGGTCTCAACCTTGCTAAATCTTTTAGTCTCAAGGTGATCGAGCCCACATATAAACCCAGTTACAGTAAATCCATTCTTCTGCCTGGTGTACTCTCTCTCCTTTATCAAAACAGTTCGGCAATGTTTTTGAACCCCTTGTTACTTCTGTATATTCACATCATGGATCTTGACTAGAATTCCCAACCCTGACGCTTTATTTACAATAACAAAGACAATGAATCCAGCTCTCCTCGGTTTTTGACGATGGTTTCCTTGGTTTCAAGGAACAGACCGTACTGGGATTTCCTCGTGATATCCGCCACCATCACATCAAAACTCATGGTACGAACGATGATCAGGGGACCTTCGAAGGATTTGCCATGAGTGGATGAAAAAAGAAATAAATAATATGATTTATATCTTTCAGGTGCTATGTACAAAAACCTAAAACAACGTTTAATCCATCGCTCTGTGGCGTGCACTACTACGTGGAACCGCTCCAAACAAGGCTTCTGTTTCGTCATTAAAGGTATTTTCGGCCAGAATGTGGGGTGGGATCATAGGTCCGTTATCCCTATCTTCCGAATCATCCGCGTCATCTTCAAACGTTCGGCTGTTACGCGCAGTTCGTCGAAGTTTCTCAACCGCTTCACGACGCGATTCCGGTTCCCAAGTCATCAGTGTTTTGGTATCCAGGGATTTGCCGCCAACCGCGCTTCTAAAGGAGCGCGCTGACGGCATAAGACTCATGGCCGCAATGGATTTGCGGCGTCGGTCCATGCTGGGGTATGCCAAGTGTCCTTCTTCTCCTATCAAAGAAAATCCGTGATTGATGGAACGCGCTGATTGTGGCGTCTTTTGATAAACGCTGGTCGGGTCGTAATCAGATGGGTTCACCGTATTCTTCTCAAACATGGCTGGTAACTGATCTGGGTAGCTGATGGCAATCGGGACAGAAGTAGCATAATTCGACGTATTTGCGTCATCTAGCCCCGGTATCATCGTCAGTCACTGAAAAAGACATAAAAAGAAGACAATGCTCTACCTTCAAAACTGGCTTCTTCGTCCTCTGGTAATGGCTCATCTTGGTGTAGGTATTTGCTATTTCTGGGTGATTTAAAAGATGAGCGCCTTCGTTGATCAAAATCTTTGGGTGCAAGGTAACGTTCATCAGGCGATGAATCCTGCTGCTGTTGTTCTTTTTTCGCTTGGTCATCGCCTTGATCGCTCTGGATTTCTTCATCTAGATGGAACATTTCTTCATTATCGCTGTCTGATTGGTCACTGTGGTCCTCATCTACATTAAAATGATTTAGAGAACAGGACTTATGCACCGAAAAACAAGAGTTAGTTGCTTACTGTCACTGCGTTCATCCCATCGCTCCTCTTGCATTCTGGGCTGACTACTGGAAGCAGGCATCGAAAATGATGTATCCAAAGCAAAACTTGCTCTTCGCAAAGGCGATGACGAGGCACTCATTTGCGACTTGAGGTTGGATGTTTTGGATTTCTCCTGGGCGATGAATCGAACATGTCCGTCTTTCTGTGTCTCATTTGTTTCCTTGACGCGTCGCTCAAGCTGTTCTTCATCCACGGACCGTGACGCTTCCAAAATGCTCTGCCACAGAACCATTCGATCGTGCTTTGACTTTTGACGTGCGCGATCCAGTTGAAGTTCCTGTTCTTTTTTAAATTGCTCAATTCGAATATTCGTATCCTGCTCCAATTTATCGAGTGACTGTTCCAGCACTTGGCACAGCTGTTTGTGTTGAGAGAAAAGATCACCAGGGATGTGGTCCTCTATGAAAAAAAGGCGCCACGACATGCTCGTGAGGTTGGCCAAACTGCCCAACGGATCTCTCTTCCCCCCTCCCTCACGGCAAAACACTTACGGTCAGCTGAATCCATATTGACTGGAGGGATATTGGAATTCAACAAGATTCCAAATGTTTTTGAATAGTTGCTGCGCTTTTTGATGTTGTCAATTTCTTGTCCAAACTACCACGCCAAGGGGAGATTAGTTATGCCGAAAGGAAACAGTGGATCCCATGGTGGGGCGTTCCGTATCTGCTTTTTGACTCACCACACAGCCGTCATGGATAATAAGTTGATCACCTGGTTTACTTAAAATAGACGTATCGGCAGGGTAACCGGAGCGCGCGGAAGGTCGTTGAACTGAATAAACATCTCGTGTGGTACAGTTGAGACAGCAAATCGTGAGCCATGAGTCCGACAACGCCCGACTTCGTACAAGTGTATTATATTGCTATAGACAAAAAAGTTTTCCCCCCCATGCGAATCAATACCTGTCTCACAAGTCACTCATGAGCCCCATTGATATACTTACGATAACAACGCCTCCCATGCCAACGGCAAACTGCCACCCTTTGAGTGGAGGTTCGGTCAGTTGAACGAACACTTCCTGACGAGCCGCGGTGTGTCGTTCTACGGTTTCTTTACTGGCCAGATGAACCTTCACATTAAGGCAAGCGCAAGCATACACCACATGGCCAGACATCATATATAGCGGAGGAAGAGAAAAGAGATCAAAAATAGCGCAATGAGCAGATGATAATGTGAAAAATGCCTGGAGTGATGACGACGGGTGAAGTGCATTTTTTGTTGGTCGCTTTTTCTCTGTGAGGGCACGCTGAGTCTGAAGTGTTTCCCGGGCCTTTTTTCATTTGTTTCTCAGCCCCCACCTGCTGTTAAAATGGGGAAACCCATATTCGCTCTGCTCTGGTGAAATTCACTACACACTGTAAACTATGAAATACGTCCAACATCATTTACATTGTATATGTGAGACTTCTTGGCTCTGTTGAAGTAAATACGCAGAACAAACGACGCTTTTCGTTGACAGTCGCTCGTAATTTGGGCTTTTCTTTTTTAATACACTGTAATCTGAATATGACCAGAAAACAGATCTATTGGGAAATCATGCATTTCATCATATCCTGCCAAAACACCAATTGCCTATAAGGGATGAACATGATCGAATGCTTTACAATCCGATAGCTCGATCAGAATTTATATTTGCGCATTGATTGATCAAACCCGTTTCCATGGCATATTCATGCTATTTGTTTCTATTTTATTTGCCTATAATCCAATGCTTTGGATCAACTGTAATATAACAAGCATCTATCATTTGTGTTTCGGCCTAGAATACTCGCTACAGGGCGCTAAAATGCTTATAATTATCAGCACTCGGGATTGTACCTTGTGGTTAAAATGGCTGTGGTCGTTATTATGGTGATTTTGCCATATGCAGAAAGACGAGTCTTTCGGATCAACAGTGGTGGAATTGGTTCATTCATTTACCAAAATGGTATTTTTGTATACCGCCAACAGTATAAGTCTCGAGCATTTCTTGGATTAAGTGGGCAATCACGGTGGATGGGATATGCGACAATTGACCAGAAAAAGCAAAAATGAAAGGCCATCCAATCATATGAAAAAAAAAAAAAAAGTTATTTGCTCAACGCTGTTTAAAAAAAGCTCGGCTTTTTGTACTGCATCTTGCAAAGGGAAAACCACCGTTGTGTCCGAGTCGGCTTCATATCATGGAAGATAGAGCTTTCTTGTCCGATAATGACGATGACGCTATTGAATTTGCAACCTACGTAGAAAGTGACGACGACGACGAGGATCCTTACTTCATGCCGGTGCATAAAAAGAAGTCAAGCACTCTTTCTTTCAGCAGGTGAGAGAATCTGTGCTTGCATGCACTGCTCAGCTTAGCTAATCTCCGTATCCATGCCAATGTATGTTAGATTGTCATGTTCTCCGGTACAATTGTTGCGATTTGTCGTTCCAGCCATCTGTATCGTTATCATTGTCGCCTACACCATTGTTATTGCGGTGCTTACTAACAAAAAACGAATTGTCGTGACACCGGGCAATATCACCTTTGGCGGTTGACCCTATTCAGAGAATGTGATATGGATACATCTTTCCCTCTTCCCTTTTTTTTTTACCGAGCTCTATACCATTGTACACTTTTTCTTCCTAAATATATTCCTTTGTAAATTATTGAAGAACCTTTTTCGTCAGTTATCATAAAAAACTTCAGTGTATTTATTTTTCAGCAATGTTTTCGTGTAGAGTATACTAATCAATGGATGGTAAAGCCTACAGGACCACCATAAAAGGGAATCTATCATCCATAGCAGCAATAAAGATCCTACCATTTTTTTTAACATGTACGCCGATTCAAAAAGTTCCACACTGGGTTACGATACTTGTATACTTGCTGATATCTATTAGCTACAAACCTATAGTCAAACAACCGAACAAACAAATAGTTTTGATAACAGCTGGTAAAAACGGCCTTGAAAGGAATATTTCTCTCTAAAAGCTGCTCATTTATGGGTCATTGGCTTTATCAATCCATTTGTTTGTGAAACTCCTGTACAAGCCCTGGCAAAATTTTCTGTAATCCCAATAAATTTGTTGACTTCTCTAATGTCTTTTTCATCTTTCAGTTCATTTTTCTCAGTAAATAAAGGTTGCAATTAAATCATAATGTATTTAGCTATTCTTAGTCAAATAAATTGCAAGGAAGCAAAAATCATGACTTGATCCTTTATTGGCGGGAGTGAGGGTAGGATCTCCCTCATACATATTTGATCTTGTAGAATGCCTGCATAATCCTGGTGGGAAAATGCGCTGAAACTGACGACTTTGTTCATCAAAAAGAAGAGGCCATCTTCATTAGGATGAATTCTATTTTCAATAAAGTGTATAATACGAGTTGAAAGATAGTTTAACGAGCCATGCATTACGTCTGTACCAAAGTTATGTGCACCTGGTGTATCCCATCAGCCAACATAAGAACACTTGAATAAAGACACCCTGATCGATCTCTCTAACATTATCTGAGACCTTACTTCATGCAGCTATTTCATGCGATGAGGCTACACTCTCTAATCAAAGGATGAATATGACATGGAGCGATGAGAAAAGACACATGGCGTCTTTTTTCCTGCTTCATTATTAAACAGTAAAGGTTTTAGCTACAGTACGAGGGATCCCCTCTTTTTTCATGTTTATAAAAGCCGACGCATCTTCCATCCATTTTATTTCCTCTTCATCGCACATCTATTTCTTTTTTCTTGCGCAAAACCATCCATCCATCGCGCCATACATTTTTTTTATTGCTTATTGTTATCAATATTTGCTCAAATCACCTATCTTGTACGTATACTCATGATGACGACAACTGTGCTATCAACGACTGAACCTCCACCAATAGCTCAAGTGGCCTTTCTTTTTTGAATGTTATGCTGAATCACTCACTTGCTTTGTGTGCTTTTACTGTGTAGTTTAAATAACTGACGAACAAAGCCCATGCCTTGGTGGTCTGCGGTGGCGGCTCCCACAGTGTAGTGACGACAGTTTTTTTGTAAGTGAAAACAAGGAAGAGTAAGTGTGGCTTGTCCTAATGCATCCATCTTTTTTTTTGTATGTCTTTGTCCTTTGGTTTTCTCTCTTATTTGATTCCTTAAAACAACATTACCTTGCCTCTTTTGAAAAAATTTACTCAGATTTTTTCAATTAAACTGTACCTTGGCAGCTCGCTTGGTATTTCTAACGTGGTGACTTAAAATATAACAGCTACCGATTCGGTTTTGAAAAATGGAAGTCCAGAGTAGATCGTGTCTCGACGGGTGTTCAGATCAAGCGACAAGTGCTTGACAGCTTGGATTGGCGGTGGAATGGGGTTGAGCCAGAAAAAATACGGTGACAAAGGGTGCTCGTCACAGGACTGCTTTGTTGGCCCGCATGGATTTCTGAAAAAGGGGTTGGCCCCACTGACGGTGGCGTTCTTCTTCTTCACTGCTATTAACTTTTTTCACTTATGGATCCTTCCGCTGCTGCTACATCGACCGGCCCAACGAGGGTGTCTACCCGTACACGCAAACCGACAATCGTCAATACCAATACTGCTGAACAGCCAAAGCCCGCCAAACGCGCGCCAAAGAAACCACGCGTGAATAAGCGATCATACGAATACTTGGTGCAAAATCCCGATAGTCTTCTCATCGAAGCAGATATGAAGGTAGATCTTTGGAATCCCAAGTCTCACTGATACGGACTTGACTCATTTCCAAGTGCTTTAGAAAATACTCCCAGAAGTATTTGACTTGTTGCCACAAGAAGACAAGGATGAACTATGCGCTCTTTTACCCCCGTGTGATCGTGCCTACCGCGACCCAATGAATAATATTATTGAGCCGAAGAATCTCGAAGAAGCGATCAGACTTGGAATGAATGAACAGCTGACCTTGACCATATCACCATCCTTCCTGAAACCGGCACGTATGGCCTTTTGGTATGCCATGGAAGGTTGGCAAGAAATGTTGGCGGCAGGCAATTTTATGCCTATAGATCCGGCGTTATGTGAAGAAATCAAAGACGAAGATTTACCATGGAAGGTACTCGATTACCCCATGAGATATATTGACCTTTTTTATATTGATTCTTAACGGGTTGGAGTTAGGATGATGAATTTGAACTGTATTGGGGCGAACGTTTGGAACGAGATAAAAAGCTCAAGCGGTAAGCGAATCGGCGATTGGGAGGTGGATCTGTAAATCTAATCATTCTTTCTACAAAAGCAAATCTGCAAAAAAGGCCAAGTAGAAAGACATCATGGTGTGCCAAAAAACCGAAACAATCGCTTGTTGAACCAATCTAGAACATATTTTTTTCAGCTCCTGCACATGTCATACATTATATCCCATCATTTCTCTTCAGCATATTCCTACCCTTTGGTTGTTTTCCCGCCGCGGTTTCCCCCATCCCTCTTTCTTTTTCTCCTCATTGTCTGGTTTATAACACACACATACACACCCCGCTCCCAATCGGAAATGCATGACTAAAAGAAACAAACGCTTGATACAAAGATATGACAACAGAATCCATCATCGAGGGAAAACGCATATGCACCAAAAAAAGGATTCGATGCAATTGTTCTCGTCAAGTCATCGTGCGAACATTAGCAGTGACTGAACTCATTTTTCCAAATACTGATTTCACATATGCAAGCTGATGTAGAATATATTTCAGCATGGACAAAAATATTGGATCATTTTGTTTCACGGACGTTGATCGATGAACGCATTCTGTCGAAATTCTGCCTCCGCATTAAAATTCCGTGGCGTCAAATTTCTTTATTCCCTCTCCCCCCCAATTCCACATATAAAAAGTAGCCTTTCTTTCTCCACAGCCTCATGTCCAGTAATCGGCGTATGCATTCCAATACTATTTCTGGCGAGCGACCGCCAGTCATTGATACTTCATTACGACCCACCAATCTGCGGCGAAACTCCGATGGTTCGCCGGGATTACCGCCTCCTATCGAAATCTCAGCACCGACCCCCATCACACCATTCTCGGGCAACTCGGTGGGTATCCTGTCGCTCGACCATTTTCCTGATCGTGATCAAACACAAAGTGAAGGCGCCGTGAGTAACGACAAGACCGGTATTCCTCCTGCTCGGATCCAGTCGCCTTTGCACACTCCCGAGGCGGCTCCAGAAACGCTACCGACGCTCACACTGACTCCCAAGCCAGCCGTTCCTTCATCTCGGTCTCGAGGTTCGAGTACGTCGACGCAACACACTATCGATGCTGGTTCTCAGTTGGAGAAATCAGACAGTCAGCAATTGAGTGTGCAACGCCGTCCTCCGGGTCATCGTGGTTCCGATGCCACGGAAGATCAAGGCAATGTATCGGATGGTGGACTTTCCACAACCGCTGGCAGCGTTGCCGGTGCATGCGGTCTCGATGTAGCCAACGTCAAACGCAACAGCGATTTTCATGCTCTTTTCCGAAGTGTACCAGAAGATGAAATGTTAATTGAAGGTAATTAGATGCGGGTGGTGGTCGAGGCAATGCGATCGAAAAATCTAACTCGGTTTTTTTGTTTGTAGATTTTGGTTGCGCATTACAAAAGGACATTTTATTGCAAGGCCGATTATATATTTCTGAGAACCACTTGTGCTTCAATGCCAATATTTTTGGCTGGGTTACCAATGTAAGCGTCAATCAAAACTGGGCTACGAGGATCCAGAAAAAAAAACGCTAACGAGGTGAATGGATCTAGCTTGTCATTGCTTTCACCGATATTGTGGACATTGAAAAACGTACCACGGCCATTTTCATTCCCAATGCAATTCAAGTTTCCACACTTCACGCTAAAGTAAGTCAGATCGACGGGAGATATTTTACCGATTTTCCACGCAGCTTACCTAATAATGCCAAATAGCACTTTTTTGCCTCTTTCCTTTCCCGAGACCAAGCCTACGATTTGATGGTGGATGTTTGGCGCTATGTCCGGCCCATTGGTCATCGCCATCACAGACACGATGCTAGTGTAGCCGACGATGACCAGAACAGTGAAGCATCCGATTCCAGTGATACCAGCGACGGTTCGTTTACCGATGATTCAGATATGACCGATATTTCTGGGGATGAGGAAGACCTTGGTAAGTAACAAAATGTGAAATGGCCACAACTCAAAAAGAAAGACCAGCATTGCTTAAGAAGTTGATTTAGACAAAACGGCGACGCATGAACGACAGCCATCTCTTACGTCGCTACCCCTTCCGGAGCATGGCAAGACGGCTTCCGCAGAGGCCTTGAGAAGACGCGCACAATCCGAAGCTGTGCGACCGAATGCTGCGGTATTGGAACATGCGACAAAGACGGCCGCCCCGCCACCCACGCCTGCAAAAACGGCCCAAGATCCCGCCAAGCCCATCGAACAAGTTCATGAAAAGACAGAATGTGGCTGCTCCAAAAATGGTGGTCACTTCCCCAACCAAGTCATGGATGAAACGTATCAAGGAAGCTTGGAAATCATGTATAATCTGTTGTATAACAGTGATTTTACTCACAAATTCTTGACGGAAGATGAAAAGTGTCTTGGTAAGTGCCGTCAACATGCCATCCAAATGATCTGGAGACTAACACTTGCGAAATGTGCAGAGGTGGATATGGGTAACTGGCAAAAAGGAGAAGGAACAGTACAATATACGCGCGAGTCCTCCTATATCAAGCCTCTCAATGGCTCTATTGGTAAGATTTCTTTATTCTTTCGTTAACAAACAGCTGTATAAATCTAATCTGAACCATTTTACAATTTTTCGCATCGACAGGTCCGAAACAGACCAAATGTCTGTTGAAAGATGAAGTGTTGGAATACGATTTGCAAAAATGCATCTCATTGATCACCACAACGCAGACGCCTGATGTCCCTTCCGGCAGTTCCTTTAGCGTGAAAACTCGTGTTTGCTTCACTTGGGCTGGCAAAAGCAAAGTGCGAATGGTGGTGACTGTTTTGGTCGATTTTACAAAGTCATCCTGGTTAAAATGTAAGTTGAATGGAGATGGAGTTTTGGGTAGATTGGCCGTCTAATGTCGTTTTTCTCTTGATACCTACAGCCACGATTGAAAAAGCATCGATTGATGGACAACAGACTCACTACAAAAATCTGAATGCCGCCATTCGTAAATATATCACTGCGCATCCGGGCGAGTTTGGTGTCGTCGTGCATAAATCTCGAGCAGAAAAGCACAGAGTTAAGCGAAAGCGTCGTCACCGCAAGGAAGAAAAGGTGGAAGCCGAGAAGCCCAAAGAAGTGGAACCGCCAAAGTCTGCTTTGCAACGTACCGTGGGATGTGTTGCCACTATAGCGGGCAACGGCCTTGGCTGGTGCATTGAACATGCCGCGATTCCATCCACCGCCCAATTATCGGCACTTTGCCTTGTCCTTATGGTGATTGCCAATATTTTCATTGCGGTGAAAATGGCCGATGTGGAACATCAATTGGAACAATGGAGTGCCAAAACGGTGGCCCCTGCGGATGGATGGGCAGCGTTGGCAAACGCACTACAACGTGAACCGATAAGAAGCGAAGAAAAGGAACTGTGGGATTGGTTGAGCCAACTCGATCCGGAAGCGAAAACCGCGCTCATGAACCAACCGACTTTATCCCCCGAACCTTTGCTGTCTAACGATGCCTCCAAAAGTAAAAGAAAACTGGATGATCACATGGAAGAACTAGCCAAAATGATCGAACGCGCTCAACAGAATATTGACCAAGTCAACCACGCCGTAAGCCAACAACGAGAAAAGATGAACGCAGACCTGTAGATATATTAGCTTGCCCTCTCTCTCTCCATCTCTCTCTCTCTCTCTTTTCTATTCATTCCTTTTCTATTCAGGCCATATTTATTGATCTGTGCATAAGTGTATTTTTAAAAATATTGACATCAAAATGTATCTATAAAATAAACCCGTGTAAGAAGTACATGAGCAGACTCCTTGAGTAAACCAACAGCCGTCACCCCCGGATTCCCTTGGACTACTGCCTCAGGTCTCCCGATGACACCAGTTCAACGTTTCGCACGGCTGAACTGGCACCGTGAAAAAAGGATGAATTTTTGTGCTGAAGGCATGATTTAGAAAGAAGAATTAAGATTATATCATAACTACTGTAAATACTCATGCCTTTGTCTGCAAATCATATTTATAATATACAATGGGAGCACTAATGTTACCTACTTGTTTCTTTTCTTGTCATGGTCGGTTATCGCCGTCCTTCCCAGGTGGCGGACCTCTGGCCTCTGGTTAAAAGGATCTCTTTTCCATTTTCCATCTCCGCGAATGTCTTAATTTTTTTTTTCTGAATAAAGTAGAATTTCCAAGTCTACTTTATTCAACCCAGTTCGTCATGGTGCTATTAGCTCGTTCATTGTTGGCACGATCCTACGGATTGCCAACACTAGTCACTCGTGGCATTGCAACCACCTCCAAGTCACGTAAATACGCTTTTGCTTTCGATATTGACGGAGTACTGATCAAGGTACTGGAGCCTCGAGGCAACATGTCACCCGTCACTCTCGATGGACTAACTCGATTGGCAGGGCTCGAAAAAAATTCACGAAGCTCAACAGTAAGCGCAGTACTATGAAGGGGTTCACAAGTTGAATAATTAACGATCCGTATCTATGCAGAGCTTTGAAGCTTCTGAATGGCGATAACGCTGCCAATAGGTATGTTATATTTTGAGACGTCAGTGTGCTAAACCTACTGACTCATTTTGCTTTTTATTGCAGACGGGTTCCTTTTGTGCTGCTCACCAATGGTGGCGGTGTCACAGAAGCCGAAAAAGCAGAACAAATTAGCCAACTCTTGGATATCGAGGTAAACCAATTGCGTCGAGAGAAACGAACTTAGACGTGCCCCCGCGGTACTCAATACGGAGGAACTGGATTTAGATTTTACCAGAGCAAGTGATTGTGTCACATTCACCTATGCAAGCATTAGCGAAAGAATACGAAAATAAGCGAGTGTTGATTGTTGGAGGAAAAGGTCGCAAATGCTATGAAGTGGCGAAAGGGTAAGGGTTCACCGAGATCAGCCACGGGAAATAAAGTTTGCATGGTTGATCCTTCGTTGTCCAGATACGGGTTCAAGTACGTCGTAACCCCTGATGATGTCCATAACTGGCAAATGTCTTCATGGCCATACTCGTTACCTAACCCTTCCGCATTGACCGAGGTATAATAAGACTTTTTTGCAAAACGAACGACCCGATCTTAACGGATGATCAACACCTTAGTCTGCCATCAATGATTTCTCCAAAACACCTATCCATGCGGTGATGATGTTTCACGATTCTCGCGACTGTAAAGTAACAGCCATGTGAAATAACAAGACGAATTGAGCACTCAACAACAAAAACCTTATCTGTAGGGGGTCGCGATATGCAGATTATGATTGACGCTCTGTTAGCCAAGGATGGTGTCTTGGGGACTCTGAAAACCGATTTCTCGGTTCAAGACGTGCCATTGTATTTCTCTAATGTAAGTTATTTGACGTGAGGAAACAGTTTGGGAATCAACTGTACTCATTTTGCTTCATTATAGAATGATCTCGTAAGTGAAATATTTGACAAGACACAGAGAGAATGATGCGTATGCTGATGATATACCCAAAAAGATCTGGAGCAACGATTTCCCGACCCCGCGTTTAGGACAAGGTTCATTCAAGACGTCCCTTGAAAGCGTGTATCATGCTTATACCGGACACAAGTTAAAATCGGTATCGTACGGTAAACCACATGCGGCTACCTACAAATTTGCCGAAGATGTGCTTATGGGTTTATTGCCTCGTTTTACGGGTGAGAAAACAAGAAAAGATCTTCACGTCTATGCTGTAGGCGATAATCCGGCCGCGGACATCAAAGGCGCCAATGCCTATGGTTGGTCCAGTATCCTTGTTCGCACGGGAGTCTTCCAAGGCACCGGCAATTCAGCCGCCTATCCTGCCACCAAAGTGTGTAACCATGTGCAGGATGCCGTAGAATGGGCTATCATGCAGGAAGAGTCGCGCAAAGATTAGATTCGACCAAATAAATCTTTTTATCATTTCTATAGACGAAACAAATAATTTCAATGATGATTAAAAATCCATCGACCGCTTTCTTTTGGAGAGTGAGATCAATTTATTGTTTTGTCAAGATGTATGGAATGATGTAGATCAGTCTATGAACCGATTAATGATGGATAAAACTAGTATTATACAGGCACATTCTCGATTGGATGGGATGATTTTTTGATGGGGAGTTCTACGACCTTTGCGCAGTTCTTGCTTCCTTTCACCCTCAACCACCGTCCTAACCGTAATTCTTGGCCAACGCCAATAACGAGGATCGTTCGTTTGGAAGGAAACGTGGTTTTGATTTGTAAGCTGTTGACGACGCCTTGAACGGGGATTTGGGCAATCTGTTGAAATGATTTATTGTCTGCAGCCAGTTTCCACACGCGTACAAAGCCATCCCATGATCCAGATACAAAAACGTCAGAGTATCTTATGCATGCCAAGGCGGTAATCCAGTAAGGTGTATCGATATCTCCCTCCGACTCACTGTGGGTGGTGTTAAGACCGTGAGCCGCTGATAACGAAAACAGAGGTTTCTTGCGATTGATATCCCACAATGATATAGCACTAACAACAACAAAGCAACCAGGAAAAAAAATCAGTTTGATCGTTCCTGCAATGGTCCTAATTAAGGAAAGTTTCGTCCCAACTTACCCACTGTCGCCACCTGTGACGAATATATCTTCATCAATCTGTGCAACACAATCAAGCGATCCTTCCGCGTACAAAATGCGCTCACTGCCATCGGCATCTTTGGTGGTAACTCCTCCTCTGTAAACCAACTGTGATTCCTCCACAATTTTCCATAATCGCGCGGTTTTATCACGTCCTCCGGTCGTCATACAGCGTTCTCGGCTAAGGGTATCGATAGCAGTGATTTGGTCTTGATGGCCAAACAACGTTTCAATATAAGCACGTTCGTCCACGTTCCATAATTTGATAGTACGATCGTGCGATGCAGAATATAATTGATTGGAGCCTTTGCGGAACGCCAAGCCCTACAACGGAATCATGTCAGTCCCTGTTCATCACCAAATTCTTTTTTGAATCACTTACAGATACAGCATCTTTATGCAGACTAAACGTAGCAATATGTGTATTATCCTTGACCGACCATATATTGATAAGTTTATCACGACCACCACTTGCCAGATATTGATGATCGCTGCTTAGCGCCAGCGCAAGAATATCCTGAGTGTGACCAATATAATCTTTGGCTCCTTTTCGTCCACCGGGAAAAGTGTGCAATTTCTTCAGGGTCGTTGTGTCGTCTAAAGGATCGCACCGCAAAAAAAGGGGTAAGAACCGCTGTTTTCTTGACAATGTTCACAGATCGAGTAACTTACATTTGATAATGGAGCCATCTTTGGATGCCGTATAGAAAAATTGACCATTATCAGCCAATACAACGGCCGTTACTGTCTGGTTATTGCCGCGTCCGAGGCGACATGAACGAATCTTTGTATCATCAATTGATGTGAAATCAAACTAATTGGATGGAGATAACAAACCCGTCAGTTTCCCATGTCGACACCCGCGCAGTTTCTGTTGTTGTTAACTCACCTTGTCGGCAATACGTCGATGAATCTTTCCAGCGGCTTCATCGTCATCTTTTTTCAATCGCTCGGCAATCAAGTCTCTATCGAGATCGGCCGCGTCGAATCCACCGAGATCCTCTATAGAATAGACAATTACTACACTGCGGGGATCACGATCGCGAATGCATCTGATGCAAGGACTTACCGTCCATATCATGCTGAATCTTATCCAAATAGGCTTTGGCAAGACGGACTCGCTTTTCGGCAGCTGTCTCTTCAATTTCTTCTTCCGAAGATTCAGCTTCACTGGCTTCGAGATTCATGTCGGCAAGTGTGCTTGGACCGTCGGCCTCGTCGTCGCTTTCATCTTTCTTTTTCGGTGCTCGACGGGGCTTTGCAGTAGTGGCATTACCAGCCACTGTATTTTTGGTTCTATCACTGGGTTGATTGGAACGCTTGCGTTTACGTGTGCTGGCAAAAAAGGAATCCTGCATGGTGAAAAGGACAGTGAAGGATGGGAAAGTTGAAGGCCGAGTGGGTGGGTGATATTGGGCCTTTTTTTTTCTTTGGGTTTTTTTTAAAAGCCAGCTTCTAACAAGAGACAAGCCACCTCAAAGTCACGATCAATTCACCTTCGAGCCAAAAAAAAGACAATTTAAATTCCGCGTTTCCTGCTGCTTTTCCTATTGCTGCTTGTCCAATGGCAACTTCGTCCACTGCACCACCACCGCCCACGCCTTCCTATATTTTCCGAGGTCATACGGCTGCAGTTAACTCTGTTCGTTTTTTTGATCATAATAAATATTTTGTCTCTGGGTAAATTGAGTCAAACTTTAGTTGCCTTTGTCCCTATTTCCCAAGATCTAAGTTGATCGATCATGTTAGAGACGCGGATGGGGTCATCTTTGTATGGAAACTACGCACGCGTCGGCCCGTCCTGACATGGAAAGCACATGAAGAGAGTTGCCTTTCAGTGAATCTCATCGGCAATGACAAGCTTCTCAGGCAAGCCAATAACAAGTTTGCGTTCTTCTGCCGCGCGGGGGGGGATCTAATACAATATAATATGATCATATGATAGCCAAGGGAGGGACAACAGCATTCATGTTTGGCAACTGCCTTGTTTGGAAACTGATTCCAAAGAAATACCAAAGAAACTATCCACCATCGTCTATGACTCTCTCAATTTCTGTAAGCTTTGTGTATGTAATATAAAAGGTGAGTCGATCAAATGTTACGCACAGGCCACGACTGTCATGCTTACTTAACTTGCGCGTGTCAGATAATGATACCCTTCTCTGTTTTCCATCCCTTGGTGATACTTCGTTGGTATGACGAAAAAGATAAATTACAGATATTATGACTTGGGACTCATCACAACGTCCAACAGGTTGACATTTATAGCTTGCAAGAGCAACGCTGGATCATCCGCGGTATTGGTAACGCCGATGCGGAGGACAAGAAAGCGGCAACAGGCATTTGTATGGCCGTGCGAATATTGCTGTTGGAAGACACTGTACACATTGTATCAGGTTACGAGGACGGATCCGTAGTTCTATGGCGGATTAAAGAGAACAACGTCCAATGCATCTGGCGAAACAAATATCATAAAGAACCAGGTTTGTACGATGTATCGCCGTTTCAGGTCCACCATCCTAACATTCCCATGATCAGTGTTAGATCTTGCAGTGGATCCATTGAAATCCTTTATCTACTCGACTTCTGCTGATAACCAAGTTATCCGCCATGACGTTCATAGTGGAAAACATCACATCGTACCCACAAAAAAGTCGGGCGTAGCTGCAGTGGCTATACGCGAAGATAATAAGATTCTTGCCACCGCTGGATACGACGGCAAGTAAGTTTGAAAACGTAGCATTATTTTATTACTTTCCTCCCCATATTGAAACGGTTCCCAGGATTCGTATTTTCTCCATCAAGTCGCAGAAACCCTTGGCAGTATTATCCTACCATCAGGATAGCGTCTATGCGCTCGATTTTGCCGAACTAACCAAAGAACATTACATGCTTTCCGGAGGCAAAGATAATCGTATCGCCCTGTGGTCGATCTATTGAATTTTTTATCCGTCATCACCATTGTACTTTTACCTTGTCAGCACAACTTGGTCTGCATTGGCAATTTCGCTATTCACATATAAAGAAACAAAGAAATACATTATATGATATCCCACTTGCTCATCATTTCCTGACGTCCGCAGACAAAAGAGATTTTTATTTCCTTTTCATCACGTGTGATTAAAAAAATTTTGATCTGCCGGTTTTGATAGAGACGTTGAATTTGCGATGGATGATAGTGATCAACCGCTTACAATAGGAGCGGCAGCTTGGCATGCGAGACGTGCGGCATGGCGAACCCCATCCACTACCGAAGCACCCACCAATTTCGCAACAGAGTCTACGGCATGGTTACAAGATCTTCCAAGAGAGGCCCAACTGAATATATACCAACATCTGGTCAATGAACGTCGACAATTGAATCAACCATTGCCCTTGGAGATTGTGGTAAGCTCTACGACTTTTGATAAAAGCCGTCAATTATAAATGCCAGTGAGGTCTAAGGTATTTCGGCAATATAGGTAAAAGTCCTCGTCACAGGATGGAAAGAGAATGGCACTTGGCCCAACTCCACCCACGGCGCTTGATCATCGTAACCACGTGACAACTGCATTTCCCTTTCTTTTTTTTTTTATTTATCCTTCCATTATTCCTCTTAAACTAGATGTCAGAGTTTGAGCTGCTTCATTTAGCAATGATAGTTTTGTACTTTGTTTTATAAATATGTGGTTTTTCTTCATGAAATGATAATAATACGTTTATTCAACGGGAGCAAGTCGGGGGAGGGGAGTTTGGGTCTGTGAGTACCTGGATACCGATTTCAATAACCTATGGCAAAACAATACAACAAGGATAAAATTGGGGTGAAAGATTCAGGTAGTGCCTCAAAAGTAGGATCGTTGGACTTGAGGCTCGCTCTGTTGTGGTGCCTTGCATTGCTCTTCCACGTTAAGAAGCACAGCATTGCCATTACCAAAGTAAGCAAGCTCTTTGCAAGTGGTAGTGGTTTGTCGATACAAACGTTCCAAGCAGGACGTAGCGGGAAGATTTTGAAACGCTAAAACGCAAAAAAGCAATGGCAGTTTAGCATTTTTCGGTCATTGTAAAAGACCTGGGAAAGGACGCTTACCAAGAATAGCCGTGTTCACATTGGTCGCGAGGCTATCGAGGCACGATTTATCGAGTAGATAAGCTACGGGACATGTAGTTGGTTCTGGGTACGCCAATAACGAGAAAACATCCTTGCAGATAATATCGTTATTTTGACACGGTTGGCCAAACATGATGCGGTAATAGTTACCACTAATTTATGCTGAATATGGGATCGTTCATCTTTGCTGTACTCGTTCTTCAGCTCTTGACCGTATTTCATGATACGCTTCATAAGGAAGGCTAAATCAGGTCCCATTTCCACACTGTCGTCTTCTTCGTCTTCTTCGTCGAGAGCCAAATCGTAGCTGACGTGGCTGTGGCTGGAAAAAATACTGCTGCTGCTGTTACTGTATCTGTTACCCCTTCCTGAGAGTCGACGAGATCCTCGACCATACATCATATCATCGGTTTCGGTGATATCGAATGATTGGTAAGTTGGCGAGACAGAAAACGCATGAAACCCGTGGTTTCCGGTGGGGGAGGAGGAAGCAGCCACTTCCGCCCAACTTAAGCGCCTTCCCGACGCACGAACAGGCACCGGTAATGTCGGTGACGATGATAATAACGGCTGCATCGACGGTCTGTATTCGCTCGGCGAAAAATCGTCGTCATCAAAGCTGCTGCTTCGCCGACTGCTGGTGCTGCTTACATGATCATCGTCTTCAAACGTTATGGTGGTGTCAATCGAATTGGAACGGCGAGACAAACTGCGTTGCTGGCGTTCGACATGGCTATATTCCCGCATCAATTCTACAAACTCTTGGCACTTTAGCTCAAAAAGCAGGTCTGTTTCGGTCGTATCACGTGTCAAGATTCCGGGGTAGTGCTTATCTAAAGTCTGCACAGCTTCGGCAATGTTTCCCTGAATAATGGAGCGACGAATCTCTGTGAAATAATCGTATGGTTAAAATTTTTGAATTAATGCGCTGCGGCATCACTTACGCTGTCGAATTTCCATATCTTGTAAGCCGGGAGTATTGTGTGTGATTGTTTTATTGGCAGCGTATTGAGCATTTTTGATCATCGCCAATGCTGTGCCGGTATATCCATGATGGATAAGGTAGGAAATAATGAGAGTGTCGCAAAGGCTATATCCGTTGTCGAGGCTAACGGACGACGTTGGTTCAACTTTTTCCCACAAGGCCGCTTTTTGATCCTAAATACATTGCAATGAGTAATAAAAAAATCAGCAAGAGTATTTTAACGAACCGATTCGATTGGATTTTTTATTATTATTATTATTATTATTTATATTTACCTTGATATATTGGGTGATATCAAACGTAAAAGGACTTTGCCCAAAGTTGGCAGTAATACGCTCGCCTACTGTACGTAGTCCCACGCATGGGTATAATGTGACCGATGTATCGATGCCGGTAAATGCTGTGCCTAAAAAGCTTCCGTTTTTTGTATAAAAGGCAGACCGTGTGGCAAAATTGACTCCACAACCTATGACATCGCCAGTGGTGAAGCAAGGGCCGTAGATTTTCCCGGTACCGGATCCTGCAAAGGAGTGACCATCATCGCCATGGTAACCGTACGAATTCTTATCCCATCCTAGTCGATTTTATATCTCTTAAAATTGAATGTTGTTACGGGTATCAATCAAATGTAGTCAGTCCTACCAGGTAATCGTTCGAGTTTATTCGATCCGCCACAGAATCCAGTGCCAATGTAACCGTCGTCTCCTTTTGACAACACCATTATTTCAAAGTAATATATTCCGCACTGAGGTCGCATAGGGAAATTGGTTCGTACGGAAGCTGCATGGGCCTCCGTTTTACCAGGTCCTTTTTTTTTTTTTGTTGCTCAATCGTTAGATGTGCATGTCAACAGAAGCTTTTCCATTATCAACATTCAGGAGGGTGGTATGGCTTACCAACATAGGACAATGTGAGCCCATTTTTATCAATTTCAATATGACGCGATTTATCTTTGGAATTCCAAAAGCAAGGCAATCGCAAGTCTATATTCTCGAGATTGGTCCTCTCTTCTATTAGCAAATCTTGGAGTGTGGTGGAACGGAATAAAGCCGACTTGGGAGGTGACGTTGGAGGACTAGAGGCATCGGTTTTGAATTCACAGCGCCTGTTGACGAGAAACGCGTACTGCTCCAAAGCCAGACCCGCATACAAGGTATTTTTGAGATACGACGGATATTTAGGCGGCACTAAAGGCGGAGGCAATTTTTGAGAGGATTGACGCTTTCTTTGGAATGAGTGGTGCAAAGGCAGAGATTGCAGAGGAGGAAATGCCGACGAGTAAGAGGAATGGGTGGTGGAAGAGTGGGAATCGGTTGAAATAGTTTGAAACGCCATGACGAGAAGAAAAAGCGAAAAGTTTACATTCGAGTCAACGTGAGACTTTAATGCAAACCAAGGCACGTGGTGTCACTTCGTCACCTCATACTTATGCTCGAAGTTTTCTCATCGGAAACCGAAAAGTAAAAGAAACTCGATTCGTGATTGGTTCACTTTTGCCCCAGATCAAAATGCTTCTGCACTCGCCTTGCATGCACACTTCTTTTTTGGCGCCATCATCCCTGTTTACAAAAACCCAGGACGACAGTCTTTTGCAAACATGCAATGGCTAATCATCAGCATAATAGGCTTTCTAGTAATGCGACTAATACGTCCTCTTGTTTCTTTAAATATACAACTGCAAGTTATCAACTCGCTGCCACTTTCATCGTAATTTTACTCGCGCCAAAATATTGGCTCTCCATCTTTGTGTGCGCTCCAGCGCAATTCGAGCGTTCGGTTATTCAGGTTTCCCGATACTGCACATCCTACTAAAAAGGAGCTAGCCAGTTTGTTGAACCGATGCTATTGTCAGCTGTGGACTGAAAAACTGTATTACGAGTTTTACGGCGAGCTGCACTTTTGCCACGCCTCATAGTCCTGGCGACACAGCAACGTCATCGGTTTGCACTAATTTTTTTTTAAGTTGGTTCAAAAATGCCGAAATTCGAAGAGGCTATTTGGGACCCGGTTATTCTTTTTTATCTTTGGCGAAAAAAAAAAAAGGTTATTCAGGTTCTCTTTTTTCTCTATCGTATCTCTTGAAGAAAAGGAAAAAAAAAAAGCTGGAACCAATACGATAAAAAGCCCAAAATTTCTTGGTGAGTGACTTGCACAAAAATAAGCGAGCTCAGTTTTTATATTCATTCCCGGCCGTTGGGGCATTGTTTCTTTACAGAGAACGCAATTCTTTTCTTAATTTCACCACATGTCTGTCAACGATCGAGGCAATATGTCAGAGTGGGAGCTTTCCGCAGACGGCACATATTGGACTTTTACAAGCACTCTCGAGAAATCGGACAACGATGATCGAGACTACCGACTGATTAAGCTCGCCACCAACGATTTGCAAGTTTTGCTGGTTCATGACAAAGACACCGACAAGTCGAGCGCGGCACTTGACGTTCATGTGGGTCACTTGAGCGATCCGGTACGTGTATGATTGATGGAATTGTTATAAAATTGATTTTGATCACCAGTGCAAAACTTTTTGCGGTGATGGTTTAAAATCAGTGCTGCGCTTCTAACCTATTTGGTTATGATGCATAAATTCACTACTCGACATACGTCTAATATGCATTTATCACGGTCATAGGAGGATTTGCAAGGATTGGCCCATTTTTGTGAACATTTATTGTTTATGGGAACTGAAAAATATCCCAAGGAGAACGATTACAACCAGTATTTGGCTGAGCACTCGGGGTTTTCAAATGCTTTCACGGGCGTGGAAGATACAAACTACTACTTTGAAGTGGGACATGAATATCTGGAGGGAGCTTTGGATCGATTCGCTCAATTCTTTATCAGCCCCTTATTTTCAGACAGCTGTACGGAAAGAGAACTGAAAGCAGTGGATTCTGGCAAGTTCATTACAGAAATTCGGTCCCAATGACGTGACACCATGCTGATGATGCTGCATCCTCGTAGAACACAAGAAGAATAGACAACAAGATTCTTGGCGCATGTTCCAGTTGGAGAAAGCGCTTAGCAATCCCGATCATCCTTACTGCCATTTCGGTACGGGCAATCTCGAGACATTGCAGGACAATCCTCGTCATGCTGGCAAGAACACTCGCGATGAATTGTTAAAGTTCCACGATTCTTACTACTCGGCAAATATCATGAAACTCTGTATTCTTGGACGAGGTAGAAGCGCCTTTTTTTTTTTCGAAGCGAATGATTTGGCATTTTCACTAATCGTGCGGTTTGTACTTAGAATCCCTCGACGAATTAACACAGTGGACGGTGGAGAAATTCAAGAATGTCCGCAATAAGAACATCCAGCCTCCCAGTTTCCCTGGTCATCCGTTGACGAAAAACGAACTTATGGTAATGCTTGGACGACGCTGCTGTGATTTGCATATTGTTTAACGGACATTTTTCCGCATTAGAAACAAATTTTCATCAAACCTGTGAAAGATGTGCGATCTCTCGAAATGACGTTTCCTTTTCCAGATCAGCGGCCATTGTTTGCAAGCCAGGTACGCTTTCGATAGCCGCCAAATGCTTTATGTGGATATTCGTTAAACTTTATTGTTGATATTAGCCGGGCCGTTACATATCGCACTTGATCGGGCATGAGGGTCGCGGGTCCATTCTCTCGCTACTCAAGAAAAATGGATGGGCGAATTATCTTCAAGTGGGTACCATCCATGGTGGCATTGGTTTCGAGTTTATGCGTATCAGCATTGATCTTACAGAGGAAGGTTTAGGTAAGCTATAAAAATGCTTAATGTTTACTCATAGATCAGTGAGCTCACCTTTACATGCTTTCTACTTTAGCACATTATAAGGACGTCATTGTTGTTATCTTCCGTTACATTGAATTGTTGAAGCGCTCGGGTGTGCAAGAATCTGTGTTCAAGGAAGTACAATCATTGGCTTCCCTTGCTTTCCGTTTCAAGGAAAAATATCCGCCATCGCAGTATACTTCCCGGTTGGCCGGTCTCATGCAACACGGTTACCCTTCCAATTGCGTCTTGAGTGGTCCAAGCTTGATTCGCAAGTATGATCCTGAGCTCATCAGCGACAATCTTAATTGGCTGCGTCCAGACAATTTCCGTATTATGCTTGCTGCTCAGCATCCCCCGGGTGGCGTTCAATTTACCAAGAAGGAGAAATGGTATGATACAGAGTATGAAGTTAAGGACTTTAGTGAAGACTTGATCAAGGTAAGTGAAATCATTGATCAAATATGCGATCAAAGTAGGGGTGTCTCACTTGTGCTTCTATATAGTCCTTGGAAAATGCTGGTTTAGACAAGTCGTTGCATCTTCCTCCAGCCAATGATTTTATCCCAACCGACTTTGAGACACATAAAAAGCAGGTGGATCAACCCGCCAAGCGTCCTACACTCATTGAACATACACCAACCATGAGACTCTGGCACAAGAAGGATGACATTTTCTGGGTGCCACGAGCAAATGTCTGGATCCTTTTCCGCAGTCCTCTTGCTTATGCAACACCGACAAATTGCGTCAAGACAAGGTATGCAAAATTGTTGATGCGATGGGGTTTCCTCCAGTCAATTAACATCAAATGATAGATTGTATACGGATTTGTTGAAGGATTCCTTGAATGAATATGCTTACGATGCCGAAGTGGCTGGATTATGCTATAATATTGAGAATCAATTGGAAGGAATGCTGGTAACGTCTAGTCGCAACGAGTGACGCGGTTGGTTTCATGCTGATTTTGAATTTTTGGATGTGCTAGCTGGCCGTGGGTGGATACAGCGACAAGTTGTCTGTGCTTTTGGAGAAGGTGGTACAGAAGATGCGTAACTTTGAAGTGGACCCTGAAAGATTCAAGTTGCTCAAAGACCAGGTACTTATACATGACGAACGCATATCACGTTTGTACATACAAAAAACTGTACATCGGGCAAAGCATTCACCATCCTCCAATAGCTTCGCCGCTCCTACAAGAATTTTGCCCTGGAACCGCCCTACCAGCATGCTCTTTATTACTTGTCATATTTTACGCAAGATAAAATGTGGACCAATGCCGAAAAGCTAAAGGAACTCGAGGACATCACTCCTGAAGATGTACAAAACTTTTACCCGACCATCTTATCCCATTTGCATATTGAAGCCTTGGTGCATGGTAACATTGTGAAAGATGACGCGCAATCCATGTTACGCAATGTGGTCGATATTTTGCAACCAAAGCAGCTGCTTCCAAGCCAGCTCATTGGACACCGTAGCTTGATTTTACCCAAAGGTACGCTTTGTTTCGAACCTTTTCTGTTTCATCAAAGGAAAAAAAGGAAAGAGGAAAGGAACAACATTTGCTGCCACGGTTTATTAACCAAGGATGTGTAGGCACGAAATGGGTGTATCAAAAGGAAGTCGAGGATCCCCACAATGTCAATTCCGGTATTGAATATCTTATTCAAGTTGGCAATGTGACGCAGACTGAACTGCGAGCTCGTTTGAGTTTATTGGCACAAATCGCGCAAGAACCTTGCTTTGATCAGTTACGCACAAAAGAGCAATTAGGTAAAGAAAGGAGACGAAACATCGTCATTTTGCGCTGAAATTGACCTATTGACACTGACATCACCTGAATAGGTTACCTTGTCTTCAGCGGTGTCCGTAAACAAACTGGCTCGATGGGCATGCGATTCATCATTCAGAGTGAAAGAAACACCGTTTATCTGGAGAACCGCATAGAGGAATTTTTGGTGAAGTTGCGAAAATTAATCGAGAACATGACCGATACGGAATATCAAGCCCAAGTGCAATCCCTTATTTCCAAAAAACTCGAAAAAGACAAGAATCTCGGCCAAGAAGGTAGCAAGTATTGGACTCATATTCACTCTGGATATTATGAGTTTGATCAAGGTACGGTGAATGAACAAACGGGGTTTTTATTGGGAGAAAGTATCTCATCTTTTCATTGTTTCCACCATTTAGTGGACAAGGACGTTCAAGAACTGAAAACGATTGAGAAGCAATCACTATTGGACTTTATGACCGAATACATTGATCCGCAATCGCCTTCAGTGCGCAAAATCTCGGTCCATTTGCAATCTCAGAAATGTCCTCAAGTCGCCAAGTACAAGGTGAACATTGAATCTCTCCATACCTGTCTCCTTTCGCAAGGTGTGACGCGGTTAAGTATCGATGATTTGCGCGCTGCTGTTGAACGAGGCGAAGCGGGTGAAGCTTCGATTCAGCGCATCCTTCGAGAGATGCTGATAGACGAAACGAAAGCCGACGAAAGCGAGATTGAATCACTCATGTCAAAACTAGTTACTGCTATGGGTATGGCCGCGGCCACCGAGACGGACGATGTTATCAATGGTTCGTTTGTCACTGTCGACAGCAAGAACACTGCTCGCCGTTTATCGCTTGCCAATGGTGATTCCACCCCCAACAGCGGACAACAAACGCCTACGAGAGATCAATCAAAGCTGCCAGAGGGCAACGTGGTGATTGCTGATCCCGTCGACTTTAAGAGTAGAATGGAATTGAGTCCTGCCGCTGTTCCTTTGATCGATTTCTGATTTTCAAGAGAAAGGAAAAGTTGAGAGATATCAAAACTTTTTCCTTAGCAAGTCTTTTCTACAATATTTATCTGTTTGATTTTATTACCTTCTTCTTGTCTATTACATTTACCTTGGTGTGCATTTGTAATGAGTCTTTTTCTTTTTTTTCGTTAATTTTTTCTCCACTGTCTCTTTGTAATTAAAAGAAAAGCACAAATTTCCACAGATTCTACAATGTTAACAGCATCTCTGAATTTGACCAAAGTAGTTCAACTTATCCATGTAGGTGCCCAAGTGGAGAGACGGACCCCAGAAAGAAAAACATAATAGAAAGGTGGATTCATTAGACGAGATTACTCCCACCGGGAGGAACTGTATAGAATTTTGAATACGCCTTTCGTCAAGATAGCTCTCAATCATTAAGACTATATACATCTCCATGAATTCAACGTTCTAATAAATTTTAATACCCTGTAATTGCTAGTCCTCTTTTTGCTTTTGTTGAAGACTATCGTTCCCAAAGACAAAAGACAACTAGCGAAGGCTGAGTGTGAAAATGTCGTCACAAATGGGTTGGGCCAATCATTGACGAGAACCGAAATCGATCGAATGGCGGCTTTGCACGCGTTTCTGTGGGTCCTTCTCCGTCAGTCCGCCTTCTCTCATTTCAGTTACCACTACGATGATACGACAACTGTTTGCCATTGTGCTCATCTATGCGAGCATTTTAGTGGCTGTGTCCGCTGTGAAGTTTGAACTGCCAGCTGTTCCGTCTTCTCGAGTGGAAGAAAGCAAACGCTGCATTTCGCAGTACGTTCCTAGAGATACTACCGTACTGCTGACGGGCAAGATTGGCCAAGGATATAATCAAGTGGCGGGCTTCGAGGTAGATTCTTGAATCTCTCATCGTCAGTTCCATTGCGCGTGAAGCCAGTGGATAGTAATAGTCGGATGGGATGGTCTAAACAGTGTCACGTCCTAATAGATTAAAGACAACAACGACCAACCCAACGTATATGGCCGTCATTCCAAGTACACGGGCGAATTCCGTAATGCTTTCGATACTCGTTCTGATGGTGTAGTGAGCATTTGTTTTACCAACCAACTTCAAGAAGGTAGGCAGCCGAGACGCAACTTGGAGATGGTGCATTCCGAGTCACTGACCCTTGTCCGAATTGATAGGTTTCAACGAAGCTCCTCAATACACACGTACCATCGAATTAGAGTTTAACGTAGGTGCCGAAGCATTGGATCTCAAGCAGATTGCCAGCTCCGAGAAACTTGGACCGCTCGAAATTGAGTTGCGTAGACTCGAATCGATCGTCAAGTCCATTGTGGGTCAGATGGATTACCTGAAACGTCGTGAAGAACGTATGAGAGATACCAATGGTAAGACACACGACATGAGAGACCGAGGACGAACGGGGAACGGTTTATTGATGGACAAATGAATGTATGATAGAATCGACAAATGAACGTGTCAAGTGGTTCAGCTTATTGTCTCTGTTCACACTGATCAGCTTGGGTGTCTGGCAGATTTTATACTTGCGCAGTTTCTTCAGAAGAAAGCGGTTGATTGATTAGTTTCCACCCACTATACAAAAAGGAAACCAGAGAACAAATAAACTAAAATACAGGTCGAACCATGTACTATCATCCACTAGTCATTGTGAGAAAACGTTCGGCAGTTTTCTCTGATTCGATCTCATTCCCTGCCTAGGTGCTTGTTCAGACAAGGAACCACTGAAAATAAAGGGCATCCAAATGCTAATGATTAGCATGTACCACAAAGAATGATATTGCGATGGATACGGGAATATGTGACGGCGACAATGATAATAATGTCATTTGGATACAAGGAGGGATACAGTCTCGCTCTCTTTCACCGTTCGTTTTCTGGGGGCTTGAACATACGAAAACGATGGAACCGATATGTGTCCAATTCCGTTATGATATAAAAACCTTTAGATTTACATTACCCCTTTTTTCTCACGGCAGCTATTGAACATCTACTACTGTACCTTACATACAGTAGAGCTTGTAGAGGAACATGATGATACGTTGATAGAAGGCAAGTCGCAGAGTCAATTGATCTGTTCTGCAGAAATGGAAAAAGATAATGGGCAACGCCCGGGAGTGTATCGTCCGGTTAACATGTCATAAAAAGCCAAACAATGATCGACCAATGCACAAACTCCAGCGATATTAGACTACCGGTCCAAAGCACCCATGGATGATGGCTAGTCGCGTTTTAGCGCAGAAATATTGATAAAGGTTTAGCATTCTGATCGTCTCGCAGAATAGGCAGAATCCAGAACTTTCTGATTCTATTCTCTACCGACTCAGACTGTGTATGGTTCCTCTATTTCAATCCATCATTTTGACGTTTTTATTGGAATTTTATCCTAAAAATTTGCTACCATGGGGAAACTTGCTAAAGACTGCTGCTTACTAAGTTCTCGTATAAAATGAGCAGTGTCAGCTGTCAGTATCCGTTGGATCCGAGTGTGTCTGTCAGTGAAATTTTTTGAGAAGCTTCAGTCCCGCATCAGTTTGGCGGAAACCATCATATGAGATTGTGTTTTTTGTAGGATCGGACCATTTGGCAGGCTGATCCACCCATAAATGGTAATGGAACTCCAAAATGGCATCCTTACAAGAGCGCGAGCGCACTTGAATTAGGGTCTGTGCACGATCTGGAACGTGGTTGATGGATGAATTTTTCTTGACTGGTTTCATTCTCCGATTATTTAAAGCAAATATCGTGCAACGCTGCTGTCATCAAAGCAGCAAAACAACGTCCAAGCCGGTAATCAACACAGATACAATTGTCTCATTTTTTTACAGGTTTCCTAGGTAATATAGATGTGTTCAAAAAAAGAATACAAGGTTGGCATGGTAAATAATAACGAAGAACGTGATCCACTGCGATGGATTTCCTTTTTACTTTTCAATAACTTCCAATTGATTAATGTCACTTAATTGAATTAAACACTTTTTTTTCACAAAAGTTTTTGTTATCCTACCATGTGTTTTGCCATTTTCAAAGTGCGAAATAAGTGCCAAAAAGGGACGCTTCACACATTCATCACGCCACGCTTCATTTTTTCTCCTTTGAGAACAGAACAAAAAGTTGTCAAAAGACGAGCCTTTTTACTCCTATTCAACCGTCCCCGTTGCCACGACAACCATGGTTATGGCTTTTCCTAACGAGCAGACCGTTCCAAGCCCGTCTAACCAAAAGCATGACCATTCACAAAAGAATGCCAAAGGCATTGGCAATTACACATTTCAACAGAATCTCGGAAAGGGGAGTATGGGCAAGGTTAAACTCGGTGTTCATATCGTCACAGGTGCAAAGGTAATTAATTCCCTACAAGAAAAAAAAAATGGACTAAAAACATGGGTTTTGACCTTGATTTTCGATCAGGTCGCTGTAAAGATTGTACCCCGCGCCAATTTGCAACTCGTGGGTATGAATACGGCTGGGAAGACACCAAAGCAAATTGCCAAAGAATATGCTCGAGAGGAAAATCGAGAAATGAGAACGACCCGCGAAGCGCATATGATGATGCTCCTTCGCCATCCCAACATTGTCCAACTCAAAGATCTGGTGGTGGCTGGCCGCTATTTTTATATCATGATGGACTACGTCAATGGGGGTCAATTGCTACATTATATTGTAAAGCGGAATCGATTATCGGAAAAGAGATCATGCCATTTTGCTCGACAAATCGTTAGTGCACTCGACTACATGCATCGCAACTCCATCGTCCACCGTGATTTAAAAATCGAAAATATCCTCATTGACAAATCAGGACGCAATATCAAAATTATCGACTTTGGTCTCTCGAATTTGTTCTGTCCTGAACGACAACTGACGACGTACTGCGGCTCATTATACTTTGCGGCGCCCGAGTTACTGCGAGCGACACCGTACAATGGTCCTGAAATTGATGTGTGGAGTTTGGGCGTCGTGATCTACGTCATGGTCACAGGCACGGTCCCCTTTGATGACAAATCGATGCCCGGTTTACACGAGAAAATCAAGCGAGGTCATGTCGTTTATCCTCCGTATCTTGGAATGGAGTGTCGCGATCTTCTTTCGCGGATGTTTATCACTGATCCTGCACGCCGTATTATCATGGCAGACATTGTCCGACATCCATGGCTGAACAGGAAACAACCGCCGATTCAGAACTTTTTACCCCTTCGTAAACCATTGAAACTGCCTCTGGATCCCCACATCATCGAACTAATGTCCAAAGGCATGAATCTGGGAACAGCGGAAGAGATTGCCATGAAGCTGGAAGTGATTGTCCAGTCTCCAGTATACAAAAGGGCGGCCGAGGCCATTGCCCACCAGCAAACTATTCAATCCAGAACAGACGCTTGCCAGCCTATTTATGACGACCCTCAAAGCATTCCTGCTGGTTACCATCCTCTCATCTCGATATATCATCTCACTGAAGAACGTCAAGCTCATCTGTCACAGATGACTTCTCATGCAATGCATCATGCTGCCGGCACCTTGTCCCGTAAGAGTTCGGTTGAATCGGGATTATCCATCGGCGGTACGTCTTCCGCACGCAGTAGTCAAACATCGCTGGTCTTCGCAGGCGAAACTAGCCCCTCCAATCATCGATCCAAACCGCAGCATATTTCAGAGATGCCCTTGGGGCAAACAGCCATTCATCATGCTCCGACCGCGTCCGGTTCTATGCAAGGCCATCTCGGTGTAACCGCTGCTCAGGGCTTTGGATCACAACCGGCCGCATCTATTGCCTCCACCGATTACCTGATACGTATCCAGCGATGGCTTCGATCATCGACATCACAGTACCAGCTCCCCACGGAACAGGAGGAACCTGAAGCGACCGAGGTGAATGAGGTTAATGATCTATCGCCAACGACCGCAACAACCGCAACAACCACCGAAACCATCACATCACCGTCCTTTGCACCAGCAAACCTACCTACACCCCCTGATTCAGATGACTCTGACCACGGCAGTGGACAGAAATCGACACGATCGTTATTCAAAAAGTTATCCCATGCACTCCTCCGTCGAGGGTCACGCAGAGATCGTCACCACTCACAGTCTTCGCAGGATGCTCCGGAAACCGATCTGCCGTCTCGCAACCGCGCACAACCTTCTTTACCGATCTCACCTCCCCAAGATGTTTTGCCTGCTCAAACAGCTGCTTTCGAAAGGAAGAAGCTGCCACCTCTTCCAACGACAGCATCCCAGCAACCTGTTCATCGTCAGCGATCAGCCTCTGCAACGTCCAATTCAACATTGCCAAACCGACTTGGCATGTGGCTTCATCGATCCAATTCCTTCCAAAAGACTCCCAAAGCTACCTAAATCAGTTTTATTTTTCATTCCTAATCCTAATTGTATTGTATACTTAACACCCGCTTGCTGGACGTCCTATAATATTGTTACCGTTATTTTGTCATTAGATTTACCTCCATGAAAAAGAGTAGACAGAAAAAGAATTGGTTGATACAGATACCATAAATAACTTATTTATTAATGATCTGCACCAAAAAAAAGGGAACAGATCACCGGAAAAGAACAAGCGAAAAAGGGAGGAACTATCGAGAACAAGCGAGCATAATAAGGAAAGAAGAACTGAAGAAGAAACAGACAAGTGAAATGTAGCAATCGGAATGGTTGAAAAACGTGTTATGATGCAGAAGTTAAAAAAACAAAAAAAAAGAAAGGGTGGAAACAAGAGAGTATACAAAAAGATGAAAAAAAAAAGTTGATTCCATGGAAGATGTGTATAGGCGTGTATAGAGTGTTTGGAATTTAGACAAGAAGCACAGCATTGATACAACCGTCGTTCTCGGGATTGTTTGTCACTTGCGCATATTTACCCCAAACGACCTTACCGTTGGTGGTCACCAAACCCAATTCAGACACATTGACTTCCAACACGGTACCCTTGGTGATAACACCCAACTGCGTATATAGCGGTGATTGCGGGTTCTTCTTTACACCAATGATAGGCAAATGGAAAGTGGCTTTGAGTTCGGGATGTGTCACGTGGGCTTTCTTGTAACGAAGACCCATAGGTCGAATGAAACGTTCGTATTTCGGAGGCTTGCGAGTAAATCCTTCACCGACAAAGGTGGCCTTTGTAACCATACGCTTCCATGACTTGGTCTTGCTCTTGCCACTCTTGACCACCTTGAACATTTCATCCTCAGCCATACCGCGCACAGCAGGCAAGGGTACAGACCATTTTCCGGCCTTTTCCTTTCGCTTCTGCTTCACCATGTTGCTCAGCACCTTGGCACGATCTTGACCTTCACGATCCAACAAGTAAGCGGGAACAGCACCATCGGGAATAGCATCGGCCGACTTTTGTTTGGCATTCTTTTCCTCGTGTTGTTTAATAGTCTTCTTCATTTGGATCTTCTCCGCATGACGTTTCTTGTTGTGTAATTTCGCTCGTAGACCATGCACCTTTTGAGCAAACTGTGATGACTTGTGTGCTTGACGAGCTTCTCTCTTACGCCTATAATGATTACCATGGATCAATGATCAATTGATCTCGAGATGCATCGATCTTGACAAACAACTTACTTTCGCTCCTCATAATCGAGACGTCGACCATGACGCTTGATGTGCTCCTCAATATGCTCGTTTTGGGGCTAACAGAATCAACATAAGTATGATGTGATGGTTAAAGGGGACCAGATTCTAAAGATTTTTATTTTTACCATGGCGGATCAGGTGGAGTAATAAGACGACAAAATAGAAGAAATGAAAAAAAAAAAAATAGGAAATAAAAAGGGGACCGACAGTGTGACTATCTTTTTTTAGAAATTCTGCGCTTTGAACGAATCCCAGGCTTCGTTTAATACGGTAAAAATTCCGCTCGCCAGCATCCTTTGTTCGATGGTCACATTGGATGGTAACTACCCAAAAAGAAATATAACATTGAAAAAAGATGAGATATTACGTCCATCAAGACGGAAATGCATGAAAAGAGAAAACCAGAAAAAATAAAAAATAAAATATGATTACCTTGTCTGGATGCACTTTGGCAATAGCTTTCAAATAGGTAATTTTGCATTTTTTGGGTTCAATTAATTCACTCATTTGAGTCCCTCGCCACTGAGCACCAGGCCACAGCAACGTATCTAAGGTGGCCAGTAGAGCTCGCAGATTATTTTCCTTGCCTGCCTTCCAATTGTTTAACCGTAAATTGACATTGTCCGTTTTTTCCAATCGTTCAGCTTCTTCGGCCTCTTGTTGCATGGCCTGAGCGCGCATCGCGGCCACTGCTTTACTTTTGTTGATAGACGGATCCACCGCTTCTTTGATTTCAAACATATCAAACTGACTCTTTGCTGATTGCGCTGGACTTGGCTCCGGCTTGGGTTTCGTTGAAGGCGTCGCTGGTTTCTTGACTGGTGTGCTGGGTTTGGATGGAGCAATGGCTTTGCGACATCGAGCTAATCCTTGATTGATAACGGGATCTCGTGTTCCACAAAGTTTCAGTAACTCCTCGTATTGTTTGAGAGCATCTGCATATTTTTCGGTATTTTCCAAGGCTTCGGCGTGACGGAGCAGTGCTTTTTTGAGTTGATCTGCCCATACAATTGTCAACCCTTGACTCTCCGAGCGTGCCTCTTCCACGGAACGTGCCATGTGAATCACCATCTTGGAATCCTCGATCGATTTTTTGTGATCCCCTGTCTTTAGTCGCGCGGCGGCTCGATTATTGTACAAAATGACCAAATGATCGTGATTCTCCGGTAGAGCCTCGATAGCTTGGGTATAAAATTGCTCGGCGTCACTAAACTGACCGAGCTTGAAGTGTTCATTGCCCTTTTTTCGACTGTCATTCACTTTGGCCAGAACATCAGCCGACGCCGATACCACCGGTCGAACAAATTTTGGCTTGGGAGGCGGAACGTTCGTCGTTGGTGGACGAGATGCCACTGAAGGCGAGGAAGCGGGCGAGGCTGGTTTTGCAGCATTCGTCATTTTCGCACTGCGGCCAATGGGGCTGCCTCGACGACGCGATGGGGAAATGTAGACTTCCTCTTCTTCTTCTTGCTGGACCTGCTTTGGCCGCGATTGGCGTTCTTTCTGCTGTGGCCTTGGTTTGGTAATCTGTGGAGATGGGGAAGATCTCTGTTGACGTTTCTGTTGATCTTCCAATTCGTGATCTGAAAGATCATCATCTACAAATTTGCTGGTCGTGGCTTGATCGACAATATCGTCCTCGAACATATCATCGGCATAGCCATCGGTCATCCATTTGGGTCGGTTAACATTCTTCTTGCCTTTTTCGGTGGTGGGCGTTTGCCGCTGCTGATCTTGCTGCCAATCCTCCACAGCTTTGGCAAGTTTTTCTCGCCCTGTTTTCACGAAAATGCTGGCATTCTTATACAGGAATCCTCCCAGCTCGCTTGCTTGTGCAACAATACGTTCCTTGTGTTGCTGGAATGCATCGTTCGAACTGACTGGAGATTCACCTCGGGAACTGCGTTCATCAGCGTCAGACAGTTGAGATTTCGGTCCTTGTTGTCGAGGGGATGACGCAGCGGGACTCTTGGAAGGAGGGCGTACATTTTCATCGAAAAGAGCTTGTCTCGCTTGCGCTGTCCGTGAGATGTCTTTCTTGCTCGCTTGAGATGCCTCCGCATTTTGGATTAACATATCAATCGCTGCCTGCAGATCCTCTCCTCCGGTAATTTCCACAGCCATTTGAGCTTCCTCCAATGCAAACCCCATATCAATCAGTTGACTCAAGATGCTGTCAGGTTTCACATGATCCTCTTGACGAAACTCGTATTGCGTCTCTGTTGGTTCGGGACTTGTGGATGGCGGTGGGGATGGTGATGCCACCTTCGATGAACATAGTGAGTTAATTACAGCAATGATATGTCATTCGCCGCAATTAATTACTCTTACCGTCACTGGTTGAGCCAAGATTCCTAAAGGATTATCGTCACCTTGGATTCCATCGTCTGTACCACGAAAACCTGCGTGCTGTATGACTTCTTTCTGACTCAAAGATGTAAGGTCAAAGGGATCATCAAAAGTATGCTCTGTTGTGACGGGCGTTGATGCATCCTAACAATAATCCATGCATAAACATTAAAGCACTCTCAGTGAGCATCAATAATAACATCCTACCGGGTGCTGGCTGTGTGAAGAGCTTCGCGATTCCAGTAAATCGAAATTCCACTGATCCACATTAGTGGTGGAAGGGGCAGTGGGGTATGTCTCATTCAAAGGTCGCGAACGCCTGGGCAGTGGACAAAGAATGAGTGACGCTTATTGAAAGTATATAGAGAATTTGTGTACTTACATTGCGTTGAGTGGCACATTGGTGTCATTTCGAGTCTGCTGCTTTGAGAAAGGATCCAATAGCTGTTCGAACGGTTGGTCATTTGGCTTGTTTATTGGCTTGTTACTTGACGTCGTAAGATGCGCTGTCCTTGATGAAGGCGATGAAGGCTGACCCAAAGGTTTTTTAGCTGGTGTACTGGGCGATGCAGACAAAGTGGGCGACGTGGTTTGCGTTGGAGTAAGCCATGCTGAATCAGGCTGTAAAAGGGTCGTGGAACCTGTCCGGGATGGGCTCTGCGTTTGAAGACGTTGTTGTTCGGCCAATGTAAGCTTGGAAAGATCAGGTTCTTTACGACTGGAAGATAAATTTAAGAGATCAGCAAAAGCATCCTGTTTCTTTGGCTTTTGAGATGGCTGTCCATTATTTGTTGGAGGTCTGGCTGAAGGCTGAGACCAATTAAGATCGAGCAAGTCATCCATTGTGCTTTGTAACGACACAAACCGTCGCATCAGCACACAATATATATTGCGGTATTTCAAAAAATTGCCTTCCCCAATTGGTTATTGCCATTTCACGTTCAGAGTCGTGTCTTTTCATCGTTATAAAATGGGCTCATTACCTGTTGACCTGGGCTCGAGGCGTATAGGCTATCTTCCGTATGTGCTGATCCTTTAAAAGACAGTTTTGTATCTCTCGTATCAACGACCCACAGATGCTTAACCAGCAACTGGCATTTTCTATAATGTATCGCTGTTGTATGAGGCTATATTTTCCCAAGTCATCTCAGAAGAACAAATTCAAACCATATGACACTGTACTATTCCTGGGCTTAAAGTATGGAAGTCTGACCACGTCAAGTATTTCCGTTGACCCGATGTTTATTGCGTAGCGAAAGAATAGGAAAAAACTGAGAAAAGCGATCAATATCGTCACAAGAGTAAAATCAATTTACAACAGCTTTTCAATACCCTGGGGAGATATAATAAACTAGGATTTGGGTCTATCATACAGTTCATCCTTTTTGTAAACATTTATTTGGACAAGTACGAGTTGATAACGTTCATGCAGAAAGGAAAAATTGAACCCCATCTTCCTCACTGCTTGCAATTGTCATAGGAATTTAACTGACGACAACACTATCACTTGACAGCAATTCGGGTTCTTTAGCTGCCACAACAGGAAAACCTCTATTCTTTTCTTGAACATTTTGGTTGGTAATGCATGAGGGTTCTGCTGAAAATCATTTCGCAATAAATCTCCGCAAAATCCGCCTAGAGCTTGAAATACCTGGGACCCACGGTATAATAGTCAATTACACATTAAACATTCATTCATTGCGGATTCGTACTTGCCATATCCTCGGTTATACATTGCGTATTGATGGAAAAGAAAGACAGAGACCCACTCATTTGCGCGCCTAATCTGTGCGGCGTTGATTGTCTCCATATAAACACGTGCATAAGTGATTGTTTCCAAGTTTCCATTCATTGCCAGCTTGGCCAGCTCAGCAAAGCTGCAGTCTCGGTAATGTGACCCCTGTCCGAATTTTAGATTGAATCATCTACAGACTACATAAACGTTACAAACAGTGACTCCGCTTTTACTGCAGAATTGACAAAAAAAATTGATCAGCAATAATAAATCGAATCTTTTCTAAATGGTTTCATTTCCTCTTCTTGCAGTCATTGCACACATGAAAGCCCGTTATGAGCGGACTTTGCAGTGGTGTAACCTCGCATGAACATTACGGCTTCACAGCAAGGCTATGGCTCCCAGTTGTAGAATGTAATACATAGATCGTTTTGCTGCATTGTAAACTATATATGGAGAAGCATGTCTCGGTCAACTAACGTAGGAAAGTGGAGTGGCCAAGCTGGATCAACCCAGCGTTGAAATCGGACGTTAAATATTCACTGCATGGTCCGAACTTTTTGCCCAAACAGAGGTCCCTATTCTCTTTTTCGAGGAATTTTTTTTTTTTTTTGCCCCTTCCTTCTCATCTTCTTTTCATCTTGTCATGGCCAACATGCAAGAGGACGGTCGTTCACGAAGCCCGAACCTTGGTTTATCCTCGGCCGTATCAGCGTTTCAGTTCAGACCAGGAAGTGCCATACCGTTAACCACCCCATTATCCCATTCTTCTTCTAACCACCACACATCACCACGCTGGCTGGTTCCTGCTGCTGGCTCATCCGTAAGCTCCGAACCCTTGAGCTCTCCTAACGTCAATATGCGACGATCCCCGTCTCCGAATACCCAGATGCCCAAACCACCATTCATCAAGGATGGCTACGTTTACAAAGATGAAGTGGTGATTCTTGATCAGCAACAAAAGGAACAGCTGCTCAAGGTGGGTGAAATTGCACTTCAGACTGAATGGACGTTTTGGTACGACAAGTAAGTCGACCCCGGAGAGGACTTAAATAGCAAATGTGGAGAATGGAGAGCGAAAAAGAAAAAGCCGTGCCCCCGCACACAAGAAATTCATAAGAGAAAAACCTCATGGCAGATTTGTCCCTAATCTTTCGCCTGCGGAATATGAAGCTAATTTACAGAAAATTTCAACGGTGGGCACAGTGCAGGTACGCTTTTTCATTGCATTATTAACCTGGTTTATCGATTTGAGAATTGATACAATGAAATGATTCTCTATTGTGCTCTCAATGGCAGAAATTTTGGTCCGTCTACAATAATATTGACGGTCCGGAAAAGCTCGGATTTCGCAGTAATCTGCATTTCATGCGTAAAGGCATCAAACCGATATGGTAAGTTGGAAAAGGTTATTTGAGGGACGAAATTCTGCCGTTACTAATTTGATGTCAACCAGGGAGGACCCTCACAACGAGTATGGCGGATCATACAATTTCAAGATCCCTAAATCACACTCGCCTATAGCATGGCGTGACCTATTGGTATTGCTGATTGGCGAAAAAGTCGAAGGATGGTTGGAGGATACCGTGTGCGGTGTTTCTGTATCATCACGTCAACAATGCGATAATTATCAAATTTGGACAGCGGGTCCCAGTGATGAAGCCCGAGAAGCTACAATTCGCTCAAAAGTGGTCGATCTGTTAAAACCTGCAGAGATCCAATCCTTTTATTTCAAAAGTAAGTGACTGCTACAGACCCCAAAAAAAAAAATCCAGTTGTACTGATATCTGTAATGCGCGTGGACTTTGCTTCAAAAAGTACACAAGAATCATGCAGCATTTCAACGAACAACAAGTGCCCTTTGCTTTCCAGTAAAACCGGTGGACATGCGAAGGAAAATCACTGAAGAAAGCATAGAGAAAGTAGTGGCGGATATCGAGCGACTAAATATCAAGCATAAAGAGAAGATGAGATTGAACAAGCACAATCCCTAAAAAAAATAAATTTTTGTTGCATTCCCGTTTTGCGACCATACCCTATGCAACAACAGGATATCATGAAATGGGGATCGGTTCACATAGAATAGGCGTCGCAATGTTTGAACTGCATTTTTTTTCGTGGAATATTAGTCCGAGATGGTCTTCATATGCAGGACAGTCTCGAAAGATAAAGTAATATTGTCATCCATTTCTGTTACTGTTTCTTCTTCATTTTCGTCTTCCGTAAGCAGATCGAATTTTCCGCCAGCGGCACGCTTCACTTCGAAACCAGATTCATATTTCACTATCAGATGCTGATCATTATTGTCGACGGCAATCACCTTTGCCTCCTTCCAATCAGAGATCTGTGGCGTGTAGCTTTCCGAAAGTTCCAATGTCTATAATGGTACGTTTAAGCCAAGGCGATATTTCAACTCTTTGATGACTACCTTACCATGAAAGCAATGATATCACCGGGTTTAGGTAAGGTTGTAGGGAATGATAAAGAGGGATAATCGTCATAGTTGCGTTCAACTTTCTCGACTTTGGGTTCTGTGGCTGGAACAAGACCGTCGTTTGACATTTCTGCGCCAGTTTCTTCACTAGCAGCAAACACAGTGCCATCTTCTTGGCTGATGTTGGTAATCTCGCTCTCGACTTGAGATTGGTAATTCACAGGAGTCGAAAAGAAAGTCGAAACCGAATGTACAGGATATTGACGTGCAAATCGTGGATTGTCGTTGGGCTGATAATTGTAGTCGGCCTCATTTTGTGTGACGATGGCTTGTGCGTAAGCGGATTGATCCAATTCATCTCCCACTTCCTCCACTGCTGTCATTTCGCTGTGGAAAGCCTCGGATGCTGCTGTCGGTGCGTCATCCACATCGTGATCTGCTTCAAACACCACATGCATTCTAGGCTTTTTCGACATGTCCTTCAAAAAGTTCTTCTTCTTATTTTTGTTTTGTTTCAGCAAATGATGCGGCTCGATCGTGTTCGTCACTGTGGATTCCTTGACGGCAAGCTTCTCGATCTCTGCGGACGGTGCTGACAGAGTGGTCACGTCGTCATTGGCCGATTTTTCACGCAATTGCTTCTTTTTCAGTGCTCTTCGCCGATTACGTTCCTGCGTTTTTTTCGATCCCTGATACGGTGGAACAACGAATTTGCGCTCGGAATTATCGCCAGTGTCCACTTGGGATTTTGAAGGTTTTTTGTCTTTCTTTAGCGGAGACGCTGGCTTCGACGACTTCGGTTTTGCGGTGGCTAAAGGCTCCGTGGTAGCGATGCTTTTTCGTTTATCGTCCTTTTTGGACCCTTTGTCGTCGACAGCAGATTTGCTTTTCTGCTTTTTTTCTGACTTCTTGTCGGCGCCCGTCGTCTTATCGGACAGCTTCGCTTTCTTCTTTTCTTGATCTTTTGATTTTGTTTTCTTTGCTAATTTCTCTTCCTTATCGTCCTTCTTTTTCGTCGTCTTTGCAACCGTATCGGGTAAAGTGGCCTTTTCCTTTTTCTTCTTTTTGTGTGCTGTGACGGAACTATCGAGACGGGCGATTTTCACCGCTTTCTCTTGGGTTGTTTGGTCGAGATCTTCTAAGTGCAAAAGACCACGAAAGGCGTCAGTATCATCGAAAGTGTATGATTCGTAGTCTCAGCTTACGGTGTTGTTTTCTTTTCTTGGGTATTGGAGAGCTTTGTTCGCTTGCTTGCTCGGTGAGACGCACACTACCAGATATCATAAGCCACGTTAACCAGACCCATATACGATAGTGTCAACTCACGTAATCAAATCACCATCGCGTATCAGGTTTTTCACAGGACTATGCTCTAATAGTTGAAAACCGCCCATATCCAGAGCGACTTGTTTGGATTTGGAAGGAAGACGAAGAGCATGAACAACCTCTTTTTTCAAATCACGGACGGTGAAAATCTCGATTGTTCGTGTAGGATCCAGGCGATCATTGTCGACTAAATGCCAGCAGTTGTACACAGGCAACGGTGCGCAAGTGCTAATTTTGATACGCATAGCTTGTTGAGGAAAAAGTCGGCACACAACTCAGCTTGCAGTGTGGCAAGAAAATCAAAAAAAAAAAAATGCAAAGACTGGAAAACAGTCCCGCCGACAACCTTTTCAAATTTCCTCAGCACTCCGGAGAAATGCGGTCTTTTTTCAAGATCTCAACAGCATGAAACTGAAAAATCATATGAATAGTATAATATATTTACAAGCGCTCCAGCTACCATCCTATGTCTGCTCTTTTAGAATTTTTAGTTTTCGTGAATTTCTCTCATTATTGTGATAACGGAAGACTGTAATAATCTAGCCATTATCCGATCATAGCAAAATGATTGGCAAGATATATAAAAATCGCACATTTTGCTGGAGCCCGGCAACAGCATCCATTTATCAAATTGGTTCTGATTGCCTGTAATACCAATTATGCCTTTTACCAAAAAAAACATGGGACGTCCTCGCTTGTTAATCATTATTAACCAGAACGGCTTTCTTTGAAAGACAAAAAAATTCCATGCTGCACTGGCATGACGCACCACTTTTGCATAGCCATTTTCCCTAATGCCAGCCCTATATCCTTCTATACTCTTTCTCCGCTTCATTCCCTCCTGTCACCTGCGGTCATTCATAGAGAGTTCTCGGCATGCCCATCAATTACAATCATTCCGAACAAGACAAGCGTTATTATCATCATACAGGAAAGCGTAATGCGATTTATTAGATTTACTGATCCTTGACCTTCTTGGTACCACGGAGGAGACCAGTGCGACGGGCAGCGATCAAACCGACCTTCTGACCAGCGGAGCTGTCGCGAGCGACAGTGGAGGCGTGACCAATGTGCTGATGGTTACCACCACCATGAGGATGGTCGACGGGGTTCATGGCAACACCACGAGTCTTAGGCCAGCTGTTGCGCTTGACTCTGTACTTGTGGTAAGCACGACCAGCCTTCAAGAGGGGCTTGTCAATACGACCACCACCAGCAACGATACCAATAGCGGCACGGGAAGTCGAGGGAACGATCTTCTTGGCACCGGAGGGAAGACGAATACGGGTCTTGCCATCTTCACCGTGACCAATGACGGTGGCGTAGTTACCGGAGGTACGAGCAAGAGCACCACGGTCACCAACCTTTTCTTCAACGTTGCAGATAACAGTACCTTCGGGGACGGAGGCAAGAGGCAACACATTGCCAACGTTCAAGGTAGCCTTCTTACCGGCATAGATGAACTGACCGGTGTACATGCCTTCAGTAGCAATGAAAGTTTCGGTGCGAAGCTTGTACTTGTAGGGATCGCGGAAAACGACCTAAATCAAAACAATAATGAAAATCGATAATCAGTTCTCTATGTCTTTTTGTCTCTCGTAACCATCGAATAATTGGATCTGTTAAATAAAAACTGCGAAATCTACCTTGGCAAGAGGAGCACCACGACCGGGATCGTGAACGATCTCCTTGACGATACCGCGAATGTAACCGTGACGTTCGGCAAAGTCGAAAACTCTCAATTTAGCGGCACCCTTGCGACCGACGGTGTGGGCCTTGAAGATGCTTCCGGCACCCTTTCTCTGAGCACGAATGACGCGACCCATTGCTGATGTTCAACTAGATAAAAAAAAAATGCATTAGCCAATGTCCATTGAAAAGATGGTTGGGATGCGATTAATTCCGCTCGCTCGTCGTTGATGGTCGAGTGCAGGTTGATATGAGTTGTAACTATAGAACGATGCATCCATCCGAAAATCCCTTTATCTTCACCTATACTGATCCATCCATCCATGAACCGCCCATCTCTTCCATGACCATCTTTTTCATCCATCGCTCTCTCCTACTCACCCTAGTTAAAACGGAAGGGAATAGAGGAAGGCTTCACAGATCACAGGATGGCACAGCCAATTCATTGATGCTGAACAGCGAATCAGGTCCCCCCCAAGTTAAAAGACCGAACCGAAACCGGAAACCGATTGGCAAAAAAGACACACACAAAATAACCGAAGCGGTCCCCCCGTCCCCCCCCCCCTCCCTCAACAGATCTCCTCAGTGCATTTCCCCCTTTCTTTTTTTTTTTTAGAGAATCACACGGAGTGATCATGAAAGGAGACGAGGAGGCATGAGGAGAAACAAAGGAACAAAGAAACAGATGCAGAAAAAAAACGTCCTAGCGCCTCTCATCCACATATAAGTACGCCAAACAATCGAAGAAACTTCTTGATCCTTTTCACGTCTTTATTCTGATAATATGCCGTTGCATCGTTTCTCTTTCATATTGCTTCTGATCACTCTGTTTGCTGTTGCTAAATTTTATACAGCAGATGCTTATCCTTTATACGTGCCGGCACTTGCTCGTCCACCAGATCAACGCGTGTTTAGTATTGGCGGTGCGCATCATACACCATCCTGTCACGACAACGAAGACATCGTAGAGTCGGAATCTGGCCTTATGGAAGGGGAAGACGCTGACAAGGGATATGCGCCTTTTCAGTTGTCTCTGGATTATTTAGTGGAACTGGTGCGAGACATTCTCTACAGAATGAGCAGTGATGAATACGCCGAAGATATGGATGTCTACGACGATAATTCCGACAGTGAGCAAGATATGGAAGCCGAACCGGACTGGAGCGTAGTGGATGAGGAGAATATTAGCGCAACACTGTTAGTGTCATCCTCAGATTTGGACGACAACTTTATCGAGATGTCCATGGTCTCTCATATGCGGAAAGCGCGATCAAAGATGACGATGGACGACCTGTGGAAAATGACCGAAGGCATGACTTCGGGAACGTCGGACAAAGACGACTTTGACTATCATTCTGACACGTAAAAAAACGGAGCTCGCTTTCAACCACTTGGCCCATCCTAGTTTTCCACTCATAATCCTTATTTAATCTCATAACATTCAATATGCCCTAAAAACAGCACCCTTTTGTCGATCATGCAGCCCATCCTCACTCTAATAATATTCCTTAGCATCCATGGCATAAAGTAGTAATACGGAAATAATGAACCATTGTCTTTTTACTATTTCAATTCTCCATTGTATAAAATTTATAGTAATCTGTAGTAACCTGTGAATGCTATAAACAGTTTCCATGGAGGTATTCCAATTTTGTTCACACAATGAGCCAATCACTTGCCTTAAAAAGTTTTTATGCTGAAAACAAAGCTGCATATCAGGGAAAGTTTATGCATGCAATATCAAGCAAAGACACCAAAATGACCAATAGTCAGCTTGACATCTGTCAATCACCGTTGACGTGATGCTGGGAAGGATGGCCATCATACAAGGGGGCCCGCATGATGATAACTTTGATGCCGATCAAACTGTGTGATAAGCTAGCATATGAATGCCGCCCCGTGGGTTCTCTTTTATTGTTGCGCTTAGCTTATCGATTCGGAAACTAGCCTTTTCCAGAGGTTGGTACAAATAATAAAAAAAACAAAAAAGATTCAGTTACAGAACCCTTGGGTCATTAGGCATGTGCATCAAAACGCCGTAACATTACGATGACATCAGTCGAAAAGAATACTAAAAACAGTTAGATGCATGGAACTTTCTTTGGTGAAACGTTCATTTTGAAACTTCTTTCGCATGTGGTTGCATTTCCCACTGTGCTGTCACCGATGCAGTTAGCAATACCGATACACGGACAATGACATAAAGAAATTGACACAGTGTACACGCTTATGCTTGATCGACGGAAATCTTTGAAAATAGTCTAGACTGTTTCAGTAGGCAGTCTGAATCCATGGGATCGTCGAAAATTCCGGGAATTCCTATTCTTAGGAGGCCCAATTGCCTGAGATTTGATTGATCAATAACGCACTATCAATAGCATAAAAAAGGTTTCATTCAACACACATTTTGATAATAGAACTTTTGTGCTTTTCAAAAGGTTCAGATTAGTCTCTCAAGTCCTTGACGACATTTTGACGAGATCATCAGGCGGAAGACCAATAATTGAATACGAGCGGGGAATATTCTGCAAATAGAAGATGACCCTTTTCGAGGTTCAGCAGAAGAAATCAGCCAACCAAAAGTTGCTAATGGACTACGATCGTCGTTTGCAAGATACGCTACAGTAACACAAAGCGCCTCAAGCCTAAAATAGTAAGGTGAAATAGGTTGAGAAGAATGCAACAGGTTGGGTGGTGCAAAAATAAAGAAAAGGAGAGAAAGAGAGCGTGAAATTGTTCTTTTTTCTTGGCATAGAAACAGCCAGCGCGTTAAAATATTATCTCCGTTTTGCGCGTGGTGAGAGAGCACACCTTTTCACAGAAGCGGGGATCTACAGTTTTTATTTCAAGGCATTTTTTATTGTGCAATTTCAACTCGCGAGACAGGGCTTTCCTTTTTTTTTTTTATCTCTTTTGGCCCATTTTTTTTTTCTTTTCGTGGTTCATCTTTCTTCTCTTTAATTTTTACTTCTTTGTTGTCATCCAAAGAAAATATGGCCCGCGAAGAAGAGAGGCCATTGCTCAACGATAACGGTGGCAGTGACCATGCGTCATCGTCTTTCGATATATCAACCCATGACCTCACTCAACTTGTCGACCCAAAAAATCCAGACCTTCTCAAAAAATTAGGAGGAGTGCAAGCTATCTGTAAAAAGTTGCGCGTGGACCCGAAATCCGGTCTTTCGGCTGATGAAGGAGCTTCTCGCTCGGACGAATCGCCATTCAAGGATCGTGAACAAGCTTTTGGTCGCAATGTATTACCCGAAGCCAAGTCAAAGTCATTTCTTCAGCTCTTGTGGGCGGCCTACAACGATAAAACTCTTATAATGTTGACCATTGCCTCTTTCGTTTCCTTGGCCGTCGGTATTTGGGAGGATTATTCGCCTCAACATCCGCCCGATGAGCCACGCGTGGGCTGGTAATTAAAAGACTGTGGCTGGATGGTCGTACGAATAGCTCAACTCACCTTTCCTTTTTTTTCCTTTCTTACCGTTCCATTTTAGGGTTGAGGGCACGGCGATTCTCGTGGCCGTCCTCGCCGTGGTTCTGACCAACGCCATCAATGATTATCAAAAGGAAGTCCAATTTAAAAAGTTGAATGCAAAGAAGGACGATCGTGTCGTCAAGGTATTGCGTGGAGGTCGTGAAAAGCAGGTTAGCGTCTACGACATTCAAGTGGGCGAAGTGCTCATGCTGGAACCTGGTGATATTATTCCTGTCGATGGTCTTTACCTTGAAGGACATAACCTGGCTTGCGATGAATCATCGGCTACAGGTGAATCGGATACCATGAAGAAAAAGACAGAAGATAAAGGTGATTGCTTCATTCTTTCCGGCTCCAAAGTATTGGAAGGTGTTGCCCGTGCCGTTGTGATTGCCGTTGGAGAAAATTCCTTTTATGGCAAGACCATGATGTCCATGCGTGGAGAACAATCCGAAGGCACACCCCTGCAAATGAAGCTCGATACTTTAGCCGAACAAATTGCCAAGCTTGGTTTCGCTGCCGCCGTCACTATGCTGATCACCTTGATTGTCAAGTATTTCGTACAAGCTTCCTTGAAGGAAAACTTCCCTGCCGGTCCCGAGATTGCCGCTGCCATGATCAGTATTGTGATTCAAGCCATTACCATCATTGTCGTCGCTGTACCCGAAGGTTTGCCCATGGCCGTTACCATGGCTTTGGCTTTCGCTACTACGCAGATGCTCAAGGATAACAATCTCGTCCGTGTTTTGGCGGCTTGTGAAACCATGGGCAACGCTACAGCCATTTGCTCAGACAAAACCGGTACTTTGACCCAGAATAAGATGACCGTGACCGAAGGTACCCTTGCTCAAGAAAAGTTCGATAAGCCCGAAAACAGCAAAGACTGGGCCAAGAAAGTCGATGACAAGAACGTGTTGCCTCTGATCATGGAAAGCATTGCCATCAACTCCACCGCCTTTGAAGGAAAAGACGAAAATGGTAACATAGACTTTATCGGCTCCAAAACCGAATGCGCCCTTTTGGGTTTTGCAAAGAACTTGGGTTGCAGCTACGAAGACATCCGCTCAGACAGCAAGGTCGCCAAGGTGTATCCGTTTGCCTCAAAGCGCAAGACCATGACAACCATTATTGAGACCAAAGAAAATTCCGCTTCTTCCGTGAAACAAGCTGATTACCGTATTCATGTGAAAGGTGCTTCGGAAATCGTGCTTGGCGTCTGCTCGCATTACATGGACGCCAAGGGTGAATCCAAGAAACTCGACAAGGAAGCCAAGGTCAAGTTTGACGGTCTCATTGGCACCTATGCAGACAAAGCTTTACGTACCATTGCTCTTGCCTATCGTGACATCAACTCTAATGATTACAAATCGCTGTCCAATGACGAACCTCCTCTTGAAAAGCTTACTCTCATCGGTATTGTTGGTATCATGGATCCCCTTCGTCCCGGTGTCGTGGAGTCCGTGGCCGCTTTTAGACAAGCAGGTGTCTTTGTTCGTATGATTACAGGTGACAATATCAACACTGCCAAAGCTATTGCTCGCAATGCCGGTATCTTGACCAAAGGTGGCGTGGCTTTGACGGGTCCTGAATTGCGCGAAATGTCGGTGGAAAAACAACGTGAAGTCATTCCTCGATTGCAAGTGCTTGCTCGTTCATCGCCTACTGATAAGACCGTGGTTGTTACTCGTTTGCAAGAACAAGATCAAGTAGTCGGTATGACAGGTGATGGTACCAACGACGGTCCTGCTCTCAAATTGGCCGATGTCGGTTTCAGCATGGGTATTACGGGCACCGAAGTAGCCAAGGAAGCTTCCGATATCATTCTCATGGACGACAACTTCAACTCGATTCTTAAGGCTTTGTTATGGGGACGTGCCGTCAACGATGGTGTTCGCAAATTCTTGACCTTCCAACTGACTGTCAACATTGCCGCGGTGATCCTTTCGTTTATCAGTGCCGTCAGCTCAGATACTTCGGAAAGTATTCTTAGTGCAGTGCAACTGCTTTGGGTGAACTTGATCATGGATACCTTGGCTGCGTTGGCTCTCGCCACCGAACCTCCTACCGATGAACTGCTTTCCCGCAAGCCTATCTCCAAGTACGCTCATTTGATCAACTTTACCATGGCCAAAATGATCCTGGGTCAAGCGATCTTCCAAATCATCGTCAATCTTTGTGCCATCTATCTTGGTGGCGCCGTCTTCCACCTGGGTGACAGTGAATATGATCAAGCGGTGCTTCGTACCATGGTTTTCAACATCTTTGTCTTCCTTCAAGTGTTCAACGAAATCAACTGCCGACGCATCGATGGCACGCTTAATGTCTTCAAGAATATTTTTGACAACTGGATTTTCCTTGCTGTTCAAGTGGCTGTGATTGGTGGTCAGATCCTCATTGTCACTTTTGGTGGCATCGCGTTCAAGACCGTGCCGCTTTCACCTCTGCAATGGTTGATCACTGTCGCTATCGGCTCATTATCTATTCCTGTGGGTATGGTGATCCGTTTGCTTCCCAACTTTGGTTTGGAGCGCAAATTCAATGAAGAAGCCCGACCCTTGGCTAGCTATTCTCGTATGAACTGGGAAGGCGCCATTGGTGATGTTCGCAACGAACTCCGTGTATACTCTCTTTTGCGTCGTTCCCGCAACCGCAAGATGCCCGAACGCCAATCTTCCACTCAGACTGCTCCACAGGCTTACAGTGCACCTCGCAGCTACGGTGCGACTTCCAATGGTCAAAGCGGCGGTAACCGCTTCGCAGCCTTGGTACAGAATGCCAAAAACTTCCAACAAGCCGCTGAACAGAGCGATCGTCGGCAGAATAACCGTGATTAACCGAAACATTCTATGTATCGTAGAAATCAAAAATACATTGTCTTTTTATACTCCCTCGTTTGCTCAAAAATACTTGCAATCAAATAAAAAAAAAAGTATAGCAAATCACTCGACAAAGTCTCACCATGTGGTCCTTTTGCGATAGAGCAATCCGTCGTTTCATGCAAATATACAGAAAAGGAGCAATACAATGGGATTTGGTGTGGGTCGAATGATCTGAATCTGAAAGCTAGACCCTGTCACTGACTTTTTTGATGCAAAAAACAATAAAATTTCCAAAAAGTCTTGCTTGCTTATTGTTCGTGCCATAAAAAACGTCCCCCAAATTCGCCCCATTTTTTTCGTTTGCTCACATGCAGCCGAGCGTGGATCCACTCGCAGCATCGCAACTGCTTGAGACTATTCGAGAAGAGTTGGCAATTCAAGCATGTTCAAACAGTAGTGCATTATCTTTCATCAAGGGCTTCATCGTGGGACAAGTCAGCGTGATTGTCGTTATTATTATTGCCTTGCGATATCTGCTAATGGAAGATGTCAAGCGTGTGAAAAAGGTGAAAAGCACACAGCACAGTTATCTCCACGTCAACCATACAAACTAACGTCGGAAACTCGCTATAATAGAGATATATCCCTTCACGATTATCCACTGCGCCTCCATCGCGAGCTAATGCTGGCGTTTCACAGTTACCGGCATCGTATATCTCCTCGAAAACATATTATGATATTGTGCATCATCCTCCAGAAAGTACAGACTGGCTCAATGTGTTGATTGCACAAGCGATTATGCAATACAGAGAAGACGCCAATATCAACAATCGTCTTATTCTGGCCGTGGATGAGGTTCTTAACGGAGGCGTGCGTCCAAGCTTTCTCGTAAGTCTCAAAAACGCTTTGGGAAGAGCAAATATTTTAGATGTTTTAAACGGTTATGTGAATATCTTATCAACTGATTTGAAATTTGAAGGGACCAATTCATGTGACTCGGTTGAACCTTGGCGAAGAGTTTCCCATCTTTAGCAGTGCACGCATCAGGTCTTCAGACGAACTGGGATCCATGGTATGCGATAATAGCAAGGCAACGATGATCAAGACTAAACATTTTGTTTAATAGCGGGCTGAAATTGATTTTGAGTATAACGATCAAATCACTCTGGGCATCGAAACGCAAGTTATCCTTAACTGGCCCAAACAAGCATTTGCAGCGCTGCCGGTATCCTTGGGTTTAAGCGTCGTCCGATTTTCGGGAACTGTAAGTCCAAGCCGTCTGCCCAGATACCACGAATGGAATAATTAATCGTATTTGTCTATCTACAGTTGACCATTGAGCTTATCAATCCTCCAGAAACCACCACCAAACCCGACGTTCCTTTAGAAAGATATATCGCCATTTCTTCACATTCCGACTTTGTTCTGGATCTTAATGTTCGCTCACTGATCGGCTCACGCACCAAACTGGAAGATATCCCTAAACTCACCGATCTTATCACAACCAAACTACGCAATGTATACATCGATAAGCTTGTATATCCAACCTTTGTCAAAGTGAAAGTGCCCAACATGTGGGAAGAACGGGACAGAAGAACGCGAGAGAAAGAAGCATCCGAAGCGTTGGCTGGAACCACGGTAAGCGATGCCTCGAGCGGTCTCAAGTCAAAGGCGAAAGAAAAAATGCAAGAATTCGTGGAGGATATCAAAGAAGCGTAGCCATTATCTTTTGCCACTACACTACACTGTAAACAATTCAATACGGGTGACTAAAATTTTGCATTCATTTTGTTGTACCGTTTATTCCAGAAACTAATGCCCCAAATACAGAGAGTCAAATATCAGACCATTACAAATAACTTCTGGCATAAGAAAATCAATTAATGATGGAGGAAAGATGGAATAAGTTGACTTCTTTAGCAAAAACATCGAATTTTTCCTCCCTACAAAAAGGAACCTTGATGACAATGATAAAATGTCCCTGGATTTTGATTGAAATGACTATGGCGTTCTCTATAATTATTGCTTGTGTTCCATGTTTTGGAAAGATTATTTCCGCGTATGAGCATGGCAATTTCATCTGTGTCTTTTACCAAAGAACAATGAGCGAGATGATACGTTGATTTTGACAGTATTCGCTTTCATTGCTGGATGAGAGATGCCGTCAATTTGCTGCGGAATTCCTGATTCTGATGATCACGTGGTTTCTGATTTTCAGTGGGGACTGTGCAAGAACAACAAAAACTGGGTGGCCGAAATTCAATCGCGAACACTGCCTTTTTGCTGTCCCTTGCCATATATTTACGTCACTTTGAATTATGTATAGACCACCGCCCGGTCAATTTTCCCCTACACCGGTAAACAACAATAGAATGTACCCTTGGAGCTTTCAACTGATGATTGTACCTTGTAGCTTGGTGGTGCACAAACGCCTGGAGCTTCACCCATGGCAGCATCTTGGCAAAGACCATCAGCTTCTCCGGCAGGTTCGGATGCGACGGCTTCTCCAGGAGTATGTATATGACCATTTCTATAAAATAGCTGCTGATCAGAAACTAAACCGGTACCATTAGAAGGGTGTTTGGAGAGAACATCAAACTCCTGAAGGTCGAAAATATTGGTTCAACACGATGACAAGGCAGAGTACGTGGCAAAAACCAGAGGAGCTTATGACTGCAGAAGAGAAAGCGTTGTTAAGTTGCCCTTGGAAGGAGTATACCACGCCCGACGGTAAAAAGTACTACAGTAACTCGCAAACAAAGGAAACCGTTTGGGAAATGCCCGCAGAGTATAAAGGTAACGCTCATTCTTCATGTCACTTGCTGATGTTCTGATCGTACCGATCCTGCCTATAGAACACTTGGAGAAAGCACAACAAGCTCAGGAACGAGCCGTGGTTCAGCCACCGTAAGTTGCGACTAGTTCCAAAAAACGATACCATGTACGTTTTCCGTATTCATTCTTTTTCCTTAGTCCGCAACCAACACCCCCAGTTCCGTCCAAGCCTGAAGTAGAAAAACCTCGTCATGTAAGAAATCATCCGCCACCAAGCGTGACCCTACTTGCGCAGGAACCTGCTGTGGAGTTCGCTACTAAAGAAGAAGCAGAAAAAGCATTCATAAAGATGCTGAAGGAAACGGTACATTGATTTAATTTACGAATATATTGCCTATCACAGTTATCTAACCACCGCATTAGGGCGTGAAATCAGACTGGACATGGGACCAAACCATGCGAGCAATCATCACCAATCCAATGTACCGTAGTTTGAAGACATTGCACGAGAGAAAAGCCGCTTTCAACTCTTATATTGACAGAGAAGCCAAACGCGAAAGAGTAAAACGAAGCAATCGATTACCGATCTTTTTTTTTCATGGATGCTGATTTACGGTTTTGTTCTGTTTTAGGAATTACGTGAAGAAAAAGAAACAAAACAGCGAGTGACGTTTTTCCACATGCTCGAGAATACCAAAGAAATCAAGCCATATTCACGATATCGAAGCATCGCTAGAATGCTTGCCAACAATCCTGCATTTACGCAGGTCAAGTCTGAGAAACAACGACGACTATACATTGACGAATACGTGCACGGGTTACAGCGTCGAGAAAAGGACCGATTACGTGAATTACGCAAAAGCAGCATGGAACGTTTTGCCAAACTATTGAAAGATATGCCTGAAATCACTTTCTTGACGCCGTGGAAGGAAGCACAAAAACTGTATATGGAACGGCCTGAATTTCAAGATTCGAAAACATTTGAAGGCATGGATCAATTGGATTTCTTATCTGTCTATGAGGAACACAATCGATCATTATGGGAGGCACCCATGGCAGAGCAGAATAGAAAGAACTGCGAATTACGACGAAGAGATCGCAAATGCAGAGACCAATTCAAGGTGACGCCATAATGGATGAGTATCTATGCACTGGCTCTAATTGGTTCTCTCGTCATTTTTTTTTCAGGCGTTATTGCAGGAATTGCTACAAAAGAATCTGATCAATTCTCAGTCAATGTGGAAAGAAGTCTATCCACATCTGAAGGATGATTCTCGATACCTGGATTTGCTTGGATTACCCGAATCGACGCCTTTGGATCTTTTTTGGGACTTGCTGGATGAATTGGATGAACAACTGTATCAGCATAAGAAAATCATTTATGATGCACTCAAGGTAACACAGACTAGCGGACGATATCAAAAAAAAAAAAAAAAATGAAGATCATTCATTGATGGTATACGATCATTAGCAAGCTGGTTTTGACGTCGACGTGGACACTACCTACGATGCTTATCGACAGGTGTTAGCCAACAGTAAAAGGATCACAGAGTATAATGTTACCGATGAAAATATGAAGATCATCTTTGAACATGTAAGTAGCCTCTCTTTGCGGCTTGATATACGCATCACTCACTTGCCCTTGATAAAGCTACAAAACAAAGCAGCTCATCGACAAAAAGAATTACGTCGAAAGCAAGAGAAAAAGATGCGAAAAAGAATGGATGCTTTACGCTACGCTATGAAGCATTTAGAAACTGCCATCAATGTTGAAGACACATGGGAATCTGTACGTCCGCGACTGGAACAGCTGCCCGAATTTCAGGACATTGAAGAAGAACAGTATCGCATTGAAGCATTCGACAAGTACATCAAACGTCTTAAAGTAAGTGTAGAGCGTGGTTTTACGCAATGCGATGCGATGGTACTAATGGAGCTGGATAGGAGAAGCAGAACGAGCAAGACGATGAGGACGAAGAAGGCATGATAAAGGAAGAGGATGAAATATACGATAGACGTCATCGATCACGTAGTCGTGGAGGTCATAGACACAGCAGACACGGTGGACGACGAGATTCCGATGTCAGTGACCATGGAGACAGTGATGAAGAACGGTCTTTTAGAAAGAGAAGAAAGGTAAGATTGCCTGCATTTGGTTACACGAGAAACGCGATATTCATCGTATTAATAGAAGGATCTTTTCCGCGAGACCCCTTTGGATCAGCCCATCCATGTGGATCAAAATAATATCGAAGAAGGTGAAGCATTAGACGAATATGTGAAAGATCCACGCAGACAATTGTAACTATCAAGTACGAAAGTCGATAATGTATTCAATAAAGAGCATTAACAATAACACTGTTCGATGGATCGTTTCAAGCCCTTGAGGCGAATATGTTGTTGAGGGATGAAGAGAGTAGCTATCGTTAGAAGGACATGTCAAAAAAAAAAAAAAAAGGTCCTCCAAACTAAAAAAAGATGAAGGGATGACGCAATTTTCGGAATTCCAAAATGCTTCGGGTTTGAAATGTTTGGGATGTGCAGTTTTCTGAGAAACGGTCCAAAAGATTTTTTCGCTCTTGTTTTGTTCCAGTCTTTCATCCCAAAAATAAGCACTTTTATTGTAGTCATTATACGTTTGTGGTCAGATATTACACCTCTTTTTTCTTTCTTTTATTTGTATATTTATGATCCATCGACTGCCATTTACCAGTGAAGATTCTGAAATGGCTTTCCCAAGTAATGCAAATCTACCCCAGATGAGTAGATCCTCTCCCAATGGTAAGCTTGCAATTTTCTCTTCTAATTCATCACCCTTAGCATTTCTTTTTTGTTCCCATTTATTGCCCTTCTTTTATTTTATTGTTTGTTTTTCTGTGCTTCTCTGTTTCTTTTTCCATTCAGTTCAAAGCAATATCAAACTTGGGAAATCAGCCGAAGTATTGTGAAAGTTTGTTATAAGCGAATTTTCAAGAAAGCAATTCGTCGACGTTTTGATTCCAAGTCACAGTTCGCATTTGCTTCGTTGGGCCCTATTTTTGTCCCTTTGATGAAAATTGGACGAAAACACACGATAGAGCCACCAACCAACCAACCCAAAAGAAAAAACAAAGGAAAGCACAAAGAACACTTTCCTCCCCTCCCTCTCCCCTCAAAACAAAAAGAAAAGAGCCAGAGGCTTTTCATTTAAAGCATCAAAGGAAAAAGAATATTCAAAACAGCTCGTTATAAGCGCGATTCTGTTGATCTCAGATACGCAGATGCTGTAAACGGCAAAAATATCGACAGTTTTTTTTCTTATCCTTTCTCTTTACCCATCCTTTCTTCTGATTTCTGCAATTTCCCATCGGGCAATAAGATAGTTCCACAAACTATCAAAAAAAGAAATTCAAAGCAAAAAAGAAAGTGCGCGTTTCATTAACGATCGTATCATCTGCAGGGAGTGATCAGATTTTTAGTCACGAGCAGATCAACTATTTGCAGCAAAAATATCGGGAAAATCCGCAGCCATCCGATAGCGAGGTGAGCTTATTATTGGGCGCAAATCATGGGAACCAGGCATCGTAACTCGAACAAATATTATGTTAATTCCAGATCAATGATATGGCGACCACGGTGAAATTGAACGAGCAATTGGTACATAAAATACATATTGAAAGCTCTGTATTACATCGGGCTGACATTCTATAGGTCCGATCTTGGTATTTACATCGAGCGAACTTTGATAGAGGACAGTTCGCATCATTGGAAGGTGTGATCCGATCTCATATTGACTTTGATGATGGTGATACGCGTTCGTTGACTAAAATTAAATCTTGTAGCTCTCAGAGGGAGTTTGAGTATTCCTGGCCAATCAGCAGACAGTATGTTGAAGAAAAGCGCTTAAATCTGGCTAATGAATGGATTTACTGAATTTCAAACTACTAGGTATGGCAAAATTATTTGCTCTTTTGCAATCCCATCAAATGCAGGAAGCGCAACAAAAAACACCTGAAAATATGGCGCAGCAACAAGAAATTGAACGACAATTACAACTTCAATTACAACAACATCTCCAACAACAACTAGTTCAACATCAGCAACAGTCACAATTACCAGCTGCAGGAACCTTGGAACACCCTATTCTTATTCCTTCTACTACAATGATGCCTTCACCTAATACACTGACCTCAACGGCAGTGACTAATCCCACTACTACCACTGCTGAATCGTACGACTATAAGCCAACTTATGCGCCAGCAATCGCCAGCTTGCCAGGATTACCGATTATACCTTCCAGCGCAAAATCGAGTACTGCTCCAGAGGAAAATAAATCAGAATCTTCCATGTCTGATCAAACAAATTCTTCCGATAAAGCTTCTGTGGATTCGCAAGATTTTATGTCGGAATTCACTGAGGGTATCAAATCAGACACAGCCTATGAGCACTTTCAGAAACTGATCATGACAGAAGAGCGCATAGCGATGCAAATCGCTATCCTGAAAACCGTTGTTTTGACAACAAATGACGAAATGTTGCAGAGGTGCGTTGTAAAAGAGTTCAGCTGAGGTCGCGTGGCAATTTGTGCTAAGTGATCTTGATTTCATTAGACTCGCAAGATCGACCAATGTTGGTCATCGATTTGTTGCATGGATTAACTCGGGCCTGAAAGATTGGAACATCCCCTTGCTTTATCAAATCACACAGGTATGCACGATGTCTTTATCCCAATTTGATTGTAAAAAGACTAAACGTTGGATGTGTATAGGCCTTGAATCATTTACCGTACGATTTGGATACTTTAAAAACATGCAAGTTGGGGAAAGCGATCAAAGCCATGAAAAAGAGAGCTACGAGTCACGGTAAATGGATAAATACGAAAAAAGGACAATAAGCCATTTAGGCAATATCACTCATATGAACAAAAACAGGAGATCCTTTGCTCGAAACAGAAATTGATAAAGTAATGAACAAGTGGCGCGATTTGTTACCAAAAGGTACGCTTACTGGTAAAAAACTATTGGATCTCATGCGACAATGACTAATTCCTCTTGTAGACGACGCTATGATATCTGAAAAATCGGCCGACTCAAGGTAAACACCTGGTTAAAACTGAATCTTTACCTGTTGTTGCTAACTAGCTATGGATTGATAGGGATGCGCTTCACGATGACGATGAAAATTTAGGTTAGTAGATTGGTTCAGCGAATGAATAGTGACACATTTCCTAAATTCCCTTTTTTTTCACCTTCAACTTATGCTTGTTAGAACTTGTTCCGCCAGCGAAGGTACATTGATATGGAAAATATTTATTAATGTAGATATATCTTTTTCGCTAAACTGTTGCAAATAGCCGACTGAATCGGAGAAGAAGCCGCCAGTGCGATTAGCTTTGCAAAAGGATCCTCCATCGCGGTCAAGAGTGGTACCGAACACCGCGTTTTTCAGTAATCTGTTGCCGCCTACCAAATCCAAAGGCTTACCATCGTCTTCAAGGTAAGTTATTTCTGCGGAAGAACCTGATCCAATCAAACTGACATGCTGACATGATCCGTTGAATTAGAATGGCCAGCAAATCGTCAGGATTATCAAGTTCTGCTGATGCACCTTTTACGATTGACACTATATTGGACAAATTTATGAAGCCGGACACTGGTTCTGCTTCTCCAACCACACCGTCAAGTCCTGTCCAAAAGACGGCGCCGCCTTTTAGCCCAGTTCAAAAATCAGGAAAGAAGAAACGAGTCCGTTTCCAACCTGATCATTTGTTGACGGAAGTTCGAGAATATGAACGTGATCCGGAAGAGTGGAATTTCGTAAGCGAGAACAAATTTGACGTTTTCTCCAAGAGTGTATGAACTGAGCGATCATAATAGGATGTTTCCGGCGCTGGTGTTCCTCATCAATTCGGCAACGCACGCGATCTTGATATAAGCGAAGGTCAACAAGCCTTCCATCCGCAATATCCTACCGGTGAATGGTATGTTCCCCGCCGGATAGCATTAAATGAAGAAATCCAAGGCCAAGCGCCCATTAAAACGCCAGAAACCCAAACGCAAGTGATGCGAGAGAAAACCACACTTGCTGCAGTATATCTAAGCCCGCAACATATACCATTCTCACCGGCAGAACCTGATGAACTGCCCGACACCAGCACCAACACGCCCATCATACCGCTCGAAGATATGATGATGGCTGTTTCACAACCACCTCCCGTTGCACCGATGCCTGTAGATCCAATGATGAACCATCCTCCACCACAGCCGACCGTTCCGCAATCCGCGAAACCAGCTCAATCAGCGGTGAATCTGGACGAAGCGTATCAAATTCTTCGAGACAACCCTAGGTAAGTTTGTCGTTACATCGAGAATCGCACTTAAAGTGGCTCTTATTTATCTGTTATTCGCCCTTAGTTTGGTGGAATCTCTGAAGCATTTGGCGTCATCGGGTCTGTCACAGATAACCAGCTCACCGACATCGGCAGCCATGCAGGCAATGGCTTCGGTTGGCGTCAACCAGGAGGGTTACGCCAAAGAGGCCTCTATGCAAAAATACATCATGAACGAAAGGCAGGAAGCAGGTTTTGGGCATTGGAAAAGTAAAGAGAACCACGATGCACATCACCCGTCAACGAAACGTGGAGGGGGAGGACGAGGACGTGGTCGCGGACGAGGCCGAGGTAAAGGACGAGGTGGATCCGATAGTGGCCCTATGCGCCATGAACGGCATCATGGCAAGCAATTAGGTCCTTATGACAAACCGAACAAGAGTCGAGAAGGTGGCAAGTCGAAATATACGGTGCACTGCAGATACTATAATTCACGAACAGGCTGTGACAAGGGTGATGAATGTCGATTTTTACACGAACATTCATAAGGGTTGCATGAAAAATATATACAATTAATATACATACGCAGATAAACAAGTTTCTTGGCACTCATCATGTATAATGACCATGCGAATAATCATCGATCCCACACAAGGATTTTTAAAGAAAAGAACCATCAGTTGCTCGCATGAAAATATAGCAATAAAATTGTTCATATAGATGATGGTTAATAAGCTTTTTACTAGAAAAATAAGTATCTAAAGCGAGAATGCCATGAAGACCATTGAGAGCATTCGTCAGATTCTGGGTCTGATATGAATGACAGGATTTGTGAGGTCCGAAATTCGTCAACTGTTACGACCAGCAATTATCCACCCTTCTGTCGCCTCTTCAGCTCTTCGTAGAGGATCCCGGTAACACTAACTCGATGGCCGTTGAACTTGACGCTGTCTTTTCCAAACATGCCCGAGCCGAAACCCACCACTGAATAACCTTTGGTCGTGTGCAAATATTCCTGGTTTCCATTGCTTGGAGTCCTTCTTTAACATCATGTCTGCACGTCTTTTTCCTGCAATATATCTTTGTAAGCATCATTTCCAATCAATACTTTATCATTCATATCTTACCTTTGCTCCCCCTTCGAGTATTGGCAATGTGCAATAGGTCGTCAGGAATTGCGTTTGGTTGGTTGGGTTTCCGCTTTATGACCAACTACGCCACATAATAAAAGCAATTCAGTGTAAATAGTTTTTTGTCCGCCGTTCGATTTGCGATGATATAATAATTCATAAAGATTTGCGTTCTGATGATAGTATTTCTTATACCTTTGGATACTCGAATGATCTTCTCCATCATTTGCGCTTGGTATGTGAGCCTTAATATGGTGGACAGTTTGATTTTCCGGCAATTGGTGGAGTGATTTCCCATTAACGTCTGAAGTGCCTGGTGCTTCATCGATGGATGATTTGGGCTAGGAAAAGATGGCGTAGATTTATGCCCTTTTTATCACAGACCGGTGTTACCAGTCATAGTTTACTGTTCTTTTTAAACGGAAGAGTATATACCTAAGTGGAGAGCGGTTCCGGCATTTGACATTCGTTATGTCTCTTGGTGCGGTGTCCAGCCTTGCCGCAGTCTTTACAGTGTACAGCTAAATAGGAGTCAATCAGCCGTGTTTAGTTAAGAGCGTACATATGAAAAGAAATACCATTTTCCTCTTCTTCGCGCTTCTTTTGTTCGTAGATAGCTTTAAGGATGTGATAAATAAGGTCTTTAAACATTTTGCTTTCGAGGAAAGGTAATGCCTGTTCTTGTCCGACAGGTTCGATACTTTTATACGTTTTCCGCTGTAATGCGGACAAGTCTAGGCTTGAACGGCGTTCCTGAAAGACAAAACAAAAATTCAGACTGGAACAGGACTGGAACTGGAAACAGGAACAAAACAATACATAACAGGATAAGAAAAGAGACCAGGATCTGGGCTGGATCTGATGAGGATTTATTTTGAGTTTTTAATGATGATCGGGGACGGAATATCATTTTCTACAGTCTAGAACTTATCTATCAAGAGAAGGCAGAATACCTTTGTGGAATAAGTTGAATCATGGGGATTCAAAGGATACCGTGAAAAATGTGATCCGTACTTTTCCACAACGGCAAGGCATACTGTAGAGTAGTGAGTTGTTGAAAAGTCAAAGCCGAAGCCTTTTTATATTCAATAGTGTAGTAAACTCCCAAAAAGGAAACGTTTCAGGCATCACTTCCTTAATTAACACGCTCTTTTGTTGGTTTATTTCTGAGCAAGCTCTTGATACTGCATCTGTAACTGTGCAATCTATTAAACCCAAATGCAAACAAATACCATGAAATGTCAGTGGTACTTATTCTGGTAAGTTTTTGTAAGAGATAAACCATTACCTCACTTTTCTTCTTCTCTGATTTCTCCGTCAGGTCTTTCAACTGGCCTTCCACGCGCTTACTGGAAATCGAGATATCGTTATACATGTGTTAAAAAGAGAGTCGCGGTACTATAAGGCCATGTCTTACATTTCATTGCTGATGAGTTCCAATCGGTTCTTGACGTTAGCCGCTGCTTCTCCTTTGTCTTGCTTGACGAGAACAGGGCCAATGAGTTTATAGATATTTGCTTCGTCATCCAATAACTCGAATTCCTAAGAGTTCGCATCGTATCGTGAGTCATTGTCGAGTAGAAAATAAGTGAAGGTTGGCATTTACTTTGGACACTATTTCGTTTTCTTGTTGCTGCGAATCGAGACGTTGTCTTGACTCGATGACCTTGGTGAGCTCTGAATACAAAAGGGTTAGATTGACCGACGGACGAGGAAATCTGAGAATCCCAACCTTTTTGAAGTTCTTGAAAAGCTCGGGATTCTGCTTCCAACTTTGCTTCTATGACTGATACGGAGGACATGGTATATTTCTCTTGGTGGGTTGACGCGCAAGATGAAGTCCGCTTCGTTGGGAAGGTTCGCCAAGGGCACTTTACGCTCAGTGGCTTGTCGCAACGGTCATGCAATGATTCGCTCTTTGAAATTCCGATCGTCTTCTGGTGTGGGAGAGAGATATAGGGTATCAGAAGAGACAGTTCAGTTCGGCAAGGCATTATTTTTCCAGGAACATGAACAACATTGCGTATACGATATATTTCAGAGAATGCTGTTATGCGATACTATATTACATACCTAAGCTAATCAATAAAAACCCGTCTACAGCTGAAGCAACAAACAAGAACAGATACGCTTATCTAGCTTTACTTGATGGGTGGCATCATCACTGCTCCAGTAGCCTGTGAGTGTGGGCATAGAAAACTCTCCGTGGCTGGTCTCAAAATGAGTAGACTAATATCAGACCCAAACAAGCGTGGAACAAACGAGATTCTACCTGACTGCTCTGTTCTTGATATACAAAAAGGACATGCTGAGACTGACTTTTCCAAAACGGGGATTGTGTAATCTTCATGGGATGATAAGCAGTGGCAACCCGTCCCAACCGCTTTTTTGGACCGTGAACTGCTTAACAGTGAAGTGCGCAAATCAGTTATTGAAGCCATCATTCAGACTTTGCCACAAAAACTTTTGTCGGAGTATGATTTCAACATCTAAAAGATCAAATGTGGATCACAGGAAAGGCCGTGGTGAGGGGAGGGGATCCCCGCATTCAGTGCTGTCAAGCTTGGCATGCATGCGGTATGTCATAAAATGCTTACTTAAATAGCCACAACATTTCATATCTGCTAGTGTCTATACACAAGCACAAGACTGAACAAATGAACGGTTCAGTCTCGACTATCAAAAAAATATCTCGAGACTGCTGCTCTTATGTCCATTTTTATTCGGCACTATTGTAAACGTCGTCCTAAAGGCCAATGTCCGTGTAGATAATCTTCATAGATTATCAGCTAAAGCGCGGTCACTAACCAAAGCGGAAAATGATGCTTCCTTTTTAACTATTGACAGGACGCATAAAAACTATTATTATGCTACAGCAACTGTGTGATTTACCGTTCAACTGCTTTGTTCTACGGCAGATGGTTTACCTTTGCAGACCGAGGGAAAACTGATTGAGTAATCTCAATTTTAAGAGGATAACGTCGACTTCCGGTGTCTCACCGTTATTTTGAAACACCGTTGACAGTTCAAAGACAACGATCTTAGATCATTCCCAAAAGAGGAACGTTCATCTCCGAAACATTGGCGATAGCGCGTTTTTGCTCTTATAACATGAACTCACTACTTTAATTTTTCTTTCTTTCTTCCCTCATTATTTCTGTCATGTCTGAAAAGTAAGTTCATGGTTTTATGGATGATATAATTGCTTCTTTGGCTGACATGCGATGACCCATAATAGAAAGATTCTTCTCCTTGGATCCGGCTACGTTGCCGCTCCCGCTGCTGAATACATTGTTCGCAGACCCGAGAACAAACTCACCATTGGTAAGTCACGATAGCGTCAGGTTACTGGTTTGGACTAGCACACTCATGTACTCTTTCTGCAGCCAGCAGACGTTTGGAGAATGCTGAAGCTTTGGCCAAACAGTTCCCTGGCTCCACCGCTGTTTCTTGCGATATCACCAACCAGCAAGCTATTGAGGACTTGGTCGCTCAACATGACCTCGTTATCAGGTAGGCACACCTTATCAGCCGTTTGCTTTAACTGCTCTTTCTAAATACTTTGTAGTTTGATTCCTTACATCTACCATGCTGATGTCATTAAGGCCGCCGTGAAGCACAAGAAGAACGTTGTCACCACTTCTTATGTCTCCCCTGCCATGATGGAATATGACCAAGCGTAAGTCAATTTTGGGAAACGGGTAGAAAGGACCATCTATTTATCGGAATTCTTTATAGTGCAAAGGATGCTGGCATCATTGTTATGAATGAAATTGGTCTTGATCCCGGTATTGATCACTTGTATGCTGTTCGCACGATTGAAGAAGTTCATAGAGAAGGTGGCAAGGTAACTATAAAAGGAATAGCTCGGCGACTTTTTCAGGAGCATGTGTAACTAAACGCATCAAAAAAACAAATCTTTTGGATAGATGAACGAGTTCATCTCCTTCTGTGGTGGCTTGCCCGCTCCCGAGAATTCCAACAACCCCTTTGGTTACAAGTTCTCTTGGTCCGCCCGTGGTGTCTTGTTGGCCTTGAAGAACACTGCTAGATATTTAGAAAACGGCAAGGTAACGTTCATCAGCGCAATTTATCTTTTTGAGGCTGTAAGGTGCTTATACCAGATTATGTGTTACAGGTCGTCGAAGTCTCTGGCCCTGCCTTGATGGACTCTGCTCGCACCCTCAACACTGGTTATCCTGGCTATGCCTTTGTTGCCTATGGTAACCGTGATTCTACCCCCTACGACAAGCGTTACAACATTCCTGAAGCCAGCACAATTATTCGTGGTACCATCCGTTATGATGGTTTCCCTCAATTTGTAAAGGCTCTTGTCAGTCTTGGTTTCCTTGATGACCAGGAGCAACCTCACTTGCTCGCATCCGCCGCTGAGATCTCCTGGAAGGATGTCGTTGCCAAGGCTGCTGGCACCACTGATACCACTCCTGAAGGCCTGGAGGCTGCCATCATTGCCAAGGCTGAACTCGCTAACCACCCCCGCAAGGCCGCTATCCTCGACGGTATGAAGTGGCTCGGTTTCTTCTCTGATGTCAAGGTGACTCGCCGCGGTAACCTCCTCGATACATTGTGCGCTACTTTGGAAGAAAAGATGCAATATGAAGAGGGCGAACGTGATATGGTGTTCTTGCAGCACCGTTTCGAAATTGAACTCAAGGATGGCACAAAACAGACCCGTACTTCCACCTTGGTCGAATACGGTAAGGTCGGTGGCTACTCCGCCATGGCCAAGACCGTCGGTGTCCCTTGCGGTATTGCCGTCCAATTGATTTTGGATGGCAAGATCACCCAAACTGGTGTGATTGCTCCCATGACCTCAGAGATCAATGAACCTATTATTGAACTTCTCGAAAAGGAGGGTATTGGTATGGTCGAGAAGATCTTGTAAAAAAGTTTGATGCAGTTCAGTACCGGCAGCATGTTGTCGTTGTTTCTATAATTATTTGTTTTCTCTAGTTTCCGTAAAAAGAGCTTTCTAGTTTTTTTGTCTTCAATGAAAAATGTATTCCATTTATTCCAAATCCAGTACGATCTTTTGGTTAGCTTTCATAGTGAGGAATCCTATCGTACTAGCAAGCATATTTACTATGATATACAGTGGTACTACTTAGGGTAGACTATTTAAAGTAGACAATATATGGTTGGGACTCATGGCCGACCATAGTTCATGCACAAGTGCACAAGCAGGAAGTCAAGGCAGTGAATTTGTTGAAGACTCCTCAGAAGAAATATGTCCTATGCCATACCGGTCCTAAATTGCAGACTAGGTGGTGAACGAATATCAAGAGAGAACCTGTTGGCTTTATCTCTTTCCAGTCAATAAGAATAGTAACTGAGAACAATCCCATGAGCCACTGAGCAAAAACCTCCTCGGACCAGATCCGCGAAGCGACCTTTCTCTCAGTTTGCTTGCGTTTTCGTGGTGATGGAAATAAAACATGGATTCTTTCTTTGTGTTTCTACCAGATTTAACCCTCAATCACTCTGTGTCATGTTTTTTACGTCTTTGGTTTCGACTAGATGCGAAATTATCTCGAATTTCAAATTCCTGCGGTGACTTTTTTGGAGGGAAGTGTTATCCGAGTTTCAAGTTCCTCCCGCCATTTCCTGGAGAAATGAAAAATTCCCCTCCACTTCTCCAGATTTCTGCCTCTTTTCCACTTTTATTGACGCCATGTTCTTGTCACGTACTGCAACAGCTGCTTTGAAAACCAATGCCTGGTCGGTTAGCAAGGTATAGAGTAAATGCCTCTCTGCAGAATAGTGGATACAGTCAAAAGTTAAACTTTTACATTCCTTAGTTTAACTCGCTCCGTACCATTACCACTGCGAGTCCCAGCATTACCCAGGCTTTCAGCGCTGAAAAGAACGCTAATGTAAGTCATATGGTCCCCGAGATATTTTCGGACTAACATGTCTAAATGGTCGGTATAGGGAAACTATCTCGTCACTTTGATTCCCGGCGATGGCATTGGTCCCGAAATCTCACGTTCGGTTAAAGAGATTTTTGCCGCTGCAAAGACCCCGGTTGAGTGGGAAGAAGTGGATGTAACGCCTGTAATCAAGGACGGAAAGACCGCTATCCCGGACGAGGCTATTGAAAGTGTCCGTAAGAGCACGGTGGCTCTTAAGGGTCCTCTTGCCACTCCGATCGGCAAGGGCCACGTTTCTCTCAACTTGACTCTCCGTCGTACCTTCAATTTGTATGCGAATGTTCGTCCTTGCCGTTCAGTAGTCGGTTATAAGACTCCTTACGAAAATGTCGATACTGTCTTGATCCGTGAAAACACTGAAGGTGAATATTCCGGTATCGAGCATGAGGTATGGGCATAAGTGCAATTTTGTGTTGCGTTTCAAGCACCAATAACGATTCTATTTTTTTTTTCTTTTTGGTTCTTCACGTTTGCTAGGTTGTCAATGGCGTCGTCCAGTCTATCAAGTTAATTACAAGGGAAGCTTCTGAACGTGTTGCACGTTATGCTTTCAGTTATGCACAGTCAACAGGACGCGACCGTGTCACAGCTGTGCACAAGGCCAATATTATGTAAGCATTCCATTATCGCCATCTGAATAGGAACCGAATAATTGATTCCGCTGACAATAGGAAATTGGCTGATGGTCTATTCTTGGATGTTTGCCATCAAGTGGCCAAGGAGTTCCCCGACATCAAATTTAATGACGTGCTTTTGGATCGCGCGTGTCTTCACGTAAGCTTAAAGACTTGCAAAGATCTAGCCAAGACAAAACTCGTGAAAATGACATAATCTAGATCGTTTCCGACCCTGCTTTGTATGCTGACACTGTCATGGTGATGCCCAACTTGTATGGTGATATCTTGTCAGATATGTGTGCTGGTTTGATCGGTGGCCTTGGTTTGACTCCTTCAGGTAACATTGGCCGCGATGCTTCCATCTTTGAAGCTGTTCATGGCACCGCTCCTGATATTGCTGTAAGTGACCTTTCCAGACGTAAAAGGTATAAGATGCACCGTTTTCTGACAAAAAAAAAACGATGTTGTTCCATTTAGGGTCAAGACAAGGCCAATCCTACCGCTTTGTTATTATCCGGCATCATGATGTTGCGTCATATGCGCTTGAATGAACAGGCTCAGAACATCGAACAGGCTGTCTTTAAGACTATCGCTGAGGGCGAGGCCTTGACAGCTGACCTTGGAGGAAAGTCAACCAACACCGAGTACACCAACGCCGTTATCAAGAACTTGAACTAAATGATTTTCGGCATTTCCCATCCCTTTTTATTCATCATGAAAAAAAAATTATAAAATCAAATGTGTCCCTGATTGTTCATAGAGATATCATCTAGTGAGAGAAAAAGAATAAGAAAGGCCAAACGCAATAGACGTATGATTACACATATAGATTGAACAGTTGGTCATCTCAAAAAAGCTGTGCGAAAAGATAGAGTTTTACAATCCTGATCGTTTGATTTTCTTGACCTTTTTCCCCCCCTTCTTTTGGAAATCTCGCCAGCTCGCAACGCGTTCCTCTCTTGTCTCTTCCCATTTCTTCGCCTCTTCCGCCTTTCGCTTGCGCTGTTGAACCACTTCTTCCGCTTTACGAGCTTCAGCGCCTAAAGAAAAGGGTAGCTGCTTCGTTTCAGTCTTGTGAACTAAACCCTCATGGACTTACCTTCAGCCTCCAATTCCTTCTTCAAAAGACGTCGTCTTCGTAATTCCATTTCGATCAAGATATTCTTCAGCTGTTTGCGCACTGCCTCTTGACCTTCTGACGTTTTCAGGAAGGCATTGGAATCGGCATCGATCGATGAATTTGCGTCAGAAGATGCATTTTTCTCGCCTTCTTTCTCAGCAGGAGGAGGTTGGGTTTTGACTTTATATCCATTGGCGCGTAAAGCTTCGAATTTGGCTTCTTCTACGATACCCAAAAGGTACTTGAGCCGTTGCTCATCGTTGAGCTCTGATTCTGCTTTCTTCAGCATAGCAAATGCTTCTTCGGCGCGTTCATGTTTAACTTTATCAGGGTGGATCATGAGTGATTTCTTTCGGTAAGCCATCTTGATGGATTTCGCATCGGGTTTGGTATACGGCAGCTCAAGAACGGAAAAGGGGTCCAATTTGAAGCAAGATAAAACACGTTCGATTTCTAGTTGCTTTTCCGATTGTGAAAAGTATCGGTCAAGGTCGATATCATCTTCGGCGGATGTCATGATAATAATAAGAAAAACTGTGGAAATGTCCAACAGTAAGAAAAGAAAGACGCCTTCCCACTGTCAGTGTGACCCCAATTGTGACTATTTCTGGTCTCAATTTCTTATGATCCACTGAATCGCGACTTTCTCACAAGTACCATTTTCAATGCAATTTTGCAGGTCATATAATGTATCTCTTATACTTAGATATTCTTCTTATCAGTATATTTGTATACAGTTACAAACGATCTCGTCAGCTACCTCCGAAGTAGTCTCGGCTATGCTCCGTGGGTTTTGGCAAAAGCCTACAGGCGCAAGCTAAAAGAGGTTACTACCGCCTTAGGCTCAGTCATTTTCGGCATAACAATCGACTGCGAGCCAAGTAGGCAAGCATAACTGCTTTATCGCATATTATCCATTGAGTGGCTATGTAACTTTTACCTAGAAATGATGCTGCCGTTGTTCCTCACCCGTCAGCATATGTGGCCTTCAGTAACAGGTGAACAGTTGCTAGCACCTACGACGAGTCACTTTCCCCGAGAAAAGCTCATGAAGATCCAATCAACAAGCGTAGACACAAAAATGCCTTTTTTTTTATATATTGACAAGTGTGTTCAGAAGGGTCGAGATATCCTTTTTTTTGTGGGTGGGTGTATTCCTATTTAGTGTAAACAAAAGAATGCCAGCATTGGTACATGCTGACATGCAAGGGCAAGGTTACATAGCAAGATGCCCGGGAATACAGCAGCTTCCATCTTCTTCGGACGTTGAATGGATGATGGCTGATCACGAATTACTGATGTGTGTCATATTCCGCCTCCGTATTTTTACGACTCAAACTTGCCTCTCCAAGAAGATGATAAAGCTAGCAAGCAAAGAGAGATTCATTTCTTCCTTACATTGACGTTTATACACCGACAGTCTCAAGGGTAAATAACATAACTGAATAATAGTATTATTCTGGTTGACGGATACCTCTCAAGGTCATGGTCATACAAAAAGATGTGACCGTAAAAATTCGTCATATCGGATTAAGCAAAAAGATGGCTATTTAAGTGGTTTTTTTTTTTTTTCTTGGTTCGGATTACTTTGCTCTTTCGCTGTTGGACGTCATGAATACCGAAACTGTGGACAAGCAAAATTTGGAGTCGTTGAACGAAAAACAGTTACCTATCACTGATCTCCCGTCAGATACAGATGAACCAAATTCTTTGGAACCACCCGATGGCGGACGCGCTTGGGTAGTTATGATTGGCAGTTTCTTTGTAAGTGGTCCTTTTATTAGCTCTTGCCCAGTCGACAATTTACGCTTTTTACTTATCTGGCATTTTCGGATGACAGGGCTTGTTTGCTGTGTAAGTAAAATATAGCCAGCAGATGACGCACAAGTATTGCAAGTTAACCAATCAAGAAATATCAATCAGCTACGGAGTCAACTATTCGTGGGGTGTCTTTCTCAAGGAATACAACAAAAACGTGTATCCGCAACAAATGACAAAATTGTCGTGGATCGGATCTATTTGCATTGCCATGTTTTTCATTCTAGGACCAATCAATGACTGGGTTGTGCGCAAACTTGGATATACAAAGATGCTTTTAATAGCTGCCATTTTGTGTCCTTTGGCTTTAATGTTAGCCAGTATCAGTCACGAGGTAAAAGAAAAATTTATTATTTTGTGATCTATATTGTTCTTTTGTACTGATCCTGGTGAAACACATTTCTCTGTTCCACTGAAAGATATGGCATCTGTATCTAACCCAAGGTCTCATGTTCGGGATTGGTGCTTCCTTTGTCTGGTTTCCTTGTATCAGTGCACCCCAACAATGGTTTACCAAACGTCGAGGTTTGGGAGTGGGCGTTGCCATGTCGGGCGCTGGTATTGGAAGTCTTATCTGTTCCAACATTACCCAGGCTGTTATTAGCAGTCTTGATTACCGATGGGCTCTCAGAATCCTTGGTTTCATATGTTTCGTGTTCCTTTTGCTTTCGGCTGCCACTATCCGAACATTTGCTCCAAACTGCGAAGAAGCCTCGGCCAATGGCATCAAACGAAAATCGATGATCCGGATTCAGCTGGATCTCCTCAAGAACGTTCAATTTGATATCATGCTGATGATTGGTTTTATTACGACTTTTGGTTACCTCGTAAGAAAGGCGTCGGATCTTCTTACTGTGATGACTGATGTTAACTTACCGCACTCGTATGGTTTCTATAGGTCCCGTCCTTTCTGTTGCCATGTAACATGAGAAACATCGAGTTTACTGGGCCGATTCCTAGGAATCAAGCCTTCAATTTACTCTTATATTAACACCTGGTATCATGTAGCTTATGCGGAATTTTTGGGCCTCAATCCTTGGATCGGCACAAACTTGTCGGCCATCATGTCTGCTGTCAATGTAGTGGCTAAACTTATTAGTGGTTATACGAGTGACCGCATCGGACGCATCAACGGATTGGTTATATGCACATTGTTGGCGGGACTCATGAGTCTTGCTGTATGGACCAACGCCAAAACGGAAGCAGCGATTTGGGTATTTGCCGTTCTTTACGGGTTCTTTGGTGGCGGGCATTTGACATTGTTTCCAGCGTCATTGCCGCAAGTAGCTGGATACGACAATATTCCTGCAGCCAACGGTTTGGTGTATTTCACAAACACTTTTGGTTATTTAGTGGGGACTCCGATTGCTTCAGCTTTGATCAACCAAACCAATCCACCCAACTATTCGAACGCAAGTATATGGGCTGGTGTCTTGATGCTGACGGGCGGATTTCTGGCGCTAGCTTTGCGTGTGGTAAAAGCAGGTTGGCATGTACTTACGGTTGTCTAAAAAACAATGATACATTGCTCAAGGGAAGGGAAAAAAAAAGGTACATGGCCGACAGCTAGGGGTGCCCGAGATTGCCTTAAAAAGCTTTCCGTGTGGCTGAGACCTTTACTCTTATCACCTGATCAGGATAATACCTGCGAAGGGAAGCCGTCGACCTTAGATTATAGACATTTGGCAATAAAAATATAATGTATTTCTAATCATTTCATTCGAACGTCATGGATTTTCTAAATGGGTATTTTTTCATTTTGGCACGCGTAAATAAGGATAAGAATAAGAACAGTTCCAAGGATCGCATTTTGACAGTGACGGATTGGATCGCTTCCTTCTGAGTCATTTCTGCACACTTAATTCGTAAAACGATAGTCTATAGCGATCATTAACCACTGCTATCCTATCTGGATACAGTATTCTTAGTAATCGATACCAATAAGCCTTACGAATGATGATTGAAGAAGTGAAACAACAACAATTAGTTTGACAGTGACAGGAAAAGATGTCGATAAATTGTTATTGTTCAGAACGCCCAACCGTGAACAAGGTGTCAAAAACAACACATTGATATCTTGATCCCCAAGTCACTATCCATTTTAGAAAGCTGATTAAAACCAGTCCATTATATTTTGGGTTTTACGGTGACCACAATAAGGAAACCAGAAGCTGATCAAAACCAGTTCATTTTTTTATTTTTTATTGGGTAATAATAATGAAGTTCGCTTCTATTCCTTCGCTTTCTTTACCATGGACGGTCGATTTAGTCGTGCCCTAGTCTATCGGAATATTGAAATGGTTGCTTGTAAATCGCTTACCGGACGACAAAATAACTTTTTCATCCTTTCTTGTTGTTGTCAGTTACGCCGGGTCTTCTTTTGCGCCGATTAGATTTGCTATACCAAAGTTTAGCAAATACGGAAGACAGTGCATTGGCTCGTCCGCAGATCGATGTCTGAAGGAACCTTAGAGAAGGTATGAATGACCAATGTATGAACGAGGCATACCAAAGGTATTGCCTGGAAAACAGAAGAAATATAGGCCGAATCCGTTCAGCATTAAAGTGGTCCGGAATACTTCGGATTTGTCATGTTTCGGAATAATTCTAGAAGATTTGCAAGAAGTCTGCGAGAACCATCCTGAAGATGGTAGACATAGAAAATGTATCTTTGTGTAGAAAATATAAACATGACCATCTTATGGAAGAAATAAAAAATTAACTACAGATTTAAACTGAACTCTCCAGGAGTACTTAAATCTGAGATTGTGCTCTTGAATAAAATAAAATAAAACATAAAAAGATAATATACAGTCTGAAACGCAATTTGACAAAAGCTGAATATGACAATTGGTAATGATGAACCGACTTTGGTTCGAAAAAAAAAGTAGTCTTCATATACAGTGCATAATGGCGAACACATCGACGTCCCTCAAAATAAAAGCCAAACTCTGCATTTTTTTTTTAACCAAAAAAAAAAAAGCTCCACCTTTTCCGTGGAGGGCAAAAGATGTCGTCACCAACAGGATTTGAACCTGTGCGGGCAGAGCCCATGTGATTTCTAGTCACACTCCTTAACCACTCGGACATAGTGACTTTCGATTTTTGGTTAAAATGAAGTTGTATCATAAAAACAAAAAGGGTAAACTAATTCCCGGTTTCCATAGCAGTCCTGTCATGACAGTTTTCTTTTTATCCAATGAAGTTTGTGTATGGAGAGTTCAGTTGAATTTGATGTATCTTGATTCGAAAGGGTCAACAAAAATTTACTGGGGTTGCCTTGTAGTGATATTTTTCTTCACTAATTGTCTCAAATATAATGCAGTTATTTGGTTGTAAAGATGCTATCGTCTTCTTATTTTACCTAATCAGAAAAAAACATTTTGTGAAGTAAAAGTGGTCCTGAATCCTTTGTTTCTAGTTTACCCCTCTGACGCATCCAGGCAGATATATACCAAAGGCCTGCTCTGTGTTTATAGTAGATAATATGGTTCACGCAATAAGAAACTGAACCGCATCTTTGACGAAAAACTAGGCCCATTCGTCCTCCGGACTAGCTGTGGTAATAATAATGCTACAACCCTCCCCCCTTCCACAACCAAAGAAAAAAACCAACATACACACACACAGACACACAGACACAGACATACAGACATACACATCAAAGGATTATTATTGTAGTATTCTGTTTAACAAATTATCAATATCAGACACGCAGACTATAGATGTTTGGAATGTGAAAAGCAGTGTCTAATTGCAATAGCAAAGCAATGATTATCGGACATTCCCAACATCAAATGAAGGATGGCCCGCAAAATTATTATCTTTTTCGGATAAATGCATATTGTTTTCTTGTCCCCAGCCGAGGACCTCGTTTATGAAGTGACATCTGAGCACGTCGAGGCATTGTATTTGTATGATGCTAGCTTTTTGCCGAAAATGCATGTCATGTACCAGCTTACTGCAAGCTACTTTTTGCAAGGTATATTTAGCATCGGATCTTGCCACTGTGCAGAAGTTGTTAGAATTAAGACAGTCGAGCCGGATCAGAACTTGCTATATGTTGGCAAAATTATATCTCTTGTTGATGGGGTAGCTAATCAAAGAAGAGAGCTGGGGAAAGCAAACATTAGCAGAACTACTAAGGTGCTGGTCAAAAAGACATCAGGTGTTCTATCTCCCTATTTCAGTCTCTCATGCCTAATTCCAAAACAGAGAATGCATACATCATCCGAACTGCAGGGAGAATATAGAACAAACTCCTTCCTTTTTTCCCAATTTCTTTCACCCACTTCTTTTTTTTCCTCCCATGGTTATGTTTTCCTTCAGAAAAAAGAATAAAAAGCTTACTTCAAAGCATGAAGCAGCAGAACCGGATTCTAACCAAGATCAAGCATACTGGAAACCAGAGAATTGGTTAAAACTCAGTTTGCCAGAGGATTTTTCCTCCATTGTTTTGCCTCAACTCATTCCAGAAAGCAATGCTTCTTCCGTCAGTTCCATCTCTACAACAAGTCAATGCAATTCCAGTATTGCACGAGACGCCACCACCACACGGTTTGCCGGTGACTCCATGCCAAGCAATGGTGTCGACAAAATCTCCATGAACGAATCGCTTATCGATGAAAAGTCTGGGCTTGGAGGTTCCTCTCAGTTATCATACAGGTGAGCTTATTCTGGATGAGATAATTATGCAGTTTTTTTTTTTTTTTTTTTTTTTTGCGCTGATAATAGTATATTCCGGTACAATTTCTAACTGTCATACTTTGTCCACACGCTTCAGAGAATATGAGCCACTGCAAGAGCCGCAAAAAACCAGAGCATCCAGCTTATCAGACGTGGAAGGCCCAGTAACCTTCGAGGAAAAAATGCCAGAAAATGAAGCAACAGCAGCATCCGGTTGTACAACGGACAATCAAGCGATTAATAAGGAGCCGGTCGGAAATGAACTGCGATCGCTTGTTCGCGCTACATCTTCAGTACATTCCTTGCAAAGCTCACTTTCCTCGAAGTTGATCGGTACTCCAGTCCGTGATAACAACTCTACCACAGATGGCATATTGAAAAATGACGAATCCAGCCGTATACCATCATTGTCGGAATGTGCATCAAATGGGTGGCGCTCGGCGGGTGTTCCTTCTCTTCCATCATTAAAAAACCACGATATTATTGAAAAATCTGGAATGAGCAATGATATGCATACGGAGAGATTGGAAGGATCATCTCCTACATGGATTAGTGTCAATGAAGAAATTATGGGAACGGAGGTCACATTGACGTTGCAACAACCTCCGGTACCAGCTTCGGATGATGGTCGGACATCGTTTGCTACACAACGAAAAAAGAACCCGGCAGCAGCGAAATCTTTCATACCACGGACTCCAAAACAGATGAAGGGAACAGACAATAATAAGCCGAACGGTAGATCATCCGGATCTGCAGAGTCAGAGCTAATGCATGCAACAAAATCCAGCATCCCACAGCCGAGACTTCGTTCACGAAAGCGCACCGCGGAAATGGAGCCAGTGGCAAGTGCAACTTGTAATACGGACTCAACTGTCAATGCTTCCAAGACTCAATTACAGGCCAAGCCGTCTTTAATGAATACCGGTCTTAGCAAAATTCCCGTTAGACGGTCATTTGGTCGGAACAGCGTAGCTTTATGCTGAACGCGACGAGGTTTTTCTTATTGTCAATATTATTTCTTTTTTATATGTCGAGCACTGATGTTGCGCAGTTGGTAGCAATATACACCCCATTTTATGTTAAAGTAATCGCTAAATATTATAACTCTCTCTTTTTCGCGTACTCTTTCTGTTTCTTTTGTGTTTCGGATATAAAATCAATGGAGCTACGAGGTCGCCTCCCCCCTGATTGAAACCCTTACATTGACCGAGCTTGTAGTATTGCATGAGCCAGCCCCCTATTGAGGAACTCCATGGGAGGGGATTCCATGTTGTAGATTTGTGTTCCTGGGTATGATCCATACATGTTATTTATTTTTCTCATACAGGTGGTCACACCAGGTTTGTATCAGTTTAGTGACATAAAATGAACGAGGAGACCAGCTAATGTAGGAGATATGATGCCCGGCCTAATGGCGACATAACGTCAGCAACCAAAAGAAATAAATAGACAGGTTTTTGTTCACTTACGCGTAATGTCAATAAAGTACATTGTTGCATTGGTTTGTCGCTGCCAATCACTGTACGGGCTGTAAGAAGAAGGAGCTAAACGAAAATCCAATTGCGAAAATACGAATTACCTTTGTTGTAACAGTCTTTGAATTTTTCACTCGTGGAACTGTTGATCAAGCTATCTTGAGCACCGGCGATAAGAAGCGTAGGCACAATTTTATTTTCTGCTTTGGCCTTTTCCAGCAAATCGATAGGAGAATGAGAGCTCAGGAACTCGGCATCAATTTTTTCCATGCGTGCAACTTCACGTGTAAAGAATTCTCCTCGACGAGGATCACTGGAAATGTCCAGTGCACCGCTGAAACTGATTAAACCACGCACTGAAGTATCGACATCTTCAAAACCTACGTGAAATAGCAAAAAAAAAAGACGGTGGTTAACACATGTAACTACACGCCATAATTGAAAAGCAAAATGGCAATTTAGCAAACCTTCTTGATATTGCGCATCATTTTCCGTAAAGACGGTCATTGCAGCAAGATGTGCGCCTGCGGAATCACCTATTTTTTCCTTTGTGTTAAAAAAAAAGTCATTCTACCTTGTACGATATCAGTGCATTGACTTACCACTTAGAACCACAAAATCGGGATCTCCACCGTAACAGCTAATGTTACGTTTGACCCAGCGCAGAGCTCGTTTGACATCTTTCAAATGCGTTGGATAAGCATTTTTTGGTGCCAATCTATATCCAATATTGACAATGACCCAGTTGTTCTCCGATAATAAAACTTGCTCATGAGGATAAAATATATTTTTCGATCCTGTCTTCCAGGCACCGCCATGCACGTGTACCTGTGAATTCCAATTGGGAAACGTGAGAATGTAAGTTCAATGATCCGGTGAAAAGTTCATGTTATGCTAACCCACCAACACAGGTCGTAATCCCGAAGATTTTTCCGTCGATGTGTAGATATCCAGAAGCATTTTTCTTGGCTGACCATAATCATTACCAGCATCCTTGATTGCCTTCAGTTTTTCCTCATGGGTTGCATATGAAACTGGAAAAATTGTTAGTCAGGCACAGGTTCTCGCAACGCTTATATCACTTTACTTACTGTCTGGATAAATTAGCACATTTTGCGGACGCCAAACGGGATTTAAAAGACGACCGAAATTGGGAAGCCTAAATGGAAGAAGTTTAAGCAGCGAGGTTTGGAGTTTTTTGCGCTCGTGAGTTTGGCGGCGTACCTTAACTTGCTGGCAACGGAATCCAGGGCTTGTCTCTGGCAAAATTCTTTAATGACTTTTTCAACGACTTCATTTTCGCGTATGCTTTCAATAAATAATACAGTGAGACCGAACATGGTCAGGTTGTCAATAAAATAAGCACATCGTGCCAACGTGTAATCTAGTGCATTCAAAGTTAACGCGAGACAATTCATCAGTGATTGGTCGAGTCCAATCTTACCGAACGCGCCAAAGAGTTGGGAGACCTTGATGCATACAAGACGCATTACAATGAGATGCAAAGGCACTTCCGCCAAGGTGGAGCAAAACAGTTCTGACCAGAACAGAAATCTGCGCAAGACACCGGTGAATAACCCGTGATTGACATCGTCACGTAACGTGCACACAGTGAAGAAAGCGAAAATGCCCACTCCCAGTATATATAAAGTGGCGGCAAATGCTGTTATCAGTGCCAGCATTTTTTTTTTATCGAAACGAGATAGGGGAGAAATTCAAGGTGCGTTTTCGTCCGACCGTTTAAGCTGTGACGCTCGGGCGGAAATACAATGTTGCCGTGGCATTTGCATGTGAGAGCACAAAAAAAAAACTTCCATGACATCAATTTTCGAACATTTTCTTTTACTCATGGCAACCAACGGCAAAAATGAAAAACGTTCACAAACAATATTGCCAGAGGAGCCGCAGAGTGTTACCGATCCCATCACCAATGTGCACTGGGTACCCTTTCTCCATATCCCTATGGAACGAAGGCTTCAGATGATGGCCGTTTGTTTCTGGATTGCACTTCTCGGGATTTGTACCACCGTCTTCTTTGCATTTTGCTTTACCCCACCGCTTTGGCCATTTATACTTGCATATATCGCCTTTATCTACCTTGATAAAGCCCCAGAGAACGGAGGACGTCGTTTTCAATGGATGCGTCACTTGAGTCTGTGGCGCTATTTCGCCGATTATTTTCCCGTCAAACTGATTAAAGTGAGTGCACTTGCCACCTCCTTTTGCTCGAACGTCCCAATATGTTTACATGTCTCTATCTTACCCGTGACTCTATGTCTGCCATAGGAACAAGAGCTTGACCCATCAAAAACGTATGTATTTGGTTATCATCCGCACGGTATCATATCCATGGGTGCGTTTGCCAATTTTGCCACAGAAGCGACAGGCTTCAGCAACATATTTCCCGGCATTACACCCTCGTTACTCACTTTGGCTTCAAATTTCCACTTGCCCTTTTATCGCGATATCATCCTATCACTCGGTATGGCGTCGGTATCTCGCCATTCCTGCGAAAGCATATTATCGTCCGGGCCAGGTCGTGCTATCGTCATTGTCCTTGGAGGAGCATCAGAGTCATTGAATGCACGTCCGGGCATGAATGATCTCGTCCTTAAACGGCGCTTAGGGTTCGTCAAATTGGCTATACGACAGCAATCGCCTCTTGTACCAGTGTTCTCATTTGGAGAAAACGATCTTTACGAACAAGTGGAGAACCGACGGGGATCGCGTTTACGGCGAATGCAAAAGAAAATTCAACATGCGCTGGGATTCACATTGCCACTTTTTCATGCACGGGGAATTTTTAATTGTAAGCATTTTATCGCATGATTCGATATAATGTATGCTCATATCATTACAGATGATGTAGGTTTGATACCTTTCAGACATCAAATTGTCACCATAGGTTAGTAAGGAAAATTTCACATGAAAACAACAATAGTATAAACTTTTTTTTAGTTGGCAAGCCGATCTCTGTGCCAAAGTTGACGGATGGCGACAAAGAACCTACAGAAGAACAACTATTGGCGGTGCAAGAGAAATATATCGAAGGGTTGAAAGCAATCTATGACAAATATAAAGATATTTATGCAAAAGATAGAAAATGTGATCTTCGGATCATTGACTAGATTCAAAATAAAGCCTCGACTGTATACTAGACAAGTTTACATTTATCAACGTCGACCCATCTGCGCTGAACGACTATTCTTTCATGGAACGAGTGCACCTATTGTATCCATCATTTTAAAATTGTGCTTCATTAGCTTTAGGAGACACCATACCATACGCCTTTTGAATAAAGTGAACGGTGTTCTTTCTTAAATTGAATGAATGGTTAAATATACGGTCAATTCTCATCGTTTCCATACAGGTATTGCAATGAAATAAAAGTACCAGTAGATTATGAATAGAAACCAAGGCGTAAGTCATCATGTGAGGCAAATTTTGGGAAATAAATAATCCACTTGCCCCTAGGACATCTAGGTGTGGGAACAGCGATAACTGATCCGGATGATATCATGAATGTTTTGGAATTTTGCTACTCGAGGCTTCCGCTTCGGCCCGCTTCCTTTTGAAGAGTGTCGGCCTTTCGTTATTCTCTCGGTGGCCAAACATGATCTTGCGGAAATTAAGGATTGCAGTCAAGTCGCGATTCCATAATTTATAGCCATGATCATGTTTACATTTTTGATTGGTACATCTAAGGATAAGCGTGAGCAAGCACATTCAATATCAAATCCACTTTCATTCATGGATTACCTTAACAGGCCATGGCATAATACTTCTGGCTGCTTCGTTCGTCGGTATGGCCGGGGATTGGGCACCTTCTTGAATTTTCCAACGGATCGCCGCAGTCAGGACAGCACAAGGACGTTTTGAATTCATCGAGCAAACACACCTCCAAACCTTGTTTTTTGAGCATCCGTCGCATGCCTACCTCTGAGCGGCTCATGGAACTTGACATTTGGTGCCGACCAATTTCCCAGGATCAAAGCCTGGTCCCACCCAAAGCACAAATTTATGGTTCTCGCCAATCGAGAATCTGCTCGGCATTGATTGAAATAGGCTGAGAGTCGTAGTTTTCGGAAAAGAGGGTATCCCGATAGATTGATGTTATGTTCGCATAGAAATTTGATAGTACCTGAGATACGCTTGCGGTTTCCCGTAGATTGTGACAATACGTCTCGAGGTCATTGACTGAAATGGGATGTTGTGACAATTTTTCCTGCGCAGTCTTGACATTTGGGAATTGGCTAAGTAATGTCTCTCTGATCCTTCTGTACTTTTTCGTCTTCAATTCATTCGCCTTCTGGCAGGAGGTGTAACGATAGCGGATCCTTGCGTTTGGTTCGGAGTACTCGTGCATGCAGAAAAGCAAATCTCTTCGTCCTAGGTCGACCAACACACAGCGGCCCTCCAGGCATCTTTGCTCAATTGGAGCAAGCGAGTCAACGTACGGTACATCTTCGTCCAGAACCTTCGCCTTTTTTTTGCCGGCCACCTTTGCGACTTGCGAAATCATGCTTGATGACACTCACCCATACGCCATCAGTCTGCAGTGTTCCATAAAACGACAAACCTTTGCCCTTCGTTTGCTTGAAAGGTCGCTGTTGAGATCCACCACCCGGCTCCACAGATCAAGGTTGCTTAGTCCTTTAACGCTTCTTTGGCTCAAATCCAGAATTTGCATATATAGGATCTGCGTGTCAATCAGCATGTACCGCGGCGACCACGCAGTACGAATTAGGAAGCAGGTGAAGGAGCGCCAACCTCGTTGAGAAAATAAGCAAGATAACCGATAAAATGCAGGAAAATGGTTTTCAGGGGAAGTTTTGACATCATAACAAATACTAGCTTTCGCGAATTGATATGTCGATGCGTAGGAATTGAAAAATGGTTGCAAGAAATCATAGTGTGGTAGAAGTGGAGAATCAATGTGCGAATTTTTTCTTGCGATCTCAACCTTGGACTTCGTAGCGGGCTCGTAGATTTTTTGTTGAAAGTCTTGCTGATATTTCACGTTGAGATAGGCCCTCGTTTTGCAATTGTGCTTTAAGGTTGTTTTGCCGGTTTTTTATGACAAGAAGCAAATTAACCAGTCGCCGCAAATGCGGTCCAAATCGTTCTTTGATATTATTGATGTAAGCGGTAAATATCTGCTTTACTTGATATAGTGCAATTTGCTGGACGTTTGGTAGATCTGGTGGCGTGAACGATGCGTGGCCGCAAAACGATTCGACATACGGATTGGTCAGATCGCGATAGGTTCTGGTCGCCGCTCTGACGGTGCTGCTTCTCGTTCGTCTGTTTGTGAGCGAGAGGAAGACTTCAACGAAAAAGCCTTCTTGGACATAAGCGTGAAGCTCAAATCCATTTGACAACTCTGACAGGAAAATGTATTTCGCGAATAGAAAAGTGTGTTTGATGAGGTTATGGACGAGAGCTACGAGCTCACGCAACGGTTGGATGAACTCTTCGCGCCAGCCGATGGCCTTGATGGAGGTTTTGATAGAGGAAACTTTTTTCGAAGAAATGATGAGTACAGTTTTAGGAAATGAGGAGATAAAGAGGAAGAGGAAGATTTACCAGAAAAGAAACAGCGTCTCATGCTTTACAGTATATCTATTCTGTGACTCGCAATCTTTGGACGGTCTGTGCTGTGGCAACCTAGGCTGCTCACGCCAATGAAGCTTCAAGCGATAAGCCTGTAGACGTGAAGACAAACCAACATGGTGGATTTGCTGAGTTAATGGGGTATTCTAATATCTGGAAAGGACACCCGTTTGGTTCCAGACGTTGATTTTTTCTTTCAAAGGTGCTTTGGGCTGCGATGACGGTTGGCGTTACTGACTTCGAATTTGCCATAATGCATGGTGAATCCTCCACCCAAGACTGATAACAAAGTCCACTTTATCAATGCATACAAAAGATGTGGGCCAGCTAGTACTGATAAATTTTATTTGATGATAAATAAGTGCCATATTCGTGCTTGTGATACACATGCTCACACTCGGTGCCCAAGCTTGTGTCTCTAGGATTACGTTCGATCTTATGTCAGATCATATTCCAGCTATGCTTCAGGCACCATGGACTTGCAAACAGGTTTTTAACATGTAAAAAATGGATCTCCAAATTGAATTAATTTGCATGCTCTGATGATGAGGAACGACAATAGACGCAGTCAAACCTTGTACATTCGTCTAAAAGACAATCGCCGTCCATATTACATCGAGTTTTGATAATGGAAATGCCACCCGGCAAATAACACGGTTCTACCGTTTTCATTTGGATTCGGATTATCTTATGTTCCACAACTGGTGCAAAGATGTGTAAATTTCACTTGATCGTAGTCCACAGTCTCCTTCTCTTTTTACCCAGAGGCATGATTGAAAGATATTAAAAAAAGGCACAAAAAGAATAAGAGGTTCCGATAGGTTTAGTGTAGATCATCTGAAGTGCATGTGATTACACGCTGGTAGCGCGTGTTGATATTAAACATTACAAAGTTTTGCTCTTTCGGTCTGTAGTTTGTCGTTGCTCTGAGGGAAGCGAGAATAGTAGCTGATTAAACATGGTTTGGAATGGAATGGTGCATTTGCAATATTCAAACTCCGTGATCGAATTTGTGTTTCCAAGCTCTCGCTTAATGGTGCTCTCTCAACTCTAACATTTTGTCCTGGGGATTGTCTAATGTTTGAGTATTCTGGTTAGGTTTGACGATTATATCAATTTGGTAAAGGTAATGTTATAGTAATAGGGTATTTTGAAAGACGCTGCTCAGCCGAGAAATCACGACAGGGTGAGAGCTCTATTTTTAAATTTGCGACGTGCGTCGATATAAACTGCTCTCTTGGTTAATGTAGCCTATTAGCAGCATCGACAATATTGTGGTTACAAATCGAGCCGCCATTGCAGTTGAAGAAACTAATGGCCTTGTGGCCGGAAGAACGAACATGTGCCAAGAGGGTATTGTAAAAAAAGTCTTGCCGCAACCTCCAGGGCCATCCACAAAGAGCAAATGAGAGTGGGCGTTAGACGGAATGGTATCGAGTGAAGCAATGTATCAAAGGCAGCTTTTTGATCGGGATTCAGACTTGCTACTGGGTATCGATGCCGCTGGTCGACCAAACGCGAGTCGTCATCATCCTGCTGGATATCGGCATCTCCGGTATCAAGGAGCTGCTGGAACATTGCGTAGTGGTTCTGCATGGCAGGTATAAGTGTAGTAGACAGAAAATCGGCCAGCGATTTTCCGTGGCGAGAAAGGAGACGATCAATATGCAACAGAGCTCGCGCTCTGCATAAAGGGGTATCTGGCTCCTGTTCTCGGGATCGGTAATGGTATTGGTAATCCAGACAGAGCTGGTCGACATCGTTACTCCATAGAAGTCCAGGATCGTCTGGGAGAGCCCAAACCAAAGAGTAAGGAACAGCCGACGAAGACGGGGTATACTGGTGACGACGGCCGCAGCTTCTGCTAGGCATTGGAGATGCTCTCGAGTGGAATTGATCAATCCATGGGCACGGGCAGCCTCTTCAAAAGAGGGGAATAGGACACCCTCATGTGTCCGGAGGTATTCAAAGGGTGTGGCGCCGGGTATATGATGCAGAAGCAAGCGCAAAGCAAAGCGTTCTCTATCCTCATGAGGGGCAAAGTAGACATGGCCAACTGCCGGCTGTCCTCGCTGGCGCCTGCGGCAATGAGCGCGGACATGCCGGGAACCTTTGACAAAAATGAACTCGGAAGGAAGCTAGTGATAACATAAGTGCCTTGCGGACTTATCCTTCCGATTCAGGATAAAATAGGCGTTGAGGGTTGTCAGGTCATTTTCCGTGTATAGGAGCACATCCTCTAGGGTATCATCCTCGTTAAAGAACACTTGCTGGCGGTCGGGTAAATGCAGAGCCAGCCGCATAACTGCCGGTGATCGATGGTGTAATGAAAAAGAGTATATGCGTAAGGACGAAGATATAATACCTTGTGGAATATGTTGAATAAGCCGGCCAGCAATTCTATTCCTGGGTTTCACCGGAAACCTTGAGAACGTGGTTATTAGTGATCGGTACTTCTAAAATGGCAATATACAGTGTAGAGTAGTGAATTTTTTAAAAAGTCAAAGCCAAAGCGCTTTTATGTTCAAGCAGTTTGCCATGCGCATTTTTTTTTAAATGCTCAGTACGGTTGTGCCTGTAAGAAGTAATGGCCAATTGCAAGACTTTCTCCAAACCCAGCCTTCTTTCCTTTACCATATACGAAGCGGAGACTGCTTTTTAATACCTTTTACGATAGGGCAGTAACTTCCCAAAAAAGAAATGTTTCAGACTGTTTTTTTACTAACAAGCCGTACACCCGCTGTACAATGGATGCCGCCTGCCAACGGAGGCCGCCCTCTTACATTGAGCGACTTTCGTCAGACAAAAAGCCTAACGCATACACGGCATAACCTGGGCGAGAACTCTTGACGGAACTTCGGTATATTAATGACAACCTTATGGCATACGTTGCAACGTGATTTGTTTCTGAACACGCGCAGGGCAGCACTGGTTCCCCCCCTCAGTTCCATCCCGCCCAGGCTATGATAGATCTAGAAAGATGTGTGGGTATGTTGGGTATTTAAAAAAATGAGTTAGTAAGCTCTTTGATTGATTCAAATTTTCGTCAAGATATTTTACCTTGTTTATTTGAGTTTTCGATAGCCATTGATCGCTTGACATGACTTGGATTATATGACATTGAAAAAATTTTGAATTAGTATACGTTCATTACATCATAGCAAAGGAAAAGAAATTGGACTTGCCTTTGAACCAAATGGTGTACCGGAAAAAAAAAAACGATGAATACGGACCGCCAGGTAAGCTTCTTCTTCGATGCGGAAAATAAAATTGCTTCCAGGGACACTTAAGCGATGGATCGGTGGTGTCAGCTTGAGCAGGCAAAAAATATTGACGTGGCCAGAAGTGACGGTAATTTCGAGTTGGATTCCAGATATCGAGAGTCCTTCGAATGAAAAGAAAGAAAAACAAATAAAGTACATGATGATAAAAAAAAAAACAATGGTCGCGTCAGTAAAAACCTCATAAAAAACCCTGTGGGAAAAAAGAGGAAAAGACTGCGAAAAGAATATGTACATGAAATATAAAATACAAAATACAAACTATAAACAAAAATACAATAATCGGGAAGACATCTCGAATACCATATGATGAGAAGCAATCCAAAGGAGAGGAACATGAAGAGGACACGTAAGCGTTTTTCTGATGAAAAAGAGAGTCACGCCACCAACGATGACCTTTGACGTCATCCAGTTTCGCCAGATGGATGGATGGATGGATGGATGGCGAGAGAAAGTCAACTTGTAGCATCCAGAACTTGTCAGGCGAAAAGAAACGGAAACCGGAAGCTGGAAGAAGGATGGAAGCAAAGGAGAGGTGAGTCTGTTTTGCCGGAGCAAAATCGATGGTGGACCACTCGACGCTTACCTTTTTGAGGATTGTAGTCGATTCAACCAAGTTATATACACGGGATAAGAATGGTTTGGATAATGGATGCGGATGGGATCTTGATACAATGGTAGTGAGGGTTTATCAAGCAAACAGAAAGAGAGAGAGAAAAGCAAAAGAAAAAAGATAAGATTGAAGACAAAAATATATGATTCTCCATGGATGAAACAATAGTCACCCCACTGATGCATGAATTCATAGATCGAAGCACGTCTGCTTATGTATTATTCGATTCATTGAAAATTGAAAGAGAATGAAAGGACATATACGTATAACTGACAAAAAAAACAAATTGAATGATGCTACAGAAAAACGCCGGTCGTATCATCAACCGCTTTTCTTCAAAAAGAGCTCTACTCACATTCTTATTCGAAAGACGACGATGCTCTGTTTGACCATAAATGGCGCAAACGGCGTCTTGCTGCTGATTGTTTCGCCTATTATTGTGGAAGTAGGCAGCGAGGCATGGTTGAAAGATAAAAAAAAGAGGTTTAACAGGCCCTGATAGCTTAGTGTAGATCATGTGATTTACAAATCGCTAATTTCCAAAAGATTTTTTTTACTAATTGCTAGTAAGATGTAGTAAGTTCCCAAAAGGAAATGTTCAGGCATAACTTAAATTAATACGCTCTTTTGTTGTTGGTTGATTTTTCGATATACAGTAAGCATTATTTTTTGACTCAAATCATGAATATGAAATGCTGGGTTAATGGATCAGAGCATTGACACGCTCATAGAGATTGCTTAGAGCATCTGGATGACTACACAATAACGTTAACCTTCCAACCCGACACTTAGCGCGCGAATGCTTCACACTCTTACCTCTGAACCCATGATTTCAGATCCGTCATTGCTCGCTGCATATGGTTGGATGATGGTTTTTTGATAAATAATTCACTGTCGTCTGTAAATTTCAGGTGGATGATTCCGAACTTTTGATCAAACAGATCGTAGCGCAAGTTCATGCAGCCAATGACCTATTCATATTGAATCCTTAATATGTATGAAAAAAGGAGTAGATCGAAGTAAAATCATACCTGTCCTTCGATACCACTCAGTGGTCTGGTTGGCAAGCGCAGTTTTATCTGGCATAACTGCTGGCTAGCATCGGTAACCAGTAATGTCTGATGCCAAAGCGTACGACCAATGACATGCTGATCTTGTGTGGCTGAACCAGCATCTATACAATCGATGGTAAGCAAAAAAAGCTACGCCGAATTTCGTCTTTGAAAACTTACGTAATACAAATACGGCGACATCCATGTCGTCGGTTTGGTTCATCGTATGGATATCTTCGCACTGGGTAATTTGACGGGGAATATAGAGGAACTTGGAGACCATGTCTTCCGTAGCTTTCGAGATAAGCTCCCATCGTGTATAGCGCGTGGTTTTTAGATGAAGACCAGGGAATCTTTTGATTTTGGGAGTATAAGGGGCGAGAAAGGTAATGCGATAACGGTTCCCTTCCTGCACATCCATGTAGTTGACTTCATTCGCATTCAATATGAGCAGTGTAGCCATCGATATTGGGTCATTCGACTGGGATCTTCTGTAATCTCCAATACGTAGTTTGAAATAGCCAGAGACTTTGCGTTCTTCCGTGCTGCGCTGTCCATTGTTATAGCCGCTTCCATATCTGCCCATAGCGGATGTGTTGTCATCGTCGTATTCTAAGCGAAGATTGGGTATTGAAAGAATATCGCTTTGTTCGCCCTGATATATGGTTGCGCACAGCTGATTGCGTCTATCCTCTTCTTCGCTGGCTGTTCTGGTAATGGTGTTTCCATTGGGTAATGTTTCGCTGTACATGATTGGATACTTTCGCCATATTACAACGTCTATCGCTGTAGCTGTCCCCCCGTCTTCGAACAGAGATGAAATGGAGCGTGTCAGTAGACCGTTCGACTGATACCCGAGCCTGGCATCCCATTTTGCTGGCAAGCAACTGTTGGTCGAGATGGATAACGTCGTATCGCCAAGCGCAGCTAATGGCGATTTAGCAACGCGCGACCCCATCAGCTATGAAAATTGGCTTCGCATTAGATCTATCGCAAACAGGTCAAATGTCTAATCTTCCATACCTGTGCTCCACAGATGGATAGCTTGTGACCGATTTTCAGTTTTCTGGTTTCCACAGCTCGTTGCATTCTCGCATCCATCATTGCAGGGATTTCATACCAGCCATCCGTAAGTACCAGCTTGCAAGTTAACGCTACGGATTATATGATTTGCTCGTAAGTTTTACCCAGGTACTCCTTCTACCAAGATGCTGCACCCACCTTTGCCCATGGATGGAGATGCTGCCTGATGATTTGAATCAGCTTTCAAGTCAACGATATCAGCAACAGCCAAGACCATATGTTTAACAGCAACATCGTCTTGCTCAATAATTCGTTTCAACACTGACTGTTGCCCTTGATTGATTTCGCGCTCATATCTGATGTGGCACGTTAATTCCTGATTTCATCCTTCCGACTTATATAGCACAAAACTTACCTATAACACAGCTGCTCCAATACTTTTTCTGGTGTCCACGAATCGGAGAACTGTCTAGGATAAGAACGGATCATGCATGCCATTTTCCATATAATCCACTTGTAATGATTTTCCACCCAAGCAGACGGCAGTGAAGTAGAGACAGCGCCTGCGTCAATCATCGCTTTATACGCAGCATCCGGTCCCCATCCATTAAAGCTGAAATGCTTGGCCTTGCTGGCAGTCATATAAATGATTTCATCGGATCTACAAGGGTACCATGTTATGAGTCACACTCTTTGATAAGAAGCATTACAGCAACGTACATGTTCATAGCACGAAGCTCATCAACGGAATACTGGAGAGGAAGGCCCAGATCACTCAAGTTTTGGCGATGGCGAGGCACTAATAGTTATGTAAGAAACGGCATCTAAAGTCACCAACGCTCATAAATCTTTTACCCTGTAAGTCGAAAATGGAAGGATTCCTGGCACGCACGCTAGGCCCTTCGGTTTTCTGTATCGCGGCTTTGGTCTTCTCGAGGTTGGCGTGCACAACGGGTGATTTGAAAGGTTTGACTTTCGTCTGATGAACCACTGGCCTTCGCTTATACGACCGTTTTTGCGACGAGAAAGATAGTATGCGCAAAGGCGATGCAGTTGTATGTTTCATGCTGTCCGTAGCGTCGTTTGCAGGCATCTGCACCGCTTGTATGCTGTTATTATGCACCTCCGGATTTTCAGTTAGAATAATATCAGCAGATGTTGATCGTTGGTTGGATTGTTCTGCTTGAGTCGGAACCGTTTCGTTATTGAAAAGTTCCACAGCCTGTCGTTTTGCCTCTACTGAAACTGGGATGACTGATTTACTATTTCCCATCCGGAATCCACCATATTCCGATAAGATGTTTTCGTATCTGTAATCATCGTCATTACTCCGAGCTTCGGCTGCACTGCGTTTCCCACCGCAGCTGACGGATTGTTGTTTCTTGGCATGCTCGTTTCCTTGAGTTACGTTTAGCATATGGGTGCCAGATGAAAACTGTATCGGACGTCCCCTCCCTGTCGTAAAGTCAGGCGTTTCGGTCGTTATAGACTTCTCTGTGGCATTTGTATCCTTTATAATAGTTCGTGCGTTGGAATCGTTCTCGTTATGCAACGGTGGCTGCTCACATGGGGATTTGATACCGATACTGCTATCGTTATTCATGTTTAATGAGGAGTGTGCACCGTTTTCTGACGGAACAACGTGTCGGTCCGACGGGTGAAGGTCGTTATCCTCGGAAAACAGAGAAAGCGCTTTTTGATGAGCGTCTTCACCGGCTTCAATACGTGTTTTGCTACCGGCCTTCATAAAGCCACCAAAAAGCATCAAAGGTGACTCATACTGCTGCCTCAACGTCGATGAAGTTTCGGGAAAATTCTCGGTGACGGGAGGTGCGTCTTCTGTGACGAGAGGTTCGTTGTCTTGACCGTTCGAATGTTCAAAGTCTTGCATAAGCTTGGACAGGTCTCCATCCAAGTCAACCCACATGTCGTCTTCGTTCCATATTTCACGAAGAGGTTCTCGTACCACGTCCAATTGTGCTTCCAAAATACTGACAGTTGCTTTCGGTACGTTCTCGGTCAAGCCCAGTGTAGGTTCTTTGCTTTCACGATCGGGTTCTACCTCTGGCGTCGCCAGTCCAGGAGGGATGTTTTCTTTGTTATCGTCCAAGTTTGTGACAGTAAGTACTACAAGGCATGTCAGTTACTTCCAAAAGGATGAAGTTCATTTGTTTTCCAGATCCTACGGTCTGATTTCTTGCCCTTGTCTCCTTTTTGGGCGGTTTTACTGTGGGAGTCCAAAGGCCGAAGTTGTCGATTAATAGACTTTTCTTTTAGACCTATAGCTTGATTGGTGTTTGTGGTGGTCCGCAAGGGCGTGTCATCGTCGTCATCGCAGTATACTTCGAAAGGTTTTGTCTTTAATGATTTAGCTTTTTTATATCGAGCATCGTCCATGGTACTGTGATTGGCAAAAATCTGGTGGTTATCGGTTAGATTAGTTTTCTGGTATGAAAGATAAACTCATACCTCTGCTCGGGACTGACGGCTCATAGCATGGGATTCAGCTTGTGCCAATCTGCTGAATAGTTGATTTTGTTGGCTTGGCGAGAGGTTATCCCAATCGTCTGAGAACTCGTCATTCTCCAATTTGGACATGGGAAGGGAAATCGACGATTCAGGGAAAACGCGCCCTTTCGCGTTCCTTTTTTGGGACTTTCGCGGAGTGTGAAAAGCATCTGTTGCTGGTCTGTCAAGCAGCAAAGTGAAACGGCGTTATGCTTGGGTTTTATTGACAAGCCAAAATGCACGTAAATTGCATACTAATCTGGTGAATGGATGCGAATTGTCAAATGTGTTTGGCGATAAGCAAGGACACATACCATTCTAACTACAGGCGATTATCAACCTGACAAACATTTTCAGACTCCTTTTTTGGAGAGAAAACCCATCCTTCGTTGACCACTTGCATCGCTTCTTGAGAGGTATGTAAGAAACAACAGGTCAAGAAGGGTATTATTAAGTTAATTAGTGGTGCCTTTTGATTTGTAGAAACTTCTTCACTATTTTAAGCATTGCGTCTTTGATATCAATTTCTGATATTGTACGGAAAACTTCCCAGGCACATGTGCATCAATATCATACTGGAATTTTGAATTTCTTTCTGTAACTTCTCGTCAGGAGAAATGAATGTGCAATGCCTTGTTTATTATTGATAAGTCCATCCGAGTTCGCGATACGCAGCTTGCCCTATCCTTCCGGGACTGTATGTTGATAACTTGCTCGTGTTCATATTCGTACTTCAACAATGGTTTCAGCTTTTAGCAAGTTGAGATTTGAGAACAAGAAACAACACCGAACACCGAGCAATGGTTTATATACGTACTGGTTTCTACAAATTAAACAGCGATTCTATTGAAGCTCGCAACAATACCGTCTACTTCACTATCTTCATTATCTAATGGATACATTTGATGTTCTACAGGCTGAGATTCCGGCCCTGCTTCCGGTTGCGGCTCCGGTTGCGGTACACTGTCGTCCATGAAAGGGTCATCGTCATCAGAAAACCGGTCTTCCGAATGATATACATCGGATGGAATATATCGCGCTGCTTCAGCAGAAGTTTTGTTGATCTTTGTGACTTTTTCCGATGTGAATGCTTGCAAATTGGAGTACGTTCGTTTAATTCCTTTAAGCGTTCCAAGATTTCCTATCCTTTTTGCTGGCCATTCTGCAGCTGCAACACGTACGAAAAGAATCGAGAAAATCAACAACTTTAATGGTGGTTAATACACCATTTTTTCATGGAACGAACGATCATTTTCAGCTTACCGTGGTGTATGCAATCGAAAAATAAAAATAGACCGAAGGGACGAGTTCTCCCTTTGCATAATTTGAAATCGGAATCACGAGTAGACGCGCAATAAATAACAACGATTGAATAAACTACACAGAAGAATTTAGAGTTGACGGATTCCACCAGTATAATTGAACCATCCAACCCAAAATTACCTTGTAGGTGGGCCAGTGACGAACTCGAGCATTGTCCTGGACAAAGGTTTTTGAAGCGCGAGGATGCCAGTAGATCGCAAACCACGATATTATCCAAACAATGTAAAGTAAGGATATGTTATCAAAGGCCATCGCACAATCGTCAACAACTTCCGATGTGGATCGATCATACAAAATTATACACTTGGACGACTGCCACATGGTTTTGACCGCATCCTTGACGTTTGTTAGCGCTGCCATTCCACAGCTGGATGCCAAAGTGGTTGCCACATTCGTTTCGAATCCCCGTTGCCATAAATCCACCAAAACGGTTGACATTGATGACCATGCAGACTTGTAAAATTCTATGCTCGTCCATTGATTATTCGTAGTGTAATTAGGTTGTGTACGTGGGTATAAGAACGCTATATAATCATTATAATAAGTAACGTGAGAAGGCACAAGGCGCATTCTAGCCGCTGTCGTTACCGAGAATGCAAAAGAGGACTGTGAGACTATGGGATAGAAACCACAGTAGGCCTTGCATGGTGTATTGGAATTTTGAAGGTCGTTTAGGTGATTTTGTTTGCAAGCTACGGTGTAGTTTTTCGTTAATTCGCCTTCGTCGCAGATCAGCTCGTTGTTCCGCCAGCAGATTTTCCACTTTTGCCTGACACTCTTCACACAATGGATTCTTTTCTTGCAGCGATGCTTTATAAGCATCTGCCGTTTTTACGTAGTAGTCGTATTTGGGATCCTGAGAGAGTGGAACGTTTAACTCTTTTAACTGATCAAAAGGTTTTGTCGTTCGGTGTTTTGCTTACATCTTCGTCTCTAATGTATTCACTCATTAACTGATAAATGAGGATCTGATTGCTTTGACAGTTTTCGCAAAGGGTACGTGATTGCCTTCTTTCGGGCAAATGTCTCTGCGGTATCGGTGTCACTAAAAATGGAAGCATGAGCTATTGGAGAGATCTTGTCAACCGTTGTCCACTGTAACTGTACCTGGATGATTAAGACTAGCATTGTACATAACAGGAAGAGTATCTACAATATCCCCATTCTAAAGGCAGGATTGCCATTAGTGACCATGACAGACAAAATCGAGCCATCCGACTTACTTGATCTTTCACATTAACGTTTTCACATTTATCGCAATACCAGTATTGCTCTGTTTGTTTCCCACCGGGAAGCAAATATGAATCTTGATTGCAATACCAGCAATTGACTTTCGTGGGTAAGTCGCTGAGGCCCAAATAGCCAAGCAGCGAAGTGCGCCAGGGTCGTTTGTGGGTTATGTGTTTATTCATGAAAAAAGGGAATAAAAGAAGGTAAATTTCTGATGCTTATTCGGGGTTCAAGAAGCGGAGTTTATTGCGTCGCGGATCTTTTCCGTGTCCAAGGTGGGCAGCCAAATAGAAATGTTTTTTTATTCTTTCAGCAAATACTTCATTAACTCTGCTACTAATCGCACATTGATGCTGTTCCCAAGTGTTCGATATTGTTGTTTTACAGAGCTGGTGCTGGGAAATTCAAAGTGAGAAGGGAATCCCATTAAATTAGCGACCTCTCGAGGAGTGAAATAGCGCAACTTCAATGAATGCAGCAGTGACAGTTGTTTCTTCGTATCTTTGCTATCCCGGGCTTCTATTGCTTGTTCAAATGTCGAAGAAGTCTAGAGACGACATTTTCATGATTAATTAAGTGCATAGCCTCACCTACACTAGCTTACTTACATCTGCTTTTTCGTTCATTTGCAGAATAGATCCTGTGCCTTGGGCGTAGTGATAGTAACCTTTTGTAAAGCAACAGCTACGTCGGCTGTTGGGTTTGATGATGTCAAATACATGGCCGTTTTTACTGAGCACCTAAACAAAAGTTTTTGTCACGAATTTAATCTCATTGAACACAAAAGTATTCTGTGGTGCCGGTTTTTTTTCTCTTACTTTATCTGGGACCAGAAATTGATCGAGATTATCCACTTTCACCAGATAGTTGGAGACAGGTTCTATCGAAGAGGCAATCTTGTCGGCCAGTTCCTTTTCTATATTAGCGGTTGTCAAACGAAAATCTACAAATGCTTCGGACATCTTATCGGATAGTGGTATATAGTTGATGATCGTATCTGTTGGCGAACTAGCAAATTTCAGTGGCCTTAATTTGGCCTGCAAAAATCAAATCCACATGAGTTGTTTTCTAGAAAAGTCCAGTTGAAATTAAGAACTGCTTACTGACCAACATGTAATATCGCATACGCGAATTGGGAATCCCCAATTGTAATGGCGTGAGTAAAAATTCCTGAAAAGCATAGTTGCACTCTTTCAGTTTTTCTGCCAGCATATCGCGCGAATCCGATTCCTAAACACCCGGTCACTGTTAGCAACAATCCAAGCAGCCTCTCCTTGCCTAGAGTTACCTCGAAACCTTTCACATTCTCCAGCAAAATGTACTTAGGTTTATGCTCCATTTCACCCAGTACTTCTAGTAAGTGAAGAAAACTTTTTGCTCGACCGTCTTGACTGCCTTGCTTCAATCCGATTCGCGTATATGGTTGGCAAGGCGGTGACATTGTCCACACATCCGCCGCTATCTTGTCATAATATTCGGTCGATAGAGTTTCGATCAGGTGCTGATAAACAAAAAAGAACCGAAACGTTTACAAATGATCGCACTATGGAAGTTCGATTTCTTCTTACCTGCCCGATCAATTTTTTGCCAAAATTATGGCTATAGACCTGTGCCTTTTAGTATCGAGACTAGGCGAAAATTTTTCCTTGCCACTTACTTCATTGGCCACGGTATTAATGTCGAAAGCTTTCAGGATTTCGTGATCCCAGCCTGCGACATCAGCTGCATAGTGCTAAGAAACAAGCGAACCTTAGTTCCAAAACGACCAAGTTCAGTTGATGTAAGTACGCACCATTCCACCAATGCCTGAATAAAACTCTAGCACCCTCAATTTTGACATGAGAAACTAACGAGCAAATCTGATCTGTGTTCAACTCAACGGTGACAGATTATGCGCTCTTACGGTCAGTAAATTTTTACTCGGAACAATGTGACGGTTGTACCGGTACCAGGTCTTTTTTGCACACTCCGGAAAACATGCGGATGATCCAAAACTGTGAGCAGTGCCATCATGCAGTATAGGCAACAATGCTTTGCAACAATTTTGTAGATAGATGGGTTGACTTCCCATTGAAAATAAGTAGTGGTTTTCCAATGGGTGAACAGAGTGAGGGATGGGAAAAATTTCAGCAGAAATTTCTGCAGCAGGACGGCTGTGCCTGAGGCTGCGCACACTTCTATGCTTTCACAGCGATACTGCTTCTAATGACTATTGTAACGGAAGCAATAAATCAGCCACTTCCAGATTCCTCAACTCCGGGTTTTGAAGAGGACCAAGAGGTAAACTTTGAAATGGCGGCAACAGAGTAGAATATTAGCTAGGTACACTGTGGGGTGGCGCCAACAGAAAACTGTTTCCACTCATTGCTTATCAATGGTTTATACCATGGCATGGTTCATCAGTCCATTACAGATGACCAATCGTCACAGAGAATCACAGAAACCTCAACGGACACATTGAATTTCGTTCCTGAGGAAATATGGGAGTCGTTGAATGCGTTGAAGCCTAGTTCTCGAACAGCATGTGAGGAAAATTGTTGGATGGTGTTATCTGACTGGTTACTGACTAGTCGTTTCCGCAGCTGTTATTCCGCAGTTGATCCCTCAATTCAGAGAACTTTACATCCAAGGAGTCACCACTTGCGCTTACTTGTGCAGTCTCTCTGTGGATCATGTAGCCACAGGATTGCTAGATTTAGGGTGGGGCTGCGGCTACAGAAACTGTCAGATGCTGTTAACATACGTGGAAGCGTATCAAAAACCGTATTCCCGTATTATACGTCATATACCTGATATAGAAGGACTACAGATCCTGTTAGAAAAAGCTTGGGCAGACCGTAAGTGCATTTCAAAAATTCAAAGTTGTCCGAAGCCTCTGATCATTAATCGACAACATCTTCTTATTAGAATTTGATCCTCAGGGAGCCGAGCAATTAAAGCATCGAGTTCATAGAACCCGAAAATGGATTGGTACCACGGAAGTTTACACCATTCTCACGTACCTTGGCATTCGATGCAGTATCGTCGATTTCGCTACACCAAGCGGTCCAAATAACGCTCATGATGCATTGTTTGACTGGGTCCAACGCTATTTTGAGGGTGCAGATACTGACATTGTGCCAGCAGATACAGAGAAAACGGAACAGCATACGACAATTACAGACCGACCACCTATTTATTTGCAACATTCAGGCCATAGCAGAACTATCATCGGTATTGAAGTATTACCGGATGGCAAACGAAACCTGCTTATATTTGATCCCGGAAAACGTGTTCCACAAGCCAACCACACAGAGAAATCCTCAGCCGATGCAAAAGTTCCAGACAAAGTGGACTCAATGAGCGATCCCGCAGCGAAACCTTCTTCAACCGTTAGTGGCGGCAATGGCTGGTGGTTTTTCTCCGGCTGGATGAATTGGCAACCTTTATTCGGTAATAATTTGCGTAATATTCGAGTCGATTCCAAAACGATCTCGCGGAACAAGCAATATCAATTGCTAGTTCTCGGCGATATAAGCAGCTCTAGTAATACGTTACCTTGGACCGATGCGCGTGGCTACATATTGGATGCTCAAGAACGAGAACAAAGAAAGAAGATCACAAGCGTCATTGGAAGTCGATAATGTACCCTATACCTTGACTCTATCATAGCATAACAATAATCCTACTATGCGTTTTATGCAATCACAAATAGAATCGCATGAATCTGTGGACAAAATACTAAGGCTGCTTGCCATCTGCACGGTAGGGTCGCAAAAATGAGATTGTCGGTTGTCTGATACGCCAAGCAACGGTTGCTATTGAGAAAGAAGATCAGATAAACAGGGCAATCATGGGAGACCATATCCAATTAGCAGTGCAATTGAAAGATGCATATACAGAGTCAATCTCGGACCACGGACAGTGGTACGATCGAAGGTGGAATCCATCAAAGAACATTACATTACAGATTTTTTCGAAACCCATCATAAACTACGTCTCAATAACTACTTTCAAGTCAAGTGTGCGACAAAACTAAACTGCCCACACGGATACTTACATCAAGGAAAATACTATTTTTTTGGAAAATGTTTGTCGATCTACGGCACAAACGTCGGCCGTGCTACGCTTCCTGCGCGCAATTTTACCATGTTTTTCCCAAGTGGTTTTTTATAGTAGTATTATGTTCCATGGATCCCAGGGCGAGCAATAGTCCGCAACGGACGTATGTTAACTCACCCTTTCAAAAAAAATCTTTTACTTTACTTTTAAAACTAAAAGAATATTCACAAAGGAAAGAACAAACTTTCCTGACGGGAGCAGGCCTATCGACAGTTTGCTTTGGGCACCTGGAATGCAGATGGACAGCGAGTTTAGGAGCATGACTAAAAATGGGACACTGAGCGATCACCATGAGTGCGGAAAAGTATCGCCATCAGAAACAGCAGCAAAAGTAAACCAGAAATCGGAGACCAATCGCGAAGCACCAACCAGAAGGAAAAAGAGAAACACGCAGAGAGGTTGAGGTACAGCGGGTCGGAACGGCGAATCAACGCGCGCTCACGGGGCATACAAGGGACCACAATTTTTAGGCGCGCGGCAATTGACATCTGCACTATATCGGAACACGAAAGGGCGGGATCGGAGTCCTTTTACACGTCATGGGGCTTGGCCCAAAAAATTCTTATAAAAGGAGCCCATTTCGATAACAACCCCCACCGGCACCGAAAAAAGTGCCAAAAAGAGATTCCCCAACGGGGAATTGAACCTTTATAATATTATTCGTGGGGAAATTTGGTCAATGATCGGCACTATGTGATGAAAAACCTAAAACTCAAGGAGAGGGAAGGAAAGGATGTGGTGATCCTGCCAGAGAGAGGCCTATTGACAGATGCCCTAGCACCGGGAATGGGAATGGGCAGAATGTGGGGGTGTGAAGAAGAACGAGCAGAAAGCAGTGGGTAAGATAGGAAACTTGGAGAGACGCGAGGGCGTGAGCGAAATCTATAGAAGAGTAAATGTTAAGTGCAGGTGGTTAGCGAGAGCTGGGATAAACAAAGCATTATCGACGGAGAGGAACAGAGTTCGAGCCAGTAGCAACACCAATGGAGTGGCGAGGTCCAGAGAAGGTCCGTGCGCAGCGTTGTGCCCAAAGTTTATGGCCGAAACGGAGAACATCGCAAACAAGCCAGCGGTGGAGACGAGGGGCGTATTTAGCCTTGCAGCCTAGGGATCGAAGGATCTTGTCGTTGTTGGCCCAAGTACCACCGACATCACCGAGGACGAAAGCATCGAGAGTCACCGAGTAGCCAAGATCGACATATAGCTGTTTTAAGGGTGTGTATTTGTTGATCTTTTTCGCCCGAGCAGCGTCGAAGCAGTTGGAGTCGGCCGTGGCGTGTGTGGCGCTTTGCGCAGTGATGGTGACATCATAAATCAGGACAGTTTTGGCCGTTACGTTGACGATCACAAGATCAGGGCGGAGACGGTCACTGTTGATCAGCGGTGGGCAAGCATTGACGGTGATAAGCGCATCCGGGTTGTTGTAACGGGCAGCACTGGCGAGACGGTTGAGCACTTTGTCATGACGTTCGGTTTGCACCCGTTTCGATTGTTCATCGCCACAGAAACAGAGGAGGTGGTGGATATCCTCTTCACGGCCACAGGCAGCACATTTATCGTTGCTCTGGAAGCGCCAGCGCATACGGTTGACGTTGGTAGGCATCATATCCAGTCGACTTTTGACGGCGAAGCTATAGGCGGCAGGGTACAGGTCGTCGGTGCGGATCCAAGCGTTGGAGGCAGGGTGTTGCAGGGTGGAAACGGTATGGCCTTGGATAGGTTGACGTTGCCACTCGGCAAGGAGACGCTGTTGACAAAGTCGTTTGAGTTTCCCTATTGTGGTACGCTTCATAGGTCGTCGGTTGTCAGTGCTGGAGGGAGTGGGCGTTGGTAAGATGAAACTGAATTTGTTAGAGTTAGTGGTGTTCGAGTTATCATCATCCGAAAGGAGTTCTATATCGCAGCCGATATGGCGAATCGCAGAGACAACGTTGGCGGTAGGGTCGGCGGTATCGCGATAGATGCGTTGTTTAAGGTGCTCATATTTGCCTTGCAAGTAGGCCAAGATGTGTTCGTCCGTGAGCTGGTTCGTAGGGAAATCCACAGTATCGCGAGTGTTAGGAGGATGATAACGAATGGAAAGCAACGTGCGAATTTCCTGGCGAATAACAGATCTGACAGCTGGATCACGCGAGTTGAGAAGACACACGACATGTGCGGCTTGAGTGCTTGCTGCCCAGTCGACGGGATCATAGAATCCTAAGCCGCCATTTTCCACGGGTGTGTGAAAGGCCGCACGAGACGAGCTTCTCGGCATCTTGGTGTAGTGGCAGATGGTGTGACGAAGGAGACGACCGAACTGGTTGGCTTGGTAGTTCCCGAGACCATTGAGACGAATGTAGTATTCGATACGCGGTAGAATAAAGGTCTTGAGAGCGTGGTGTTTCTGGAATATACGTAAGCCTGAGCGAGCAATGATGGTCATGTCTTTCTTGAAGTCGGCGAGTAACTGGCGATAGGATCGGAAGAGACCAGAACGTTGGAGCCCAACAGAGTTACCGAGATATTTCCAGTCATCTGTGAGAGCAACACGAGGAATGCTCGCACCATGGTAGGAAAGAAAGATGTTGTTATCATTGCGGCGTCGGTTTCGTCGACCATCGGGGAGTGTCCCAGAGAAGCAGGTTTTGGTGGCGTTGACAGTGTAGCCGTGTTCATCCATAAATGAGATCACTGTTCGGTGCAAGCGTCGAAACTCGGACGGGTCATGCGACAAGATTGTGAGATCATCAGCAAGGAGTAGGTGATTGTGGCGAAGATCTGTTCGTGTCGATAAGGCGTTGAGTCGATGCGAGAGTAGAAGCAAGCAGAGTGAGAAAATTATGGGTGACGCGGGATCCCCTTGTTTGGTGCCGCGATGTAGGTTGACAATCGGTGAAGGGCCAGCAGGCGTAGCAATCCAGCAGCCAATGGAATCGTACAAGCTCATAACAATGCGGGTCGAGCGGTCATCGAGACCAGCGTAGCGAAGGGACTGTTGGATTTCAGTATGGGAGACACTGCCAAACGCATCCTTGAGATCGTACGAGCAAACGTACAGAGGCAGAGCGGTTCGGCGTGCATGGCGGATGGTGGCGTGAAGATAGTAGTCATGTTCGATACAGCCAGGGGTCCGCATGAAACCTTTTTGGTTGTGAGGCATACGGGGTTCGACGATCGTGCGTAGCAGTCGGTCAAGAGCACCGGAGTAAAGCTTGGCGGCTGAGTTTTGGAGTGCGATTGGGCGCCAATTGTTGGCATCAGTAAGGTCACCTTTCTTGGGTAAGAGGATCGTATGAGACAAGCGCCAGTGCGTAGGAATCCAGCTAAGTTCGTAGCATCGTTGCGAAATGGCCAATAGCCAGCGACGGAGACAAGGGAAAAGGCCCCAAACCTTGTACGGTATACCATCGAATCCGGGCGACGAGTTTTTGTTAAAATGTTTAATGACATCGTCGATGATACTCGCGGTGATAGTGCCGAGAGAGATGGTGGGTTGTTGAGGTTCAGGGAACGTCGATGCGGAAGTGTCGTTGTGGGTGGATGTTGCGCCATATTTCGAATCGAAATGAGCATGAACGTCAGCAGGTGAGAGCCTACAGCGAGCAGGTGGGGTCGGATCCAAAAGTTGGTCGATTGTCTGTTTAGGGCGGTGGCGGTAACGATGGAACAATGATGTCGCTGCGGAACCGGCTCGGATATTTTGGCGTTGACGGATCAAGCGGCGTCGTGCAGGGCCTGAAAGCGAGCGGTCATTATTCAAACGATCCGTTATGGCATCGACGTCGGTCATGGCTTGTAAACCATCGGATTCAGAACGTGGTTGGGTTGGACGTGTATAGTCCGCCAGAAGCGAGTACAAACGATCGTGGAAACGATTGTTTTTGGCATCAATGTCGTCGTGAGAGTCGGAAGGTAAAATCAAATTGGTCTCGACGAGTTCCATGATGGTTAGTTCTAATGCTTTTCTGGCTTCGACGTTCGGAAAGTATGGCAATTTAAGCGCACGACGAGGAACACGAGTGGACATGACTTCTGAGATAGGAGGGTAAATCCCGGGATTGTGGGGCCGCCATGGCTGTATCGAAGGTGCATCAATGTCCATCAGAGTCGAAGGAGCTGCATGAGATGGTAAAAAGGTAGTGGGGGCAGCTATCGGAGAGGACATGAGTTCATCAGCGGGCGAGGGTGCAATCGAGGGGATGTGCTCAGTAGTAACATCGTGAGTCTCAGCAGTGGAGCAATTCATAGGTGTGGGTAGAGAAGTGGCCAAAACGGTAGTGCCAGCGGCGGGAACAAGAGCAGTGGGGACATGCGCAGAAGGAGCATCAGGCTGTCTGGAGTAGTCGAGCCATTGTTGAAGCCGTGAGTCTATGGATGCGGGCGACATGGCGCGATTATTTGGCTGGGAGCGTTGGAGGCGTCGTTGTTGGGTGTCATTGTGGAGAGCAGCAACGAGATCAGAGTCCAGGCTGGAGACAGAGTTGTCGTCAGAAAAATAATCGGCGGCAGCCGGGCGGGAAGCTGGTACTTCCTCCGAGGCGACGAGAGCCAATGGTGAAGGAGGGGTGGAAGGAATTGCTGGGATCGATGGCTCAGGAGTTGGTGACATTGAGATGTGAGTCATGGAGCGACAACGTGGCGGACTGGGAGCTGGTGCACGAGAGGCAATATTGGCAAGCATAGCAAGAGCAGTTGCTGCAGTATCGGCCGAGATTGGGGGTGCAAGGTTAGCAAAGGCATCCGTACAATCATCGGGATCAGCAGTAGACACACGGGCAGGGGTCGGGGGTGGTCGAGGGACTGGAGCTCCATCGATGTTAGCGACACGAGGACAACGATGTCCTTGGAAATCAGGTTGAGGCGAGCGAAGGGCCATAGGCCGTTTTCCAAGCACACTGGCTGTAAGGCGAGGGCTGGATTCGGGAGTCCTAAAAGGCGTACTGATCGGTGAAGTCGATGGTGGCGTGCCGTAGATCGCATCGTTTACAACTGAATCATCATCGTTATCGAGAAGGTTACTATCAGCGGCGGCAGCTTCGTCGAGAGTATCAGCAGTGGGGGCGACATTAGTGGTAGATGAGCGCGGCTGAGCAATGATGGTGGCAGCGTCGGTCTCATTGGCATCCGTTGAGGGAGGAGTAGAGGCGATGGCCGGTTCATTGGCTTGACGTGTAGCTTTGAGCTGGGAGACAGCAGCGTTGACGATGTTCGGATGTTTCCAGATGTGTCGTTGTTGCAGGTGTTGTTTGATGGTTGGTAGGTCCCATCCGACGTCGCCAATGACTTCTTTGAGCGTGTTGAGATCAGAACCCGCAATGGGAAGACGCCAGGCGCCCGCCATAGCCTCGATAAGACCAGGATGGGTAGCTCGGTGAGAGTCTAGTTCGTGACGAGGGAAGTTTTGCTCGCAACCATGGCAAAAAGCCAGGGTGTCGTTGTCATCGGAGTTGTTTGGGTCGCCGTTGCAATCATACCTGAGGTGATGAGAAAAGTTGAGCTTATCGACATCAGCGAAGCCGCAGGAGCGTGGGCAAGTCCAGACGATACGCAAGAATTTGTGGTGAGTGGTTGTATAGTGTTCTTGCAAGCGCGAGGGGTTGTTGTATAGTCGTTGACAGACGGGACAGGAAAACGATGTCGATGTCGTGGGAGCAGGGAAGTCGTCAATAGGTAGATTACCGGGACCAGGGCGGTGCAATGGCGGAATGCGTAGAGCGTGCGGTTCAAAAAAGTTTCGAACGCAGGGATGCTGGACAAAGTCAGAGCGGGAACCAAAAGTGCGCGGACAATCGTAGCAGTGCCAGACAACGGTGCATTTGATGCGGTGCTTTTTCGTACAATGCTGAGCGAGCGATCGGCTGGTGAAATAGGTGCCTTTGACGGGGTCAGGACATACTGGACAAAGAAAGTATTCAGAGTCGGCATGACCGGTGACAGGAAGGCCCATGGATACGGCGATAGGGGGCATTGGGGCACAGACGGTGACACAGGGGAGCGTAGTCTAAAGCTGGAGCTGTTTGGGTGGCGGCACAGGAAAAGTTTTTTTCGGTTTTGATAAACAATGGCCAAGAGAGTGTGTTGCCAGGCGGGAATGTCGAAAAGTCGATATGCGCAGAAGTGGTTGTACCGGTTCGGCGTTCGAGGATTCGAGAGAGATCGGGATAAGCTATGATAATTAATTAAGTCGCGCTGTCGATTTACGAAAGAGTTCGTCGATAGGGCGCGCGAAAGTTGGTATTGTCGTCGGTGATTCCGAGATGGCGGAATGAAGGGCGAAAAAAAAGTGCTATTCCTGTGAAGATACCGGGTTGCAAGTGGTATCAGAAGGTGCGTAAAGAAGTGTACTTTCTGGAAGGTGCAAAAAATAAATGCGTTTAGATGCTCGAGATCGCAAAAAATCAAAAAGTTTCCCCAACGGGGAATTGAACCCCGGCCACGACGGTGAGAGCGTCGGATCCTAGCCACTAGACCATTGAGGAGTTAATATTTTGTGAAAACCAAAGTTGTGTAAGCCTCGGCCGACTGCCTTTTTCGGATTTCCCTTGTTCTGGTTAATTTCTGTGGTTGCCTGAATTCGTTGGTCTTTTCCCTTTCTTTTGGTGTTTCTCCCGTGGTGCTATGATGTTTGGGCGATGAAATATCGATCGATTTGTCGGTTCCTTCTTTTTCAGAAGCGGAGTGTGAATTGGAAGTCCCGTTCGATTTTTCGTGAAGTTCGTTTAACGATCTGAAATTATCTTATGATCATTACGCGTTCTGACGATGACTCAAACCATGATTATTTCTATTGTTCTTACATATTATGTAATCCCTTAGTTAAGAAACTATAGTACGGTGAAAGTATTTAAATGTCTTTTAGAAATTTCTGTATCTATATCCAAAAAGCTTTTGTCTTTTGATCTCTTATTCTGGGAATACATCTTTTCGAAGATACACTTTGGACTAGCGCCTACATTTTTGGAAGTCTCTTTGGAATAGTCTGATAGTTTTTACAGTCGGCTATCACCCTATTCGGATTTACAGTAACAAGAAGTTAGTATTCGGAGGAAGAACCATGGAAGTTCTGAAGCTAATCTTCTCTGTTCTGAATATTCTTTCTTTGGGTTACTCTTGCATCAATTTGGTTACCACTCTCCCACCACACTCCACAATTTATAAAATTGCTTAGTGCACTATGATCAAGTAGATCACGTGGCAATTTTCTCGATTCTGATTGGCGGACATGGTGGATACTTGCCATTTAAGTAACTATCCGGAACCCTGCTTGGGTTTTCACATGATTTTTTGATCTGATAGACTTCATATCATTTGGCTGTTTTTTATGTTGAAGGGAAAAAATAACTCTGTATCATTGCTGAATGGTCATTCTTAATATTGAATGGCTGCTTGGCTTTCCCTCGAATAAAGTAGTTGGGAAAGCATTTTTGCTTTCTTGAATTTAATGGTTCGATTTTCCTGTTCGGGGCCGAATGATAAATATGGTTTTCATTATTTGAGTGGATATTCTTGCCAGGCTCCAGAAGCTGTGGACTAGAAATAAGAGACCCTAGAATTGTAAAGGATTTTCGGTATTTATTTTCAATCGTAATCAGGCGTAAGATGTTTCTGATGCTTCGGATGTCTCGCGTCCTGCTCATCATTCCGATAGCAAGCAAGTATTCCACGAGAAATCGTTATTATGGGTTAATTCGGTTCAGGAAGTTGAGAAATCTGATTTCAGTTTGTTGTTGCCAGGGAAGATGAAGACTCATGTATAAGGGGGAAATTAGGAAAAGTCTAAGCGCGCGATTTTACGCGTCTTAATTTAAGGTAGAATATATATACTTGTACAGTTACGTACATACTACCATTATGACAGAGAATGTCTCTTTGCGAAAACCTGGGTAAGTACAGGGAAATCATACTTATTTGTGTGGCGTTAACAATGCAGAGAGAGGCACGACAAAAACATTGTGGCCAGTGGAAATGGGGAACAGCAGCATGCACGTAGAAAATCAAAGAATAAGGAGATATGTGAGGTCGGATTAGTCGAGGGTACAGCTATTGACCTTTGCAGAAAACATGAACTCCCACAGAAACCACCTTCATAATAAGAAAGTAAGGAATAAATTTCGGAAGTATTACCTGCCATCAACAACACTCCATCCAAATAGATGGAGCTTCACAAGACAATGATCAGCTAGTTCTGCATGTGCTGCCTTCTTTAAGTGGGTCAGCTGGTGCCAAAGTATTACAGAAATATTAATCAGAAAACAACTTCCATTAATACGTTCACATGATATGTCGCATGCTCAGGATAACAAGTACAACTGAATTACAATGCATTACCGTTTCTCGATCTTCAATGTTACCACTTGAAAGACAGCTGGTTTATTGCTCCGTTCATCTTTGCCTGCCGGTTGTCATGGTCAACGTCAAGAAATTTCGACCAATTCGTACCTGTCAACGACTGGCCCATTGAACTGTATACAACCAAAGATATGATTTTTGAAGAAGACAAGCAAAGAAAAAAGAAAATAAAAGATTAGGATGATATACACAGCTGAGGGTAGGGGAATTTATTAGACGTTTAAATTGTATGTACTTGCAAATCTTTATGCTGTTCAATTTTAAAGATACGCTTTTTCAGATCTTGGAAATCACTCGTATCTATGGTTGTTCCAAGATCCCGATTCAGTAGTTGAAGTATTTTCTTTGCGCGTTGAATGTCTCCTTTCTTGGCCCAGCCAAGTGCAATGAGGGTGTAAATTTCTTGATTTGGCTTGATACACCGGGTGCGCATATGGTTGAATAACCGATCCGCCAGTTCCAAATGTTCAGGCTTCTTGAGTAAACCATCAAGGAGGACTTTATACGTCATGTAATCAAACTTAATCGTTTGTCCTTTCGCGTATGGAAACAGTGCACCTCGGTCGTTTCGTAGAAGGATTTTGGCGGCAGTGGTCGGTTGATTCTGCTCGACCAAACGTGTGAAAGCAATGTTGTTGATCCAGGCTTCATCGTAGAATTTCGAATCGGGGTGGTTGACAAGTTTGTGCAGCAGCTCCTTTTCCACAAACGGATCGGCGTCTTTGTAAATATCGGTAATCGTTCGTAGGGTGGTCTGATCGGGCGGTACATTGACAAGACGCATATGCTTCAAGATTTCCATGATTTTCACCAAATCAGTGGGACCGTGTTCCATTGCAACCGTGCGTACCAAAAGGTTGAAATCCACGGTATCCGGTCCGGCAGTTTTGGTGACAATAGACTGGAATGTCGCTTTAGCCGCTCTGACATCTCCCGCAGCGACATACGTTGACATCAGCGAAGTAAGAGCCTTGTGGGATAAAGGTACTTGGACGTTCTCGCTCATTTGAATTAGTTTGCCAAAAAAATCCAAGTTACCGGTCTGCGCACAAACAGCGTAAAGAGCATTGAGGATATCCCGTCGAGGGGGGGTGCTTCCACGAAGCGCTTCCACAAGGTGATCAAAGATCGTTTTGGCCGTCTCGAGTTGCTTGGAGTAGAGTAGGCACCTCAGTACGTCGCCGTATGTCTTCTGTGTCAAAGCTGACGGATGGACGGATTTCATACGATGGTACACGCGCACAACGTCGATAAAAAGCTTTCTTTTGGATGCTCCCGATATCACATCCCGGTATTCTTCAGGTGCAAGCGCTATTCCGTTGGCTGTGGCAAAATCAATAATCTTCACTGCATGATGAGGACGCTTCGCGACTAAGAACCACCGAATGAGTCTCCTGGACGCATATTTATAGCTGTCGATATCCTTGCAGGAGGCTGTATCCTTGAGAACGTCGTGGGTGAATGAGAACTGCTGCGAGAAAACGGATTTATCCGCTAGTAGGCGAATGATCGGATCGACAGATTTAGTAAAATGAGACAAGTCCAATTCGCGTTTTCGATGGTAAAATTTTCTTGCGTCGTTCCAACGGCTATCGTGAATACATTGAAAAGCAAACACATTCAGTGCCGACTCCAAGATTTCACGATCGTCTCGCTTATGTGCAATGGTGGCGTGTAGTTTTGTAGCGTATGATTTGAGGACATCCGCATGCGTTTTCACCAACTGAACCGCTTTTTCTTGCTCTCCCAGGCGTAACCAACCATCGACCAAAGCACCAACAACAACTTCGCTCGGAGGCCACGCTTTCTCATCCTTCATTCGCTGAACCCATTTCTCCGCCAGATCCATTCGTTTCTCTTCTGCCAACAGAGCAATCATGTTGTCGTACATTGTCTGCGATATAGGCTCGTCCAACTGGTTCATCTGCTCGGATAGTTGATCCAGATCCCGGCCCTTTTTTGATTGTCTATACAGCGCTGTCAGAGTTTCGGCATCCTTGATCGAAAACTTGGCGTTCTCCGATGTCAAATTCTTCAAATCTTCCAACACGATGATTGCGTTTTCCACATTCAGATCTTCCAGAGGTTCACGATGCAGTGGGTGTAATATCTCTATTAGGGTATCAAAATCCTGGCTCGTCAGCTCATTAACCGCAGGAGTTAATCGTAGACGCTTGTATATATCCATGAGCATTTCGCTCTGCTTTCGTCGATGCTTCCAGAGACGGACATGCCGACTACGACCCTTTGGCTTTTGTCGAGGGGTACATTCGTTTTTCGACTGGTATAAAAGATCTCGTAGTTTAGTAACGAGCAATTCCGCATCAGCAGCTTCTTGGTTGAATGGCGGAGGAAGCAAGTCACCCCGAGTCGAGAAACAGGCATATTGTGAGCGCATCAGGAGACGGCGATGAGGAGCCACAGATAGTGGAGATCTCGAAAGTGAACCACTGGAACTCGAGAAAGCAAGAACGAGCAAATGACTCCATTTCGACAAGTATCGAGAATAAGCAGCGTGCTGAGAAAGCCGGGTAACGTCTCGTTTACTGTAAAAACGCATATTTCTCGATGACTCGATCCGCCTGGAAAGACAACTGCGACAAAGAATTTGAGCAGATGCAAAGAACCGCCATGTCTGCAAGCCTAAGCTTTCATTCTTGAGAGCTGTTTGAAATGGCATCAATGCATATAAGAACGGACTCGATCGACTCGCTTTGGGATTTGCGTGAGGGAAATAAAACTACCCGTTCCAAAAAACTGATGTTTTTCGCTGTTGTTGCTGTTTTGCGGCACTCGTGACGCAACTCTGTGACGGTTATTTTAGAGAGACGGCACAGGGAAACCGACCTTCATGAAGACGGCCACAAAAAATATGCCAGAATTACTGAAGATTTATTTGTTCCCTCCTTTAAAGTATCTGCAGGTCCAACCTCTATACTATCAACGTATTACCAACGTCTCTATTTCCCTTAAAATGCTATATCTTTTTGATTTGGTATTATGCGTCAACATTGCTGAAGCTGGATTTAGTGATGCCCTTTTCCGAGAAGCTGTTCGATCGGTTATATGAACAAATACACTGCACCGACGAATCTTGAAGAAGAAAACCAACATCATGAAAAACATTCATGAGAACGTGACTATGTGACGACAGAAGACTGAGCATGATTGGTGGTTTTTTTTTTTTTTTTTTTTTTTTTTTTTTTTTTTTTTTATGGTTTACAATCTTGATGGCGACCGGTCGGTAATGTTATTGAGTCAGTGGCAGGTTGGGATAAGTGCACAGCATGAGTATTCTTTATAGCAGCAACGTCTTTGTTTTCCATAATAAAAATAAATTTTCAAAGCTTCTGAAAAGCAATTTATTTATTGTCTGTATGGATGCTAAGCATAACACGTCCAAACTTCCCAATGGCAAGAGGGGATTTCTATATACCACTGTAGCCAAATGCCAAGTGACTGAGGGCCCCTTTGCTTTCTCCTCACCGTCAACTTCTTGGTTTTCTACTGAAAAAAAAGGACCACGCGAAACTCGGCCGTATCGTATTTTGACAGGGTTAAACATTTAATGAAGGGGCTCGTTACAGCAACGAGCGGGTTTCGGACGAATCAATAAATACATGGTTAAATCTCCCAGAATACCTACCATTATTAAAATGTTTGGGAGTTATGCGCGCTAATTTTCAGTCATAAGGCAGCCACTTGGGTTTTTGCTACATTTGTCGGCTTTGATTGGGAAATTTTTGAAATACAAATATTTATGATTGGTTGACAGACAGCTGTTGATCGGTCCGACCTTTGCGCTCGAATTTTTAACATGAAGCGTAAAGCTCTGGGAAGATCTAAAGAAGAACCATGTTTTGGAAAGAGACGTTACCCATGTACACACTGTGGAGTTTCAGAAGCGAGGCTTACCGCATCCTCATTTGCTTTGGTGCTACATCCGGAGGAAAAGCCGAGAACACTTGATGTCTATGATCGTATCGTGTGTGCCGAACTTCCGGACAGAGAGAGATTTCCTGATCTCTGCGACACCGTCAGCAGATGTATGATGCACGGTCCGTGTGGAACAACGCATCCGAGGTCTCCCTTCATGAAAAACGGCTCATGTAAAAAGCGTTACCCCCACTCCTTCAATGAAGCTACTATCGAAGATCACAGTGGTTACCCGTTATACCGTCGTCGCAACAATGGTGATTTTGTGGTCAAGAACCATGTCCAGTTGGACATAGATGGGTTGTTCCCCACAATCGATACCTCTGTGCAAGATATGACGCTCACATTAACGTCGAAATCTGTACTTCTCTGGAAAGCGTCAAATACCTGTACAAGTATGTTTACAAAGGCCACGATCGTGCTGCAGCAGCAATGTATCATGCCGACAATGACAGAAAATGTCAAGCTCCTGACCCGTTTGCGCTTTGGATGCAGTTCCGCCAGCATTTGGCAGAAGACTATATCCATTTTTGGAGCAATCAAAATCAAGACAATGATCATCAAATTGAGCCGCCCCAAATCGTGTACGATCGCGCTTTGCTGGGCATTGAAGAGCATCTGAACCGCCAATCGAGTTCACTGCTGAATTACGATGGCTTTGTTCTTCCTGATCGCAGAAATTGGCAGAAGCACACTTCGCCGTCAGCCCAGACTGGTAAGAGAACAATTCGATCTCATCGCAGACGCTGCCAATGTCCCCAAACACACGAGTACCTAAACCGTTATCAACATGCCGTATACCACGCAATTCTCCAGAGTGTCACGCATGGAAGCAACGAATCAGCCCGATTATTCTTTGTTGATGGTCCTGGTGGAGTCTTTACCCTTATGTTGTTGTTTTTATTATTCCTTTATATTTTACTGTATGTATTTTGTCTTATGCTCCTTTGATTTCATCCTTTGCTATGATTTTTCAAGTTATTCTTCACCTTTATGTTTTACTGTATGCTTTTCGTCCTTATGTTCCTTTTGATTTTATCCTTATGCTATGTTTCCCCAAGTACGATTTTTTCTGTTATCTATTTTTGTCTCTCCATTTAATATTATATCGATGTCTGACTATTTCTGTTCCTAACTTTGTGTACATATTGTTGTTCCTCTGTCGTGGATGAAGAAAATGATCGCTATGTGGCGGTAGGTCAGGGGGGGCAAGACCCCCGGGAAAAAAGCAAAAGAGACTGTACTACTCTGTTGTCCATTGAATACGCAAAGATTTATGCGCACATCAACTAAATCTTACCGAAAAATCAACCGCTTATTGACAAAAGATTAGAGTACCATCAAGCGAGACCTTTGGATACACAAATTCGAGTGCGGAGTTCTGAATATTGCAAATGGAGCATCCCATTCCAAACGCATCTTTAATCAGCTACTATTCCCACTAGCATCAGAGTAACAACAAACTACACATCCAAAGAACCAAACTTTGTGATCTTCAAGATCACACGCGCTACTAGTCTACATAATTAAAATCTTTGGGAAATTAGCGATTTGTAAATCACATGATCTACACTAAGTTATCAGGGCCTGTTAAACCTCTTTTTTTTATCTTTCAACCATGCCTCGCTGCCTACTTCCACAATAATAGGCGAAACAATCAGCAGCAAGATGCCGTCTGCGCCATTTATGGTCAAACAGAGCATCGTCGTCTTTCGAATAAAAATGTGAGTAGAGCTCTTTTTGAAGAAAAGTGGTTGGTGATACGACTGGCGTTCTTCTGTAGCATCATTCAATTTGTTTTTTTTGTCAGTTATACGTATATGTCCTTTCATTCTCTTTCAATTTTCAATGAATCGAATAATACATAAGCAGACGTGCTTCGATCTATGAATTCATGCATCAGTGGGGTGACTATTGTTTCATCCATGGAGAATCATATATTTTTGTCTTCAATCTTATCTTTTTTCTTTTGCTTTTCTCTCTCTCTTTCTGTTTGCTTGATAAACCCTCACTATCATTGTATCAAGATCCCATCCGCATCCATTATCCAGACCATTCTTATCCCGTGTATATAACTTGGTTGAATCGACTACAATCCTCAAAAAGGTAAGCGTCGAGTGGTCCACCATCGATTTTGCTCCGGCAAAACAGACTCACCTCTCCTTTGCTTCCATCCTTCTTCCAGCTTCCGGTTTCCGTTTCTTTTCGCCTGACAAGTTGTGGATGCTACAAGTTGACTTTCTCTCGCCATCCATCCATCCATCCATCCATCTGGCGAAACTGGATGACGTCAAAGGTCATCGTTGGTGGCGTGACTCTCTTTTTCATCAGAAAAACGCTTACGTGTCCTCTTCATGTTCCTCTCCTTTGGATTGCTTCTCATCATATGGTATTCGAGATGTCTTCCCGATTATTGTATTTTTGTTTATAGTTTGTATTTTGTATTTTATATTTCATGTACATATTCTTTTCGCAGTCTTTTCCTCTTTTTTCCCACAGGGTTTTTTATGAGGTTTTTACTGACGCGACCATTGTTTTTTTTTTATCATCATGTACTTTATTTGTTTTTCTTTCTTTTCATTCGAGGGACTCTCGATATCTGGAATCCAACTCGAAATTACCGTCACTTCTGGCCACGTCAATATTTTTTGCCTGCTCAAGCTGACACCACCGATCCATCGCTTAACCGTCCCTGGACGCAACTTTATTGTCCGCATCGAAGAAGCTTGCCTCTGGTCCGTATTTATCTGTTTTTTTTGTCCGGTTTACCATTTGGTTCAAAGGCAAGTCCAATTTCTTTTTCTTTGCTATGATGTAATGAACGTATACTAATTCAAAGTTTTTCAATGTCATATAATCCAAGTCATGTCAAGCGACCAATGGCTATTGCAAACTCAAATAACAAAGGTAAAATATCTTGACGAAAATTTGAATCAATCAAAGAGCTTACTAACTCATTTTTTTAAATACCCAACATACCCACACATCTTTCTAGATCTATCATAGCCTGGGCGGGATGGAACTGAGGGGGGGAACCAGTGCTGCCCTGCGCGTGTTCAGAAACAAATCACGTTGCAACGTATGCCATAAGGTTGTCATTAATATACCGAAGTTCCGTCAAGAGTTCTCGCCCAGGTTATGCCGTGTATGCGTTAGGCTTTTTGTCTGACGAAAGTCGCTCAATGTAAGAGGGCGGCATCCATTGCACAGCGGGTGTACGGCTTGTTACTAGTACAAGATCCTTTTATTTACTGAAATGATATGTGACATGATGGGATTCTATTATTCATTCATTTTTTCGCGTGTTTTCTCTGTAACTGAGTCCTCTGCACTGCCATCGATCTCCGGTGTTACATTATCTGCTGCGCCTGCTTCTTCTGCATCAAATAGCACACCATCGTCTGCATTGGAGGCTTGTGCCGTGTCGGAGGGAGTAGGCCGAAGAGAACTACCGCTACCGCTATTGATGTTACTGTTATTGCTATTTGCGCCGGCTGGACTATGGGCTGGCGATTGTTTGTTTGATAGTCGCAGATCGAGCGCTTTGAGAGCCAGGGCTCTAAAATATGAACGTTAAATATTAGCGACGCTCATCTCTGATATCCAGAAAAACTAACCTTCTACGCTCGGCTTCGGCTCTGGCACTTCCGGGAAGGGGAATTGTTCCTGGTCGAACCCCTGTCTGCCCTTCAAGATCGTAGGCGAAATTTCGCGCCATAGGTTTACAGCATCGCAAAGCTACCAAAATACCAAAGACGGTATTTGAAATAACTCGAATGATAGGGCTAGACAATGATTAAATTTCAATTCATATTGCTTTTGCCGCCCCACGGATGCTTACTGTAGAAATTCAGGGAAGAAAGTGGTAATCGCAAATGTCTCGCTTCGGTCACCTTGCACTCCATTTTGATATTTAAAGAATCGAATATACACCCAGCCAATGACCCAGCCGATGTTGACGAGGTTGTAGAACACCAATGCGTTGAAAAATAAGAGACCGATGATGCTTGCTGCAGTTGCAAGCCCCAGAAGATTCTATATAAAGCACGGATTTTAGCGAATGCTGAGACCTATCTTTGGAACAATTTATCTCAATTAGTTACCTTTACACGAATCGATATTAATCCACCCATAAATGCGATTCTGTGTTCGGGGATAAGGTGCTTGAAGGCTACAAGGAACGCCGAGAATATACCACTCATACCATTGATCTGCGTGTTAAATCTACCATATCATCAATAACACCAATCTGCAGATGCTTTTTTTTTCATGACCACTCACAAAAATCGCTCATCACCAGAGATATAGTAGGTTATCATGATACCGAACCACGTTACGATGTTCGAGAGAGCAGCGACCAATAAAATATACTTTAACAGTTCTCTGCTTCCCCAAGCACGTTCCAGATATTTGCCACACAATAGTAGCACAACTGTACCAAGTATAAGCTATCACAAAAACGGTAAGATGTTGAGATCTTGTACAATAGGTATGACTGTCATTGTACCGTGAAAACATTATCTTCGTAAAAAGCTGCGGTAAGAATGGTCCAAGGAGCATAATAGACCCTATTATTAATTAGAGTCGCATTAGTGCCTTCAGCATACGATCATAAGTTCGTCAGAAAGGACTTACATTCCAGGGACAAGACCGATCAGCGGGCAAATGTTGGGAATCGTCGCTTCAGGCACAGCATTCAGCTGCTGGCGATAGATATAAACGTACGATGCTCCAGAGAGCAGCACGACTGAGGTCACCAACGCCTTGGTCAATGACGGAACATTCGATAGGCTAGCTTTTAGCGCTTGAGCAGCCGTCATGATTAGCACAATCAACCAGAATAACCTCTTTGGTGAGCGCTGAATCACGGCTCTTTTGGCCTTTGAGGTCACGTGAATTTCCTTTTTCAGCCAAATTAGCATTGGTTATTTTCAGTGAGCAATGCAGTTTGACGCAGAGACAAGAACAAAGACACATACTTCACAGAAATTAAATGAATAACAGCAAGTAGCGAGAATCTCTATAGAAGCACAACTATCACTTTTTGTAATCTCTTTTGTCAAATCGAGATCGAAGGCATGTTGTTTAATAACGGTGGGCTTGTGCAACTATGAAAATGTGTATGGAAGAAGGGCAATATTGCTGGCGGAAAGTTTTCTTCGAAAGGCTGATACATTTTGCGAGAAGCGTTCCCGATCTCTCGAGCTTAGCGTCCAGTTAATACCCTCCATCAGATTATTTAATGCCTAGAAATAATGAAACGTAGGAACAATGAGGCATATTGTGCTGTGTTGAGGCATAAAATCAAATGTAAAGATTCGCTTACCGTAGTGAGGAATTCACGGCGTTCCGGCAATTGTCGGTTAATAACCTCGGTCGTATATTCCACCACTCGCTAAGCAAGAGATGTATTGAGCTAGACCTTTTTCCACCATCACTCCCTTCCTACGTGTTTACTTACATCTTTTTGCAGCAACATCAGTGCATACAACGGACGTGACAATTGCCATGGATCGATCGTCTCCTCAAAGAGCACCAATCCAAAAATACTCGTAAACAATGTGAGAAGCACTTGAGGATATTGGCTAAGGTACCCCAATAGCCAGTGACTCCCGGGACTTGAAGTAGAAGAACGTCGGCTTGCAGTGGATACCTCGGACGCATCGCTGCTTGTCGATGCTCGTCTCATCAAATCGATTTTCTCTGTCTCCTGAATCACGTAAGTGCAAATGTGATTGATGATAGAACATGCATGCGATCGGATCCAGGTTTCCTCGGACTGAACACCTTGTTCGCAAGCTTGCATTATATATAAAAAGGTTTCCACAGCCAGTGAAGGTAGTTCCGTGAATTGCTCGTGCACAAGGTAATCCATCATGCTAAAGAAGGACCGCGTCAATTTTGGAAAACCCTAAAAGAAAAACGCATGATTAAAACGGATAGCTTGTGTTGTCATTGTGTGGTTGATGATTACTAACCATGAGATCGTCTATTGGAATGCTTAGCATCATTCGGAACACTATATCGAACGCCTCATTGATTGCTTTATCACCGTATAGCCAGAAAACCCCAAAGTTAATATAGCGACCTCCTAGACATCTTCCAAACGTTGAAAAGCATATAGATATGCCCTTGTATCTGATGATATGGTTAGTATTTTTCGTTGAATCGTCTTCGGGTAAACGTTAAAAAGTTACTTGTAAGCATATTTCTGGTTATCCGCCTCAATGGTTTGTTCAAGCACGTGGCGACCTAATGCTTCATCAACCAAGTGAAATTTGGAATACGATACAGCAGATGAACCTACCATACGTGGATATGATTTGGCTCATATCGCGGAATATGAGTATGCCATTGGGTGAGGAAATTTCAAAATGCAGCCTCTGGTTTTTGTTTTGTACAAATTCAGCAAAGAATCTTAACAGAACATTAGCAATTGGATTCGGCGACCAAGCTTCCAAAGCTCGAAACACGATAGGCATATATTCCGGATAAAACCATTCGAAAAATAATAAAAAGTTTTGTCGAGTCTGAATGGCTGATAGAAAACCCCGAAGATCTCTGAATACGTCCTGTAAAGTTATCTTCGCAGTCATCTATTAGTTGCTAGCACTTCTTTGGGAACCAAAATATCATATGCCTTACTCGCACAGATTCTTGTCGAAAGGCATCCGCCGAATTTAGTAACAAAAGAGGCTGCAGTCGCAAATCGAAGGGTCGCATAAATTCGTAAAATTCTCGCTGACAGTTGTCATCCGTGAACAGAATTTTGCACAACACTTCATAGTACAACATTCGGTTCTGACGATGCTTCTCATTTCCAGCAAAAGCAAAATCACTCGACATATGATTCTGAAGCACCAACTGGGTCGTCTGCAGCTTGCGAATATTTCGTAAAGCGCTGAAGCTTATAATAAAATTTAAAATCACATACCCATACGTTCATTACCGGAAATACACAACTTACCCACTGGCCAGTTCATTGAATAGCTGCAGCGTACGGTAAATTACGTGCACGTCGTGACGCCAGATTTGCAAGTTATTCACACTGTATCATCTTTACCTCAGTTGTACATTCCATACATGAAAAAACTAATTCGCTTACATTTTTCGCATGATAATTTCGAGCATGAGCCCTTGATCCCTGATCCCGTATACTTCCGTCAAACTGTTATAAACCTATTACTGCATATTTAGTGGATCTATCATATCATCTATCGGGCTCGAGATACTGACCGCATTACTGCCGGAATCCCCAATATATGATTTGCGGAACTGTTCGAAAAAATAAATAAACGCGATGTCAAGTTTTGCATTCAGAAAATCCAGGTTTGGCCGATTTTGCAATGCTTGATAAACGTCCATAAGTTGAAGTACTTTTGTAGCCAATTCTCCATCAATGGCATCCAGATCATCAGCGCTCAGAAAAGCCTACAGATAGTTCATCGTATTAGCGATCCGTATTCCGAATTTCATTCCAAAAAATTAATAAAAAGAGACTGCTTACAGGTCGATTGCCCATAAAAGTAGCAATAGCATATACAAGCCAAGTAAACTGTGTTTCCAGTATTTCCACGGTACTTCGCAATTCTTCGTCACTTATTAAACTGGAATTCGCTCGATTAATAACTTCCTATTGTCAGTTAAAAATGAGTAAGATCGTTTTTTGTCTCGTCAGTGAATAAGTACCTGATATTGGATGGCAACGGGTTCCAAGATGGCAATAAGAGTTTGGCTAGAGTCTTGATAATTGCAACGGGCAATTTGACCAAGCATCATCATTGATTCTATCAATGCATCTTCATTTTCAAGAGGATCTGCAAATATCCTGCCGTGGTGAGATATTTCGGTATGATGGATCAAGTTGTATGCACCTTACCATCCAACATCTCTTCGATGCGAACAGGGACCGCCTCCACATTAGCCGTGAGATAAGCATGAGTAATTTCTACCGAAATATGCTCCAATTTGAGGATATTCTTTTCTCCCAGTTGCTGGTAATAGGCCATTGTCTGTGCGATCCGTGACCAAAATCCTAGCAAGTAAGGTGCGGTGTTCAGACCCCACTTCGGATAAAAGCCGCATGTCAAAAAAAATATTGCCTATCCGCAGCCTCGTATCCGTAAATTTACCTTCCACGCTTGGAAAGCTTTGACTGTGAACTGTGCAATCAGTTCGATCCACTCCGCATAGCCCGCCTTTTCGGTTATTTCGGTAAGCGGAGCTGCCGCCCGAAAACGATATAACAGTCGGCAAAATTCATTGTAATTATCCGTATCGGCCATGCCTTCAGAGGTGATAATGATGTCGCGAATTCCTTGCATCATCCGTGACACAAATTTTGAACGCTCAGCATCGCTGCTGAACAAGCCCTTTCTTGTAGACGCTATCAATACCAAGCATTCCAACACCTTTTTTGATGGTGTGAGTGATTCGGTTGGTAATCCTTTCGAAAATAGACGTCCGCCACTCACTTGCGCAGTATGAGGCTGCGAAAACTCGCGATAGGCTCTGAAGAAAGTGTCGACAAAGTTCTCTCTTTCGTAAATGGGACGCCAAGATGCGGGTATCTGCCAACATCACTTATAAACTGGAATACAACTCTGCTGGCAGGGCAAATCATACCTGTACGGTGCCTATGTCTTCTCCTGCTTCATCCAAATTGGTACCGGTGAAATCATACGACAGACATTCAATGAGGACCTTTAATGTGGCGTCTTTCATTTTATTTTCCTGATCCGCTAGTGCAATGACATGTACATTAGTTTCTCGTCGTTTCACTCTGCAAGAATGCTGCAATGAACCTTGTTCGAAAAGGAAACTCCGAAGAGTTAGATTGTTAAAGATGTCAATCGCCAGTTCAAAAAAGCCCAGTAACTGTGAATCACGGAAACCCGCCGCTTTTGCATCATGGTGAGCTTTCCTCAAATGTGTGCTTATTCACAGTTTTTTTTTTTTTTATTTACCTGCTTTTCTGAAATTGGCGGTGTTACGTGGTGCAGATGTAGCATTCATATCGTGAATGATACCAGCAAGTAATTGCATGCCGACGATCCGGTGATCCATCGATGACTACATATAGAGTAAAAAAGTCGGCAAGTTCCCATACATGTGGAGGAATTGGTCTTACCTGAAGAAACTGATTGATATCTGTCCGTATGTCTTGGTACTCTTCGACTTCGAGCCAACCTAATCGAGTCAACAAAGTCAAGATGCTGGCCATTTGAGATACAATAAACGGCTGTAGATCAGGGTGCATGAATGCATATTCCAGAAGAAAGGAACCTATAATATGTACAAATGATATATCAGCCATCGCTTTCCATACTGAGCGGCTTGAAACTTACGTAGCTGTAGCTTGGTATCAGTGGAAAAAATTGAGAACTGCGAGGAGACAAGTTGCTTGAGCCGAGATAAGCAAAACGTTTGAACGTATGGGTTGGGCGAGTTCTCCAATAAAATTCGAAGAGCTGAAGCAGTGTCAGTAGGTGTGACAATGGTAAAGAGAGGACAATTCTCCAGTTCTGCAGGTTTGGCGAGGGCAGAAGCAATGCCATTGCCAGCTTCATCAGCAAATGTAGGAAAGGAATATTCGAGCAACTTCTGTACTTGCTCGCGTTCATTCGGCGATTTTGGATTGTACAATTGCTCACACAGAGTAGCATAGTATATGATTTGTTCTTCTTGAGCCATCTTACTTATAACAACAGAGGAGAAAACGAGTGTTAGGTAGGCTGACAGTCTGTCCTGCCAGTACACTTTTATTGGTTGAAAAGAAAGGCGTGTGACCTGCAGAAAGCAAATCAGAAGAAATTGAAGCCCAGAGCTGCGTTATTTCGCGGCATGAATATGATAATACGTTCAAGACTGGACAGAGATTCATACTACTACAACATGTTTTGCTTTTGCACTTTTGTATATAATATTTCGTTATGCGATAACAGGAACAAAAGCCATTGCTAATCAGATGCTTACTGACTGTCGCTTTCTGAAATTCCGACCCGTTGTTCAAAAGCGACGCATTATCCAATCCAGTTGTGTCTATCTGTTGTTTTGGCAGAGCGAGGAAATAAGCGATATATCGCACAAGCAAAACTTTTTCTCTAATATCAGGTGATTCGATGAATGTAACGAGCGAATATGGTAATTACTACCCGTTGTCTTTTATCAGCTCAGTTAACACCTGTATTTGTAGGAAAATCATGCAATATAAAGAGTGAAATTTGGTTTGACAACAGTTCCTCTTGTCTTTGGATAACAGTGACTTCTTCTATCGTTGCATTGATACGAGTTAAAGATGAAGCTTAGATGATCATGGCTTCCAAGACGTCTGGCAAACTAGATTGGCTGTTCACTTGCTCTATTAGTCAATAGAGACTATGATAACAACTTGATAGGGTTTAAGATTGTTTCAAGAGGACCTTTATTACAGAGATTTGAATATGCCGGTTCATGCATTGACTATCCATAAATGGCCATCAATAATAATGCCAATACGTTCCTGAGTATTGATGACATGATATCCCCACTGCAATCGCAAAGTTAAGTATTTCACAGAGTCGAATGTATCAATGTGAGCTTGGACTTGCCAAAGAAGGAGAGAATTCCAAAGCTGGGGGCCGCATCTTTGCCGAAACCGTTTCAGGAATAAAACCAGAATAAGAAATCACCTTCCCGAATGGTGAGCCTCGCTTATCACAATCATAGTTCTGCAAATCAATTTACGATCGTCAATTCGGTACCACCGTTCAGGATCTTGATAACATCTATTTTGAGTAAACATCCGGCTATCACAAAAGATGGAAATTCAAACGACGCCCGAATCAAAAACTTGACCAATTCAAAGTATTGTGATTAGGATTTCCTTGAGCAGCAGATCATGCATGCCATTGTGCATAGAGTACGGTGGTAAAAGACTTGCACGGAGCAGCTCATGTGTTTCTCCAAAGGATTCTTCCGGTCCCACACTCTTTAGATCGGTCGCTGAGTTGCAAACGAGTCATAAAGTTCTCCACAAATTGACAGTCAGCCGGAAATCTTTCATTGGGCTCTCCGTTTCCCCAGACAGAAAATTTAGCTCTCTTTTTCTTAACCATGTCGGAAGCTGCTCCTAAGCGTGAGTGAATTTTTTTCCATATCCCACATCAATAGACTTATGTATTAACCTTTTCTTAGCTTTGCCTTTTGGATATCAGTTCTTGTGTGGCGCCGTTGCTGGCGTCTCCGAGATTCTTGCGATGTACCCCTTGGACGGTAAGTATTGGCGGCATTGAGGCAGTGTCACGAACCTGAGTCTGACATTCCAAACCCTAGTCGTTAAGACACGATCTCAATTGAGCACCGGTGCCAAGGTTGGCGTTGTTGAAACCTTCAAGAACATTATCAAAACCGAAGGGTAAGCTTGAGAACGGGTGGTTTATGGTAATTTTCAAGCTTTCATTAACACGAAAAAAATCTTGTGTTCAATTGAAAAATAGTGTTGGAGCTCTTTACCGTGGTATTGCCGCTCCCATTCTCGTTGAGGCTCCTAAGCGTGCTACCAAATTTGCTGCCAACGAGCAATATACGGCTTTGTACAAGAACTTGCTTGGTCTTGATAAAGTGACTCAGTCTTTGGCTATCTGTACCGGTATCAGTGCAGGTATTACCGAAGCTTTCCTCATTGTGCCTTTTGAACTTGTCAAAATCCGCATGCAAGACAAGGCCAACAAGTTGAAGTATTCTAGCGCCAACGATGCTTTGGTCAAGATCATGAAGCAGGAGGGTCCTTTGGCCTTGTACACTGGTCTGGAGGCTACAGTTTGGCGTCACGCTACCTGGAACGGTGGCTACTTTGGTGTGATCTTTACTGTCAAGGGCTTGCTTCCCAAGGCGCAGGTACGTTGACATTAACAGGGAATGAAGGATTCGGTTTGATTAACAGGAAGGAAAAAACATTGGTAGACCAAGAACGAACAGCTTGGTTTGAACTTTGTTGCTGGTACCGTTGGTGGCATTGCCGGTACCGCTATTAACACCCCATACGATGTCGTGAAGACCCGTATTCAAGGCTACATGGGTGTTGGTCCCAAGAAATACAACTGGACTATTCCCGCCATTGTCACCATCGCAAAGGAAGAAGGGTAAGTTCGGGGAATGCAATTCTGGCAAAAACGATTTATTAGACTTACATGCGTCAACTTTGTCCTATTAGTGTTGCAAGCTTGTACCGAGGCTTCTTACCTAAAGTTCTTCGTCTTGGCCCTGGGTAAGTTATTTATTGACATTATGGGGAATCCCCAGTAATAATTTTCTGATCGTGTTTCGCAATAGTGGCGGTATTCTGTTGGTGGTCTTTGAAACTCTGTCGAGCTTCATTCGCCGCAACGTCCTCAAAGAAGAATAAGCATTCATACATAGATTATTAATTTTTTTCTTTTCATTCAAATGAATATCGAGCTGGTCATTGCTGCTGCTGCAACGCGCAACGCAGTTCCCATGTCAAACAAACACAACAGCAATAAATCTACACTCCGATAGACTAATTCCTGGGTTATGTTGTTTTTTACGCGAGCGATGTCGTAGACTTTACAGTTTAACAACGCCAGATCGTAATACTCGAGGAAAAGCCGCATTGTATTTGCATTTGATTCTACGATGTACTTCTGAACGGCTCTTTGATGATGGAGGAGAATTCGGTATCAATACGTGGTTTAGGTGTTGGTGCGAAAGATGGTCAAGATCAGAAATGTCGCTGTTTTAATTATGGATAATGACAGTTGTGTGAATAAAGATGTGGTTGGTTTTTGTTCAATACAGGTAGGAGATAAGGGAAGCTTGAAAATAGACAGGCTGTACAACTAAAAGATAAACTCTATCATGCGTCCTATATTTTTGTTATAAATTAAGAGCTGGTAATGCTCAGTTCGTCCAAAACTGGAATGATAAAGAGGTCCGATTTTTCCCTTGAAAACCGGAAAAACCCATCAGGGGTAGGCCAGTCCAGATAACCATTCCCGCCGTAACACATGATCTTCGTCATACAATAAAAAAAATAAGCTCTTGCCCATTGTTGTTTTCAAGAACATGCTCTTCGTATTACTACTTTAGGAACACTGCGATAATCAGAAATCATACGACAGCCATCTGAGGATACATGCCTGAAATGGCATTCATGAGCGCGTGATAGGGCGGGGATTGAATTTGCCCCGCGAAAAATCAGTCGGAAGATGGATGACAGCTCGATGAGTCTATTTGTCTCTGTTTGTCTTTTTTTTTTTTTTTCTTGAAAAGCAAAACATCATATACCACAAGCTTTTCCATCAATTAACAACGGATTGTCAATAGCAAAAACTTTGACTGCTCTGTGATGTTATGATGAATGTCATCACATAGAGAGGAGATAACATGGTCGCTGTGAATAAAATGGCGGGTCTCTGTCCAAGTTCAAACAAATCAGTTCAATATCAAAGACTTCTTCTGGTATTCTGAGATAGCACTTGATTTACATTAACTGGGCCAATCAGCCAAAAAGCTGTGGTATTATTATTCTATCTGATACCTGCTACTGTCATCCTTCAACTGTGCCACTGAAGAAGATAGGCTTGAACAATAAACGGTCATAATTTTTTCAACTCATTTGCTGGCAGCGTATAATTGCCCTTTCTACAGCAAGTCCAATTGCGCGAGTAAAAAGCATCGATAAATTACCAACGTACGTGTTGGATAAAGCAAGATTTTTACAGATTAACAAATGCGTGCACAAACAATGGGCTTTGTAGAGCGATGGGATTCGGTCGTGCTGTTTTCGTTTTCTATTTCACATGGGAACGACTGGTGTCACGAACATTGGGCAAATTTGTTTGATGCTGACCCATCCTTTCCAATTTTCATACTCCGTCACCCTTTTTCTTCCCCAAATGCCCACTGAACCCACTAAACAACAGCGTGAGGACGATTCAGATATCGATGACTTGTTGGACGGTATGTATTATTCGTTGGTTCCGTATGCTATCGCACTAGAATATGGATTGACTCGATATTCTCCCCTGGAATATTTAAAGATGTCCTGGATGACCTCAACGATCTCTCCACCGCTGAAAAACCAGCAGCACCGCCTGTGAATCAACATAAAACAACTGTAGCTGATGTACCCGAGGAAGGATTGGACGATATGCTCGATAGCGAAGAATTCTCAAAGCAGTTGGCAGCAGGCATGGAAGAGCTCATGGGCCAGTTTGGTCAAGATGAGAACATGATGGAGGCTTTCGAGAAAGTGTGGAAGTCGTTGGATGCAGAGAATCTGACAGGGGCAGCAACTGATGCGGAATCTTCGAGTCAAACCGCTAGAGATATAAATGACACAACGGGCTCCAAACCATCCGCAAAATCCTTCCAGGATACAATTGCCCAGACGATGGATAAACTCAAAGACAGTTCCAAACAAGTGGATGTAAGTTGGTTCTTCTATTTTCATTTCAAGATCGACAAGAGGGAACCATGATCTCACAATCACCAATATCAGTCATCCATGGCTGAAGAAAATGAGGACGCATTTATGGCCGAATTGATGAAGCAAATGGAGTCGCTCACAGATGGTGGCGAGTTCGAAAACGTACTGGAGGGTATGATGTCACAATTGATGTCCAAGGAAATGCTGTATGAGCCGATGAAAGAAATGGCACAAAAGGTAGGAATGAAGTTCAAGCATTAATTTCACATGCATTTTTCTAATATGGGCTCGCTTAGTACCCTGAATGGTTGGCAGAGAACAAAGACAAGATTACCCAAGCTGAGTATGAGGATTATTTGAAACAACTGGACGTTTGCAAGCAGATCGTGGCCAGATACGAAGACCCAAAATTTGATGAGAAGAATGAAGACCAAGCAAAAGGAATTATGGAACTAATGACAAAAATGCAAGACCTTGGTCAACCACCAGCGTCCTTATTAGAGCAAATGGCACCCGGCATGGGGTTGGGAAACGGTGAAGGCATGCCCGATCCGAAAGATCTTGAGAACTGCAACATGATGTAATATAAAGAGTTAAAAAAAAGAAAATAAAATCGAATACCTACAGTATATCTAATGAAAAGGGGTTATTTTTTTTTCTTTAATGCACGCGAAAGAAGGGAAAAAAAAAGATGGGATGTAAAATAAGTTGTTGAATCTATAGAAAAATGCGAATGTCTATTCTCTCGAAATGTCACGACCCAAAGCCGTCTTCTTCAACCAATCTGTGATGACAAGTGCGCGGTTACGTCCCGAGAACAAGTTGGAAACATAAGCGGAACGCCAGAAAGCGTAAGTGGCTAAAAGAACGAGATTGTATCAATATCATGCTGTTTGTCATTGCGAGCCGTAATTAATACGTACCAACACCACCGGAGGCCAAGTTGCCTTGACCAAAAGGCAAATCAGCAATGGCTTTGTCGGAGCCGATGTAACTGTGGAAAAAAGGAGTGTTATAATTTTCTACATTTAGGCATGCAAAGGTCTTAAATCGATGATACGTACCACAGGGATCCTTGATGAGAGTAATGGAAGGGCTTGATGTCTTTCACCTTTTGCAATTTGCGCTCCTTCTTCTGCTTCTCATCCAAAGTCGTTGCTTGCTCAATCTCCGATTCCAAATTTTCTCGTGCGGCCAACAGTTGGAAAACGCGTGCCAAATATTTGCCCTGCTGGGCAGCGACCTGAGCGGTAGGGGCGTATTTGGTGGCAGTAGCATCACCCACGGCAAAGATATCCTCACTGCCCTTGAGACGCAACCAGTCGTCCACAGTCAATCCTCGGCGAATGGTCTGAGTCTCGGGGAACTTCTCCATCAGATTGCGAATCAGAGGTCGAGAAGTGTTACCCGTGGCCCACACTAACAAACCATAGGGAATGGTATCTGCAACACCGTCAGGGCGTTGAACAACGATTTCCTTTTCACGAACTTCCTTGACCATGGTCTTGGTGTGAATCGTGATGTTTTGTTCCTTGAAAGTGGATTCGGTGTAATCGATCAACTGCTTGGAGAACGCCGGCAATACATTCGGCAAAGCTTCCACCAATGTAATCTTGACCTTACCAGCCAATTCTAGCAGAAGACAACAACAAATTTCATCGTCAGCCAAACGTCAACTTTTAAGAAAAATCGCCATGTTATATTATCTCACCAGGATACCAGGCTGTAAGATCATCCATCAAGAAATCATGCAATTCAGCAGCATATTCGATACCGGTAGGCCCACCACCGACGACGACCATATGCAACAAGCGGTCAATTTCCTCGGAGGATTGGCCAGGGAAAGCAGCCGTTTCAATACAGTCCATCAACTTGGTTCGGATTCTTTGCGCATCCCACACTTCCTTGAGGAAACAACCGTATTGCTCCACACCCTTGATACCAAAAGTCTGGTTAGTGGCACCCACACCAATCACCAAGTAATCGTAGGGCAAGGTGCTGATCTCTTGCGATCCCTTGACTTCGGAGTTATCAATGATGGTGATTTCCTTCTTCTCGGGATCGATTTCGGTACACTCAGCCTCATACACCTTGACAACGCGAGACTTGTGACGAGTGATGAATCGCACAGGTTCGACAATGGAACGCACGTCAACCGTACCGACAGTGCAGCTTGGCAACAAAGGAGTGAATAAGAAATAATTTCTCGGTGATACGACAACCTAAAAAAAAGGCACCGCACGAAAAAAAATTAATTTCATCATATGCATGTCTCCACCATTACACAAACACCATCTGCATGGCACGTTATACCTACCACATTATACTGATCGGTATCAATAGCCTTTAAAAATGATGTCGATGCCCAACCGCTACCGAGAACAACAATTGTCTTCTTGGCAGGATCGATCTCGTCCTGAGTCGTGGGATGACGGTGCTCCCACATGGCTAATGTTTGCCATTTGACATTAGCAAACCGGATTTCCTGACCTTTTTTTTTCCCCAAGGAATGAAACACTTACCATAACTTCCATACGCAATAGCACCCACTGTTCCGACTTTCAAGCCGGTCTTCACCATTCTCCATTTGGAATATTTTTTAGGGGCAGCTGCCACCGTGCTCGCCAAACGTCTCTGTTGTTGACTGGCGGCGATCGCGGAAGAACGGACAACAGCACGGCTGGTCCAAACTAAAGAGGCATTGTTACATCGTCATCATTTTTTAGTTTCCCTTTGTCCGCGACAGACTGTACCTCGTAATGGACTGATTCGAGATGCAGCTTGCATAAGGGGAGAAGAAGTTTGATTGGAAACAAAAGAGATATGAAGAACGGGAAAAACGCGAGAGCAGAAAAAAAAGGGAAAAAGGACGGGAACGAGCGGGGTAGCAAATAGAGATAGGCGGGGATCCAAGACCGATGAACCTTTTGACAAAACATGAATTGCCCAGGGGCGAATGCCCATATGATAACAACCAACGTGGCTTATGATTCTGTTCCTAAAAAGGAAATCCGTTGCCCGATCAAGACCGTGATTTCAGCTGATGATGGTCAGACAATTCCTCCAGCCAGCCAATCACATTTCTGGATGATTAATCTTCTGCGCAAAACGTCGGTGCTTGACCGAAAATAGGGAGGGAATTCAGGATTGTATCGCCGAGAAGAGAACATTATCACGGATGTTCATAACAATGTCATCATACTTCCCGTCAGATGACAACTGGCACTTTAGGCGCACAGTAACTTGTTCATGAAACAAGCGCACGGTGTCTACTGCATCCGATGAGAACGACTTGGTTTCATGCCGCATTTTCACAATACGGGAGGTCACCGTATATACAAATAAGGGAAGTGGCAAAAAAAAAAAAAAATTGGGACTTCATATTCAAGTGGGGGAGGGATTTCCCGATGCAGCTGTATCAAGATAATAGTCGGTTTCAGACATGAGCGGATATCAGATGGCGGGCAAAACCAACGCAAATTTTTTTAAACCATCGTCAGTCTGAAAGGTATCAATCAAAGCATTTCCTTGTCAGTTCTTTCTTAATACGCCTATTTATGTCAATGTTTACGCAAGTTAAATGGTGCATGCACGTTTTTGTTTACGGGGATGGGTATCAACCTAGGCATTCTTCCTGATGTGGTTGAACGGAACATTCTCTTTTTTGCAAGGGACTAACGGTCCAAACTTTATGTCATCGACCGTAACATTTGCTGCTCTGAAAAGATTCTTTGTAGACAAATGACTTTGAATTCGGACACATTTGTATAAAGTGATATTGATCGAAGAAAAGTAGAAGCCGTGGCTCCTTTCTCAACAAAGGGGAATTTTGAAGCTGAAGATTCATATGGCACGAAACAGAACAGGTTTCACAAAAGTCAACAACCGAGATTACCACAACCATGTGTCATGAAAAAAAAAAAAAAAAATTCTTTATCCCCAACTTTATATTCTGATCTTCCTACTGTAGTTTAGAAGCCACTGTCGGTGCTGATTTCAAAATAATTCACGATCTCAGTAACTATGATAGTCCCCCTGATAATGCAACTAAAACTGTCCTGAAAGCTTGTTTATTCAAGATGAAGTTGAATTTTTCTTAAAATGATAGATATGTCAGGTTTATTCATGAGTTAAATATATTACAAAATGGTACAAAAAAAAGCAAAATTTGGAAGTGAATGAATTTATCGGGATTTCTTGTTTTCGGTGACAGGGTCTTCGACCATCAGCTCCATACCATTCTTCAAGACACCGACACGCATGCTTGTCAAAAGATTGCGTGCGCCATTGGAATGGTTGTAGACACCTCCGTTGAAAGACGTAGTCACGTCTTTGCCAATACCAGCGGTAATATACTTGTCACCTCCAGGATGATCAAGGTGCTCCACATCGTACAAGATACCTTCAATAAGAATCCATTGCTTGTTGTGTTTGTTGACCAATGTTTGGAATTCTTCCCAAGTGTAGATCGGAAGATCCTTCAACGGGGTACCATAGGTTAATTGACGCTTCTCAGCCAATAACTTCTTTTCAGCCATTTGGATCTGGCCCTTCTTGATTTCGTTGCTGGGGAATTTCTTGAGATCGTATGTCAAACCGAAGAGCGACAATCCCTTGATAAGCCATTTGGTAGGATCGTATTGATAGAACTTGATAGCGTTACGGTAATCCTGGGGGAATTCGTGATGGAAGTTGTGGTAACCTTCACCGCATGTCACCAAAGCAGTAATCCAATGGTCACGGGGCGTATGGAAATCATCAAATGTTTGTTCACCCAAGAAATGAGCAAGTGAGTTGACACAAAATGTAGCATGATGGATGGCAACAAGACGAATAACACCACCGTAAAAAAATCCTCCCTGTAATGGTAAAAATTCAAATGATTAGTTATTGCAGGCCAGAGGATCATTGAAGCAATAAAAGAACACTTACTCTGAAGTCATCCCACAACAAACCGGCTACCAAGGTGGGGAACAGGAAAGCCATACCAAAGGCAAAGAACAAGTAGTACTTGTGTTGGAATTTGATAATGGGATCAGCCTTAAGATCAGCGACATCAGCATAACCAATGCGAGTGTTGGGACGATTCACAAGCATCCAGCCAAAGTGGGAAAAGAAAAAGCCACGGGGAGCGGCATAGGGGTCCTTATCAGAGTCTGTCCATCTAAACGTTACAATTGAGTTAGTTTTTGTCAACACATTATGATACCAACAGAAAAAGGGCAGGAAAGCTTACCGGTGATGAGCTCGATGGCCGCGAGACCACCATCGAATCGAGCCTTGAAAGGCACCACTACCTGCAAGGCACAAAAGCCATTTCACAGGAAGTGTAGCTTGATATGAGCGGTGAGCCCACAGACGATGATAGCCTAAAAATACGAAATTATAAACACGCCTTTTCATCTTTCAATGTGAGTGTTCATTTCAGCCTACTGTACCTGCTGTAATACCGAGGCCAGTAACGAAATAATAAATGATGGAAAAAATCAAAGTCTTGGTCTTCAATTCGGTGGTGAAGGCTCCATAGAGACCAATGAGAGGAGTACTGAGCAACAAGATGCTTTGTGGCCAGTTGACGTGCTTATGAAAATTGGTCAAAGTGGTCGGCTCGTCAAACAGGGGAGGCATGTTAGTTGTCAGGACAGGCTCCTTTCGCGATTCCGATCGCGTATAGGCATACACAATTTCTGCCTCTGTCGTAGTAGTGGTAGACATTTTTTGTTTTTTACTTCACTGTCAATGAAAGTGAAAGAAACAGTTGATTCATTCAGCGGAGGGAATGCCATGCCCTTTTTAAATGAATGTCGAGATCCCATGAACAATTGTTGGGATAGTGGGGGGAACCGGTTGGGGTTCGCGGTGCATCACCGAGCCAATAATATGAAGAAGAACGTATGTCTCGTTTGATATCGGTGAACCATGTCCTACTGGTCTTTATTTTTTTCACAAGGCAATTACCAAGATACCATTCTATCCCTTTTTCTTTGCTGGCTACAATACGCCGTGTATTAACTATTGATATATTTTCTAATAGTCATTGCCTATCTTTTTCACGTAATTTCAATGATAATGTAGTGTAAATGTGGATACTTTCATTTTATTGTTGGGATAATGTTTCAAAAGATTTTTTTCTTTCTAAATGGAAATGGTGTGATCAAAATTTCGAAAATTGGATGATAAAAAGGAAAAAAAAAAAGTCAGATTTCACTGCTGCAAAAGCTCCGCGCAGATCACTTTGATGAATTTTTTTTTTCGATCCGCCAAGCCGTTGCCCAACTTCTCAACGATTGGGGTCTTTGCACGTTTTTTGGAATCCAGTGACAAAAGTTGTTTCTGATTTTTTTTCAAAGTGAATTCTCAATGAAGATTGTTGGGAAAACTTATATATCAGATGGAAAATTGAAAAATAAACCCCAGACCTCTTTATGGTATCGGGGCCATTGCTGGTTTTTTTTATTACCGATTGCTGACACATCTCTGCGCACGGATAAATTGCAATGAAATCATTTCTACCGTGAATGCCTTTTGCCCAGTGGAACAGTGGACATTAATGCACACAAACACTCAAGGTTACACCTTGCTATTTTTGGACAAAAGAAGACCATCCATCACCAAAAAGGCGACTCGTTTTTTATGCTCTTCTGGGATAGTCTTATTCATCAAACGTTGATACTTCTGGTAAACACAGAAGCTTGAACTAAACTATCAAAAGTATAGCGCAAGGGTACCATCATATTGGAATTAGTTATTCCTTTTTTTAAATGAGGACTTGTCTAGAAGGATTCTACCAAGTCACTCTACTGACAACCAGGCCGAGGTTTGAAATTCCAGAATGTTCAGGTGTCAATCCGCTGCAAAATTTTCGCGGTTCCACAGCTATTCTTAATGTGACTTGTACTGAGAACTAGAAGTAGGGAATATCTTCTTGGTAGACATCAACATCTTGTAGGCATCGGCGATAATCTCATCTCAACATATTTGACCCAAAGATCGAGTTGTTGACTTTTCATCTCTTTTACTTTTCTCGAGCGCGTTTCCGTGAATTTCCTTCCTTTGAAGTTTAGCTAGCGTAATTTTTTCTTAGCTTGTTCAATTTGAGCAAGACTTTGCCATTTGTTTCAGCGACCGCCAGATCTAACCGGATAGTTTGGAAACCCGTACACATCATCACCTGTAAGTAATTGAATTGCGGTTATCAACAATAGTGTACGCTTTTTACCGGCTTAGACGTCAATGGACTGGATTGTGGTGGCACTGTTGCAGCGATATACATTACGTGTAAATCTTCTCAGAACTACTAACGTCTGCAGCATTACCGGGCCGGAGTCATTAAGATTTCCACGATAGCTCATATGCCTACCAACGATTAAGTATATGGAGACCTGAAAATGATCATTAGAGACGCGCACACGATGAATAAGGCATGCGATGGTTATTTAATTCAGTGGCAAGTGTGCAGCCCACAAACCAGCGGAGTAAAGCACCAAAATAACAGAGGGAGCTGCCAAAGTAGAGCCAACAGCAAAAGAAAGAGAGGAGGACTTTTTTTTTTCGTACCGTAAAGAGCGAGAGCCAATAGGTACGAGCATGATGTTATTTGTCGAGCGCTGTCATAGTATACTTTAGAAGTCATGCGTAGTCCGGCCAAAAAAGGCGACATTTTTTTTCCCTTTGAGACATCGGTTTGATGACACGCACAGATCAAGAGAGAAATCCTCAATGCCAAGTCCGCACACTTATTTCGGGCTTGAATTCATTCTCCGCTGCAATCAACTACCACCACATGCATCATTATGACTTCAGACTGATGCAGCCTACCTAAAAGTGTGAACATGATGATGGCATACGCGTTACCGAAAAACCCCAGGAAAATCCTACATAAATCGCAGTGCTGATTGCCATTTCTTGAAACCCTGTTTTCGTTTCTTCCACTCCCTTCACACACACACAGACCATGCTATTGAAGAAGCAGATTCTTTTACTTCCCTCCGCCGTTCTTTGTGTCGCCGTCTTTTTGCAAGGTGCCGTCGCAAGAGGTAAGAGAAAAATCCAATAATCAATGAAATAGGTCCGTGACATAAGAATGATCGTAACATTCCTTTTGTGTGCAGGCGCCGTGGAGGATATCACCAACTGGACCAAAGACCAAGCTGCCGCTTATCTGGACAAATACAATATCGCTTACGATAAATCCTCGGATGACACGTCTTTACTCGATACTGTAAAGCAATACCGTGATGCTGCTGCTTACAATGCGCAGATCTTTGGTGACAAGATTGATCGTTTGCTGGATGGTCTCAAAATCAAGCTCCAAAAGCAGTATAACCTCGCCGACAACAATCTTCAAGGCTTGATGGACGCGCTCCAACACGACTTGCGTCAACTCGAGTTACACAACGAACTTACCAAAGAGCGTGTGAAGCAGTCTTTAGATAAGCTCCATCATCGTGTTGTCAAGCAAAAGTATGTTTCCGAAGCCCAATGGAAGGAGATCGCCAATGATTTGGAATCCTCCTTCGAATCTCAGACCTGGTACCAGAAGTTCTTGGGCAAGCAGCCGACCTTTAGCGGCCAGGATGACGCCTACCACACCTGGTTGAACAGCATCGCAAACCGTCTCGAGAAAAACAAAGATTTGACAAAAGAACAAGTTCAGAGCGTTCTCGACACCGTTCGTGAAGGTGTGACCTCCATCTCCGATGTGTCCAAGGTCGGTAACCCTGCATGGTGGAAGCAGATCCAATCCAAGCTCGAACACAAGGCCAAATTGACCGAAGAACAAGCCAAGTCCGTGGCCACCTCGATCGGCCCCGATATCAATGCCTACAAGATCTTCGCCATGGAATACGCCGGTTACACCTACGATCAATCTCAGCAGATGTTGGCTATCTTCATGGACAAGCTCAAGGAATCTGGCCAGCTTACTCAGCAAAAAATGAACGAAATTATGAAGGGTGTTGAAAACAGCCTGCGTCAATTGTGGCCTGGCGGTATTACCGATCCTACTGAGCACGGTGCTTTCGCTACCATCAAATCGGCTGCTTCCTCCATTACCGCTGACTGGGATGCTTCCAGCAGCTCAGCCGCCTATTCCAGCTCTATCGAATCCGTGAAATCGGCCGCTTCCAGTGACTTTGCTTCCGCTACTGATGTCGCCGGTGCTTCCATTACTTCCGCCATGTCTCATGCCGCTCAAGCCACCAACGACTGGAAGTCTTCCTTTGCTCACAGCTGGCGCGATAAGGAACGCCAGGCTTACAAGAAGATCGGATACACCGAAGCTCACATTGACTGGATCTTCAACTACTTGCATAAGTCCTTCAACGACAAGAAGTCGTTTGCCAAGCACAACGTCGACCGTGTTCTCAATGGTATCCGTGACTATCTCCACAGCGCCAAGGTGCAATCTTCCACTCAAATCGAACATCAAATCAACCACATCGAAAAGATGTTGGAAGCTTTCAAGACCCACTTACCTTACCGTGACGAGTTGTAAAGCCATCGTGCTTTTTATTTCTTTGCCTCCTAAAAATAGCATATGGGGCTAAAACCGATCATTGCAACGTTCTGGATTTAGCTTAGCTAAACATTACATAAGTATGATAACAATTACGCTTACAAGAAAACTTCTGTGAATGTACTTCAATAATCTATTTTCTCAAATTATTCCATTCTTTGTTGCTGTGATTTTTTTTCATATGATTGGATGCCGTTCTCGCTTTTCATTTATTGTTGGGGACTTTTTGATTTTTGCTCTCCACGGGGAAAGAGAATGGGTGTCAAGTACAATGGCGTTTTTATAGAGTTGTACGTTTGTATAATAGTGTAATCTCTGATTCAACAACATTAAGATATTGCTTTTTAAAATGGATTATGCATTCTCGGCAGCTTCCTCTTTCACATCCTCTAGTAAATTGCTGCTTCCAGCACTACTGACGACACTGATGCGGTTGCTGGAAGAGGGTGATTCTTTGTCGGCTTGGCGACCATTCTGCATATTGGCGCTCAAGCCATTATTGGACGGTGGTGGGACATGGGTGGACATGTAGCCGCCTTTGCCGCTTAAATTCAAGGTATCGAGCACAGCGTGGTATAGGAATTTGTAAGCCCAGGCATTACCGTGCAGACGTCGAATGTCGACACTATAGAGTCCAGGTAGGTTCTTAATTTTGCACAGTTCAATTGTAAACCGCACTTCGTCTCCAGGATCCACCACCGGATCACCATACATAGGCTGCTTGGCGTTGTCAATAGCAGGTAACGTCGCCGGACCCGCGCTAGTACGCCGTAAAAAGTTGCGGAATGACATGTCAGAACTCGATTTTCGCTTTTTGCTTTCGTCGGTCACGGATGCCATCCGTTCTCGTCGCGTACATTTCAGTCTGTATTCGCCGTTTCGCTTCACATCAATGCCCATTGTCTGCAGCATATGTCTGAGTTCATTAAATATCTCTTGGGGAGGTCGCGAAGTAAGGGCGTCTTGATCTACCGCACCACGATGCATTCGCAATTTAGAATCGTTGAAATCCACAGCATAAGATCCGAGCGGTTTCCCTAAAGGAGTGACCCGCTGGGGCGTATGCAATGTCCCAGGTACATGATCCGTACTCAAAAAGTCCCCTTGGGTTGCTCGATTCAGCGATCGATCGCGTGTGCCTATGCAAAAAAAAAAGAAAAAAGTCAGGAAAACATTTTTCCAATGACAGAATTATACAATTTACTCACTCATTGGTTTCTTCTTGAACCAGTCGATGAGCTTTTTACCGGCGCTTCGATGCTTATCTTTATCGGTTGTGGAAGTCAATGTATGTTCTGATACAGATGGCATCATTTCCACCGGCGTTTTCGGAGTCAATGGCGGTGTTTCGGTAACAATGACCTTGACGCCGCTGGTGCTTTCGTGGGTCGATTTTCTGGCGGCACTGGTTGGCGGCTTTCGCATCGAGTGACGTTTATCGTCTTGGCCGAGGTGATCCGTCACCGAATTGACTAACAAACTCAATGCCTTTCTGCGTGTACCACGTACAGGATGGGGCATACCTTCTGAAGGTCCAGATACCGGAGGAAATCTTGCTGATGTGGGTATTTTAGTTGGTAACGGCGACACGACGTGGGTACTCATACTACTCTGATGGCCCGCAGGCGAAATGTTGCTGGGCGATCCATGTTCGCGACGGCGCTGCATGCTCGAGAAAAACTTGGCTTGTAAAATAGAGCCTGACGTCGGTGCAGAGGCATCGGTGGTGGATGCCTTGCCTTCTTTGTGCGCAGTTGCGGCACCGGATTTTGCGTTACGCGATGCTACTTGTCGAGGCGTGCTCATACTACCAGAAAGGAAATTCAGAATCCTATCTGTGGATGGCCCGCGTTTGCTCTCTGATGGCGTGGGCTGAGGTGTAACCGTATCGCTGGTAGTGGTGACCATTACATCTTCTTTCGGCGCATCTATTATTGATTTACGTTTCACCGTTTCCTGGGAATTTGTGTCTTTGTCTACGTTTTCAGAGACGGACGCCGGACTCGAAGAAGATACATTTTGGACATCAGATGGCGATGATGCGAACGCGGGTTTGGGGCTAGGACTAGAGGCGTCCTGTGTCGTCTTTGTACTGGATGGTTGCTCGGGATCGGCAGACGTTCCAATGTTTTCCAGGTCATTACCCGGCGAAGTTTCAGGATGAGCAACGCCTTCATCCTCTCTCTGCAAATTAGTGGGATCCTCTTTCTGTATTGAATCTTCGTGAACTGCATCGACCGTTTTACCGTCCGGCTCTCGTCGATCTTTGTTGTTTTCTTTGACGGACACGGTATCGTCTGAGATATCGGCTGAATTTTCCTTTGTGCATGAATGGTCTTCTTTGATGGTACGGCTTTGTGAGGCGTCGGGCTGGGTATATAATACTTGATTTCCTGTACCGGTGGATATTGCTTTTTTGGCATGGTGAGGTGGGTTGGACGACAAAGATGGCTGATGTTGCAATTGCTGTTGACGTCGTCTGGACAGCATGGTATGAAGAGGTATATCGGACGAACGCATGGCTTCCATCTCGAGTTCATGGACCGATTTGGCGAATAGCGAACGGTGGGGGCGAAGCCAGGGGTGGTCCATGATGGTTTGGACCGAGCATCGCTTGATTGGGTCAGGCACTAACATCCTGCTCAGCAAATCCCGCGCTTCGTCGCTAATATGGTCGGGAAAAGTGAGCGGTGTATTGAGAATATATTTGTACAACAAGTTGATATTGACACTCTCTGGATTGGCAGGATCATCATCAAAGGGTAAGTAGCCACAAAGCATGGCATAGAGGATCACGCCACATGACCATATATCAACGGCCGATCCTACGTATAATCCTTCGCTGATCACTAATTCCGGAGCAGCATAACATGGTGATCCACAGGAAGTCGACATAAGATCGTCCTTGGCCGAGGAAAACTGATTAGCGAAACCAAAGTCTGTGATGATAATGTTTCTGTGTCTGTCCAATAGCAGGTTTTCCTGGATGAGGTAATGCAACACGAGTTAATAATCATTTGGCGGCAACTCATGATATATGCTTCACTTACCAATTTCAAATCTCGATGAACTATATGCTTTTGATGCATATAATAAACGCCGCTTATTAATTGTGCAAAGAACCGACAGGCGTCCTTCTCTTTCAGATATTTATGCGCCAAGATGTATTCGAATAATTCGCCACCTGATCCATTGCTTTTAGTCTTGATGCCTTTGTTCTTCATGTTTTGAACAAATAAACTTACCAGAGGCACATTGCAAAATAATGCCAATATATTTCTCGGTTTCAATCACATCATAGAGTTTGACGATATAAGGATGGCACACCGTCTGGCATGTGATATTTGGAATGAGTACTCTCGAACTTGACAAAGCACTCTAGGCAATGCTTTTTTTTTCCTCTCTTTCCCAACGCACCTTCAAGACCGAGATTTCCTTCTCCACTTTGGTCATTCGTACCGAAGAATCGATATGATCCTTTTTCATCAACTTGATCGCCACCTAAAACGAGAAATCAAAATTGAGTTTCATTTCCGGTTGCAGATCGATGCCATTTTTTTTTTTTTTTGCCATCTCTGTTTTTATTATTTTTGGGTGTTTTATTTGGAAGATCCATTTCTATCTCGATTGGTTCGATAAACCTTACCTCATGACCGGTTTCTATATGAACGGCGAGCTTCACTTTTCCGAATTCGCCTTCACCTAATGTGTGTAACAAAAGATATGGACCAAACACCGTCGGTTTTCGTCCCGGCGGTAAGTGATAGTGGTATAGCTGGTAGTAGTACTGCCACCACGGCTGCTTGACCGATTCCTGTTGTAGCAAATGCTGCTCTTCCAGCTTGCGTTGCTGATATTGTTGTACAGTTTTTTGTAAATCGCTCGGCATAGCGGTAACGGAATAAGCTCGTTGCTGATGATAAGCTGGTCGAGGCTGGGGAGACTCGGGCGATTGAGCAGCATAAAAGGAAGGAGAAGTTGGTGATTGAGATTCAATATTAGTCGTATGTGGAGATGAGGGAATGGAGGATGTCATATATGGATGAGGATTAGTAGAGAAAGACATAGGCGGTTGTTCTTCCTGGGCTAGCGGGTGAATCGAAAGAGTCATGCCAACTTTAAAAAAGGAAAAACGTGATGAAATCAGGAGGAGGCGTTGCTAGGGGATTACCGCGAAAAGAAAGAAAAAAATAAAAACAAAGAAGAAGGACGCTTGTAAACGCCCTGAGGAAGAAGCAAGCATTCAGATGGCGTGGGTTACAAAGAACGAGGTATTTTTAATGGCAGCGTAACACGAAATATGTGGATTCTGACACATGGACTATTAAAGAAGCAATTCCACATCCTTGCAAGGCACAAAATGATGGAAGTGAAATTCTTGTTGCGTTCAAAAGGACACAATTTCAAAAAAGGCACTTACTGGACACAAGGGCAACCTTGGATGGGTGCCTTTCCTTTGAAGTTTTGGGAAGGCTACACAAAGCTTACCTAAAATGGGCCGACCACTAATAAACTGTATTAGATCGCCCCATTATGATGGACTATCATATAATTTAATTTGGCATTTTCTTTTGCCTTTAAGCAGTTTGTTTGGCTGTCGCTGTGTGATTTATACAATCTCACAATCTTTCAATCGATGAAACTGATAAATGATTGTTGTCAATCTCCTTTCTCCACCTTGGAATGGGTAAACATCGACCTCGGACGCTTATCTGAAGCATCGTCCAAATGGACCGTAGAGATATCTTGGCTTTCATCCCGGTAGCGATGGATTGAAAGAGGGTTGCATACACCATGAAAATGCACCGACACTCTAGACACTCGATATGGCGATAACCAGGCTCATCCCTGTAATTGCAAGTATGTTAAAGCATTTTTAGACGAAAAAGTTCGCTCATGCAACCGAAAGGCGATCCGTTCTCAAGCACTGCAACCTCAATTCAGATTTTTCGATGCTTGCTTTTTTCCCATAAAAACTGAGAAATATCTGTATCGAAATTAGCGGGGCATCACCGCAACTAGTCATACTGTTCACATATGGCCGCAGAAAAATCTCTCCTGCCGATTCGCTCTTCAGGTATAAAATATATTCGCAGATTGAATGCTTCCGTGAGCATACCTGCTTTCTATTCCAGCGTAATTGGGTTAATGCGTAATTTCTATGATAATAGTAAACTTCCACGCAGCTCACATTTCGAAGATCCTGCTCATGAATCAAATAAAAGCATTGACGGCTATTGTTGACATATAATATGCAGAACGGCATCACAGTTCAGTAAATTGTGTATGAATTTATGCAACCTGGTTGGTGCGGACATCTTAACGGACAGCTATCGCTTTAGGATAAATAACTTCTTTGCAGCAAGCAAAAATAACTCAACTAGCAGCTTGTATTGCTTTAAAAAGGATCTATTTTTTACCTTTTCTATGTCATACTAATGATGCCCGATATGCCCGCCGTAAATGTAATGGTAATTTGATGAACTTTTCTATCACGGTTTTCACCGACGGAAGCCTATTACATTATGGCCCTTCACTCATCCCTCCATTGATTTTGAGCATTATCGATCAACAGCTTTTGTCCCTCTTTCTTTCTTTCTTTTTTCTTGACATATTATATGCAGCCAAGCTGATAGTAATATTTCGTTGTTGTAATCAATGAACAGGCATTGGTGAGAATGAACCTGCCAAGTGCCATGCGCATTTTTCAAATTTCACATGACGGGGGGGATTTCGATTGTGTGTAGAGACCATTGATATCAGCGGTAAGCGGTTGTGACAATCGATAAATGCAGGTCAGGTATGTGTAAGTCGTAAATGTATCCCATCATGGCTGCATATATAGCATCTTTTCTCGAGTCATGAAGCTCGATTGAATACTTGGCTTGTGATTCCGCGTAAGCAATTTCCGAACTCCGGCATTGAATAAAACGAATGTTGAGGAACACAATGGAACACCATTACAGTCTGCTTTTTCCTCCTTGTCAAAGACTCATACTACATGATCGAACTTTATAATACAGCAGAAGTTGTGGTAAGAAGTTGTCATAAAATCTTTATCTTGAAACGGTGTCATGCCAACCGGCTCAACTTCCTGGGATTAATTTTGGCAATATCATCATAAACGTTCTGCATACCACATTTGTCTAAGAAATGCATACTGCCGGAGTGAATTAACATATACTATACACTGTTGTGGGCTAAAAACGTTTCAGATTTTATATCATTGATTATGAGTAAAGGAATTTCGTCGGAAACAACGAGCGGTTTCTTAGCTTCGCCAGATATGTATGCACAAAGTTCTGTAGGGAAATTGAAAGCATAATAATACAGTAGACTGCCAAGTTCCAAGCATCAAGATCACTCAGTCATAAAAATACACGGAAATAAATGTCGCTTGTTTTCATGACATCTATCACTCACACGTAGACCTCTATTTCGCAGCAATGGATGTCTTTTGGCATTTTCAATCTAGGGCCCTCAAATGACCGCACAAAGCATTAACAGCCTAACAATAACAGATCATGCCAGCCAAACCTTGAACAAAACTTGTTGTCAAAAAGTGCCACAGTTCACCCGTGGAACCTCAAGGTGGTGAAGTAAAATTCACCACGGCCGCTATTAATTGAGAAATTTAGATGTAAAATTACAGTTCGGACTTTGTTTATGCCAATGCACTATCATTTCATCTGTTGTTTCCTTTATTAGCTGGCCAGTCATTGAAGTATGATCCAAGTGACCCGACCTCTGTCAAGGACACAAGGTTGCAAGGAATGCTGAATATTATGTAAACAAAAGCAAGCCCCCTTATTTTCTACCACTTGGCCTGCCATTACCAAGATGTAAAGTAAAATACAAGGACAAGGAATAAAACAGATGAAAGCAAGTCGCTGCAAGGTTGACAGTTACGTACGTGACACACGTTGACATTGCCGATCCATCTATTTGGACCATGCGATTGCGGTTGTATAAAAAGGTCAGTAAACCTGCTTTCCTGCTTCTTCTTTTCTTCCTTTTTATTTCAATCTTCGTTTAGCAGTGAATGCATCGTATAATTTGACACACCACTTCATGTTTTGTCACAACCCTCGTACTCTGCTTTCTCAGAAACAGGTATTGGTCTTTCGATAGAATATGTAAATGTGTCGAATAGCGCTAGATAATTTTCATCATACGCACTGCAAGCCCAATTCTTCTGTATATGTTCACCTTGCTTCTTTCATCTTTTGCTTTGTTGGATTCTTTTCTATGACTTGGCTGAAATAATCTTGACAGCATGAAAATGAATGATCACGCTTTTAGGAACTCCGCACCTTCCAACCTATCATCCTGTTTCATGATCACCAGAACTTGGACCAATCCTGCGAAGCAGTGGGAAACCGGCGTAACCGAACCACAAGCACAATTCATCATCGGCAAATTCAGTATCAGAAACAAAAGGTCGATGGGATGTTAGAATCGAATCGAAAGTTGTGGTGTGAGGTTATTCAAAGCACTCGTCAACAGGAACGTCAACTACCAGCAACAGTCTACCTGTCACGGCCCTCCTCCACCGTCACTCGGTTCAAGCACATAGCGCCTTATGTCAGTGACACGCTGTCATCGCCACTTCATCGTTCAGTTGAAGTCAGCAAGATGCAGTCGATTTCAGAATACAGTCCAAATTATTACGGACATCAGACAAAAGAGGTGGACGATGTTTTATCCCATACATCCGCCAGTAGCAGTAGTAGTGTGATGGTGCATGCAGTAGATAATGATATCCGAATCGAAATACAGCAAGAAAACAAGAATGCAGGTGTCACTTGCACAGACAACCATCGGAAACGGCGGGGCAACCTACCTAAACCTGTTACAGCTGTATTGAAACAGTGGCTTGTACAGCACAGTCGTCACCCCTATCCTACTGAAGTGGAAAAGCTAAACCTTCAAGCAAAAACCAATTTAACTTTGAATCAAATCAGCAACTGGTTCATTAATGCTCGACGACGCCTCTTGCCGGCTCTGTACATCCCAGATGGTAACGGGGCAAAGCGGAAACCTCTCAAGGGCCGTCTTCGATCAGGTAACAAAGTCTTCCCAAGTGTCTCAAAGGATATCAAAGCCTAAGTTGTTTTGAAACAAGGCAAAAACAAACCAGCTTCAGCAGAGCCACGCACTCATCTCGTAAGAAAAGCATCCAGTCGATCATCGAAAGAATCTTGATAGGTCCTTCCCCCCTAAAAGCCTCGAGCGAAAAATAGCACATTTAGATGTATCTTCATCCAAAAAAAAAAAGACAATATACAAAGCGCAATCAGCTAGGCTTATGCCATTTTAGTTGAATTATGAGCGGGTATTTTCATTTATTTAGCTTCCGGTCTTTTACTGCCGCATGCTTGAACAACCTGGTCATTTGGCATTACTGGGTATCTTGAAGAAATCACCTAAGATCAATTAATTACAACCTATAATACCAGATGAGCCATTCATCGGGGATTGTTACGATCATGTTATCATTCGACCTAAGCTCCAAGGCTCAATAAGCTTACGATTTGAAAATAGGTTCCCAAAATCAATTTCAGGGATCAGTAGTGCTATGTGGATCGGTCGCGCCCCGTTTATGGCAGACAACCGCTCTCAGAATACATCACTAGCTTGACAACCATGTCGCACGAGCACTTGTCCTCAGCTCTACTGCGAACCACATTACTCATATCTCTTGAGACTTCACTGTTCACTGAAAAGAGAAATAATATGGAAAAGGCAAAAAGCAAATAGCCTCAAAGCATTGGTGAGCATCATTAAGACGCAAGAAATACATGTTCGCAAATCGTCGACAGGTGAAAGATGTTCAGACTTATGTATGGAAGCCCAAAGACGAAATTGAAGAAATTAGACGACAGCATCAAGTGATACTAAAACGCCGGTCGCGAATATCGCATCGCAAGGAAAAGGAGAAAGAATAGGCTTCTTACGACGCCAAAGGGCCAGCCTGCAGGCATCCAACTGTATGTGAGCGATATGAAGCGGCATCTTGCAGATACACGAAGCCTAAAGTATAATACTCACAAGGTATGTAATATATGCCTTAGCAACATACTCGCTTAAAGCTCAACTGCCATATCATAGTCATAAGGACTGATGTCGGAGGCATGTGGAAGCGTCGCATTCATTAAGCGATGCATGCCGGTGATGATAAATTTCGAAGTAACCAGACGTGGTTGATCTGGTCCCATCCGTTTATAGTATCAAATGACGAACGATAATGAAATTTGGAAAGAAAAGCCTACCAACTCAGAGCAGGGACGGTATGGCTTCCATAGCAACAGTTTGCACGTTGAAGCCAGGAGCCACTTTGTCTCTGTACCCCCAAAAATCAGTCCAACCTTTGCTGGGAATGAAATTTCGACAGCTCTGCCAGTTGGCTGGCAAGAGTGCACAGCATCTTGTAAATCAAAGAACCACTGGCACATGATTAGTTATCATTGCCAATATGATAACTTTAAAATTTTGCTCTCTTATATGTCCAAGAGCACTGATTGTTTTTTTCTCCGCTAAAAATTGTGTATAACTTTTCAGTATTTGCTACGCTCCAACCATCTACATCAGCATTACGCATTGAAAGCTAGCAACGTCAAAAAGCATGGTAAGTATTGAACGTGGACAGAATGGGAACATGTTGAATATTTAATGATACCCACGCTCGTATCCATTACCAACAACCCACGTGAAAAATGAGAACCAGCAAACGAAGTAAACTTAAAACTGTCTAAACAGGTGTATATTTTACAGAAAACAAAAAAAGAACAATAGTAATATGAAATGCTGATGAATGTTGGCCTTTTTTTGTCAATGAATCTTTCCTTTTGAGGATTCATCTCTGCTTGTGGTGGCTGTGAGAATCGGGAAGCGGATGAAGGAAGCATTTTAATTGGTCTTGAAGAGAGCACGGAAATGGTCACCTTTAAGAGGAAAATTGTAAGATTAACTTTCAGGGTCACCCAAATACGGAATTCACCAAAAAAAAAAAAAAAAAAAAAAAAAAAAAAAACATTTAAGACTTACCCAAAGCAACCATGCACAGAGTCTGCCACATACCGAGACCGATACGAGGAAGAGCACCTCTGTAGAAGCCCTTGATACCATTGTTCTGGTAGATCCAGCCTGCGGCCTTGCCAATGGACATCTTTTCAGGACGGCCTTCAGCCTTGACTTGACTCTGCATTTCAACACGAATGACTTCAATAGGTTGGTTCCAGCATGACAGAGCACCACCAATGACGGACGCCAGCGCCTTGTCAAGGACTGTGGCATGCTTGGCAGCATCAGGAGCATCGCCATAACGAGCTTTGATAATAGCGTCTTGTGCGAAACGGGTAATACCGAAACGGGATGCCCAGTTGGTACATTGACGCACAGCAACAGCGTTAACACCCTTGTTGATACCAGCAATACCCTCTCGTCTGTAGATATCAGCAGCAATCTTGAAAGTAGACTCCTTAGTAGCTGTTGAAAAAAAAAATAGGTCAATGTCGAACAAAGTTTGCAATAGCGTAACGTGGATGACTCATTCATCCATTACGAATGAAAAACGCCATATCCTTTTACTTCTTTTTTTTTCTTGTTTTACTTACCAGACTTGTGACGAGTGACTTCAACGGTCTTCATAAAGGTACAGAAACCCATGGTAGTGTAAGCCTGAGCGATACCACCACCCATACCACCAATGATACCACCCTAATGGATCCAAAAGAAAAACGCAAGAAATTTAAGATTAGATCACCGTTCCGATATCAGGTCGTTCTTGCCACACATGCTTTTTTTCCCTCGTTCCCTCAATTTTTTTCTCGTCTTCTGCTGTATTCATTTCCAAGCTGTCGACTTGCCGGCGACCGAGCCAATAGTAATGTAACTTACCAAGAAAGGAGAGGCACCAGCAGCGCGTGCGCGGTATTCAAATTCGGAGGCAGTGAAGAGCAAGACAGCACCTTTGGTACTGGCTTCAATCCAAGCCCAGGGAATCAAACCTTGATAGAAACCAAGAAGACCACCACGGCTGTAGATCGAGCTCAAGGCCTTGACCATGGACTGACCACGGTTAGCAGCCAACTGAGTCTTGATGACTTCGAAAGGCTGACCGAGGGTAGAGACTTCGAACAAGTTCAAAGCTGCACGTTGATGACAATAACAACAACAACAACAAAGAAGGAAAGTACGAGAAAGCCGAAAATAAGGGACATGATGCATTAGGATCATCACTGTCTGACTCGGTAGCTGTTCTTAAAAACTTACTAGCACCGAGAGCCAAGTTTGCATAGGAGATGGGCTTCTTCTTGAGAGGAGCGTTAGGATCGACGGGGGCAGAATCGATAGGTGCCATTATGAACGAGAAGTGAAGAAGAAGAAGAAGGAGAAAAAAGGGTATGTGGAGAAGAAAAAAAGCTTTTAAATAGGTCAAGACAAAAGGCTTCAAAAAATGTCTTAAAATTGGGGAGTGAAGCTACGGGTGACTGTTCTCCGCGGTCTACCTTCCAAAGTGGGAAAACCAGCCGTTGAAAATCTCGGTGAGCCATGGAACATCGCTCCACTTCGGTCAAGCGAATTTTTTTTTCTTGCCCCAAAAAGAAAAAAAAAATTGATTGTTCTTTTTTTACTTTTTTGTTTCTCTCGCCTTTCTTTAACATGGACTTAAAAAAAATGTGAAGGATTTATTTACAGTATGATGGTTGAGGTACTATTTCAAATTTTTTGTTGTCATATTCACATGCATAGATGGGCGGTTGTCATATGTGATTTGAACGCGCATATTTCTCGAGTTTCTATTGAAGGTCTGAAATGCAAACGAAAGTAACAGGGTCAGGTCGTTCGAAATGATGGAAATGGGATGAATGAGTGGCGAGAGATTTCGGTAAAGATGGACTGATGAAGTTGAATGAAAGGCACGTTCCGTTGACATGACACTCGTTGAGACGTGAAGTCTCGGGGTCGTCTGCGTTACAGGTCTTGACTGCGTTGAACAACTTGATGCACTTCATAATGGTTGCTTTGCAAATTTGTTGAGTAGTAATAGATTCAGTCGTCGCAGGTTGATAGAAGCAGTTCGAGTTGCCATTCCGTTTCTTGCAGTTTTTGAAACATGATGTGTTCCCTTTCGGTTTGAAGGCTATCGTCGTCTTCGCAACTGCATTGCTCCTGTTCAAAGCGTTCCAACTGTTCCTGCAGTAACTGGATGTCGCTATCTCCGGGTGAAAATAAGCGTGCTTGACGTTTATTTTGTTTACCCTGAACTATAAAAACAAGTCTCAGAAACTGATTGGGATACATCGGCAGGTCGAATTGTGAACACTTACCATCGAAGAGTGAGGGCCCACTTAAACTGGCTGCCTCAGCGGCTGTCGGCTTATCGCGATCGACATGGATATCCAAGTCCGACGGTGACACATGGACGTTTTCTGTGTGCATTAAAATTTCTGCTCCGCCCAACGGCACAGAATGTAAGCCGCGCGGACCATCCAAAAATGTATTATCAGACATGGCCATCTCTTTGCTCGTGCGTGCATCGAAAAAAATGGCATGCGGTGATGCATGTCTTTTTGAGCGATTGTTGGTATCAGGAAATGAATCCACAAGAGAAGCATCCCGTGGTCGAGAAAAGGCGATACATGGTACCAATTTCTTTAAAGGTGTGAGAGATGCATCGGTGTGGAAGGAGATAGGGTGGACCATGCTAGGTCTGGCACCGGTTTTAAGTAGCTTTGAGAATGGCATTTATTTTGGGCAAAAAAAGTGTAAAGTGGGAAAAAGTTTGGCAAGAGAAAGGCAAGTAAAATGGAAGAATGGGGGAAATATCGAATGGGCATCTTGGTTGGTATATATAGCGCAAAATTTCTCGTTCATGCCTCACAGCGTGGAAAGCAAGTGATGATGCCATGAAAACATAGTTTTAAGCGCATGGTGGAAAGGTATACAAGGGAAAACGCCCATCTTAACAAATGCGCTTGTTTTTACGTCATAGATGTAATAAGCCCCGTGTATTTTTCGTGCACAAGGATACGGCAAGATGAAGCCCAGATATTTCATTTCTATTCCGCCCACCACGGCAGGGTCGTACGAACGTGTGGAAGAGCATTAGAATGTTATAAGAATGACGAAAGAAAGAAGATCTATTTATGCAGTATTGGAAGCCTAAAATCAGAGTTTTAACTTGTATAAATTAACCGGGTGAAAATTAAGGGGGGGGGAAATCAATGATTTGCGTTTGTATGAGGAACAAGTTGGTGTTAGCCTTCTTTCAGGACGCTTAGAATGTGACATCAAGCTTGGACATGCCTTCTTGAATCTTGGGCAACATGTCTGCAGGCACCGGAACCATTGTCGTTGAAGACAATGAATGTCTGTACCAACTTGTTTGAGTATCCAGGTCATGATACGGATGACGGGTTTTATCGCGTTTGCGAGTGAAGAAACTTTTAGAAAAAAACGAAGACGGCATGTTGATGGTCGAAGGATATTTTGCGTAATGTTTATCGTGGTGCGATAAACGATGAATATAGTGACGACAAGTTGATATCATCGATGATTCGGCCATTTCACGCGTCAAGTCAATCAGTGCTACGAGAAGAATCATTCCCCATCCGCCTACTGCCATGAAGGCTTGCAAAATAATGGTGATTTTCAGTTACAGGATCGTTCACGGCTGGCTTCGTCCGTCGATAATCTAACTTACCAAGCACCACCGCACTGTCCATCAAATCGCAGGCAGAACCGAGCGTTTGAATTATCGATGATTGGCTGATTCGACAAGGCGATGCCGCTATAAAAGTGCCATGACCACGATGTGAGACTGGATACCGTGGTTTCAACATGGTCGCCCACAACGGCTTACCGTTAAATTGGGCCATCACCACGGCTGTGGCCAAACCCCAAAAAGCAATAAGCATGACACTGACGGCGATCTCTGTAGTCAGCAAGGCTTTCGAGACGTTGAGCGAACGTCCTTTCATCTGTTGATACAACTTTCGGATGTAGAGTCCCAGCAATACCGAACAGCTTGCCAAGGATGTGGTGCCTAATACAATGAGAAGATAATCATGAGGCCCCATGTGGAGACTGAACAATCCTTCGATGGAGTTCTCGCTGGCGATGTTGAGAGCAATGATGTTGAGGACGATGACGGCTGCACTGATCCATTGGACGAGAGACAATAAGCCCAGGTGGAGTAGGGTGTTTTTCTTTTCCTTTTGCATGAATATTAACCGTGTAAAGGAAGGGGACAAAGACCAGATGCGATCGCTCTGATGAATGTGGAGAAGCTTTTTGTTGATTTTCATCTGTTCCTCCTTATAAGAGAATCTCATATTCTCCTGCAAACCCAAAAAATTTCGTTTGATTAATCCATGGACATCGTCACCGCAGTAAAAAATTCATAAGTGCGAATTCATTTTATCCCTCTCATGACCGCTTTTGGTAATCCAATAAAAGAGCGGGGATTAAGCACAGCAGAAATGCTTGTATGGGACTTGAGAGCGTGGCTAAAATAACTAGATCTCTTTTTTTTTTCTTTTTGCATTGCAGAGTCGTTAAAACTTTTTTATAATCATGTTTCATAGGTGAACGGCCGGGTAATTTTTCAGACCAGAATCAAAGCTGTTGCTGAAATTTTTGTGTTACCGTCAATTGTGTCATTTGTATTTCTGTGTTCCATGTCGATGCTCTCGCCTCATTTTCTTTTCACCCTTCCGAGCCGTGCCGTGCCTTTTTTTCGTATCTCTTTTTCTTCTTTTATTCGTAAAAAGTACTCGTACCCTTAAAAAAACATACCCATCTTACCCCTTGGGACTGCACAAAAAATTCGGCAATGCCTATTTTAGATTTAATCCATTTCAATGACGTTTATAACGTCAGTCCTGCAAAAGAAGAGCCTATTGGAGGAGCTGCCCGATTCCGATCAGCGGTTGACAGCGTTATTGAAGCCGTTAACCCCCTGGTGCTTTTCTCCGGGGACGCTTTCAATCCGAGTCTGGAAGGCAGTGTCACGCGTGGCATGCACATGTAAGCGACCCATACTCTCGGATTGACTCGTCGAAAACATATCCGTTGTACCTGAGAGTTTTCCTTCTAATCCGTCGCTGCTGCTTAGGACCAATGTGTTGAAACTTTTAAATATCAATGCGGCTTGTATCGGTAACCATGACTTTGACTTTGGTCTTCCTCAACTGCAAAAGCTGTTGGGAAATACCAACTTTCCCTGGCTTCTTTCCAACGTCCTTGACGAAACCGGTGAACCACCGTCGCCTCTGCAACGTCACCTTATCCTCGAACATCCATCTTCTGGATTACGCATTGGTGTCATTGGTCTAGTAGAAGAGTAAGTAATGACCATGCTGATGCATGCCACCTACTCACACCATTGCTTCATTAGAGAATGGATTCAAACTATTCCATCGTAAGTTCAGAAGAATCTTTTGGTTTGCGGAGAATGAAGTTTTCCACTTTGAGAAGGGGACAAAAAGGGACAGGGGAGGAGGTTTTTTTTTTTTTTTTTTTTTGGTCAACCATTCATGTGAATGCTTGTTATCGTGCAGATTTCCTCCCGAGTTGGTGTATCATGATTTTGTGAATGTGGGGCACCAGCTGGCGAAAATGCTGAAAGATCCTGAAGGTTCATACAAGGTGGATCTCGTGATCGCATTGACCCATATGCGCGTTCCCAATGATATTAAGCTTGGTCAAGCCTGCAGTACAGAGATCGATCTCATTTTAGGAGGGTACCGTATTGCTTCTTTTGTAGCCCAATGTGTGGATTGTGGTGTACTAACATAAAGGGGGGCAGCCATGATCATTTTTACTATGTCTCTCAAGGTCTCGACATTGTCGGCAAACATTGGACGAGAGAAGAAAACTTGAAAGATGTCGGCTTTGATCCCGAAAAGGGTCAAACGCCCACAGAGCGGCCTGTTCGTGTTGTCAAGAGCGGCACGGACTTTCGCGAATTTTCGCATATTCATTTGGAAGTGGAGACCGACGATAACGGCAGAAAGTATATCAGCCATGCTTCCGGTAAAGTTTCTGCGCTGCGATAGATTTGAATGCAGACCTTTTGATTGATTGATGATGGTTACACAGTGGAACGTAAGATTGTGGATTCAACTGTGAGCCCCAACAAGGACATGGAACAAGTGGTAGACGATGTGGCCAAGCTCGTGTCGCAAAAGACACAGCGGCCTATTGGCTACACGGCTGTGCCACTGGATGGACGAAGCCAGGCTGTGCGTACACGCGAAACGAATTTGGGAAATCTGACGGCCGATTTGATGTTGATTTCTTACCGTTTTCTGAATACCCCACCGGATTTTGCTTTATGCTGTGGTGGCACGATCCGCAATGATAGTATCATCGAAGTGGGTGAACTGACACTGGGGGATATCATGACGGCTTTTCCCTTTCAGGATCCGGTGGTGGTGGTCAAGCTTACGGGACAACAGATTTGGGACGCTCTAGAGAACAGTGTATCCGAATATCCGAAACAAGAAGGCCGATTTCCCCAACTGGCAGGATTGCGCTTGGAATGGAATCCCAATAAACCCCCCGGTCAACGTGTTCGTCGTGTCTTGTGCGTAAGAGGACACCAGATCGGCGATCCCTCCGCCATGCGACCTCGCCTGCTTCCCCGTGACAGTGAATTGAGAGCACGGTACGACCCGGATAACATGGATCCCCTGGATCTCGAACGTGAGTATGTGGTATCCACACGAAATTACTTGACAGGTGGTTACGATGGCTACACATCGCTTATGGTGTCTCCTGATAAATACGTCATTGACGATGAAAACGGCGTCTTGGTGACGACACTATACCGAAAGTTCTTCTTGGGACTGAAATACTTTAATGCTTTCCGTGAAAGTCTGATCAATCGAAAAAAACGCATGGAAGACAAGAAGAAGCATGACAATGAACGTATCCAACGAGTGGTGGCGGCCGCCGCCAATCATTGGTTAAAGATGGCCAGCCAACTGCAACCCGAAGAGGACGATGACGAAAAAAGCCATTATCGCGGCTCCTTCTCAAGTGACAAAGTCGAAGATCGTGCAGAGTACAACTGTACAGACGATTGCATGATCAATGCCTTGCACGATGCGAATCAAGGTCACCCCAGCTGTATTGCCGCGGAGGACGATGAAGACAAAGATCCTGAACCTGGCAAACGGTATCCCAACGATGAAGGAGAATCGTGGCTTAAGCGATGGGCTAGTATCAGTCCTTCTGTTCAAGGTCGCATTGTACAAGTAGACTACTAGATTAATCGACTCTACAATAACCTATATTTTCCCTCTCTCCAATTTTTTTCCATCGGTCCGGAATCACTTCCCTATTTGAATATCGTACGATAGTTTTTATCTACTCTTATAAATTTCCTTACTCCCTTTAACAATTGTTGAATCAAACAGTTCATTAACATGATATGTAACATTGTATAACTGTATTGGATGACGACCTGAAAAATAATGCCGACGTTTAGTTGGGAGGGAATGCGGATCCACAAATACCGATCTTTCTATCCGTGCTCTGGGGGGTTGCTTCCGAAAACAACGGTCACGACCACGTTGGTTTCGACTGCCTAAAAAAATTAATTTCTTTTCCGCCCTGAGGGGGAACCGGCCGCCGAAAAAAACAAAAAATAGAACAAACAAAAAACACAAACCGCTTCAGAAGCAACTTCAGCAAAGATCCATCATGTCCATTGCACCATCAAGACAAGCAGTTATTGCTGCCTACAGAAACCTTTTAAAAACACAGAAAGAAGTGTTCGGAGGTAGGTCATGTTCACTTACTCCATCATGCTTCGGTGACACTCATGTCGATGGATGGTATGTTTTTCTTTTCGGGATCTTTAGCGGACGCAAAAGCAATCATAGGTATGTTATTGTTCATATCCTCGGAAAGTTCGATTGGGTCAAAGAGGGAGCATTCATTATTCTGCGTTGAAATTTTTTAGCTGCGAGAAAGGAGACCCATGCAAGATTCATGCAGTTTAAAGATGAGACAAATACAGATATATTGGAGGAGGTGAGACTTACCATCCATGTTGCAACGGTTGAAGAAGTATATTCACGATGGTAATTTGGATAGAAATTAACACTGGCAGATCAAGTGGCGACATTGCTGCGACGGAACGTAGTGCAGGCTGTACCAAAGGAAGGAGAAGATAGTTTATATCGTAAGTGTCCTGATACCTATCAATGGGGGGGAATGACCTTGTTATCGTCATTGGGGTATGCACGTCTTCTCACCTTGATATTGTCTTTTTCATTTTCTTAATGTTTACAGACTTGCGCATCACAAAGGACACCGAACTGGGAGATAACGACTCGATCAAGAAAGCGAAAAACATCTTCCGCAAAAAAAAGAACTCCAAAAACAATGAGGAAAAGACGCATAGCTGCTGCTCTGGCCATTGATCTTTGTAAACTATCATAGTGCTCAGATTAGAAATGTTTGTTTCGCACGAGCTTTACGTTATTAAAAAGGAAAGCACCGGTTTTGTGATACCGAGCTGCTGAAGGTGTGGAATATTTTTTCTCTAAGCTAACCTTGTCTTGTCCTACATTATTCGCTGCCTTCCCTTTTTCCTCTTGCTTTTTTCCAACTTGGACTCTGTTTACTGCGTATACTTTTGGCAAGTGCTGAATAAATCCTTTTTTTCCCTTTTACAACTTCTTGGACCTATTATTCCCCCCCCCCCCCCCTCAGTGACGATGGAGCGACCTGTTCCTGAGTGGTCGTATCAACTCACGCAAAACTTGATCCGACCGGCCTCTTCCGTAGGCTCTTTATCGGCCAAGACCGACGCTTCAGTTTCGAGACCTTCGTCGGCGGTTTCGGGGTTGGCACCGAACGTAGCAGCATCGCTGCATCAACCCAAATCTAAGGATCCTGACAGTAGGCCTTCATCCCATACATCTACCGCTCCTCTTGTTTCCAGTTTGCCAGCCAACGCCATTCAATTTCATCCTGTCACCCAAGCCGATGCTGATTCTTCCTTTGGACGATATATTGACCGCTCATTTCAACCATCTCATGCCAACATTCTTAAAGATCGTCTTCCCACCATTTCTACCCCGTCACCATCCGTAGATAAAACCGGAAAGGGCGTTGCTAACGCCGAACCAATGTCTCATTTTTGGGCCAACCTTGCGTCTCATCTGTCCGAGCAATCGCTGGATCCTCCTCATAAATCAGAAGCCTTTCACTTACACGATGACCGGTCAGGGAACGGACGGGAAGAAGACGAAAAAACGCCGTGGTGGATGATGCGCGACGATCAGGATGGATTCTATACGATTGGTGCGCTCTTATTTTTATTTGGTTTCATTTGTCCGCCGCTGTGGTGGTTGGGTTCGTTTTGGCCCAGGAAAATCCAGCAACGAGGAGGAAAGATGGCTGAACGATGGCAAAAACTCAACCGTGTCATGTCCATCGGGTTTAGCGTCATCGTTATCATAGCGATTATTGTGGTGGGAATCATTTATGCCACCACCAAAAGTTAAAATCTTCAAGGGGAAAAGACAAAAAGGAAAAAAAAAAAAAAAAACCAACAACAGAAAACATGTAACAGAAGCCCTGCATTTCATAATCTCCCAAATTTTTTTATACATATTACATTCAATTCTCATCATCGTCCGTAAAGTACATTATTCACATGACCGTCTATACGCATAGTTCTCAACGTTAGAACCCCTCTCTCTGTATACAGTTAGCAGTAGATAAAACAGAAAAAACTTACGTGCATCAGTCCGTTGTGGAAGATCACTTGCACAACACCATTGGCCATCCACGATAAATTTGTATTCCAGATCAACCGATCGATCAATAAACAACTCAGCCGTAAATGCTTGTGAATTTTTTTCCGGAGTCATTAAAATGGATCCTGCAAGATAACAGAGGGCCAATTAATGGTTCATATCCAATTCAGCTTACTGCTTTTTCCAGCGTTATTTCTTACCCGACCAATTATCAAATTCACCAGTGATATACACTGTCTGACCGCCGTGATTCCAAGCAATCTGTGATCATAACTGGCAGTGTGAGTATGTATGCAAGGCAAATCTCGTATTTTAATCTTATTGTAGATGACGAAATTTACCTTGGTGGCCGGATAATTGGAATCCGTTTTTACTCCTGTATCGCCTACTGCGTTTTCACCGTGCAAATCTTGCTCCTCTGATAAGGTGCAAGATGAAGAGGAAGAGATATGATCAGTCTCAGGCAAAGGTTCAGCGACACGCCGGTCGCTCATAGGTCTTTCGCTAGATATGCGTCGGCTTTTATCTGAGCTTGGTGAGGAGGGTAGCAGGTGACGACAAAATAAGGAGGCTAGAATCGACCGCCTGGATTTGGGTGTGTCATTTTTGGTCCTAGCACCAGTGGCTTCTTGGCTATCGGCATCGGATGAGGCCGTAGGTGGCAAGAGAAGCCAATCGCGCATGGCGAAGAAGAAGGAGAAGAATACGCGAAGAATAAAGGAAAACAAAACGAAGAATGCGAAAGAAAGGCGATGGGAAAAGAAAAGATACAAAAAAGTTTGAAAAAGACTAAAAAGCAAAACAATGATCTACTGCTGAAGAATTCTTTCCCGTTTCTATTTACGTATTTTTACTCTACTTACTTTTTTCTCTATCCTGACAATAGTACGACATCCCAGCATGAAAGATACTGCAACTTTTTATCGCACTACTCCTTCCCCGTTCCTTATGAATGTCGACTATCTGAAAAGGTGGAAAGGCACATTAGATTTTATTCGGTTATTGCCCGGAAAATACCGGTTGGCTCGCATTGACCACAAATAGAAAGAATTTTTCCAACGATTGATGATGTGTATTGATAAACTTTTAAAAATTTATGCAGGCAACATTTGTCCATCTTAATCACTTTAGAAGCTTATATCATCACCACGTTATCCCAGATGTTGTGTTTCAATGATATCCTTTTGGTGTGTCGGGTTATTGTTCAGTTTCTTACCGACTTGTGACAATAAAATCCTGTACTACTCGTTACAAGATGCTCGGTCCACGACACCCGAACCATGTGCCCCATTTTGGTACAGACAGTTGAACTAGTTTAAGCTCAAAATATGAGACATGAAATGGTATTCAAACATTCAGATCATCGAGTCATCCAGTCATGCGTCTCTGCAACCTCTATTTTTTTTTCTTCCTATACGAGGATCACTTTCAGTTTCATCTACGAGTTTAATAGTGAGTAGCCAAAGAAAAAATAATACATGGCATCATATCCTGCCTGTCTAACGCAATTAAAAAGTGATACTATTTTTCATGAAGGGACAGATGCGGAAAAACGAACAAAGATATCGATGACCAATGTCTCAAATGCTATATCATCACGAAACGGCAAAAAATAACGGCAAACCGTGACAGAATCGTTGCAAGTTTTACTTTAGCATGGATGATCCATAGTCAAGTGGTAACCTAAATTGCAGCTACCGAGTCTTTATGCCATATAAAGCTTCAATATGACCAATGGTCACATTGACATAGTGGGAAATCAACGACAGCCCCAACAGGGAACCATCGACGCTTTCATTAATCTTCTCTTCTCAAAAACAAACCACATATAGCACATACATACATACACCCTACGCGCACATACACATATACATTACATATACATGTACGTGTACATACACACGGACGCACATGCATAACACATACAAAAACATACACACTCAATGAGCTTATGTACCAAAGCTTCTTATAGTGATAATCAAAAATCGTTGTTTGAAGGTTTCGCACATAAAGCCTCTGTTCCGATCAAAGCCTGAAAACAGAGGAATCCCAAGTGAAAGTTCAAGCAAAGTACTCAACAAGACTACCGTCATTTTCAAGGCGGGTGCCGATCGCTTACACCATCCCATAAATAATCCGGCATTTCATCCCATGGTTTGATAGAACATGGCAAAGAGGCCTATGTTATCAACCATGGAAACCCTTCCGATTGTTGCTTATGGCAATGCAAGTTTCAACAAGCAAAAGCAGAATAAGTTGGTGTCTCGAAAAGTTGGCAGGATTGTGGAGTTTAATACGTCCAAAGTAAGTAATCATGTTGCGCGCAAGGAATTAATCATTGTTGCTTATATCTCCCAGATGTGCTCGTGCTGTGGACAAATGACTCTACCAAAAGGAAACAGCCAACAAAAATGATGCCTTCACTTTTCCGCGTCCTCAAAGTGGGAGACTTGCAATAGATGTGCGGAATTGGGAAGTGAATGCCAAGTCGCAATAGCGAATCATTGCCCTTGCGGGATTATGGGACAAGCCAGGCCTACTGTCTTCATGTGTCAAACTGGTGAATTCGTTGATGAACAAGACAATGGAAAAGGTTCTCATGCATTAAAGGTATTCCAACTTTTTTTTTTTGGCCAAGCGTCCTCAGGCAACTTCCCAAAATAGCAACTTCTTTTTTTGACCACGTCCATATTCAGTACCAGTGTAGTTTCCCACGGACCCAGGCCATGGCTTCTGAAAAAAAATGAGGCGAAAGCGAAAACCTCGCATGATTCGATGATGTGTGATTTGTTGGCATTCCTAAATCCGGCTTACCTTTTTTCTCGCGCATTGGTGAGATTGAATCGCCGAGAAACCAAACATGGCAAGTTGCTGATGAATGCTTTGCTGGCATTACGAGTCCACCGTCACAACGCTGCCAAACCGGCTAAATGTGGGGTTAGCTGACTCTGAATCCTTTCTTACAAGAGCCGTGCACTGGTGGGCCACTCTCTTTTTGACCTGAATGCAACCATGCCTCTCATGACATCCTTTATAAAAAGTGCTCGACCCGGTCTATTATGGACACAGTATCGGGCTTTTTCAGTTGCCATGGATAAAAACGTGCCAGCAGCGACGGTGAAACAAGTGCACCAGTGGCTCGACGAAGCTCGTCAAACTTCCCCTTTTCAGAACCAAGTTCTATTAATCGATGTACGTGAGCGAAGCGAAGTGGCTTGCCACGGAAAGATCGAAGGGGCTTTGAATATTCCACTTCGTGTTGCTCCGGAGCTTTTTTCCGCAGCATTATCTGATTTAAACAAGGACGTCAAGGTATGCATTGTTCGCTGTGACTGTATTCGATGGACTTGCATGCTCATGGACCTGAAATTTGTCTGTTTGTGGTTAGACCGTCTTCCAATGCATGTCAGGACGTCGCAGTCTTGAGGCGGCAAAACGAGCCATGGATCTGGGCTTTCAAAACGTCTTTAACCTTGAGGGAGGCTTCAATCAATGGAAAGACCACAATCTACCTGTCCAACCTTTCATGAATAATCACTCTCCCTGGGTCCACACGATATTTGAACCAGATACCGAAACAGCCCAATACGTTGTAACCGATCTTGGTAAGTCTCATTCACAAAATATGAAAAGAAAAAAAATAAACCAAGCAATGGAAAAACTGAAAATGAACCCTTATGCTTTGTTCTTTCAGAAACTCGGGAAGCGTATATTATTGATCCCGTTCTGGACTATGATCCCTTTGGAGGCACTGTTCAGGGCATGATGGCAGAAAAAATCCTCAAGTTTGTTCAGCAACATCAACTGAATGTGACCAAGATTATTGATACACACGTACACGCGGTAAGTATGGCCATCAATTTAGTTCTGGGCAATACACTGATCGGAAACCACTATTAGGATCATTTGACAGCCGCTCACTATTTAAAACAGAAATTGGAGATGAAAGTAAGTGTGGTGAATGGTGGTTTCGTCAATGCAAAGTCATCCTATTAAGGATACAATTCTTCAATGATAGCCCGAGTTTTGGATGGGTAACAAGGTGACCGCAGTTCAAGACGTGTTTACGAAAAAGTACAATTTCAAGTACCAGGAGTTGAAGCCAGCCGGTGAACTGTTTGATCGATTAGTTCAAGAAGGCGACACATGGACTCTTGGAAACAATATCCAGTGTAGCGTACTTAGTACCCCTGGTCACACCCCTGCATGTTCATCCTACCGAATTGGTGATGCAGCCTTTGTAGGTGACACCTTGTTCATGGTAAGTAACGGAAAATAGAAAAAATACTTTCCGGCTCCATTCAGCATCGCAGATCAAAAAACTAATTTGGCTCTCATATTAGCCTGATATCGGTACAGCTCGTTGTGATTTCCCCGGCGGTAGCACTGAGCAAATGTACAACAGTGTCCAAAAGATGTATAAAAGCTGGCCCGATGATACACGTATCTACGTTGGCCACGATTATCCCCCTGCCAACAGCAATCGACAAGTAAGTGATTTTTTCAATCGGTAATACATGATATCCAGTAACTAACACTAAATGAATGAATGAATAGTATGACGTGATGACAACGTTGGGCGCTCACAAGAGATTCAATAAGATGATCAGCGAATCGGCTACCCCAGAGTCCTACCATAAACTGAGAAGTGAACGTGACGCAGCATTGAAAGCGCCCCGGCTTATTCACCCATCACTTCAGGTAAACGAATATCTCTCCAATAGAATATGCTTCGAAAATTATACTGACTCCTAAAATATTAGACGAACTTACGCGGAGGATGCCTACCTAACGAGGAGACCGATAAATCCGGCCAGGATGCTGGAAGATTTTTTAAGATACCTGTTCGATGGAAGAATTGAAACAGCAGCAGCAACCGGCCCTTTCTCCTCCGACAATCACCCTAATAGTAATATCAACAACCAAATCGGAATAATAAAATGATGCAACGCAGATCGTGTATATAACAAAGAACATGCCATTGGAAGTAGACGATTGTGATTGGGTAAAAGGCTCAATAGACGTTCAAAAGATATATAGCAGGGTGGTCGTTTGCTTGACAGTTTGGTTCGGTTGGGGAAACCATCACAACCAATTTGCATTTTAAGATGATGCCGCGAAAAAGTTCAACGCTATCGAAAAAAGCCTAATGCGCCTCTAACGTAGAACTACTTGTAAAAAGACGATTCACTGAAAGATTGGGACCTTTTAGGCGAGTATCGCACAGACATAGAAAGAACATTCATAAAGAGAAGGATAACAAGGACAATGATACCTGCTTCGCAGCCCGAGGACTGACAGTATAAAAAGGCACAAAGGTATTATCACGAAACGCCATGTTGCCATACCAATTTCGTTACAATCTATTTTCAGGTTAAGCACAAATGCTAAGGGTGGTGAAAAAAAAGAATTCCTTGACTTATTATCAAGTTTTCGTAGGCGAACGACGGGTCATCTCGACTTGGATTGTTCCGGCCGCCAGAGATTACTCGGCTTTTTCAACCCTTTGGAGTCGGTTCAATTGCTATTACTATTATCTTCATTCGAGCGATTCTCCACGGCTACGATTACCAGTACCGGGCACACATTCGATTCCAAGCGTACACAATGCCTTTGACTGGATCATGGATGAGGCTTACGCCGAAGACTTGGCTCAACACTTTCGCCCGACGACTGATCTATCCAATAATCCGGCGCTTGTGGTCAGTCCAAGCGAATCTTCCGACGATGGGTCCAATAGCGAAGGAGAGAACGAAGCCACGGGCAATTATATTGAACGCTTATATCGTCGGATAACGAGCTTTATAACGTATATGCTAGTGTATTGTGCAGCGTGGCTTCGTAGACGTTTTTTTCCCTTAATACCGTGAAATGAACAATGTAATACTACATCATTTTTTGTGTGCACACTCAGCTTATTCCCCCTGACCCTTATTTCTTCAATCATAATTCTTGGGACGGAATAACGCGAAATAAACCCTGCATTCAACTCCAATATCACAGACAAGGACCGCATTACTGGTAATACTTTGTATACAAAAAAACCTAGATGAGAGGTGTCCAAAAAATGTCAAGTAAAAACTGCAAGCGCACCTTTCATGCTGTAAAAAAAAAAAAAAAAAAAAAAGCTGACGTCATCTTGCCGTGATACAACCACAGTTGGAGCCCTGCTGTTCGTATATACATATTTGTATTATATAATTTTTTTTTTTCGAAATCTGTCGATATTTTTTGTTTTGTGGTGAGCGCGTCGGAGAATGGAGTAAAAACACAAGATTTTTTTTTTCTGTTGTTGTTGCCTGCCGTTTACTTTCACTCTCTACATTATAATGTTCGCTCTTCGTCGTGCTGCTGTTCGCGCTGCTCCTCTTGCGGTCCGTCCTTCCGTTAGACCCTTCTCCGTTTTGGGTGCCCGTTTGTGTACTTTTTTCGTTCCTCAATGACGGTTATTTTTTTACGATGCGCCATTTTGACGGATGATATTTACTAATTGTTTGTGGTTCTCTCTGAACTGTAGCTGGTGCTGTCTCTCACAACGATGTCGAAAAGAACTTGGGTCCTGGTGCCCAACCCGGTACCGTTCCTACCGATTTGGAACAGGCTACTGGTTTGGAACGTCAAGAATTGCTTGCCAAGCTCGAAGGTCGCGAATTCTTCGACATGGAAGCCTTGGACATGACCCATCTCGGTACCCCCAAGAACCCCGTCGTTGTCAAGTCCCACGACCCTATCCGCATGGTCGGTTGCACTGGTATGTAGCATTGAATTTTGTTCTGTAGCCATTATTATCAAGAGAACGAAGAAAGAAAGAGGGAACTACAGCCTATATGTGTGTGTGTGTCTGTGAATTGGGTGCAGACATCTGGCAATGCAAAACAAATAGGAAGAAACGGGAAAGAAAAGAGGGGCGCCATTATTCCAACGGCATTATTTTCTAACCATGAATTGCATGGCATAATCAATCATAGGTTATCCTGCTGAATCCCACGATACCATCTGGATCAACTTGGACAAGTCCCACGAACACGATCGTTGCCCCGAGTGCGGCTCCGTCTTCAAGATGGACTTCATCGGCACTGAAGATGCTGGTCACCACCATTAAACGCAGCCGTCATTCTTCTCTCCATTCTTTTCACATCGATAATCTCTCTCAAAATACAAGTTTTTAAAAAAGAAAAACTCTAAAGAAAAAAGAGAATAAGCGACATCAGGCAAAAATAAGACGCTTGACATATTTATACACTTTTAGATAAAAAAGTCATCAGTCCTATTTTCCAGATCTGAAGACAGAAAAAAAAAAATAACAAGTTATTTTCTTTTGTTTTAAATTCTCAGCGTTGCTTCACGGGTTTTTTCTAGTCTTGCAAAAGAATCCATCTGTCAGGAAATCGAACACTTCCCTTTTGTCCCTTGAAACGGAGCATCTGTAACCATGGGATCTGTTACTTACTGATTTCAACAGCTGTAAAACGCAAATGTATTCCAAACACACATATAAAAAGCATAAATGCAGTTTGTGAGGACTGATCAGCCTTTTTGCAAGCAGTGATCCCTGTTTGTATTTTTTTCTACTGTTCCATGCTTGCTAGATGTTCTCTCAAAAGCGATAACATTTACTGTGAACGACATACTTTACCACACGACTGTAATCAAATAACAATGGCTTCACAACTGTACCATGGAATCCATTAATGCCTACGCGGTATCAGGTGACGTACGCTTTGAGTTGCTATTTTCTTTGCTTGGGTCGTGTAAGACCGTTGAAGAAAAACCTCCGTACACAAAGAAAATGATCTGTCTTAGAGACATTTTAAAATTTGGTTCAGTTGGCGAATAAACGACGCACTGTATGTCTCTTCATGATGTTCCCCATAAAAAGTTTCAACGGTATCTTTTTATTTATCGGATCCTCATTCATACCTTATAAATAGTCTTGACGCTATAATTAAAGAAGATATCATTAATGATTCATCTAACCCTTAGCATCTCTTGTGAGCCTGGCATCTTTTGCATTGCCATAGATCCTCCAGTAAAATTGAAAAAGCTCATGAACATTTCAAGGTAGCCCTGTTTTTCGGAGATCAAACCGGACGCCGATCACTATCATGGTTTGGCAGCCTGGCTTGCAGAAAGTACAGCAAGATGGCGGTAGAAAGGCTGCAAAAGGGGACAATGACGAATGTTTCTCAGGAAGCTGTATATATCAGAGTTATAGGCAGTTTTTAAACTTGGGCGGAACACTGAAAATACCAAAAAAAAAAAAGCAGTAAGTATAAAGTAGCTCTACTATTGTAAGCGTACCGGATCCAAAGTTTTTTTTTTGGGACTCTCGGTTCGCGATCTGCAGAACAGCCTGGAATCGCAACTTAAACGGCAGCTGGATAACTAGATCCATTTGCTGTTGCTGGTTTCATGATAATATAGGCTAGTTACGCTGGCGGAAATTTTCGTGCCTTAAGCTAATAAAAAAAGATAGACCCGTATCTAGTTTGCAAAGAAGGAGGAAGCTCTGGGATAGGTAGTCATATGAGAGCAAGAGGCACTGTCAATAAGTATATTCTGTAAAACGAAAAACCTTTCATCCCAATATACTGACGTTGATTTGTTATTGGTCTGACTTTGGACCACTTTTGTAGTTTATAACTGCGGCTGAGTTTTTTTTCCACAAGAACAACATCTGAACATATAAGATCGTATGGTGTCGTGGTACAAAATGAACATCCGCACAAATTTGATTTTCACAAAAAAAGAAGCTACAATAAATGAACCAAGAAAACAAAAAAGTACACTTGAATGAACTGTTTTCTATATTGGATACATCAAAATAGACTTTGGATGGCGGTAACAAAAGGATTGTGTATTATAAGAAAAAAGCCTATTTGGCCGTGCCAACTAAATGTGGGTTTTTAAAAACTACGAGTGTGCGTTGCCATGGGGTTGCTATTATTATCCAAATCAAAGGAAGTCGAGAAAATGTCACACAGGAACCCAAAAAAACTAGATTCGAGAATATGAAGTATTTCTGTTATTGTATTGCTTTTCTCTTTCCCTTCTCCCTTTCTCAACCTCTTTTTTTTTGTGTCAGAGCGCTTTCCACAAACACACACACACACACGCATACGCAAACTCTCTCTCTTTACTAACTCGCTTGATTTGTGCTTGGTCCGTGTTCTTCCCTCCAGCCCTTATCCTTCCCCTTCCATTTCCTTTCTTGTTCCCTTTTTTTTCCCCTCTTCTTTCCTTCTTCTTTTGATGAGACTTGATGCATTTTTCGATACAGCCCATTCTTTTTCTCCTCGTGTTCCTCAGTTCAACCATTTTTTGTTCAGGTTAGCTTCCAGCACTCGGATTTGTATTTCTTTCGATTTCTTTTCGTTAACCTATTCTTTCGATTCGCTCGTCCTCCTACAGAGTTAAAAAGCAGCTCTGAACATGCCAGAGGTAAAAATTGAGTCCTTTTCTTTTTTTTTAAAAAAAAAAAAAAATATCAAAACTGGTGTATCAAAATAACAAAAAACTAATGAATGAATTTTTAACTCCCAGGGCATAGAATCATACCGAGGTCTGTCGCGGCGAGTAACTCCAAGATCACTACGACGCCGACCAAGACGAAATCGGTCCCTGTCTCTTCTGCCAATTCGTCCGTGGTTGACTGGAAAAATATAGGACACAATGTAACGCAGATCTGGTGTTCGACCTCGACTTACACACACAATCACCAGAAAACAAGCACGGTTCATTGTACACCGACGGTTGTGTTTGTCCCCTCGGGAGGTTTCCACGCACATGCTGTCGTATCAACCGGTCTTCCATCGCACACCCCAACTACGAAGAAGAAAACTCACCACAAACCTTCCAAAAGCCACCACTCGAAAAAACATACGAAAGCTACCCCCACACCCAAACCATCCCATTCTGCAAACAAACATGGCAATGGCCACAAACACGGATCCAACGACGAGAAAAAGCACCACACGAAAAAAACAACCACGACGACGACTATAACCACCACGGCCAAGGCCTCAAGCACACCGTCGACGACGGATCGAAATGTTAACTCACCGATCACCGCTTCCTCGGAATCGCCTTCCACGTCTCAACAGATCCCAACTGATAACACGAACACCCAGAATTTCGGTGGGCAACATAATCCATCGGATACTAACGGCACTGATGACGACAATGGCAACGGTGACTCGAACCATGATAGCAACGACGGCAGCGGTAACGTTGACAGCAATAGCGACCAAGACAATGACGGTGACGACGACGACGACGATGATGACGATGGTTCCTCAGACACCAATGCACCATCCGGCGGCGACTCAGAAGGAAGACCGGCCATGACAACCACGGCTGGCGATGCTGCGAATAAGCGCAATGAATCTGAAGCTGTTGCTGGAAGTATCAGCAATAGAAACCTCGGGATTGGTTTAGGTGTCGGTATTGGATGTGTTGCCGTAATAGGCTTAGCAGGCTTGCTGGTTCACAACCGTCGTAGACAACAACGTGCGGCTTCGTCCTTGGATGAAAACGTGAATACACGCTGGCGTCCTCAAAGTTTCTTGGGCGTTGTCGCTTCCGTTGTCGCTAAATTGCCACGAACACCTTCACAACGTAGCCAGGGATCGGCTTCTTCTGCAACCCATTTCCGCGCCGCCACGGGCACAGCCATTGGGTCAGGCTACGGAGCTGTAGAACATCCTTCACCCGACCCAAGCCTCCCGGATCAGCACGGTTACTTTTCTCAACCACCGCCCCTATCTCGCTTAGATGATCATGCTCAACCTCAAATGCAAGAAACGCGCTATTAAACATGGTTTCTCTTGTTCGACCCTTTTCTATCTTTTTTATCTTTTTCTCTTTTTTACCATTATTATCCAGGTGGCTTGATGTCAACCAACCATTTCTTTAACATTTTATTGCTATTTAGATTGTGCATCGATTAAAGCAGGGGATGCTCGTTTATCCTTTGATTTTTCTTGTTGATTTGTTTATCGGTCCTCGTACGGCTTTTTTTTTTTGTTCACGTCTTTTTAGTTTGATTTATTTCGTTTGCACAAGGGTAACTGTAAACAAACAACCAGCACGAGGCAATGGTAGGACAGAATACAGTTGGAGGACGCACAATTTGAATCATGGTACGATTTGCAGTGGCAAAAATCGTCATGAACCGGGGCCAACCTCGCGGATCTCTATTTAACCCGTCATTCAATTTGATTGAACAAGTAATAAGGACCCACCGTAGCATTTCTCGATTGCGCGGCATTTCACTCGCATTTTATTTGTATCATCACAGTCCGTGCGTCATCTCATTCTCCAATAGGAAATACTGACATGTGTGTTTATGTAATCAAAAAAAGAAAATCAATGGTTCATCGAATCTTTCTTTGGATTATATTTCCACACATTCAAATACTCGACAATGACCATCACTGGTCATACGCGACACGGGATTAAGTGATAATTTATTTTGAGGGAGTGAATGAATGAAAGTGAGAAATGCAAGTGCTACGGAATTTGCAGATCTTCAATATTCTTTTCAACAAACATTTCTACGCCTGTAGAGGGAATGCCATTGCAGAGGACGACGAGATAACCGGATCCTGGAGGGAAAATAGTAGGTTTGGGTGGTGCTTCGATTTGGATAGATTGCATATCAGCTGCCACGGTATGGCGAAGATACACGTAGCGTTGCGACATGTGCATGGAATGCGTGCTGAAACCTTGCCGTAACAGGCCAACCTTGATTTCGGGGTTTTGGCCCTTGAACTCGCCGAGGTTGATAAGCACTTCAAAGGTCTGATTGTAGGTCACGACACGGGGGACATGCGATAGCAAAGGTCGGGTGCGTGTTTGGAATAAATAAGGCGGGGAAAAATATTCTACGCGGAACTCGGTAGGATATTCGGCCGTGATGTTGGGTGGATCCACGTTATTGGAGCCCGCAATCCAGACGCGGCCGTCAGGAAGAGTGAGCGCCACCGAATGATACATGCGCGCAATGTCCGTATCAGCCAGGCCTGTGGTCCATCGCTTACCGTGCTCCAAGGTACCGTCATAAATAATAGGATCAAAGGTAGGATCAAAGTTGCGTCGGTTATACCCTGCCCAACCACGCTGGCATCCATTCACCCATAAAACGGTGCCGTCCAGCAGTATGACGCCATCGGGCATAAGCCTCTTGTGTACAAACGTATCCATCTCCCATGAAGGGTCTTCATCGCCCAGATTGATTCTTCCACACGTATCATCCGCGGGGCTATTGTTCTTGGGTTCTTTGGATCCTCCGCAAACAAGGATTTCGACATTATAATCATTCTCAGGGTCCAGCGGTAACATCACAGCACCTCCGGTCAAAGGATAAGATCGCGGTACTCCTGGCATATCAGGTAATTTCTTGACAATGCGGTTGTTATGATAATCAAAGATCATGGACTTTTTACTGGCGAAAATAAATAAGTTGCCATTGGGAAGCAGAAACACAAATGGATATCTAGAAAGCAATGGCGATCATTAGACATGAGATCATGTGATCATCCGAGAATCTCAAGACACTTACAAATTGTAAGGAAGAGTTTCCACCAAGAATGGCATGGGTATGGGAGCGTCTGATCTGGGAGGCCAGAATTCATAGGACGCCGAGTTGATTTCTGCTCGATTATATTTCGTACCGGTCGTCGATCCTCCAAGGATGAAAAGATCGCCTTCCGGAAGCTGTTCGACAGTCGGGTACCAGCGATTATTGTACATTCGATTGGTCTTATATTCGTGCCATACACACGAGGCGTCAAGGCACGGTTCGAAATGACGAATCGATTGGTGACCTCGCTGTGCTTTCCACATACTCCGACTTTCCGCTCCTCCTGTGCTGATAAAAGTGCCGTTGGCCAAAAAGCCACCACCCGAACAAAATGTGTTGGTTTCCAGCAACAGCGGTCGATACGTATCCGTATCAAGATCGTACAGCGTTGAATAGGCCGGCACACCCGAATCTAGTTGGGCCTCATTCCATTCGGCTAAACGAAAAAAAAGGAAGTTGGCATAACAAATATGAGACGTCCAGTCATCAGACCTGTTTCAATTTTGTCCTTTTGTACCTTTGTCTATAATAAGGATTTTTTTCTCACTTGAGAAAACAATCGGATCAATTATCTGTCACTATGCCACCAAGTATTTATCAAGAGAGACTTACTTTAGCAGAACAGCGTGCATGGCAGCCACGCCTGTTCTTCCTTTCTGAATCATTCTCCCCGTCTTGGCATAAGGCGAATGGTATGGTTCCTGGATCGACCATTCGAACGGCCAAGTCGCTTCATCTTGTGCTTGGACTTTGCATAACAAAACAAAAAATAGAGTGACGGATCTACTAAGATGAGACAATCGCATGAGGTAGAGTCCGAATCACAAAAAACCAAAATAGCCTCAACATCTATTTCTGGTGTTTGTCGCCCCTTTTCTATGCTTCGGCGGAGAGACAATCTATCCAGCTTCCGTTCTGCCATCTGAAAACTTTCATTGGACGACTAGAATGACTAGACGCTTTTTGGCCGAGTCTCTGGGCCATGAACACTGGGTCCCAGATCAGCCTTCCTAACAACTGCGGACGAAATATTTTAAAAATATTGTGCCAAAGGCTATCTTTTTTGTTTTGTTTGTCCTCTGGTGTGTTGCTATGGAGTCATATACCAGATCTGCAAACGTTCAACTGTTGTCCTCGTTAATTTGGATACAGCTTACCTGAAATCACGAAAGTTCAAATCAGATAGAGGAGCAACAAATCAAACTGTGTATTTAAGATGGATAAAGTTTGTTCGAACCATGGGTGATCTCAAACTTGCTCTCAAATTCGTTTGGATACCGTAGATCCCAAGAAAAGAGAACCACAAGTTACTTACCAGAAGAGATGGACCGCGAGGCCGGTCCGCTTTCACGTTATAATTTTCGCTATTTTTGGAAGCCTATAGAGACCTGATGCCCACAAAGTTTCAAACATAACTTTACTGAAGACATGGTCCATTTGTGGTAAATCCTTTTATAAAAGCGACTTTGCATGTCTTGGGAAAACATTATAATCATCCATGATGCTTGCACGTATTCTTTGGCGCATGAAGTTTTCATACATTTCCCACCCTGGGTTTAACACGGTTACAATGACTGGATCAGCGCTACTCTCGACGGTTGTAACTAAGTATGTGATTTGCAATACCAAAATCCCTGTCAAGTTCCTTTTTTTTAAAAATAAAAAAATCGCCTCATTTTTCAGAGTTTGAGGATCGTTATCAACGATATCGTTTATATTTCATAAAAGACCTGCTCCATGCAGGTTGTTGGAAAAGTTATGAAGGACGCTCAATAAACTGCAACGCTTCTGATTGATCAAAGAACAGATGCCCGATCAAAGAAGTTTTACAAAACGTCATTGACGAGCTTTCACGAATGTGAAAGGAATGCCTAATGCTCCGTACAACGTAACTTCGGCAAGTAGCTCCGCAATTGAGGTAGTCAGCGACACCCAAGGCTTCATACACACAAAGAGACGTATTTGAAGTCTGCTCCATCGGAGGCCTTACCATAAATTGATTGGATGACGTTCATCCGATCGAATGAAAAAACTCAGCAATTACGCACGTCCCTTCTCATCTCCCGATTTGGGAATCGGGCTTCCCTGTCTGTCCATCAACTCAAATGTCAAATTGGCAGGCCCAATATGCAAGCAAGCGTTATGGTGAAGGCGGTGCTGGTGCAACTTACAGCTCCTTTGCCATATATTGTGCCCTTTTCTTTACAGTGTGTGGCTGCTCCCTCTCATTGTATTCCATTTGGCTTCAATGGAAGCATTACAGGAAGCCGGCAAGTCAATAGGCTCCATGGCAAGATCCACATGATCCACTAACATTAGCCCTTTTTTGCAGAATCAACAGCGACAAGTGGTCCGAATATTATGGATGTAAGTGATAGTATGATGGAAATCTCTGTCAGAGACATGCAAAGGCTCAGCAAAGGAGTTGCTATAATGTAGGGTACCGATCTATGGTGTCAGCACTTTTATCTCTTTGGTTTCTCTGGATGCCGCCTTTTACGTTGACACCTTTCGAGACATTTATGAAGCATTTGTGATCTATGCATTTTTCAATTTGTTGCTCAACAAACTCGGAGGTGAAAGATCGCTTATCAACATGCTTCACCGCCGTCCGCCGTCCAAAAATGTTTTTCCTGGTACACTTTACTCGTCCGATATCCATCTGGGAGATCCATACACATTTTTATTCGTCAAGCGTGCTATTCTGCAATTCGTCTACATCAAGCCCGTATTAGCATTGATCACCATGCTTATGAAAGCCATCGGTTACTACGACGAAAACAACCTTAGCTTCACAAGCTCGTATCTGTACCTGACCTTTTTTTACAATATCAGTGTATGTCTGAGTCTTTGGAGCCTGATGGTGTTTTTCCATGCGACAGGAGAAGATCTTGTCAAATTCAGGTACGTTGTTTCGCGATTATAGTAACCTTTCTTTTCACCAGTGACCATGTTCTTACGCGATATCGCACCATAGACCCTTGGCAAAATGTTTGTGCGTCAAGTCCATCATTTTCTTTTCTTTCTGGCAGAGTGTACTTGTTGCCTTTTTGGTGCATCTAGGTGTTATTGATGGTATGTTTCGCAACTTTAGAACTGTTTACATGCTACATCAGAATTTATCGTTTGTACCCTGTTTGTTAGGTAAGCATCAGCATACAGCAGTAGCGATTCAGGACTTTCTCATATGCTTGGAGTTGGTTCCTTTTGCGATAGCGCATTCGTAAGTAATCAGATCTTAATGTGCACAGAAATGAGTCCTATGGGGTTTGATAATTGTTGACACTTACTTATTCGCTGCGCCTGGATATTAGGTATGCTTTTTCGTACAAGGATTATTACGATGCGCAAGTTCATTCTGCACGAATGCCTTTGCGGTATGCTTTGCGGGATTCCATGGGATTAAAAGATGTATTGATGGATTCATTGGACACATTATCTGGTGTTCGATTCAACTATCGCGCTTTTGAACCGATGGATGGTGTGCCCCATGCTGGCAATAGTCGTTCGGCGCGTATCATGGCGGGGCTTCGCTATTCTCGGACGAAACATAAAAAGTATTGGATTGATCCCGTAGATCCATCGGCTTATCTGCCTCAGGAAAACGACCTCGTACTGGAAGCCGCGGTGGACGAAGATCTCGAACCGTTGACTTTTGATGATCCGCATTCGGACGACGAGATCGAGCAGCTGTATATCGAGAGCCGTCAATGGAGTTTTGGCGATCCCAACTATCCCGTCATTGATTTTCAAGCTCCCTTGGCGCGACAGGCAGAATACCATCACTATGGTGGTACGGATGATCTTGAAGTTGCGCGAGCAAGTGACTCCAGTATTTATTCCCGATTCTCGAATGACAGCAGTGATCGAGAACAAGAACCGAGTCTCTGTTCGCGAGAAGGTTGTATAGATGTAGTGGTGCAACGTGGAGAAGACGACTTTGTTGTCGCTGAGGATTTGAGTGCGGAAGACGAACAGGACACATACGATATACCCGGCGACGTCTCGTCATCAAGGAGATCCAGTGAAACCGTGAACGGTTCAAAGGCAATATCCGTGGTACTAGAACATCAAACTGATTCATCAGCCAAGCCTACATGGCTTGAGCACGACGGTGGCTACATTGCAGAGGAAGCCGAGCGCGTCCTCACCAACGACGTTTGGAAACAGAAATCAGGCGTGTAAATACTGTCAATCCCCACTAGATAATATTATTTATTCTCTTTTTCATCACGACTTTTTGTAAATATAGAAAGTAGGTCTGTGCAATTTCCTTTCTTTTTTTGTGTAATTTGTATTTTGTATCTTGTTTATGGCCCCTTTCCGTATGAAAATTGAAAGCAATGTACGATTTACGCCGCGTATCCCAAATTCTGACAGAATCAAGATATACGCGTATATTTCATTAAATACCGTGCGTGCGTTACTGTGTCGAGTTTGCCTTTCACAGAGAGCGGTGTGTGTTCTGGATCCAGGGACAATGTGTATCATTGTGACGCGGCAAAAAAAGGGAAAAAAAGAAATCAATTTATGTGCGCGACTTTCCGAATTCTTTGTGTTGTATAGTTTGCTTGAAGAGAGGACGCCATGCCAGATACGAAAGCGACCGTCACCTTGGAGAGGCATCTCCTCAATGTAATGTTCAATCAATCGCTTTTCTCTGATTTAGCGCTTGTCTTTCTCCATCCTTCATTTCCCATTTCCATGCGCTTCGACGTTCACAAAGCCATTCTGTGCCAAACCCCGTTTTTTCACCACTTGCTACGCAACATTGACCGTATCCCCACCAAAGGTCAACCTTCCGTCCAGCAATCCGGCTGTGTCACCACGTTAACGATCGATCTCGTTCAAGCATTCTCTCACCGTGGATTTGTGCTTGCCCCATTCCAGCATATTATGCGACGCAAATGGCAGAAGCCGATCACTGCTGTTCCCACCCCCAACACGCGAGCTGCGAAACCTACGGAGCAGCCAAGTCACCTGCTAGCGTCTCACATTCGCTTCGTCTTGCGATGGCTATATTGCGTAGACAAAGAAACCATGGTGCAGGAGATCGGCAGCGAAGATACCCTTCGTATTTTATCGGTGGCAGTACTGTTTGAAATCGAAGATCTGGCACAAACTTGTGTCGATATGTACACAGCAAATCAGCTCTCTATCACAACTATCATGCGCGACTTGGAACACATATGCCAACTGCCCCGATCGCATGCAGCTTACTTACAACTACGAGACGCCACCCTACTGCTGCTCTTACGTTGCGGTCCCAAACACGCCGACAGCCTTGCTTTGCTTCCTGTCGATTACATGTCCGATGTCTTGAGTGCCGATCTCTTGTACGTACGTTGCGAATTTGAACGGTACTGCCTCTTGCGTGCCGTGTTGATGGCATTCATGCAATCGGTTGGAAAAATTACGTGGACTCCGTCGGGTCCTATCGATCAGGACAACAAGCGACTTTCTGGCTTTGTACGACCAATGCAACAAAAGGATCCAAAATTCAGTCGTTTCCAAGGCGCATCATCAAACAATGAGGTCCAGTCCTTGACGGCCGAAACGGTCCGTTCACGAAAACGCAAACGCATTCCCTCTGAAGAATTGGAGGACTCGGAGGAAAGCTTATCCAGAGCGCACGAACGATCTCGACCACGATTATCCCGTCTCAGCTTTTCTGCTTGCGTGCCTTTCGAAAAACTGGTGGCCGATGCCTCCTCGGGCGGTGTCATTGATAAAGCCACCGTGCTCTCGTACCTGCTTCGCACCACCGTCATTTACAGTAACATGACATTCGACCAATTAACCACGGTTCGACAAGATGGCATTGTAGACGAAAGCATCGTGTTCCGCGCGTTATGGCAACGCGAAGCATTGGAAAGATTAATGTTCCCTCGTCATTTCCAGCTAAGCCAATCCGAAGACGATGGACATGAAGCCAATAATACCAACAACAACGAATCAGAAGGAGCTACGGAAGAGCGAAACGCTGCACTTGACGAATACTTTGATGTGGATCAATCGGACCATCAGGAACGACGACGACGGTTGCTCTTGGGAACCCCTCGCTTCCGTTTCCGTGCATCGGTTCACATTACTGCTCCTTCGGTGGAGAATGAGTGGGAGATCATGAAACCCGTGGTATCTCCTGTCACGGCAAACAAGGACACCGCCAAAGGCAGTGTATCTCCGACCGCGACCGTTCACGAAATTGATTCCAACGTTTCCGAAGATGAAGAGGAAGCTTCCTCCAGTCAAATCCAGCTATTGGCTGTAGGCTCTCAAGAAACGTCTGCCTCGACGACGAACAAGAACGAAATGATCTACAGAAAAATGTTTTATTCATCGGTGGAGACGGTGCTTGGCACGCCTTATCGTATTCAAGTGGAAGCTCAAGTGCTGCCGCGTCGATTACTGCATATTTCCGATGACGCACGGGATGCCGTAGACGCTGCAACGGGGGAAAAACGGGTGCTTGTGTGCCGCTTTGAGTTGCAACGTGATATGCGAGTCATTGCTCAGGAAAAAATGTCAGAAGTCAAACAAGAAAAACCAGAACAAGGGCTCGCCTCTTTATCCGTGCAAGAACAATCATCGAAAAAGAAGTCCGAATCTACGGTCTTGCGCAAACAGAAAAGCATCACCATCCCCAAAGAATTACCGGACACCACCGTGCACTCGCAGCGCTCGGTTCATTCAAACACTCACGCATCGACTTCCTCGTCCCAAAACAGCCATTCTCGCCGGGGTGTGTCGAGCCAGTTGGCGAAACAGACCAAAGTACGGTATGCGATCTATTGTTTGAATCAGCACGAAGGACTGGTGGAAAACAATCGAATTGACCCGGAAGATCGGGTAATGGTTCCTGTCACGGAACAGGCGGAACACAATCACGATGAAACGAGCGAGACAGAACCTTTTTCGGGCTATGTAAGCCAAATCATGGTCAACAGCCATCGTCTGGATGAAGGAATCAATATTGATGCCATGGTGGCTCTGGAAGTGTTCGATTTCAAACGTGTGTAACCTGTCTCAAAAAGAAATTCAAATGACGCTCAACGATCGGCGGTCGCACAGATCGAACTCCGATTTAAAATTTACTTAGGCTAAATGGCTGGATGCCCATCAATTTATCAGTGACTCTTTGTAGATAGTTCCAGACTGAATGAACGAAAATAGCAACAACGGGGTAAGCCCAAAGTTGTCTTTCCCAGTAACTTTGGCAACCTGCAATAAAAAAAAAGTAACCGTTGCAACAAATTGCTATGATGAGTTTCCATGGGATGTTTGACAGATCTCTGTGGGGTTGTTCGGAGAAGTCGCAAAAAAAAAAATCCAAGGAGTGTCTGTGAATAGAAATGAACCGTCATCGCTCTATTGCTTTTGTCTTAGTTTCCTTTTTTTGGGATCGCCGTATAAAAAAAAACAGGTCGAAAAGCTTGAATAGATTGAAACGGGGCTATTTTTCTTTTCTCTTTTTTCCTTTCACTTTTTGTTTCTTTTCCTTTCTTTTTCCTTGGCAGAGAGACGATGGCGACAGCGCACTCTAGTCCTTTGCAAACTCGCCTTGCTATCCTTATATCGTCTGCTGTGCTTATCCTGCTATGGATCTTTGTATGGTCAGCCGACGATGGCCCAGGGACCAAGGTCCCTGTTAACAGCATCAACGACTCTCGGTCTTTGCGTGACGATCGACTGCCTCTCCCTCCGTTGTCCGATAACCAGACGTTGTGTACGGCAGATACTTTCAACGATGGCACATGGGTTCATGAACCTCTGTATCTAGAATCCGATACACCGGCGGCTATCGATATGTGGACAGGGTACCAGTGTGCCGGATCTTTTCCTCACAAGTGCTATCAACGTCTCCATGAAGGCCATGAATTCCAACGTAGCAAGACCATGTAAGCTTACTTTCTCATCTTTCTTTGACATGTGTCATATGGTACTCAACTCAATCGTTGTCATATTTTCGTGATACGCCCAGACTCGATTATCGATGGGAGCCCGCTCAGTGCATACTGGCGCCGTTCCATGCTCGACTACTTGCAGATCATCTTGCAGAACACCCCCTGTTATTCGTGGGCGACTCCATCAATCAGTTGCAGTTTGAAAGTTTAGCTTGCTTGCTTGGGCGGGATCTTGAAAGTCCCATGGGAGATACGAACATGACAGGAGGACATCCTGATCGGTGGGTGAGCCAGTGGGTGCACAAAAAATATGTTGACAAACCAGGTGCCGTGACCATGGCGTACCTGCGCTCTGACTATTTGGTGCGATTGGACGATTTTAAAATCATGGAACCGATGGACGAGGAAGGCTACCAAATTGGGAGAGGAAGCAACTTTCCTTGGTAAGGCTATTATCATATGAGACTAGATTCAAACGGGACTTTTTCGGTATACTTATCGTTGCTGCAGGGCGCATGTATTGCCACGGTTTGATTACATCATTCTGAATACGGGACCTCACTGGCATCCTGATTTGAAATGGGGACCCGACCGTTCTCGAGACGAGTTATTGGCATCCTTCACCGAAGCTATGGGCGTCGTGTTTGACTATTTGAAGAAGAACGTGAAATCGCATCAACGCGTATGGATCCGAAGCACCCCTTACGGTCACGCCCGATGTTCTCGTTTCAAATCCCCAGATACCGTACCACGACCGCCTACTGGCAAAGAAGGCGAATACGAGTGGGATATGCTGGAAAAGTTTGATCATGTGTGGAAGGTAAGAAAGGCGTACCATTTTGGCCATGGCACATACTCATGACGCGTTGTCAACAGCAATGGATTATCGATGAGAACGATGATCGTTTCCACTTCCTCAATGTATCTCTATCCAACTTGCGTGGCGATGCTCACTCGCGTCCTGATTCCGATTGTTTACACACATGCTTACCAGGTACTTTCACATTTGCTGCTACGTATCACTTTAAGTAGAGGAGAACTTATACTCACCTATTCTCTAGGCCCAGTGGATGATTGGAACAAACTGCTATACAGCGAGATGGCTCGTATCAGTGCTTAGAACGTCCATGGCTTGTGCCACCCTCCCAAATATCCAACCTTTTACCCTTTTTTTTTTACATGTTTCCCCTTTTCTCTTTATACGATCTCAAATTGATCAGCCTGCTGCACATCAATATTTAATTTTTTCTTTTCACTTTATTATTTCATCACCATTGTACCACATTATAAAGTCAAAACGATTACCAACTCGAGCTCTTTGTGCGTGTATTGCAGCACCAGGTATATTTTTTTATTCATCAAGAAAGCGGCGATGATGGAGCCGGAATGAACATGCCATGCAGCGTTCCGTTGGTGGGAATCGCATTGATATTGAGTAGTTTGCTGAGAAACTCAAATACCTCGACGTTGTAAAAAGGTACGACGACCGTTCCAGGATCATACCATTGGGTCAGTTTGGGTCCGCTGGCGATAAAGATGGCTCGCATATCGGGCGCCATATGATCGAAACCATGATTTCCTTTCAGCGTGAAATTGCTGGCGTGCGGTGTCGTTGCGTGTGTGGTAAAGGTGTAACCGACATCCGGGATCACTACAATAGGGGTGATACGGTCCGAGGCACTATAGTGAAACCGTTCAGGAACATTTTCACGCAGATATACTTGGAAATGAGGTTCAGGATGTGATTGGGTGTATTGAACCAGTTCTTGATACACCTTTTGTACCGTGTGTGGAGGAGCATCCGCTTTCGGTCGAAGATCAAGCAAAGGCGCGGCTTCAGTACGTCGCAACAAAGAAAGAGACTCTTTTGAAAGGATGTCGTCGTAAAAGATCAAATTAGACGGCTTGGTGGACGTCATACCATGATCACTTACCTAGTGATTTGTTATTATTTTTGTCAATAAGCGACAATTATGCATTCTTGACTTTTTGGCAGTGGCAACTTACAATGACAATGTGTACGTGATCTTCAAGGTGGCGTACCACTAATTGTTCCATTAGATACCCGATGGCTGTATCGGTTTGTTTCAGCATCGAATCAATCTGAGGAATATAAAGTTGGCGAATGACTTTCAGCGGTAGTTTGAAGCTTTTTTTTTCGGCTCACCTTGTCTCCTTCTGGGCCTTCCGAGTGCCCAGTAGAGTCTACGTGGGGTATGTAGGAAGTGATGAGGTGAGGTCGTTCATGCGTCGGTAGATCAAGCCAACGTAAGGTTGCATCCATGATATCCAATGGTGTGAGTGAGTGGTTAAAGGGGACAATATGATTGGATTGGACAGATGACATGGCAACATCCGAACCAGGCCACATCACTGATCCCCATTTTTTGCCTTGAAGCATCGCAATCTCCCATATCTAATTTTGAAAAAAAAAAACCACGCCACTTGAGTCATTGTGATTATGGGGGTGGAGGGTTGATCGTCATTACCGGCTGTCCGCCCCACCAATGTGGGTGATCTCGAATAGAAGGAGGAGCTGTATAAGAAAATAGTTCGTCGAGATGAGGATCAAAGAATTCGTTAGCGACGATTCCATGGCTTTCAGGGTAGAGACCAGTGACTAGCGTCCAATGATTTGGAAAAGTATTGGGCTTTTGGTTTGCCACATCATCAATGAGAATATATATTTTGTACCCTATTAGATGAAACTTACAGGAAAGGATGGATGCATGTATTCCGCACGTAGACCCTTTTGTGCTGTCATTTACAACGCCTAGTCTATATTCACAGTGGGAATCAGTGGGAGATCATGCTAGACTGACCTAGTTGTAATAAATGTGGTGTGCAATTGCGGTCCAAATAATCCCCGCGGAATCCGTCGAGTGAAATGAAGATCACAGTGGAATCAAAATAATCCGTTCCATTATAGTAGGTGCGTTCTATCACACGATGACCGTGATGATCGTCGTGTGAAGAGGATCCGTGTCCTAATACGGTTAACGTGATTTTCAAGAGGAGAAATAAGAATCCGATGCTGGCGCCAATAATAGAATAGCGTAATGCAGGTTGCTCCTAATGAAGCCCATCCATTCAGTTTCGGTTTCGCGTTCGGATCATTTCTACGATTGCTTAGTTTTATCAACAAACTTACGCATAGCTTCTGAGAATCAGCATTATCTTCCTCAAATGATAAATCCCACCCTTCTTCTTCGTCACTGTAAGTCTCTGTAGAATGTCGACGGGTCATGTCAATACTGCCTTCCTCACCAGAAAGGAGATGATCTCGTTCTTCTGATGGCTCATCATATGTAGTCGATGATCTTTCCTGCTGAAGTTGGACTTCTGCTTCGGGTGGCAAAACATAATCATGGTTGCTCATTGCAAGTAGTAAAAAGTAAAAAATAAAAAGCTTGGCAAGGAATAAGGAGATGATGAATTTTAACTTTTTGCTTGAATTTTTGTCTTGTTCTTTTTGTGTCCTTTCTTTTCGGCTTAAAGTTCCAAGGGGCCAGCAATGATGCTTGGCCATTTCCTTTTATGGACCATGCGTAACTCGCATGGTTGATCTTTTGTCAAAAGAACGAAATGATTGATAAGAGGATTGAATTTGGAGCTTTCATGGGTTTTATAGAGTAATGGATATGATAGTAATACTTATATCTAGATACATGTTAATGATAATAATGATAAAAATAAAAAAGAAAGAAGAGAGATTGGGAATACGATAACTGATAATGCTATAGTAAGTGAATGGTGAAAAACAAGCAATAATAAACTGGCCTCTTCCCGTGGTTTCCAAGATATGATATGGAAAACCAGCGGGGGAAAGGGCTAATACAAATGCAATCAAATAGGAAAAAAAACATGAATCCAAAGAAAAAAATAAGGGCTATTCTCAGTGATGAGGATAGAAATGGATGAACAATATAAGAAGAGATGCAAAGATGCGCGAAACAGCAAATGTTCGTACAAATCTGTCCAGTTATGAAAGTTCGGGATCAAACGTCGTTTCTCGTTGACTCATAAATGGATAATTTCCCATCGTTAACGAATTATTGAATCCAAAATTGTGGCCGAGGTGATTCGAAGCTGAAATACCACTGTTCATATTGTTGGTAGAACCGTTCGTTGTCGACTGACGAATACCCTGTCATCCAAGAAAATCAATGAAAAAAAAAATGGTGAGTTTGCAGACAAGACTAAAAGGACCCTACAAAAACTTACCAAAGGGTTTTTACTAAAAGACAAGCGGATCCCGCCTTTTAGTGAGTTGCTGAGATGTTGGCCATTAAGTTCTTGTAAAGCCTGCGTGGCATAGACGACATCGTCGAACTCAACAAAGCACATGGGGCCATTGGATTTTTGACGGAACGATAAACGTTTGTAACCGACGCATTTTTGGAACAAGGTGATCAATTCATCTTCGACAGTATTGGGAGGCAAATTGCCAACATACAACGTATTGCACGGCGGATTTTGATCGGCCGGATTCGTGCTGCCGCTGATGAGTCCAAAACTACGGTAACCCGTAGGCGAAGTAACGCCCGGTGAAGTCAAACCACTGCCGATCCCCGATCCGCCCCCCAGAGAATTTGTATTGATACTGAGTTCACCAAATCGCGTGGCAAACGCAAAATCATCAGGCGGCGAGGCCATGGGTAGTCGCTGTTGAGACGAAGACGAAGGAGGCGACGAAGTGCTGGAAGCATACGTTTCTTCGAGAACACTACTTAAACCGGTTCCAGACGAAGGCGGCGAAAAGGTAGATGGGAATCCATTGGCGGTGGCCTTGTAGCTGCTGATGAGGCTGCTGGTAGGGCTGAACAGTCCTGCCATACTTGTGAAACCATGGTCAGAATGGGAAGGCGTCGACTTGGACAGATAGTCGAGCGAGTGGGCTTCACTGTCCATGTCAAGAATACTCTTGGAAGAAAAACGATGACCGGTGTTGAATCCGGTGGGCATGCGCGAAGAGGAACTGGAGGAAACAATGGCAGCCGGCAACGGTTTTGTGCCAAACATATCGCCCATGGATCCACTGCGAACATCAAACGATGGGGCGCGTGATGCGAAAATGGAGTCATTCAGCCCCGATGCAGTGGGCGTATTTCCAGGAGAAAATAAATCGTTGTATAAATTCGAGTAAGCAAAATCATTCGAGGGCAACAAGTCGCTAGGAAGAGCTGGCACGGAATAAAAGGCTTCATAAGCAGATGCATGATTTGGATTAGAGTAGCGTTTAGATGGCATATGAGACTGCGATGTTGAATGGGGATGCGGTGCTGGTTGTTGCTGTGGTTGTTGTTGCTGTGGTACTGATGGTGGTTGCTGTTGCGATTGTAATTGCTGTGATGTGGATGACGATGGTTGTGAAACTTGTTGCTGTTGTTGCGATGGTGGTTGCGATAGCGATTGGGATTGTGATGATGCATGTTGTTGCTGTTGCTGTTGCTGAGAAATGATGGAATATGAACTGGAGGCTACAGGTAAAATGGATGGCTGTGAATGCGATTGAAGAGAAGATGGTTGATGCGATGATTGTGATGGTAACGGCGGTTGCTGTGAGGGAAGATCATTCGATAATCCACGTTTTGTGTGAAGGTTCTTTTTGGCCATTTCCGCTTTGAGAACCGAGCCTTTTTCGGCATCCACTTTACGTCCACTTAATATATCTTTGGCTTCCATCGCTTCGAGCCGTGTACGGAATTTAGCAAAACCAATCTATGGAAAAAAAAAAAAAAACAAAAAAAAAAAAACGGGAAATCGATCCCATGGAATAGGCCAAGGGCATGTGAGTGAAAAAGAGATGGGTAGATGTAGTGACAAACAACACTTACGATTTGTTTTCTAGTATTACTGTTATTCCCGTTCATGGCAGTATCGTCGTCGGTTTCTTTGCTGGGGATCTTAAGCGTAGCGGCCTCGAAACCAGGTGAAAATATAAACATATTTTGAAATTCACGTTCTTGCATGTCGTCCGGAAATCCTACGACAAAGATGGTGGAGATTTCTTCGGGGTTGGCGGAATTCGTATTGCCGCCATTTCCGGCAGTGGTATTAGCGACAGTGGAGCCATTGACCGGCAAGGGACAGGCACCGTTGGTGGCCGGTAAAGGATGAGCAAGAAATGTCACCCCGTTGGAGATGGCGGAAGGAGGAACCGAATGACCATTTGTCATGACGACATTATAGTATGCGTTACTGAGGGGAGCTGCAGAAGGTGGCATGGACAACAGTCGAGAGCAAGTCGGCGGTTGCACTGTATTGAGAATAGACGTCACTTTTTATGAAGGTTAAAAGGTGAAAATAAGAAAAACAACAAAGAGAAAGAAGAAAAAGCAGGAAAAAAAATAAACGTTCAAAAAGAAACAAGATAAATGTAAATGATGCAAGGAAGAAACAGGAATCAAGTCTGACAATTTAAAATGATAATATGGGCTCAGGAAGAAAAAACCAAAGGGAGGGAAAGCCAAGAAAACAAGAGAGAAAAGACGAAAAAGTAAAACGACTCCGAAAAAAAAATAGGTTTCCTGGACACCAGCCGTAGAAAAGACAAGGAAAAAAAAAAAAAACTGAAAAAACTCTCACACTCGCATGTACTCATTGATCCCATATATGGTATCTTCCAATAGGGTTGCATCTTTCTCGAAAGGCCAGCCACTTCAAATTACTAGCCTACCGAAAACGTATAAATCTACTATGTTGTGTGTAACTTTTCAGATTGGGTGCATCTGCCGTTTTTTTTTCATCTTCTTGTAACCACCCTAACAAAAAACCCCTTTTTTCTTTTTTATTTATCGTTGCCGTTCCTCTATTATGTTTTTCTTCGTGTCCAGAAAAAAAAAATACAACATCATCGACCAATGAAACAATGACTAGCGCGCTGTTGGAAGCCAAAGTTTCATAGTTGAACAAGTAAAGACTATACATTGGATCTTTTCAACAGTTAAAGAAGAATCCTCATTTGAGCTCTCGAAAATACAGTACATCAGGCACAATAACTCATCGCTTACAACAAAACTGTCATTCCTCATACAAATAAAAAAAAAACAGGCATCAACTGCTTCAATAGTTTCATGGACAATTTTTAGCACTCCACACCTCGACCATCAGCAGAAAAAAACTGGGCCATGTGAATGCAAAAACCGGGACGGATGGAAAAACTTTCACCTGACAACAGAGACGAGATGATAAGATTTTAAAAAAGATCTTTTATCCTGTCCCTGAAATTTTGTATGATCGGAACGTTTGATTTATTACGGTGGACTTGCGACACAACCGCCCAGGAACAACTGATAAAGATAACGCTGACACAATAAGGTACAAATTCTTCTCTTATAGGAATCCATTCAGCTTATTTGGTCTCGATCAATGCATTCTTTACTTGGCGGTTTGGGTTTCTCTAAGAAACGATACCGATCATCGGTACTGCAAGCGTCCGCAAATGGTTTCAGACACAGTGAAAATCAAGGAGTTCCTTTTTTTTTGGAGTTCGAAGATGGGGATGTTCGGATAAATAATCCCGCCTCAGGGACCTCATACTATACTATGCAAACAATTCCATATGCCACAAAGTAAAACACGGATGATTCTTGATTAGCACCAACGTCAGCAAGCCAAAAGGGCATCGTGCTGCACCCGAAAATCATGAAGCTGTAAAAGTACAAAGGCGAGCGCGGGCTTTTTGAGGTGGGGGTTTCAGTCGGTAAAATTTCATGATTTCCGCCAACTAAGCCATCCAGTTATCGCCGTTGAAGAGATCTACTTGAGCGTGAGAAAAAACAGGTCATTCTGTATTCTAGCTGGAGTACACCCAACAGCACATGTAATTTCCATCCTGCTTTGGTTTTAAAATTATAGACAGCAAGTCAAAGCATGGTAGAAAGACTGGCACCCGATCTTAGAAAATGAGTTGCCATTTTGAGCAGCATTGAGTTACGGTCACCTTAGCATTTCACGCATCACGAGTTCTCATGTGACAAATAAAAAGAAGTTCTGTCCTGAAACTGTCAGAGAGCAACATGGGTGATGTAGGTCTCCCCTTGCCGATTGCATCTTTTTTTTTCTGTAATATCAATGATACATCTTTCGATTGCATTACCATGCTGTTTGCATGATGCGATCGTACATTACGTTGTTTATATAAATACAGCTCCAAGCAACCATGTGTAAACTTCATTTCAATCCATAATCTATTTTGGGCAGCATTCATGATGTGCTTGCGTCAATGGATCATTTCGCTGCACTTAGAGATACAAGGTTAGATCCAATATTACTGATCAGATGGGTATAATCCATCATCACAACTCGGGAAATATTTCGCTTTAAAATAGCTTGAATTACCTGAATAAGCAAAGAAAGGGCAAACCGAAAAAAAATGAGGCTATGATGTGTTGGTATGGCAAACTTTATTAAAGGTAGTCTACTTTTTTGTGGGCTTTCGGGGTTCGAAATGGGTCGGCAGCTGAGCAGGAGCAGGGCCACTGATCATGACTGGGAAGCATGTTGCTTGTCCTTTCACTGAGGAGGCCATGGAGAGAAAATTAGCTCCTGTCTTGCTTCCCAGGTTAGAACCCCGAAGAACGTCTCATCATCATCACCCAAAGCTGATGGGATTTCAGGGTCTCAAAAAATCTAGAACAATGTGCAAGGGGTTAAAAAAAACATAGGGCGCATTCTCCGAGCATTGGGTGATGACAAGGCTTGTTCAACCAACATAGACTTGTATCCCTATTATAACAGGGTCTCTTCAGTTTGGACGGACTATAATCAAGGTTGAACCGCACAACTCTCGTTGACAGCAAGTGAATTGATAGGTTACAAGAGAAACGAGACCTATGCACAAGAATGGAGGAATATTTATTGTGGATGGCCTTTTGGCGTGTGCCATTGGTTCAAAGGGTAATTGTTGAAGCAAAAACACACACTCTATTTTGCTCAAATGTGAATATAAAATCATCTTATGCAGCATGAAAGTAGTAATTTTCAGGAAATAAGTTTACTGGTGAATTTAATTGAGCATTCCTTCCTTGCTAATACGACAACAGCACCTAATGCACGGTTCCACTGATGGAAAAGCCATTGACGAAAGGGATTGCACTTATGCTGGCACTTATTAAACCAGACTACCCTGGGAGGGTGATGACGACAATAGTTTGACAGTATACCGTCGTGTTTTTGGGACACACATCACAGTAAGACGTACAAAGGAATTCATCAAAAATTAGGCGTGCCCTGGAGAAAGAACTCAACCATTGATTGGTAAACGTTATCCCACCCTACTATATGAAACCATCATTGACTTTTATATCTTGTTACATGAAAAGAATGCTAGATTAAAAATTAGGGGTTAACAAGCACAAAAAAGGCGAGAACTGGGAATCCAGTGGAAGACCTTGTTGAGAAATGTAACATTGTAAAAAATCGTCTACCGGCCATAGCAGACCAAGTACGATTATTTCATTCGTTTTTCTCTTTATTTTCCATTCTTTTTACATTACCGTTACTTTATTATCCTCGTTTTGCTCCAAAAAGCCCAGTTATCGTCGAAATGTATGCAGATCAACGATATGCTCGGTATTTAGCCACGCTTCCAGTGCGCGAAACCAAACATCGCGCCATCACACCGGTAAGGGTGATCGGAAACGCTTTCACTGTCGGGAAGAGCCCGTCCACGTTCTCTAATACATCATGCATTTTGTCGTCCGCAGCCGGAACCTGCTTATTTACTTCAAGACCACGCAAAAGGATTACATGGCTTAGCGGCCAATTTATTCAAGCGTAGGCATTTGATAAGACGTGGTGCAGATGCAGCCATTTATTAATCCTTCAATGACATAGCTACTCTGACAGATCTGAAAGCCGATCATGACAGCCATACAATGATGATCAACATGGGGTCTCCGGACCTCCGACTTGAGCATCCCGATGTCAGCATTTGGCAAGCCGCGGCCAAGGGTGACCTTGACACCTTGCGATATTATATTGATCACAACGAAACGGATCTGGCCGTCTTACTGAACACGCGTGATCCGGAAACCGAATGTACACTGCTTCATCTTGTGATATCGTCTGTTTCTGATCCTTACCCAATGCTGCGCTTATTACTTGAGCACGGCGCGGAACCTATTGCAAGAAACGTATACAATGTGTATCCGATTCAACTATTATCGCTTCATTGCAGCGATCCGCTACCCTCCATGAAATTGCTGTTGGAATATGAGGCCGATCCAAATGCGCGTGACGGGGACGGATGGACGCCCTTGCATTATGCGGCACGATTCTGTCGCGATCCTCAACCTGTCATGCAATTGCTGGTACAACACGGCGCGGATATAAATGCCAAAGATGCCAGTCAACGATCACCGATATTTCTGCTTTTGGCCAATGGAGATCATGCAACCGCATTGAATTGGTTGGTCCACGACGCGAAAATTGATCTTGCTGTGAAAGCCGATTTTCTCGATCCACAGACAAGACGCACCTATGTGGGCACGGTGATCCTGCAGGCGGCCAAGTATGCACGGTTGCGATGTCTCCAATTTTTCGTGGATTCGCCTGCAACCATGTCGAGTCTACGGACGGTTTTGACGGTTGAAGAAGTGTTTCAGGCCATGACGTTTGTGCGCAAACATCAAGCATGCCTTGCCACGAAAGCGGCGCGACATAATACGCATACGGCGAGTCGAAAACTCGTTGAAATGGGACAAACTCTCGAGAAACTGTTGAATGCTATTTCTGTGCAGGAAGAATTACCCACCGAATCTTTACCGGGAAGCGCATTACGCCGTCTCGGCAGCTTGCGACGAAAACCTAGCCAAAGTCAATTTGGTTCACAGTCACGGATACCCATGGACAATGCGCGATCGAACCACGATCGACAGAGAATGGAGGGTGAGAACGATGGTATCGGTCAGAGTTTGGAACGTCGCCCCAGTCTCTTACGACGTATGGGCAGTATTTTAGCACGCCAACGACCAGTAGACAAGCAGCAGACCATAGCATGAATCCATCTATAACAAATTCCGAATAAAGAAAAAAAGCACGTCGCGGTGCCAATCATTCTGTCCAATAATTTATGGCCTTTTTTTTTTCCATGGCTTGGATGGCCATGAAAAAAATCTTGCATCATCCCCATTAAGCGTCATTGTTCGACGTTTTCCATCTTTCTACCTTTTTCCCCTCTCTTCTTATCATTCGTACCATTATTTGCATTGCATTGCATTGAGCGCTTTTTTCCGTCCGTGTCAATAGGCAACAATCATGAGTCAACCCATTGATATCGTCCAAAAGCAAGGATCCAACGAGTCACCCTTTGATTCACCTTCTTATTCACCAGCAAGCCACGAGCGGCACCATCATGCAGGTGGCTTCAGCACATGCTCCTATTGTAGACATCTTGCATACGACGACCCTCACGTATCCGGAAAAGCGTCCATGAGTCCTCTGGAACTTCAAACCATTAGTCTATCCCCACCCTTGGACGAAGTATGTTCAACATGGAAAGCAGCATCAGCCGCAGCAGATATTGATGACAGCGATCAACCATATCCATATCAAAGTTTGATCGGTCTATTTACGGCACCTGACATGGGTGCTTATTTGGCAGATGTCGATATCCAGGATGACGTATCAACTCTTCCTATCCAGCTGCAAACAATGATTAGCGAAGCAAAAGAGGAGGTGATCATCGAACGTACAAAAGCGCAACACCGGCAGCAACAGCAACAGCAACAACAGCCGCAGTCGCAGTTTCACGAAGATGGGGATCATCAAGCCTTTGCATCCGAGTCCCATCCAGCATTGCGTCGTTTGGAAAATCTCCGTGACTATTTATGGATAGCTTCAGGTCACGACAAAGCCAACATTGCGCCCACACTTGGCAAACTACTGCAAAGCGAAGACGAACTGGCTGCTCTGACACAGCAACAAAACTAGGCCCACGGGTGTCTGTGAGCAATTCTTTCAGGGTGTACGAACTCCCCTTTAAGGCAAGGGCCCCAAATAAATACAAAAAAAGCTTCCAAGAAGCCTATGCACGCGCTCCGTGTTTGTCGGAATAACAAACAGAGCGTAAAATGAATGCATGGGTGGAGCAACAGGTGTCACAAACGCCCAGCAAAACCCGGATATTGTGTATGTCAAGCAATCACGTCCTTCGCGGCTGAAAAAAAAATTCAAGCAAATTCCCTCAACACGATAACTTTTTTGTTGATGATAGATCTTCACATGATTCTCACGATAGTCGTTTTTCTTCAGCTTCCCACCCCCAGTACTCCTCCCATTGATCCGTTTGTTGCTACCCCTTGCCTTTGCAATTTTCCCCACCCTTTATTTGTTGATTTATTCCGCATGTGCATCGTTCATCCAAAACTATCCGAAACCGTTTTTCTTCCAAAAAAAAAAATCAAACCGAAACCGTTGGTGCGGGAACACAATTTTTTTTTTTATTCCATTGATGAAATGACCAATAATATCATAATGATACGAAGAAAAAACTCGATGGGGAAAACTTTTCACCCAAGAGGAGAAGGATGAGTAGCCCAATCTTTAGAGCATGGAAGTGCTGCTGCGAGAAGCGACGGCCACTTCGTCTTCCACCATTTTATCAAGGCCAAGCTGTTTATCGGTCCACATGGGTTCAGGTTTAACCGAGTTCATGACCCCGACACCGGCACAGCCACCCTGGGCAACCCAGTCATCGACGCGTTTGAAACCGTAGCGGGTCCAGATACGTTCGAGAGAATCGACCAGATGACCAACCATGGCCATATCGTGTCCAGGAGTAGGCGTAATGCGAAGACGTTCCTCACCGCGGGGGACGGTAGGGTAGTTGATGCTTTGGACGTAAATACCATGTTCAGACAACAATTCGTCGGAAGCCAACTTGGCGGCCGCCGCATCACCAAGAAGCACAGGAACAATGTGCGAAGGGTTGGGGATCACGGGAATACCGATATCAGACAACTGGCTCTTGACCAAGCGAGTGTTCATTTGTTGCATCTGTCGTTCAATGGTTGATTGCTTCAGGTATTTGACGGATTCAAGCGCTCCTGAAACGACCGACGGGGGAAGCGACGTGGTGAAAATGAACCCGGGAGCGTAAGAACGGACCATGTCAACCAAACCGGCGGAACCGGCAATGTAACCACCGACGACACCGTAAGCTTTGCCAAGAGTGCCAGTGATGATGTCGATCTCGTCCAAGATAGCACCGTTGCCACGCATGGGTTGAGCCGCGTTCAAATCGTAATCCAAATGTTCGGCGACGCCAGCACCACGTGGACCATACATGCCAACTGCGTGAACTTCATCCAAAAATGTAATAGCGCCGTACTTCTTGGCCAAGTCCACAATTTCGCGAATAGGACCAATGGATCCGCACATGGAGTAAACAGATTCAAAAGCGATGATCTTGGGCACCGAAGGGTCCACGGATTGAAGAAGTTCCTCCAAATGAGCCATATCGTTATGACGGAAAATCTTTTTCTGAGCGCCCGAGTGACGGATGCCTTGAATCATGGAAGCGTGGTTCAAAGCGTCAGAAAAAATAACGCATCCTGGCATTTTGCCGGCAAGCGTGGACAAGGTAGCATCATTGGCCACGTAGCAGGAAGAGAACACAAGCGCTCCTTCCTGATGATGCAGATCAGCAAGTTCGGACTCCAAACGAAGATGCAAATCTGCATTTCCGGCAATGTTACGTGTGCCACCTGCACCAGCACCATAGCGGTCAAGTGTTCGTCTGACAAATAAAAAATAAATAAAAAAAACCTGTTAGTTATTTGTTTGTCGAATAACCCAAAACCCTAATCCAGCCCGTTGCCATAATAGGTGGATAGTGGATGACTGAATTCGGCCAAACTTACTTCATCGTTTCGGTGAGGACAGGACTACGTCCCATGCCCAAATAATCATTAGCACACCACACAGTCACTTCGTCCTCCACGCGAGCGGTATGAGCCCGTGGGAATTTTTGAGCCAAACGATTGATATTGTTAAAGTAACGATAACTTTTATCTTGATGCTTCTTGTTCAACTCTTCTTGGTAGAAAGCTTCATAATCAAAATGCTTGGATTTTGTATGATGCGATACCGGCATAGAGGTAATATTGGCGCGGGGAACTTGAGAGTGTCCCGATCTGACTAAAAGCGGAAAATAATTTTGCAAAAAAAAAAAAAAAAAAAAAAAAAAATGAGTTTCTGATTTTGTTTTTCTTCGCGATGCAGCCCGCACTCTTTTTTTTTTTTGATGTCATAGACGGCAGTCGCCAAGTGGCGTTTCCTCTTCAGTAAAACATACCAGTGGTGGAAGTAGTCTTTTGAGACATGGGAGTGGCCGTGGTAAGAGACCGCTTGCGAACATTGATGGCTTGACTCATCACTGGACATTGCTTGGCCTTATTCAACAAGGTGGCCGAAGTGCCATTACCAAGTTTACGCAACGACGAAGCGGACGCCACATGCATAAAAGGGCACGATTTCTTTGCGTGCATAAGAGCGAACTCCATTTTGATGCCAAAAACAATGATTTAAAAGAGAAGAGGGGGGAGGGGAGGAGGTTTAAAAAAACGGGAGGAACGATAGAGTAAGAGAGAGAGAGAAGAAGAAAAAAAAAAATCGGCAGCCTCGAAATGAACAAAGAAAATAAAAACAAAAAAAAAAGCCCGACAAAATTTTCAGAGTCAATTTTTTTGGGAATAATTCGTTCTCAGTTTATTCGGCAAAACGTTCACAAGCACCAATATGACCAATCATGATTAGGTCCAAAAAAAACTTTTTCTCATCAAAGTTCATCCTTCCATGCTATAGATTGAGTAGCAAGATTACTCATCGATATCTGTTGTGGTACAATGACGGTAGAAGTAGCGACTAGAGAGGATGAGGAGGAAGGAAGTGATGAAACAGAATTTACGGCCAAAGGCGATTTCTGAGCCCCTGATAACCAGCTGATCCAGGAAATACCGACATCCCACGTTCTTTTCTTAATAATATACAGTACCACCGATGTAAAGAAAAGGAATCCTAAAAGAAGTGTGATACGATCGAACCAGTCGGATGTTTCCAGTTGTCCAATGAGTCGTTTGGAAATCGTTAGCAGGGATCCAAAATTCTGATATTCGCGGTAAGTAGAGGAAAGTGTTTTGGAAGAATCCGCTAATTGGAACGACTTGAGTAAATCAAAGATCGAGGACTGCAAGGATGAAACCAACAAAAAAAAAGTTTTACCCAAAACACTGGTCGAATAAGAGCTTTTTTCAAGTTCTTGTTGCATAAGTGCACTGGTACGGCGTAAAGCATCGGTCACATCGGATGAAGCGCGTAAAACAGCTTCATCATGCCTAATCATACAGGAGGAGATCAGCTTCCGAGCCGATCGTCGGTTGAAATTATTCACAGATGCGATCATTGTCATGGAACCCTGGATTTGAAATCCCAAATTACCCGCTGGAAGAGCGCTGCTTCAACTCGAATTGTTCCGAAAATGTCTTGCCATTGATCCGTGAGGCCGTACCAAACAGCTCTTCTCGATTTCTCTTTTCCAACTGCTGTACATGCTGTTTGGATTTTAGAATGGCTTGCCTTGACACGGCGCGTAAACTATATATACATCATGTATTCAGAACCATTTGTCCCTTTTTTCTCTTCCTTTTTTATTCGCGTCATTGGGTAATAGTTTGGTCAAGATGGATTCAAGCAAAAAGAACGCTTACTGTCGAAGTTGGGTTTCATATTCTGCCAGTCTTTGTAATATTTTCTGCTTTGTCGCTTCACGATCCTCTTCATCGGCCAATTGTTTGATTGCCTAATCATACAGTGAGTCAGCATCAATGCATGGTAACCAAACTTCTTGTCAGATGAAGGTACTTGTATATCTTGGTCAAAGACGTGTAAATCGCTGTGAAGAAGAGCCGTGAGTTCTTTTTGTACTGTCACTGAATCGACGAGGTCAAGGCGTTGAATATGTCGCTGGCACTCGGCTGCGAGTTTACTGAGTGAGCGGAATTGAGTGTCAATGGTCATGGCGGGGGTTATTGGGTCAAGGACACGTCAACCCGCCAAGGTCAGCGCTTGAACGTTGGCGTGTGTCTGAAACCAATGACACGTGTGACTGTCCCCATTTAGGCAAAGCGAGACCCCATTTTAGGACACGACCCACTTTGGGCGCTCAATTTGAGAGCGAGAGAGAGACAGCGAGAGAGAGAGAGATCTTCAGAATTCCTTTTTTTGTTCTGCTTCTTTCCCTCTCCTGCCCACCTCTCCTCATTTGGGTATTCTTTTTACCTTTGTATTCATTCTTCTCTCTTTTTTTTTTTATTTTATCTCTCACTTTCCCTTTTTTTTTTTTTTCCTCGCAGAAAAAGAAACACCCTAGAAAGACCCTATCCTCTCTTTTTTCTTCCTTTTTTTCCTTGATCACTCTGTTGCCTTGCCGACGTCAAAGGGGGAAGCGACAACGGAGAAACCACTTATCTTTCCACCTGAGTTTCTTTTTCACTTCTACGCACCTTATTGTTCCTTTGTTCTCGATTGAGACTCAGGTTGCCATTCACCAAACATATTCCGCCAGTGATCGATCATCTCCTCTTCATCATCATTGTTTCAAGATGACCGATCGTCAACAGGGTATGGTCCAGGCGTATGGCTATCCTGAGACCAAAAATACTACACAGATCGTTTCCAGAGCCGTAGCAGCCGCGGCAGCCAATAGCCATCATTCTAGCCGCAAAGCCGGTCGTGGATCCAAACGGTATTCGGTGTCTGCTTTTTACTCCATGGCGGCTGAGCAGGACAATGAAGTCGAGGATGAACTTGCGCAAGGTAATTTAACAATATTTATCCATTGACATGCCAGACTGTTTATGGATTTTTTTAATTTCTCTTTTTTTTTTGACGATCAGCTCAGCGTGATCTACGAGACCTGAAATCCAAAATATCCGCGCAATCCAAGAAGAACTTTGTCTTGGAAAGAGACGTTCGTTATCTCGATTCGCGAATTGCTCTCCTTATCCAAAATCGTATTGCATTGGCCGAGGTAATCTGTTCGCACATCATAAAAAAAACTCACGTATGATGCATCTTCTTTCAATGGACTGACGTATTCAAAATCAATTGCATGATCATCGTTTCCTCAGCAACATGAAATGGCATCGCGATTGGAAGAACAAGGCGCTGGTAGTGATGACTTTTATCCCGACGATCGGAAAATGCAACTGTACGGCAACTTGTTTTTCATCCTTCAAAGCGAGCCCAGACATATCGCCACTTTGTGTCGCCTCGTTAACTTATCTGAAATTGATCCGCTCCTTCAAACCGTCATGTTTACACTCTATGGCAATCAATACGAAAGCAGAGAGGAGCACTTGTTGCTAACTATGTTTCAGGTATGCTACATGACTTTTTGTTCTCAAGGAAAAAAGGGAAAGTGGTCTTTCCATCATCTTTTTTTTTGTCCCCTTTTCCTTAAGGCTTCTATAATCTCCCAGATCGCTAGATACGATTGGGTTTTCAAGGGCGCATAAGATCGGATGAGATGTTACGATTTTTCTTTTGTTTTGATTCTCCTCAATATGCAAAGGGATGAAGAAGATACAAAGGAGTCTTACACATAAACTAAATAGAACGTGCTCGCTGCCCAATTTGAAACGGCCACTGAATTCGGGTCACTCTTACGCGCCAATACACCTGTGTCTCGCATGATGACCACTTATACCCGACGTGGCCCTGGCCAATCTTACCTCAAATCGGTCTTGACAGAAAAAATCCAAAATCTTGTGGAACATAAGGAACTTAATCTCGAAATTAATCCCCTCAAGGTAAGGCAAAAGCAAAGTACACATCGATCATTTGGCAGTGGTAGGGTGGAACTTGGTGGACCATCAAGAACAAGACAGGAGGCGTTGAGGGAGGCGAAAAAAAATGTTAAAAGATCAACAAGTGGTGGGATTATCTGAAAACAACAGGCACTGACCATCGACTGTTGGAACAATGAATAGGTATACGAACAAATGATCGCTCAGGCAGAACAGGATAATGGCGGCCAACTCCCACCTCATCTTCCGCGGAGCGTCACCGCAGAAATAGCTGCGGCTAATCCCGATGTTCAAGCGATCATTGAACCCCGTATCAAAATGCTCATGGAAATCGCCGAAAGTTTTCTCACCACCATCATCTCCTCTACGGCTTCCGTACCTTACGGTATTCGATGGATATGCAAGCAGATTCGATCATTGACCAAACGAAAAAATCCCAATGCATCCGAATTATCCGTCTGTTCAATGATTGGCGGTTTCTTTTTCTTGCGATTTATCAATCCCGCTATTGTGACGCCTCGCGCCTACATGTTGCTTGACACCGCCCCGGGCAAACATTTACGACGAACATTGACCTTGGTAAGCGAATTTTATTCCCAAAAGAGGCTGTATTTTAGTCTTTCTCTTTACTGATGGTATCATGGGTTAGATTGCGAAAACACTGCAAAATCTGGCCAACAAACCATCGTACGCCAAAGAAGCATACATGTTACCGACGAATCCATTTGTTGATGCCAACAAACAACGGATCAACAAATTTCTCAACGAATTGTGCGAAGTCAGCGACTTTTACGAAACCCTGGAGATGGATCAGTACATGGCTTTGTCGAAAAAGAACATTGAACTGAGTATCACATTAAATGAAATCTATAATACGCATGCACTGGTGCAGCAGCATCTCGACATCATCGCTCCCAAAGAAAAAGACCACATTCGAATCCTGCTAGCAGAGATCGGCCCCATTCCTCCTCAAGTCTCCAGAAAAGAAAACAAAACCATCGAACTTCCCTTGTTCAGTCGTTGGGAAATCCCAATTCAAGGTAAGAAAAATCAAGAAACCAAGACATTGATTGCATACACGATATGAGACCAGATACTTAACGTTGAAGATGTTGCTGTGTAATTTTTTATTTTGGCAGATTTAACCATGGCATTGATGTCTGAAAACAATATTACTCAGAATGATATTCTTTACATGGAAACCAAAGCCATCTATGTGCAGCTGATTCGATCGCTACCTCATCTGGCCCACAGTGGCCTACCGTTAGACCTTGATTACATTGCCGAAACCGCCGCCACGGCCAAGGATGCACAGCTTGTTCGTAAAGGCATCAAAGTCCGAGATATGTTGCGTGATTTGGAGGATGCAGGCGTCATCGATCATCGCGACCATTATAAATTACTGGTGGAGGAAATCACCCAGGAGTTGACCCATTTGGGCAATCTCAAGGAAAAAGTGCTCAACGAGATCCAATCGCTTGAGAGCGTTTACAAAACTATACTTGATCATAATACTTATTTGCGCAGCCAATTGGAAAGCTACAAAGCGTACCTTCAAAATGTACGCATCCAAAGTGGAGGAGAGAAACAGACCAAGAATTCCGTTGGCATTGGTGTCGAGGTCGAAGGCAAAGCCAAGAAACAACATCGAAACCCGGCCCAGGCCTTTAAATTCTCTCATCATCAGCTGGAAAAAGATGGCGTTATCGTGGAAAGCTCTGTTCCCGAAAGCAGGTAAATTTCTATGGATTAACCCGACTCCATCCTGCAGTATTAACCTGGTTTACGTTTTGCTTCTGTCTCTCTGCCCGTGCGTGTGTGTGGATCATGTAAAATAGGCGACCTAATATTTTTTTCTCCATCACGTCACCTCTACCGGGTACATTCATCATTGCTATGCATTTTAAAGGTGAGAAACATAGTGGCGATAGACATCAGGGGATTTGATAAAAGAAACTAATCATTGGCGCCAATGGGTGCTTCAGGTCGCGAGAAAGCCATACTAGAAATGGATCTGAAATTAGACGACTTGCTAGAAAAGGTAATGCATGGTTTGACATGGGAATAGTTCGTGTTACTTATCAGTGCGTCTGTCTGTGTGTAGCAACAAGATAATGTTGAACTGCTGGATCTGGAATACGTGCGCCTGAATGTGTCCAAAATACTGCATGTTCTGAACAAGACCTTTGTTACACGGAATAAGTAAAATTCGCGCGCAACAAAAGCTACTTTGCTCACTATCCATCATATCAAATGATTGTTCGGCTTTCCATTGCCCAGTGGTCTAGCAAAGTCATCATAGACATCTCATTTGGGATTCGGTGATGCGTACATCTATTCCTGGTTTTCACACATAATTTACATCTCGTGAAACAATCAAGAAAGGGGGAAAAAAAAAAAAAAAAAAAAAACTTGAGAAAAAGGTCGATCTACTGTTGCAGACATTTTCTCATCTCAGTCACAGGCTGCAGCCAGTATTTTGAATAATATCGCGGCTTTTTATAGAGAAATAGCGTCAATCATCGTTGGATCATTCAATGCCACATCCTGAGCCTAATATATCTTGCTTATCTGATCGCTGTTATAATGGCATCTCAGCGAAAAATCCGCCGAGGCCTCGACGTGGTCACTACAGCACCGCTCATTATTCGAGAATTGGGTGGAGTAAACTCTTTTTCCCTTCGCCTATCATCATTTCATTGGGGGATGGTTCGACTCAGTTACCATAACAACATTAAGAGTTTTATAAGTTTTTGTTCGAGTCAATAAGATGCATAAATAAATTTAGTTAAAAAGTTAGATATCCGTACCGGCTCTTGTTTTTAAGTTAATCCCCCACACATCATGCCGATGGTTCGAGTTTGTTCGACACACTAACGCTTTTTTCTTTTTAAATTGATCGTGATACATTGCTTCATCGGGAAAACCAACCGATGCCTCGTTTTGCTTGATCTGAGGCATAATTTCGTTTGTACGCGCCAAAAGATTTTTTCTGGCGTCTTACGATCCGCGATACAATAGGGCCACAGCATTCATTGGACGAAACGGGTGGTGGTAATGTATTTCGTATACATTTTATCACGTTTCAAAACACAAAGTAGGTCTATCCTGTCCTCCTTTTTCCGCCAAGAACACGCTGCCTCGATAGCGGGTATTGCATGAGGAGCCGTACGGGCCGATGAGCCCTGCTGTGACCCCAAGACATCTTGTGCCGGTCACTTTTCGAAAAGCCTAGAGTCACTTTTGGTGACAAGTTCACGGTTCGCAGACAATGACATGACCAACGTTAGTATTTTCGGGACATGATGATAATAAATTCCACCTTGTTGGGTTTTAAGGATCAAGTGTCTCCTTAGAATCCAAATAAGCAAACGGAAAATGACAAGGCTGATCGATCAGGCATCCAATAAAAAACGGTGTGGTTTTGAGTGAGCCCTGTGGATGGTCTTGATGTTGATCGGAACTTGAACGTCTTTTTTCACAGAGGATGAAAATGAAAAAGGACTTTTTTGATCACATTGAAACTTGCTTTATCTGAACTGATAGAAATAGGTGATGTAATTTGCCAATCGTTAGAAAAAAGCACACTTTAAGATGGTTTTTCCACCGCTAGAAATAAAAAACTCCAAGGTAAATCAATACCCATAGAGCCCTACATTCTGATAATCTATTGGTACTTGTTTTTTGTTTTTTTTTGTAAGGTGCCCAACCACCGAATAATAACAGCTTTTTACTAGCGTCGTACCAACTTGGCATGGCGTTTCACAAACGGCGTGGTTGAGAAATGGTTGAGTCCGCAATATCAAGAAATGTCCATAGTCCGCATTTTCTTGAATGGTCAGGTTGGCCTCTCTCGTCTTTTTTTTTTTTTTTTTGCTTCTTTTTTTTTTGCCCCTTTTTTCTTGGTGGTTCCTTTTCGCTCTCGAAAAACTCCTCTCACGCACTTTTTAAACATATACTTTTCAACTTTTTTTTTTGGACACTAAATCAGGAAGCCATCACTAGTGTGTGTTCCTTGCTATTGCCGAAGTACAGAAAAGAAAGTCTCCTGTTCATCTAGTTCACCATCTTCTTGTGCCAATTTCTCTGTTCATCGTCCACGAAAACAACGAGATTCAGCGACTGGTCACTCTCTTCTTTCTTTTATTGTCCACTTGTTCAACCTTGTGATTGCGAAACTTTTTTTTTCGTGTGTGTGTATGTGCTATTGTGTACGTTAGCTCATGCAGTCTTCGCTATCATCTGTGAACGATCCTCTATCTATGCCTCATTCAAACGCTGACTCAACGACGACACCGGCATCGACAAACACCGTCAATTCCGTTAATTTAGCCCAGGTGGCCCCACAAGAATCATCCAAAACCATGTCGACAAAAAAGAAAGGTAAAAAACATCGGACGAATGGGATTTTTGACAATGGATAGGAGAACTCTTTGAATTAACCCAAAAGAAAACCCACCCATCCACTTCGTTCATGTAGCCAAATCTTCCAAACACGTTGACCCAGAATACGTAAAGTCGCCTCGACCAGGTACAACGAGTGGTCACCGACCGACATCGAGAACCAGTTCTCTCAAGGCTTCGCTCGGTGTAAAAAGCGGCTTTTTATCACTGCTGCTTTGCTGTACGAGCGGCGGGGCAAATGCTTTCCGAGATAGTGGTGATAAATCGTCCGTGAGCAGCCATCCTCGACGAAGCGTTGCATCAGGAGATAATAGAGGAGAACCACCACCCATTCAGCATCACCGTCCCGATACAACGACAACGCATACCGTACCTGAAAAGGCCCCACCTTCTATTCCCCTTGTCGAAAAAAAGCCTCAAGTCTCGCGCATTGTTACCAATCCTAATCAGTTACCACCGGTCGATCCCAATGAAGATGTCGCATCGGATACGCCCGCATCCATACCACAACAGACACCCGATGTAAGTTTTTTTATTTTATGTGCAGCGAACCATTGTGGGGAAGGCGAGGCGGAGGAAGGGCCTGGTCTACTATCAAAAGAAGTGTTTTTTCTTATTGACGGATCGAATCATTTGACATTTGATATTGAACTCGTGATTATTTTTTTTCATCTTCTGTACATAGGAACAAGTGGTCCGATTGCTACCTCCAATTGCTTCAGAACATTCGGGGCTAAAATGCCTCGTCCTCGATCTTGATGAAACATTGGTGCACAGTTCCTTCAAGGTAATGACGAAAAAGTTTTCTAGAAGAGTGATGTTTTTCGCTTCTATGAGGGATGGCCAAACTGTTTTTTTTCTTATTTATTTACATAATCTCGCATGATGATCTATGTAGGTTATTCCAAATCCGGATTTCATCGTACCCGTGGAAATCGACAATCAATACCATAACGTATACGTTTTAAAGAGACCTGGAGTGGATGAATTCATGCGTAAAATGGGAGAACGGTATGAAATTGTGGTTTTCACCGCCAGTTTATCCAAGGTATACAACTATTTTATGGTTTTACTTTTTTTTTTTTTTTCATTCGCCTATTTCCCGCTTGATCCAATTTGTTTCAGGTGAACTGATCATGCTATGGCGCCATCTTGTCTAATTTAGTATGCCGATCCTGTTTTGGATATGCTCGATATACATAAAGTCATCAAACATCGGTTATTCAGAGAATCGTGCTATAACCACAAAGGAAGCTATGTCAAGGTAAAGTTGAAATGCAATCCATCAGTGAATTCATTTGAAGATCAGCATTCTGATCACTTTCTTCACTGTCTTTTTTTCGGTTCCTTGACCTGATGTGAACATTATTTTTCTTAGGATCTTTCTCAATTGGGTCGGAATCTTTCAGCAACCTTGATTCTAGATAATTCACCGGCAAGTTACATTTTCCACAATGCCAACGCTGTCCCGGTATCCACATGGTTCAATGACCCTCACGATACCGAATTATCAGATCTGGTCACCTTTCTCGAGGATCTTGCCAACGTTGACGACGTTACACTCATTCTTGACAACACATTGCATCCTACCGCACGTTCACAGTAAAACAAAACAAAAAAAAAGTGGAAAAGAACCGTTCCTCAGCAATAGTAACGTTATGGAACCCTTTTTCTTTTCTTTCTTTGCGTTTCTGTTGGTCGTTTCCAACTTTATTGGTTATTTTCTTTTTTCTTTCTCTTTATTAGTCCGAGTGGTTTTATTTTCTTTTTTTCGTTGTTCCGGATCTACCCACGTTTATACTTCTCTAGTCGTTTTCCATCTACTTTGAAACCCTTTTTTTTTCCCATTCAGCTCCTCTTTTGTTTAGCCCCTTCGCCATTTTGATCCCTTTTTCTACCATCATCTTCTGTTATTATACTGTTCTTTTGCATACCCTCGCATTTAGTAATAGCAACCTTGGAGAATAGAGCGGTGATCAGCATGGCTCTCTTCTCTTTTTTTTTTTTATTTTCGGCTTTTTTTTTATCTTTTCTCTTTAGTTTTCTAGTTTTTTTTGTTGTTGACGAAGTTTTGTCACACACATACGAATAATGTACGCAAACACTCTTCAATATATTTTTATGTCTCTTGGCAGATTACATCTTTTTTGGCTTTTCTTCATAAATTCATGTTAAACCAACCAAGTCCACGAGAAAACTTAGTTCCCCAATGTGAAACCAAAAATGACCGCATTTCGGACTTTTTGATCCCTCACCAACGTAGCTTATTGTTAGGTCTCCATTTTATTCATCTCATGAACGTGAGTTGCGTGAATTGGACGCTTTGATAAAGACCGATTTCTCATCTACTGTTCCAGATGTCAACCTCCACTTGCGAAATTGATCCTGCACTGCTGGAAAAGATTAAAGAATTCCGTTTTGCCAAGAATTCAACCGGCAATGCTGCATTCGTGCGTAAGTTCCATACCCACACCGTGACCCTATATTGCAATTATTGACGTATGGCTCAGTTCAAATCGATCGTAAGCAACTAAAGATCGTCGAAGTTGAAGTGCTCGAAGATATTTCCATTGAAGAACTCGTGGAAGGTAGTCTGGGGTTTCTCTCACCAACTCAACCGAGACAGCTAATAGCGTGACGATAGAATTGCCTGAAAACACTCCCCGCTACGTGATATTGAGCTATGAGGTACGCCGTCAAGGCCATCCCGCCCTTACTGATACTGTCCACTCATCTTATCTTGCTATTTTCCTATCTTAGTTGAAACACGATGACGGAAGAACTAACTTTCCGCTGGTGTTTATCTATTGGGCACCTGCGACTGCACCAGCAGCACTGCATATGCTTGTAAGTCATAAAACGCGTATGATCAAAATCCCTTCTTTTTTGAAGAACAAGAAATATTCATCCACCTCTTTTGTAAAGTACACTTCCGCCAAGACATTTTTGCAAGAAAAAACTGGTGTCATGAGAGTAAGTATCACCCACCCATGATGATCATACTAAATCGTCTATCTCTGACACTGCTTCATCAAACATTCAGGGTTTCGATATCCGCGACGCAGATATGTTGACAGATGAATATCTCCGTAGTCAGTTGTAAGAAAAGGAAAGAAAAAAAAGGCAACGACAGTGAAAAAAGGGTCTATTGGCTGGCGTTGTTTTTTGGATTTTGTGTTTTAGTAAATCTATGCTTCCATTTTGCCGTTATCGCTGTTGGATTTTCTCTCCCAAATCTACGTATGCACAATTGACAAAAGCTTGATCAGCATGGTTCGCCATTGACATAAACATTGTGGAAAGCAAAACGTACCTGAATATAGCTTTCGGATAAAAAGATCATTTCCGGCATAATTTCTTCGACAATCAAATCCTGGATCTGATACCATTGCTGGGTGCCCGTGTGGCGTACTTGGATCTTATAGGATCCTTCACCGGCATCCGGTTTGCCTTCGTGGCTGATATTCGCCAAAAGATCATAATGGGTGCCGATTTTCTCGGCCTCGGGATCAGTCGCAACTAAAATCGTAAAAAGCTGCAATGAGTCCAACATAATTTCATTCGTTGCCAACTCACAAGCTGATCATCATGTATCCAACACTTACAAGCTGCCATGTCAATATTTTTGATAGGAAAGTTGACGATGGTAGGGTTCTTTTCACTTGTCCAATTGTTCTTGTTGAATCGTTTAATGTGGAAAATGAGATATCGTGGTAAACGCGTGATGTGATATCTTCGCTTTTGATTGGCGCTCTCCTACTCAAGCGTGGTCAATCATCGTCGACATGAGGCTCCTGTAATAATTAATCAAAAAGACGCTTACCTGTACTCGCTTGCCATCGTACTTTGCCAAAATATTGACAAGCGGGACCTGAGGAATAATATTTTTCTCCGCCTCATCCTGATAAAGAGGAGCAGGTGGCAGATCCAAAGCCAAAAATAAGAATGGTGTACGCGTCGTAGTGATTTCTAGGTTTTCTCAATGTGAGTGGCTCACGAACCATTTGACATCCAGCCTACAACAGGGAAATCGATGCTTACCTCGGTCTTCATCAAACGATAATAGATCCGCCTTATCAGGCGACGCTTCGGCAGGACTGATACTTTGCGATTCAATTTGCACTTCACCTTGGAAAGTGCGACAAATAATACCTAAAACACAGCACATGGATGTTTGGCATCAACCACCAATCTATTTCATCACCTGTCTAGCAGCTTTTACTTACTACTGTTTCGTTTCTTGGTTCCACCCAAGTCGCGATGAAGAGTATTCAGAAACCACGACAGAAAGTCAATGGCATTGCTCTGCTCTGTTAACTTGAATCGCTTATGACTGGCATTTGAAATTTCCTGTTGCATTCAAAGTGACATGGTCAGACTGAGTGTTTCCTTTTCACTGCTATGCAATAACAAGCTTCAAAACTCTTTTCTTTTTGGTTGATTACCTGCAATAACTCGTGAGGACTGACTTGACCTTTGAATGCTTTGGGGTTCCACATCTTTCGCACAAGGGCACCAAATCGAGTCACTAAGAAATCATAGAATTAATGCATGTCTCTGGAAATAAAGAAGATGACATTGTGTATTCTTCCTCGCAAATTTTTGGCCAACGCCTTACCCAATTGCGAACGACCTTGATTATCAAAATCTTGCAGAATAAAGTAATCGCGGATCGGAGGGATGTGTACTAAAGCCTGGACCACCGCATTCACATAATCGTTTGCTTTCACGTTATTTAACCCCACAAATCCTAACAGCGTTGTCAATGGATTAGCAGTGAATCTTCATTTTCAGCGACTTGAGGCAACAACGGTACCAGGCAAGTATTTTTTGTTGTTCAGATCATATGACGTATTAAGCGTCCTATCGAGACGCTGTACTTCTTCCTTGGTCAATGTGGGATTCAACACATACTGTATATCGTCTCATGATTAGCAATTTTTGCAAAGAATGAATAAAGCGATCACCTAATACCTTGATGTCATTTAAGGAAGCGTCCTTCACTTCATAACCATCGGGCAAAACGTACACCTAAAGCTTTCGATGAGTATGTCTTCTCTTCTCCATATCAACAGAATCATGTACACAGTCTCGAGATAAAGTACCTTTAGCGTCTGAAGATTGATAAAAACGTGATGATCTTTATGGATGCTGTGAAAGTAAGCATGCGATGTTTTACCACGTCCTGCGCCATAGTGTGAGCCTACTGTGCTTGTAAATCGCGTATTTTTTCCATTGTTCACTCACCTTGATAGTATTTTCCACATACAAGACAAGCGTAGACGTTAATGTGTGAAAGCGAGACAGAGCAGACTTTCTCGAAATCGAAATCTAACATGTGACGATTGATCGTGTCGAGATATAAATCCGTCGAAGGTTGAGTCGATTGCACAGACACAGCTTCGTTCTCAGGGCTGTTAGTATCATTGACGCGCTGACGTTTTGCCTGTGGTTCCATGGCTGTTTTAACAGAATAGCTGCGAAAAACTGAAATGAACAAAAAAGTGCCTTCCTATTGTTTTTTAGCACTTGTTCTATTCGCAAGTGCTTTCAGCCAAAGACGGAGATTGAAATGTATATGCATAGACCCAAAAAATCAGCATCAAGCGCCATCCCGTTTCAAACAATCTGTTTGTGTCTTTTTTCAACCTCATCTTTTAACGGTATATGGCAGACATGTCTTTATCACTTTACAATTTATTAGAACTACTACTTATAGAATTACCAATTGGCACAACCGTTTATCATACAATGCATATTAAAGAACGGTCACACATTAAAATATCGAGTTGAAGCGATGCCACAAGAAAGCTTGTATTATAATTGAAAACTTGGTTTATCTAATACAGTTCCTAGAAAATAGATTTTATGATGGAGTTAATGATGGTAAACTGACGCAACTAGTCACATTAATCTTATGACAAGAGTACCAGACTCTGGTCTGCGTAGTGTGGAATTGTTTTTGGTGTAGATTGGCAATATCACGCTTCCGTCTGATGTGGTGTCGTGGACTTGCTGTCGTCAGGACGACTATCTATTTGAGCTGGACCAGTTTCTGTTTCTGCGGTGCTGGATACAGCGGGTGCTGATCCATGATTTACAGGACATTGCGTCGCAGTCGTAGTACTGATAGAAGCGCCGCCGGTTTGTCCGGTAACAGGACATACATTGGGGGTGCTATCAACATTGGTTGCTGATCCAACAGGACATGCGCCCTTTTTTCCTGTAACAGGGCATTCTGCTGCCATGTCGGCGGGGGTTTGAAGACCTTTGATAGGACACTGGGCCATACCATCCATTGCCTGTCCTTGACCGGTGACGGGACAAACAGCACCAACAGGAGCAATCGCGGCTGACTTGCCACCCACGGGGCATACACCGCCTTTGCCCGTAACTGGACACACCATACCTGAAGTATCTTGATCCGGATCTTCGGGCGCTACATAAACTTGACCATCGCATTCGGGCAGTAATAGATCGTCAAAGTAACTGTCCACAGCGGTTTCATCAGTAGATTCCAAGTCGCCTGTCCATGTATTGGTGGTATTATCGTCGAGCCAGCGATAGTAGTCTTGTGATTGTCGCCATTTCGCGTTGAGGGTATGCTCTAATTCCAGAACTTGGTTGGGTTCCATCGTTTTTGCCTTTTGCACAGCCATGAACGTCGCCTGAAGAGAAGTTAATCAGTCATGTCTAAAAAATTGAACCATGATGAGAATAGCCTACCTTGAGAAGCGCCGGCGGCAAAGTACGCCAATGATCAAGGATCGTTCGACTCCAGCGTGAATCTACGCTCTTTAACTTATTCACCAATTTTTCAAACGAATCTACGGCCTAGAAACGAAAACCCATATTAGATTAACAATGTTCGTCATTTTGTTGATGGATTCACACAAACAAGATTCAACATACCCCAAAAACACTTTCAATTTCGTCTTTCCATACACGCAATCGGTCGGGGCCGGGGTAGGCATGATGAATGGTGAGTGCTAGCTGCACCGCTCGAACGGTGTGCGGTGGCGGGCACACAGCCATGCGTTTCACATTTTCAAAGATTTCGTAAAGCTTGTTTTCGGGAACAAAAACGTCGGCCAATCCCAGACCTAATAGTTCAGGAGCGCGCAAGCGTGCCAGCGATGGAGGGGCGAGGGCCAAGTACAGTTCCACACCTTCGGGCAACGGTCGTTTTTCGGCCATGCGAGAACGGCACAGATACAAAAGTAGCAGAGGAGGTATAGGCGCGTGCGATGTGCGTAGACCAAGATCCAAAAGCGCATGTTCGGTAATCACACGGAAAAATCCAGGCCATTCGGTCAGATAGACTGCGTCAAAGGGAATTTGGCCATTCATGAATGTCATCGTAGGTTTGTTGCGACCGGGCAAGGTCTTGACAAAATCGTAGTATGTACGAGCCATCTTTGCCAATGAAACTTCCAGAATATCTTTCTGATTCATGCCAACTTGAGCGGCCGTTTCGTGGTATGCAAGGCCGGAACTGAGTAATTTGGTGTCTCGAGTTTCAATGCGTTCAGTTTCAGGAGTAGAGGATTTCTCGGCCACAGTGGCCGTAATCATCAAACTTGTCACTAGTGAGTCGTTATCTGCATCATCCAATGCTTTCTGCAAATCTTGTATTCGTTCGACAGTAAATACATTTTTGCTGCTTGGGGAAGCAAAAGTGAGCGTTGTAGCGCCACTGTGAGGCGCCTTTTCCGTGGCAAGAAATGTCTTGGAAATGACTTGCTTCACAGGTCCGACTGTAATTGGAAAATTTTAACAGGTCAGCACAAGAGATCCAAAAATTGCGAAATGGCAATAAACATACCGGTGCCTTTGTTTTGCCAAAGATTGGCAAACGGACATACAGGCTGTGCTGACTCTTCTTTATGATTCTTCCACATTAAATACTGCGTTACATTCATAGGTTCGACACATCTGATCATAGAAAGACGATGATTTAGTGATGATGTTTTCTCCACCAGTTCCTCAAATGCCCGGTTTCCACTTACGATGCGTAATAGAATGCTTTGGCTTTGGTAAATTCGAAATCCAATCGTTCCTTATCCCACAATTTGCCTCGCTGACCGTCCTGCATTTGCTGCTCCACCCAGCCTTTAATAACGCCCGGTAATCCATTGGCATACTTGGTATCGTTGTCATAATCGTAATTTTCCACCCGTTCGAATTGTTCCTCCTGCGCCTTTCTGGCTTCCTCTTCAGCTTTCATGGCCGCTTGCAGCTGCTCTTCTTGACGTTCTTTTTCGTATTCTAGATAGGCTTCTAAGTCGAACGGTTCTTTAAACCTGCATGGTTGATTCGTCAGTCACTCAATCAAAGAATTCTATGCTCATTTTAATTTACTTACTTTGAAAAGTAAAAGTGCTTGGCTCGCAGTAACTGCATTCGTTCGAGTAATTCATTTTCACGGCTGTCTTCAGGCATTGAAGGTTGGTTTGTATCGGTCGGCACTTTCATGGCCTGAAGAATGTTCTTCAAGCCTGCTTGAAATGTAGCGTCGGATGTCCAAGGATAAGCATCAAATGCCTGAAAGATTTTGGTTGAATCGGAAGTGGCGGCTTTCATGGTGGGCAACATGGACCGTCAGTGCACGCCTGCTTTTTTAATTTATAGGTTTTTTTTTTGGAAATGTCGCATCTACAGGTTTCTTCCCTAATTTAGTAATGTTCACGAACTAAAAGAATCCAATCAGTAAATAGCGCTTCTTGAAATCCAATTTTTCTAGACTTACTTTGACAAAGCAGAGTCTTTTGAGGCAGGTGCGGATTCCATAAAAAGTCAAATCAGTTTATCAGACACCAAAAGAAACATGGAATATGATCTTACCGTAATCTGCAGCCATCTTTACTACGAAGCAAACTGAAATATTTTGGGCCGCCCCTCGCCGGACGCGAGGCTGGCGGCAATTTGATGAATATTCTTACTGGCAACGACTCGCGGTTCCACACCGTTTTGCAGTGTACCTCGTTGCAGGCCAAGATAGAGTGCAGTTCCTTATTTTCGTCTTCATGAATGGGCTTTAACATGCTCTCCTGGCATTTGTGGCACACCTTTTGAACGGGAAAGAGTTAGGTGGATGGATCATTAGTTGATTAAGGCAAACTTGCTTTTGAGCTATATGCTTCATCTAGGGCCACAACAACAAGTAGGCCTCGTTTCTCGGCTTCTTCAACACTGATCGGCATATGCTCGAGATTCCGGGCAAAAACCTCCTCTTACGTTGGGCCCCCAGCGGCCATTCCCGAATGCGATCAAGGGTATCTTTTGGGATTGTTCAAAATCGGCGGCTTTCCACTCTCCCGGCTTCCTAAAACTGGGAGAAGGACGAGTGTGAGTTATTCAATTGCTTCCAGTGATCTCAATGGCCTATACTTACCTTTCCTTTCTCTTCCCTTTGCGCTTCTTCCCCTTCTGCTCCTTCCTGTACTTCTTGCACTTTCTTGCTTTTCGCTTGTCGTATTTGCGGCCGCCGTTGACAAAAATGTTCACCATTTTAGCTTGCATCCGCTGTCGTCTTTTGTAATTCAAAAATCGCAGCTCGTTGAATTGGGTATCGTACAATTCCAAAAGTTGATGCAATACGCCGTTGATAGAGAATAAACCCAGATGATATACTTGCAAGCTCGATGTCTTGAGCGATAAAAGTTGCTGCTCCGGGGATTCGATAGATGCTGCGGAATCGGAGGTTGAGTGGTCGGCCTTCCTCGTGTTCTCCATTTTCTTGTCGTCTTGTTGATGCCGGATTTGTCATAATATTCGGCTTTTGTATACCCCAACTTCTGGCCAACTGGCGCCCGCTGTCCCTCATAAAAGATCGCACCTGATGGGGTTGAATGCCGTGGCCGTTACTGGCGACAAACACTTGTCTATGACCTGGATCCAGGCCCCACAACTCAAAATGGTCCTGCAAGTCTTCTTCGTCAAAATCGTCAATGTCTAGATCGGGTAGCCGTTGATATTGCCTTTGCGAAAATGAAAGATGCTGCATGGCCGTCTGTGGCAAGGTGGTTAGTAAATGCTCTATGGGTATCTGTTGGTCTATAACGTATTTTCGCCAAATCGAAAACTCGTGCAAATTGGAGCGTCATTAAATCATGTTTGTTGTGATGATGGTTTGGTGCAATTTTCATCAAAAATTCTCCGTTGTCAGATCGTCGCAAAATTGCCTGCAACGTGGTGGTGTCTATCATCACGTGTGGTCGAATGAAACTTAAACGTGGGACAAGAGGAAATGAGCGGATGGTGTTGAGAATTATCGCCACAGGCGGATAGAAATTGTTCGTCGCGAACAGTGTGCGTGTATGAGAAATGAACACTTGAATCTCTGCAACTGTTGCCTCCGAAAGATCTCGCAATTGCGGCGGTTCGTTCTTGTTAATCAAATCGCAAATGGCTAAAGTGAGCTTCCTTCATCGTAATTTGCTAGTGCGCTGAAGTTCTTCGCAAGTATTGAAAATGGTGGTATATAACCAACGAGGCGTGGCTTCGCACTGTGGTTCACAAGCAGCATAGAATTTTTGATCGTTGTACAGTTCGATGATTGATAGCGCAAAATGAAGGAACGTGAAAAACGGACCAGGGTTGCGCGTGAGGTTTTCTTCTGTGACCATGAGAGAGAGGGGAAGTTCTGTGCTTTCGAGAATCTCGCCAACCATGATGTCTAAGTCGGCGGTATGGTCCACACCTTCAGGCCAATAGGTAGGATTTGGGGTGATGCAACTGTATATGTATGCGGCAAAACGCCATGCTTGGCGCTCACAGAGATCCTATCTCATTCAAAATAAGTGGTGGATCAATATTTCACCGATTTCCCAGCTTACCGGTAATAGCATTCGGATTTTTGACGAAAAAATAACGTTTTGCCTTGTTCGCAAAAGGCTCAACGATGTTGTTGATAAATATTGTCGCTGACTGTTGTGCCTGATAAGCAAGTACGTTTGCGTATATGATGCTCGATTTGCAAAACGTGGAGAAATTTTCATGCAAGGAATGGTTGTCGAGAGCTCTTCAAAAATGCGGGTCATTTGGGCAATGAGTAAGTCGGTGTTAGTCACTGGCTTTCCGAGGACGAGCTGTTGGCATGCATAAAAAAATTGTTGCGAGAAAAAAAATGATCGGTAACTCGTTCATGGGATTGTCCAACAGGTACCAAAGGAAAAATTCGCGAACAGCATGGATTTCACGGCCACCTCGTACAACGTCAACTATCCGTTCAAGTTCGGAAGTGAATCGTGCTGCCGAATCTGGTGGCAAATTCAGTGCTTTTGCAAGGCCAATCTTGACCGCAAATCGCCTGTGTTGACCTCGAAGCTTCTGGGAAAGATGATCTTCGAATAAGATTTCATGGATGGACAACTTGGTTTTCGATTGGAGGTGTGAGGACTGCCCTCAGGGCCGTAAATCCCTTCATCAGTGCATTTCTTGCATGGGTCGGCTTTTCGCCCTTGTGCTTTCAGTTTGCGTCTTTTGTTGGCGTCTCTTTTCTTTTCGGCGTCTTCCTTAGTACGCTTCTTCTTGCCTTCTTTTGTAGGACATGAGAATGGATGGCATAGTACATAGATCAAATTTGATATCCACTTACTGTTGTAGGGGCGCTCCCGACTTCGTGCATCTTTATGCCCTTGAGCTTCGCATCGTTTGCAAACTACCGATGATCTGTGAGTCGTGTAGCTTTATCTCTGAGCATTTTATTATGTGTACCTTGCTCCTGTTTCTCCATTTTCTCGCATACACGCTTCTCCAAGGATCGCTGTTTTCTTTGCTTTTTTTATGATATTATTTCTTGAGCAGTTAAGCCTTGGTAGCGTTTGCTTGACGTTGGATCTGTGATGTGCATGATTACGTAATATGAAAGAGTAAAATAAAACAAAGAAATCAAGAAGAGGAAAAAAATTCATAATATAAAAGAACATGACTAGCTTTTTTTTCCAGTGCACTTCAAAGACTGTTGTCAAAAAATTGATGATTTTTGGTCCATTTGGCACTGTTTTCCTCCTCGCTATTTGGCGCCTTCCGGGTAAGTTTTTGCATGAAATTGCGGCCAGCATCGCGTCCGACGGGGGGCGGCCCAAAATATTTCAGTTTGCGTTGTAGTAAAGACGACTGCATATTACGGTAAGATCATATTCCATGTTTCTTTTGGTGTCTGATAAACTGAATTGACTTTTTATGGAATCCGCACGTCCCTCAGAAAACTCTGCTTTGTCAAAGTAAGTTTAGTAAAAAATTGGATTTCAAAGAAGCACTATTTACTGATTGGATTCTTTTTAGTTTGTGAAAATTACGCAAAATTAGGGAAAATCCTGTAGACTTCGTGCATTTGTATCAGAAAAAAATAGGCCTGTGATATCAAGCAAATAAAAATATGCAGGTGGTTGCTTTTTGGATTTGATCAGCAATAAACAAACAAATAATTTAAAATGGGAATATAACAGTGCAGTTACGCACGTTTCTTTTTTCTCTTTTTCTTTTACAATCCTTCTTTGGGCCACATCCAGCCAAAGGTGTCTTCAATATCGCCACCCTGAATACCACGGTATTCCTTGTACAACTGGGCAAAACCTTCACCAATTTCTTGCTGATCACCGCTGCCGATATTGATCACCTTGTCACCACGAACAAACTTCTTCACGGGAGTGATAATGGCGGCGGTACCGCATGCGGCCACTTCAGCGAAGTGACCCTGTTCCAATTCTTCAAATTTGACAGGTCGTCGTTCCACCTGCCAGCCTAATTTTTTGGCAATATCTTCCAGCGACAGTCGTGTGACCGAAGCCAAAATGGTGGAGGAATCGGGTGTCACAAAAGTACGTCGGCCGTTGACATCGGGGGCTGTCAGCGCCACAAAATTCGAGGTGGAGAATTCATCAATGTAGGTATGCGTCTTGGAGTCCAAATGAAGGGTAATGGGATATCCTCTCTTCTTGGCCTCTTTCATTGGACCAAATGTAGGAGCATAGTTGCCACCGACTTTAGTAGCACCAGTACCATTGGGAGCCGCTATTAATTGGCAAAAACCAATCAATATTAAAAAATTCCCACATTACGCTGCATGCAGAAATAAAAAAAAACTTACTGCGATCAAAATCTTCAATGACCCAGGCATCAACGGGTTTGACACCGTCCTTGTAATAGTTTCCAACGGGCATACCGAAAACGACAAAGGTGAATTCAGGAGCGGCATCCATGCCGATGCAAGGACCACTGCCAAAGAGAACAGGTCGCAAATACATCGAACCTCCCGACGCCTTGGGAGGAACGTACTCGAGATTACCCTCAACGGTACGTCTTACGGCTTCTTCAAACACTTCAACAGGAACACGAGGCATGTATGCCATGTCAGCGCTACGCATCATGCGCTCGGCATTCATTCGTGGACGGAAGATTCTGACATGATCGTCGTCGTCACGGAATGCCTTGAGACCTTCAAAGCACTGAAGAACACCATTAATAAATCAAAAAAAGGCAACGATACAAACAATATAAAGAGATAATAAAAGCGAATAAGGGCAAGCTGTCATACCTGTTGACCGTAGTGAAGACCGGGAGCACACATATGGACCTTCAAGTAGGAATCCTTTTCAAAAGTTCCTTTATCCCAACCATTCTCTTCGGTCCAGGTATACTTCATATAACCATTGAGGTCTCTGAATTGGAAGCCAATATTGGCCCAGTCAAGTTTATCTGTAGGAGCCTGCACCATGTTCTGTTGTTCCAACTAATCCTTTCAGAAATGGGAACAAGTAAAAAAAAAAAAAAAAAAAAAGGCAGGGAAAAAAATCCGCAGGCTTTTAAATTCTGATTGGCGAGTCGAATTTCGGTCTATGACTCACGATGTTTCTACTGAATTTTGGCTTAAATTTTCTGCCATGTTTATGCAGCCAAGACAGGTACTCTCAATAGTCTGGCTTTTTAGTGTCTAAAACCAACATAGCCTTTGAAGTGGTGAACATGATGGGGGTTTGAATGGAAAAAAAAAGATTTAAAGGGAAATGAAAAAAAGAAGTGGGATGTCGTACAGTTTCATTGGCTACTGGTTGTCAGTGGCAGGAGTTGGATGATGCGATCAATGCGCAGGGCAATAACATATAAGGTTGTAACCCAACTCTCGATGGTTGGCATGATCCCTTTTAGTTTCTCGTTGGGCATTATGTTTTTGTTCCTTCTGGCTATGCACTTGCACAGTTACGGTAACTGTATCAAGAATATTAGGATGATCTGTAATTGCTTACTGACAAGGAAGAAAAAAAAGAGTTTAATTTTCTGGGGTTGAGAGGAAAGGGGAAGAGAGGGGGAAGAGAAATCAAACGTTCCAGGTCACCATATTCAGACAAAAAAGCACAAACCATGTGGCAACAAGTCACTCTATATATAAATCAATTTAGGAGGCGAAACCCACTTTCCTTTGGACGATGATTTCATCGTTTGGATCTAGTGACATGCACTTGTGGGGAGTCCCTTCCACGTCTGCACATTCACGTTCGTTCATGAAAAAAATAAACATCAAACAAATACAGATGATATCCATTGCCCTCTGTTGGATTCATCATCATGCAAGATAAAGAAAAAAGGGGAGAAAAAAAAGACGATGCTCGCGGCTGAGAGGAGGGGTCGCTTTGCTTGAGAAAAGAGTCAAAATAAATTTTATAAGGGGAGCAAGACCAGCCTAGTTTACCAAGCCAGAGAAAGCGGAAGGGAGGATGGCTTGACTTGCCACTCCATCTGTTTGAAATATGCAGCCGCAGGATGGTCCTCCTCTTCGTATCCCTTTCTCTTTTTATTTTCTTTTTTTTTTTTTTTTTTGCTCCTGCAAAAATAGGCAACACGCAGCAGCTTTCATAGCTCTTCTGTAAACTACATGACCTTTGTCACTCTTTGTCGTCTCCATTAACCATTATCACTCGCTGTTCTCTACCTTTTGTAGCGTTTTGCCCTTTAGCCAAATAACCGACTATTTGGTTCCCAATCCTATCTCTTTGTCACTCTTTTCAATCTGCAAGCAAAACGTATTTCGATTACATTCCTCTTCCCCTATTAATATATCATCAACTATACATATCTCACTTTTTCCTCTCTTCCCCATTATTTCCACTATTGTTATTATCTCGAAATCATAAAAGGGCTGACCAACAAAACGACGGCCGCTACGAGGTTGATATATGAAGTCAAAAGCAACGAACGATGACTCTCTGTCGAGCAGGGAAACCGCAGACTGTGGGCATCATTGTTGCTGCTGCTGTTGCCATGTCATGATCCATTGTTGCTGCTGCGCTTGTTTTCACCGTGTATCCTGCTGTCTATCTCATTCATATCTGCCGTTGCCGTCTTCTGCCTCATGGCAATTCCCCTCCGATCGAGATGTCACACCGAATACTTTGTCTGATGGGCATAGCCTTGCTGCGGTGCATTCCACACCGCGCGATTACCAAACTGCACCCCAGCTGAATAGTTTACTGGCCCCACCACCCAATTCACTGCGTCATTACAAACAGTCATTACGTCGACAACATGTGATCAATGAACTAATTCAAACAGAGCGTGATTATGTGCTGGATCTGCAGCATTTAGTCGAAGTAAGCCCATGTCACTCGAATCAAACGACATATACGCGCACACCTACAAACACAGTTTGTCCGGGTGAATTGTTTGTGGAACGTTCTTTATTGATGGGTATAATGATAGGTATGTTTTCAAACGCTTTTGCAGCAACCATGGATTTCGCGGGAACATAAGCAAGCGATTGTTCGGAATGCAGATGATCTGCTCATTCTGCATAAAAATTTCCTTGTGACACTCGAAAGCTCTCCTAGCCATATTGATAAAGAGAAGGAGTGTCGACATATTGCTAATGTCTTTCTTGAAATGGTAACGAAAATATGCATCTTAGCAATGATAGACAGTGAATGATGGACGTTGACTTGTTTCATTTAATTTTTTAACAGGGAGAACATTTCATGGTATATACCCATTACTGTGATTTGCACGATGAAGCCTGGTCTTTATGCGCCGAGTATCGTGGACGACCGGAATGGACGAGTTTTATCAGAGAATGCATGCCCACTGAGAATCAAAATTACACTAGTCCATCTGTTCAGAGTGGCCAAGGCAGTGAAACAACTACCTTTGGCGGCACCGGCAATAAACGACTTCATTTCGAAGATTATTTGATAAAGGTATGGGTCACTGAAGTTTGTCGATACAAGCGCTAAGCCGCTGTCATCTAATGATTTGTATCTGTTATCTTTTTTTTTGAAATCTCTTTTGCGCTCTTTTCTTTGATTCCATCCCATTGTTAACAGCCCGTACAAAGGATCTGCCGTTATCAACTGCTGCTGAAAGAAATCATTCACCACACACCTGAGGATGCCGACGAACGGGAACCATTGGATCAAGCACTTGAGATTATGCAGAGTATTGTTGCCGAGATTGACGAGCGAAAACATATTCGAGATACCACACTACGAACAGACCGATTTATTCAGCGATTAGATGGAGATTGGCGGTTAAATAAGCACCATGTATCTCAATTGGGCAATATCCTTCTAGCTGGTGCGCTGGAAGTGACTTACACTGCGCTCGGCCAAAGTGTAGCGAAACCACGATACCTGGGATGCTTTGTATTTCCAACCTATGTGATCCTTGTGCGCCCAAAAAAAGTCACCATCTACGAACCCAAACATTGGTTTCCTCTACGTCAAGCAGAATTGGAAGATATCCCCACATCCGAAGGTACGCGTCATTACCTTTTTATTGCTTTGGTTACACGGTATCACTCATGACGATGGAAATGGATACAATAGGTCAGCGGGAAAATACGTTTATTGTACGCTGCAAGAAACATACATTTGCATTTACAGCAACTTGTGCTCAAGAGAAACAGCTTTGGGTTTCCAAACTAAAAGAGGCCATTGACAAAGTCAAGAATGCAGACCCGTATGACATGTCGTCTGCAAATAAGCCTGCAGAAGACCTGATTGTCCCCTCTCTACCTGGTGTGGCCGGCAACACCAAAGCATCCTCATCGCGCATACGGCTATCACAATCGTTCAGCAATATTCTCGACACTGATTCCCCCGCACGGAGTCATTCCCTGGAAAAAGATACCTCGACTTCTGTCTCCAGTTGTCTACGTCGTTCTCTGTCTACCAGCATGCAACTTGATGAAGTGTATAATGCCGAAAGCCCAACCATACCTTTGTCATCCAAATCGTTTCTAGAGACCGGCTCCTCCTCCTCCCGGTCGCTGCATAAACGATATTCTGTCGATTACACATCCACACCTTCGAAAAGTGAAGTAACATTCAAAGCACGCAACAATTCGGAAACTTACCGGCGACCGTCGAGCGAAGCATGGCACAGTAATATCGCACGACGACGACCGAGTTCATTGGATTTGCTAACCTCATCGCCGTCCACGGGGAGTATGATTGGCAAGATGTCCTTTCAGTTTAAGAATAATCATCAAAATGCGATGCGGATGGCTGTCGATCATAAGCTACGGGATGTATGCACGCAGGATTACTTATCGTCCAGGGCATGGTTCATGCGGGAAAAGGATCTAGCGGCGGCTCACTCTCCGACGAGCAGCATTGATCTGCGGAAACGAAAATCAGCACCTTTTATGCGATCCTCCGCATCCAGTTTCTCTCTTATGATGCCGAGACGGACGAGTGACGGCGGACAATCTTCCAAACCATCTTCTCCGAATCGACCGCCGGATATTGACGTACAATCCACTCAAAGCTCTACGAGTTCACTGTTGGATGAACAAGCGTCCCCGCGACTATTACGAACGAACCAGGCCAGTACTTCCAGGCAACCGTCACAATCGAGCAATCTGCGGTTCTCAAGTACTAGTCAGACGTACAGTGGCATGCAACTGACCAATGCAACGAGCGACATGGCTACCCCTCATGAAACCGACAGCTGCATAGAGTATCCTACAGCTAATATGATTGATGAGCAAGAAAATGCACCACACCCCATCAAACGCGCACCAAGCATCCCATTCAATATGTTTTCCCGAACCAATCACAGTACATCCAATTACTCTCTCAACATGCAAGCAAGCAAACCTGCCAAACGAACGATGAGCCGCCTATTCCACAAACTGTCCAAGCTAGGTAGACGATCAGTCGATAAGCCCAGCGGCAATCTTGCCAGCAGAAAATATCACTCGGAACTCTTCATTGAAGATACATCCAGCGAAGTAAGCACTTCAAGATCATGCTGTAGTGTTGCGAGTATTTGTATTAACCCTCAATCTTTCTACTTTTTCTTTCAATGATTGGTACAAAAACCAATAGTTGGAGCATCCTTACCAGGCCTCTTTATCGAATATGTCGATGCAATTTCGAAAATCGCAGGACTCTCCTTTGAACAAATTACTTCATGCACCAAGATCGAAACCTTCGCAATCGTTGTTTCGATGGGGAAGCCATAATAGGCCGTCATATACAGATGATCGGCCGCTCAGAGATCCCAACAACGACAACAATAACCGTTCTTCCGACCACCGATCTTCTGCATTCGCTTACGCATCGACGCCTGTTCAGTCGCCCAAAGTTGGGCTGAAAGAAAAATTGAACGTAATGCGATCCAGCAGTAAATCTTGACATTGTAATACATCATAGTCTTTCTTTAAGTTAATAATTTATACATTTTCTTTCCTTTCCAGTTTCTCATCCCACCTCATTTTAATTTAAGGAAACTCTTTTTTTTTCTTGTAGTCGTATCAAATACATATCCGCTTGCATGGATCATAACAAAGCCAAAAAAAAAAAAAAGGCTCAGGCATTGGCAATGGGAGTTTCATGCGCAATAGACGGTAACAGCAGTCAAGCTGTGATAAGAAAAAGGGAAGCATGTTGAACAAAAACTAAGATTAGCAGCTCTATTTTTCGCTTTGCTTGGTAGTGGATTAATTTATTGGGGCGCCTCCTCCAACTTCACAAATGACTCCTGATTGTGGAGTGTTATTGTTCGCTTAGCAGAACGACGAACACAGATTGTTGCGGGACATTTTGAAACATAATCTAAATCAATCGCAATTTTAATCAAAGCTTTTCTTGCATTTGTTATCATCACGATAGAAAGATGGGACTTTGTAAAAACAGTATCTGATTGCACCTTTTTATAGGATGCAATGTATTTTTTACGAATTATGATATTAATTTTTCAAATAAGTGTAAGATGAAGTTGTACTATGGCTGGGCCATCCTCTGACGGTAGTATTTAAGAACATTTATAGTGATATAGGCTATTATAGTATAGTTTCAACTGAAAAAAGTCCTGAAAAACAACTGGGTTAACCTAAAGATGGACTTCTTGGCAAGCATTCAGAAGCCCCCAAGCGATTATTGCATCTTTTCATGGGGCCACACTCCGTGATCTTATCATCAGTAAACATTCAAGCCATGTAATATCAATTTGATTTGTTGATGGATCTTTGATTGGGATGCATAGAGATGCTATAAAAAATGGCTGAAAGATATTTGTCATATGTTTAAAACTGCGTCCGATCGCTGATCAGTTGTTCAACAGACCCACGTTCCTCAGGTGTGATAAATAAATTTTCAAGGCCAGACTAGGTGCACTTTTGGATCTATTGATCGTCTTATTGAAAAGGAAAAGGCGCTGCGTATATATTACAACAGATATGAATGTTCGATAGGTCCGCCTCAACGGCTGTGTACAACCGTCGACGAGATTTTCCCGGATTAGCCAGATATGGCAGCAGTCGATATCGATCTGTTATTATTGGTTTTATTACTGTAGGGCATCATTTCTCATAATGTTTACAGTAAGCCATACTCCCTTTTTTTCGATCAGCAGTTATTATATGAAATAACAAGTAACTTATCATTGCAAAGTGTGTTTGCGTTACACAAGGGTATGCGGTAATGTCCTCTTATGCTATCTTACCCTCGCTTCTACCACTTTTCATTGTTTTCTTGTATGAGCTATCTTAAACGCGTGCTTTATGCTCAGAGATGACTGGCATTAGTTGATAACCATAGTCAGATGAAGTTGGGTTCGGATCTGGAAGAACAAATAAAATGTTCAGATAGCCTTTCGTGCATCCAAGTGACCTCACCAGATGATGGAGGTGTGGTTGCGCATTTCACAGATATTAGAACGGCTATTACGTCTCGTAGCAGAATCCTCAGGAAGGACTTTAGTTGCGGAAGCACGGTTGCTTACTTGGTGGTTGTTTGTTGTTGTAGCATCAAGGCTAGCCACAGGACGGGCTTCAATAGAGGAAGTTGCACTCGCGCTCGTAGAAATACGAAACCAAAATTCCAGAGACCGATTCAGAAAAACAACAGTTTCCGTTTTCATATGTTACGAATCGTGTAATAGAAACCCACTTTTTTAATAGAGGTTTGTGTGGGGTATACGGCATCAATTATTGTTGTATCGGTCAATGCATGACAAATACAGAAGAAAACAGCGGCTGTTATAATAACCTGATGCATGAGGGTCGGCCAATGTTATTATTACGAGTACGACATGGGATTTGACGATCCGTTAACAATAACCCAGACAAATGATATCAGTGAACGATAATTGATCATAACATAATGATCAACAAGTCAGTAGCACGGACCATATCATGTTCGGACATCATATCAATTTAGGGGATGCACAAAGGATACCGGCCAAGTGAGTCCTCATGCAAATGCAAATTCGGCATCGATTCAAAAGAACCATGCTTGGGGTTCTCAAGATCCGCTTCATTTTTAGCAGCGATCATCGACGAAACAAACGTGTCAATGCTTCTCTGCAAGTAATATAACAACAAAACAAAACAAGTTTCCCAATGTTTAAATTCTTTTTCTTGGCTTTCTGCTTGTCTACTGGGGCTGATCGACCTTTTCTATTGGAGGATCGACATATTTTGGAACAAAAATACTCTGCAAAAGTGCGGCAACGTGCATTTGCTCACCTGTGTTGCTTTTGCATGGCATATCATTGGTATCCCGAATACCAGAGAATCCTGTATCATGATGATTTTTTTGTAAACCTTGCCGCTGCTGGATTATGCATCCATAATAGGTCAAACATTTTGGCATGCATCCACCATCTTTCTCATGCTGATCTGGTCACCGTGATGTTAACTGATCCACGGAAGCTAGATGATGTAAAATTGAAGATGGTTGATCCATTGGTTTCTTTGAAGATATGCCGAATATCGAATAGATCAGAATGATCCGTTTTTCCCTTCAAGATCAATGGGGATAGTAAAGAGCAAGTACTTGGATGCGGGGAGAGACATCACAAGTAATAAAGTGCATAACAAGTGAATATTCTTTTTTGGGATAGTTAGGATATGGATTGATGAATTGCAGACGAGAAAAAAAAATGGCGCCAACGAAAAAGAAACGAGAAGCAGTCGTGTGATGTAGGATTCAAATAAAAAAAAAAACCTGACCATGAATCCTATCAAATTCAACCCCTCTCCCTTCTTGGACTTGTCTCCCCTTTTGCTTACCGTCCTTTTATCTCTCATTCAGTCTGGACATGAACACCTTCAAAAAGGTCTTTAGACCCAAGCCTACTACAAATGATAACGTTGCGTTACCTTCTGACAAAGAAAAACGACGTCGACGATTCTCTTTCCTTACCAAATCACCTTCCACATTTGATACTTCAGCACGGTCCGCGTCGCAATCTTGTTCCTTAATAGACGAACAACCAGCAGGAAAACCACCGTTCATTTCCACCACATTTTTGAACAACTTTTCACAGAATGGAACGCCTCGAAGTCGTTCCTTTTTCGGACCCAGGTCAGCTCAAAGTTCTCATACATTTAGCACTCAGTCGAGCGAATCCACCACTCCTACCACCAGCAGAGGCTCTTTTGCCTATGCCGACTCGGGTCACTCGGCGGCATTTTCCTTGCCCACCGCTCCCGCCGCCGCAGCCACCATTTCAATCTCAGACAGTCGATCCATGCTCTCCATAGATGATGGCGATAGTTTATTAAAGCCAGCCGAAAGTTCCATTCGATCACATGGCAAAAGTCATGCATCCACAGCAAGCCAAACTCACGGCGTAAAATTAGTGGACCAAGATCAATACCTGCAGCTGGGAATGCAATACCATGAACGTGGTGAATTAGAGAAAGCCACGCATTACTGGCGATTATCGGCGGAAAATGAATCTCCTTTGGGTTTGTTCTTTTTCGGTATAGCATTGCGCCATGGTTGGGTAAGTAAATCCTACTTCATCTTTCCCCCTCCTGCAGTCGTCCCCTGTTTCTTTATACTCGTTCAAAAGAACAACAATGAAAATGACAAAATAGTTGGAAAGGCTAGGGAAACAAAGGAATAAGAAAGAAAAAGAAGGGGTTTGGGGCCGAGGCCATCGACGAAATTGGCTGTGAAGCTGACCAATATTTTTTTTCGCATGATTCTACGTATCTAGGGCTGCAAAAAAAATCCTGCTATTGCCGTTCGCCATTTACAGAAAGCCGCCGAATGCGCTGTTTTTGACCTTCAAACAGGGATTGCCAAATCGGTAATGGTAGCGAGGTCCGAGTTAGTCTTGGCCATCTATGAACTCGGTGTCTGCTTTCGACATGGATGGGGGGTAAGTTCGGGGGATAGGGTACAAAGAAAAAAGACGTCATTGGGAATGAGTGGCAGCAAAAGGAGTTACCGGCTAGAGGTTTTAATCAAAAAACTGATCTTCCTGGGTGGAAATACACGAGAGAGAGAAACTAACAAGGGTGGATTTTCAATGTAATAGGTACCGAAGAATTTCTCGACAGCCGCCTATTATTTCCAGATAGCGGCTAACCTAGGTGATCCCGATGCTCAAAATGACCTGGCTTTTTGTTACATGCATGGCCATGGTGTCAAGAAGGACATCCACAAGGCCGCCAAATATTATCGCATGGCAGATCAACAAGGACAAGGCTTGGTGGGAAATTCCTGGATTTGGAAGTCAAAATATGATCTCGTGGATGACTACGATCCCAATAGATCAAGCACCTCACTACCCTCGAAAGCCTCCATCAATAGTACCAAATAAGGGACGACTCTCCTCGGTTGTTGTTTTTCTTCTTCTTTTTTTTTGCAAGTCATAAGCTTACTGTTTTTATTCCATACTGTTCCATTCCCTTTAATCCTTAATCTATTTTTCTTGTTACTTTTCTATGATGGTTTTCATTTTTTATTTCTGTGCTTCATTCCCCTTTAACTTTTTGACAGAATAGATCAAAAATATTTAAAAATTGGTCCTAGCAAGACCAATTGTAACTATCATTCTCAATAGAGATTAAAAAGAAAACATAAACCCGATTTCTTATAAAGATATGTCGTGTATAAACCTTCAACCGAGGATCTCCATTGTAAAGATGAAGGATATGATGATCACAACAGAATTGGCTCAACACGAACGGCTTGGAAAGAGTCTCCTCACAATATTGATGAGGCATGAGTTCATTTTTCTGCATAAGGAATAAGGCACATTATATCTCCATAGACTCCTCATAAGGCGGATTGAGGTCTTGTTCTCTTTCTTTTCTTTATCATCACTTCTTTTTCGGACAACTGCGGATCATGGCAACAGTGTTTTCTCGGCTTGGTCTTATCGCTTTCCTATTCGCGATAATGGTCATTGCCGTAACAGAACAGGCAGCAACCGACCATATAGGTTGTAAATGTATAATGACGGCCTTGCGACCGGATTACACAGATGAGACACTGTGTCTTTGCTACAACAAAGCAGACGGAACCAAGAATAACACAACAGCATGTAACTCCCACCTTGGTAAGACATATTCCGGGAAATAATTAAAGGGATGGTTGAGTATCTTTTTTAACACAATGGCTGAAATACTTGTAGACCGTATTTTTGAGTTCTGCAACAACAATCACAATAGCGCATCCGAGTGGGACAATTGTGTGCGGAAACAATGTCCATGTAAGTCAGCTATTATTACTTGTCAGTCATTTCAGCCGACTAATCCGCGTTTCCTATGTATTGTAGAATGTATCTCCTGACATTTTCCTATCCAATCTAGTCAAGTCTACTTGTCTCCATACGACCATTTCGTACCCTTGTTCTACCATCACATTGCTTGCAGATTGAAAACAGATTTTAAATGAACCTTTAATTATTCATTTTTTTCTTAGTTAGTGAATACAGTTCTTCATTATGTTTGCCCGGCGTAACTATTTTACCAATAGACTTGAATCATTGAAGCTTCTAACATCGCGTGACATGCAGTATTATGCGAACAGCCATGATTTAAATAGTCTAATAAGAGAGAAGGTTGCTTAATATTAATTGATGTTAGATTTCCCGAAAGTGGTTGATGTGTTCGTTGTTTTTAATTTTTGCGTTGGTTTTGGCGAGGTAAGGAAATGCTTGATTATAGCAGGAAAAGCGTAGAAATTTTGGAGTGCCGCAGCTCGTACAACTGCGACACCATAATTTAAGAACGAACAAAAAAATATTCCCCCCTTTTTCCTTCCCAACCCCTTCTTCTTACACTCCAGCGTTGTTGTTAAATCGAAATCGTTTTATCGTACATCAGTAGCCTAAAGCAGATGTCACTCTCAGCTGATGAGGCTGCGTGTTCTATCTATGCGTTAACTGTCACACCTGAGAACAAGGCAATTGCAATGAAGCAGTTGAAGGATGCGAAGCTCGAGCCTGTAGTCTTCAGAACTGGGGATCCGACACTTGCATTTGCCGTATCCACAAAAAAGGTGGCGCTGGAACCTTTGCGCTATCATCGACTGATTGCTGAGGATTCTGCCGGCGATGTGACTGACGATGCAAGCTGCAACAGTGAGACCGAGAGCGTGAACAATGATTCGAGCGATAGCCAGCCGACGCGGTTCAAGAGTTACAAGCGTTCCCGGGTCATTGAGTTGGTGTCTAATATTTTTGTTGAACACCACATTGAGGGCCTTACGGACCAGCGATTCCTTAACGAAGATGAGGTCGCCGAAATCATCATGCCGCTGCTTCCAGATGCGAACCTTACAACAAGTATTCTCGCCGAGTACATGGCGAAAGATGGTCGCTGGGGGACCACAAGGAGGAAGCGTATGGAATATGGTCGAAAGCATGGAGTTTCTATAATGTGGTGAAGGAGGAGCACAGAGGTAAACCATAGAAACATTATTTAAAGTATATCATCCATACCTTTCATCAAAAAGATACCTCCCCCATTGATATTTTAAATAACAATATAAAAAATATAAAAAATAAATAATATTTAAAATTATAAAATAAACTAAATTGACTCCTTCTTATAGAAGATCGTGTAGTTGATGGTGAAAGTGAATGCGAGTAGAAAGGGATGACATAGGATATCACGAAGATATGTCGATAATCATTGAAAATGAGTATTATTCTTCAATGACAAAAAATGAGCATGCAGTTGCTACGATAGAACAAAGAAATTGAAAATTATGTTCCACACATTCGCCTTGGACAAATGCTTATGGAATTGTGCTCGGATGTGTTATGATTTGCGGATCGGATAAGATGTTTTTTATGATGCTCAGTCAGTGATCGACAATGACGGATCCTTGACTTCAAGATGAATGGAAAGATCCATGATCAATACCCTTTTCTCGATCTAACAGTAATTCTCTTATCAATCGGACCATATCCTCTGTCAATTCGAGACCCATGATCTGAATCCAATCACTATTACTTTCTCTGATGTGTCACACTTCATACCGAGACACGACCTAATAATCACATACTCATCAACATTGACTAAGTGGAATCGTTTTATAATATCTACGAATACAACCCTACCTTATGAGGTGATAACATATCAAAAGCATATATCCTGGATGACAGAACAAAGCGCGTAACTATAATCATTCGTCTGGAAACACGAGTGTAACGGGATTGGAGATGTTTGGTAAGGGTATTCTGAGTGAATTTACCTAGAAAAGGGACAGCAATTCTTGTGAACGAGAATGCCCATCACTTACCGAGCTAAAGTGTCCGTGAGAGTAAACCAGCCCCTCGAGACGAATAGGAAACTTCACATGGAGTTTGACTACAATAAAACGACGAAAAGAATTGAGGTAAAGAGAAGGCTATATCCTGGTGGCATAAAAAGTAGCTGATTGATTTATTTCATATTACAAGCGGTTGACTACTCATACTAGGGAAGATAGTGAGGTGATATAAGATAGATTTTTCACTTCGTCTTTCCTCTCTCATCTTTTTCTCAGTGAATGCAGCCCTCATGGAATCATTATGTTGTTTAATTTTTCGGCATAACTCCAAATAGCGTTCTCCAAATTGGGTATATAGCAGAGATAAGATAGATAAACGGTTCGTTGTCATCATGTGCTATTCCCTAGGAAAGCGGAAATGCTCCCGTGCAGTTATATATTCTTGACGGGAAAGGTATGTTTCTGCCTATAGCAAGGCAAAAGTGAACGTTCCTAAATGACGTGGATATCATTGCCTTGGACATTTCGCAGCTGCATGTTGATAGTAAGGGGAAGGGTATGGATGAGTGGCCACTGTGGTGTTTGCAAGTAAAAATAAATTTGAAGACAGAGAAAACCTGAAATCCTTTGAGACTCTGATTTGTTGAGAAGCAAGAGAAGGGAAAAAAGGCTCAGATCAATTCTTTATTCTATGTCTGCTTATATAGTTTATGATGAATCGTCATTTGAATTGATCGTATTGTAAAAAATCGTTTATCCTGCAGATATTGTCGTTGAAATGTACTGTAGATGAATGGCAATGAACGGCAGGAGGATACGGTTGTCTTGTGGCTTTTGGTTGACAAGGAAACGTTGAATGTGTGAATGTGGAACGCATGATTGTTTTATGTCAAAGGTCGGCTCCTGAGGAAAGATGGTCGTGAGGTTCATCTTCACTGATTAGGATTTGAGTGTGGTACAACTCGGTATATTTGAACTGCGGACGTTCTGAGGACATTGATCTAGCATGAGATTTATCCGTGGACAAGTACATAATGCGATGAAAGAGGAATGGACGTATGTGGAATACAATATTTTATTATACCATACACGACAGCCACAAAGAAGGTAGTGTTATGGCGGATCGACGTGATGGAACGTTTGCCTTTCCGGATGACTGATAGACTTGCCGCCTCCACTGATGATAACAATTTGCCTGCGAATAGGATACCCAGTAGGTCCAAACCGAGTCTGAAATACCTTAACTGTTTTTCCAGGAAAGCTGAGGCCAAGTGTGTCCAGCCATGTTTGGCCCTGAGGATACTGATGGCATAGAAGAAGGTATCAACATCGAGATCCTTGCCGGGACTAGGCATGACGATGTAAACAATAATTTCAAATCGGAAAATTTGAGCTGAAAAAAGGGTATCAACTGTGAATGTTTTTGAGCAAGGCGCGCCTAATATACTAAAGCGTCCCAGCCGCCAACACATCTTATTTCTATCCCAATTATACTCAGCCATCGCAGAATAGAACGTTTTGAGCCGTCTTAAGTCTCCGATCGGCCGTACTTAAGTTAATGAATAGGAGCTTTAGCCGGCAAGGTATAATGAAATGAAGTGGTGAGTGGGTTTTTTTCAGGTGGCCAGTGGGATTTTCCAAGTGGCGAGTGAGACTTTCAAGTGCCGATCAGCTATAAATCATAAATCATAGCTAGAAAATAATGCAGCTTTACTGATACAAATACCCCCTGATTTCAATCCGAAATAAAGCAGTGAATAACATACCAACATATCTCCTCATCCGATCTTCTTTATCAAGATGCTCAAGTAAAGCGCACTTTTAATTTTTCTTTACCTCAAACTATTTTAGTCAGGCAACAAAGGCCTTGGACTCTTTGATTTTTATTTTCTTTTTATTTTATCACCCTTTTTCGCCGGAACTGACGGACTTTATGATCTGATATTTATCGTTCGCACCTTATTAGCTGGTGCTCACTGACAACGAAATGAAATCGATCTACTTACCGCAATTTACGGTCGCCTTCCCAACAAGCCAAAAAAAGTCTACAACGAGTGGCTTTTATCGAAGTGGTGAGTGGTGAGTGCTATTTTGAAAAACACCATCTAGCCTGCCTTCTTTGTTTTTGAATATCAGAATTTCGATCTTTCAACTTGAGCCCTTCGAGTGCATTATTTTATCTAATCTGATAGAAAACACTAATTGCACATGAAGCTGATCTCATTATCGTGTTGCAATAGATCCAGATTGAGCGCAACTCACGTTTGACAATCTTTTACTTATAATTTCGCACCCCAGTTCCCATAACAGGAGTGTTCCTTCCTTTCAAATTTTCTGTTTATGTCTTTTTTCCGTTTCCAACTATTTTTACGTCCGCTTCACTACGCATATACTGAGCTGATAGCCGCCAAGTACATCTGATACTCACTAACTACCTCTTTTTTTATTTTTATTTTCCTGCGGAATAAAACTTTCCATCACCTATAGCCTAATAGTCTCCAGCAACGCACACTCGCCACCCATCACTATCTTCACACTTGCCACTTGCCACTTGTCACTTTCCATGAGCATGCACCACTTTTATGAGCACTCACCACTTTTTATAAGCAATCACCACTTTTCATGGGCACTCACCACTTGAAGAGCACCCTGAAAAATCTCACTCACCTGAAAAAACACACTCGCCCACCTGAAAAATACCACTCATTTACCATTTACCAGGTAACCTCAGTAAGTATGCGTCAAAAGAATGAGTGGCCACAGACTCTAAACTTTATTATTTGCTTTCCAATTCTTCCATCAGCGACCTCCTGTTTATCGCTAAGCATTTCTGAAAATGTGAAACGTGCATAGGTGAATCCGCCAATAGAGAATACCAAAATGCCTACATCGTAAGCAAGTGAAAGTCGTAACCGCAAGCCCCGGAGAAATGGTCACGGTTGTCCATCGCCATATGCACCTGCACCGTCCAAATCAGATATCAAATTAGGGAAACCAGGCGGCATTATCCAGCCTTCTGTCCATGCGCCAATAGAAGAAAGACGAAGAAAGTAGATCGTCGATGTAACACGTTCAAAGCGTACGAATGTAATCGCTGCAATCTTACGTGCCATCTATAACCACTAATTCGGGCGCCTATAGTACCATGTCAAAGCAGCTCGCGCAAAATCCGTCTTACGCGACGCAAGACCATGATCCTTAGTTGTACTCATCACGGTTGCTGGTTGTGACCCCACCATATTAATTGTCACTATCCTCCTAACGTAGGATTAAAAAAGTGAACGCTGGTGATGGTTATGTAGCATGGTCACTGTAACCTAGTTTTCAGGGTTTTACTGTTTGCACATTGAGTTCGCACATAATGGAACCGTTATTTGGAAACAACATGTTACGTATACGTTTCACATGCAGTGCACCAAGCTGTCTGAAAGAAAGAACGCGTGCATGTCTTAGCAAGGAATTATGCTGCATTTTCGGTCCTATAACTAGCCAAAGAGAGTCTCTGTATTTGCCGGTTCCACTCATGCATATTCGACGCAGATAGTATAGTGCGATTGGCTCTATCAGCTACCATGTCTAAGATGATATGTATTATAGATTTCGTTACGAATGCCGAAATTCTTGGAAAATCCACGTGCCTTCTGCTTGAAACTGCAGGAAGTACGATCAAAGTGCGTTCAAGCATCGGTATAGAAACTGCACATTCATGACTGCATTTTTTTTTGTTACATGTACAGAGTCAGAACTCGGTCACTGTGGCTTCAAAATAGCGGAAGTCGATTTTACCATCCACATGTGCCGTTGTTATATTTCCTTTGCCATTGAGCTGCTGAAGCTGCTAAAGTTTTCGAAATGTGAATCAGAGAAAGAACATTGAAAAGGTAGCGAGTTTCCACGGCCCTGCGATAAGGTTACAGCCGGAATCGCGTAAACCAATGAAAAGACGATGATCAAACACGCACCATGTTACCCCAGTAAGTTTCTGATATATTGCTCGACAGCATCTCGAATATACGATCATGGTTATTGCTAATTCTTTTATTGACTTCAAAGATTAGTTAACTTCCTCGTAGCAGTTTTTGGCTGTAGAAGTCAGAAATACAAACGAATGTGAATGATAGTTCAGGCACCTCGTTTTCGTACAAATCTAAAATACAAATGAATGAAGTAATGAATATACGTTGCATACAAATGATGAAACAACATCTCATTTGGCTATATTGGTAGCATATGGTATCATTGATGATGGCTTGTTCCTCCTACGAGAAAAAATCAATTTATCATATTTCTTTGCTGAAAGGAATCAAGGTGTCCACAGTTGATCCT